TACCAACCTGAGAAACTACAGCGATATCATCGAAGTGCGGATACGCAGAGGTGTTTGCTGGAGAGGATGGACCACCAGGAAAAGTGTGGGCTCAGATCCATCTTTCTCTTCTCGATATCGGATGAGCAACTCGGATCTCTTGGGTCTTTGGTCAAGATGGAACCAGAAAACATCTGAAGTCGTGCCGTGTTGAGCTCGGGACTAGAAGTCTGAAAGACGAGAGAGTTCCTGCATGTGTGGCAAGATGGACAGAGTCGTTGTCTGGACACCATTGGGTGGTGCGTCTGCTGAACCGGAGCCGTCAGTCCCGGTATCAAAACGCATCTCGCGGCCAGGGAGAGTTGTTGACTGCCATGGACGCCCAGTACTCGATATCAGGATCATCCCTCTTGTTCTACATGATACGATCCCAGGATTCTCAGGCTCTTCAAAGCCATCTAATCAGGGTATTTGTTGATGGCGGAGCCCCATTAGTTTAACACTCATCCGAAATGACGCAGAAAGAGCGCAAGAGGCCCCTTGGTCCCTCATCTCAGCTGCCCAGCTTGAGGCAGGATGCCGTCATGGAGATCAAATGACAGAGGGACGCAGAGAAATGCAAGACTTCGAGGCCCACAGCGTCCCCATTCTCCGAAGGCTTGATGGCCCAACAGCAATAAAAGCTTTTTGGGTCCGCCCAAAGACCTGAACAGCGACGGAGACACCTCGCAGAGATGTCAGGGAAAGACAGAAAGGGTGAAGCACTCCGCTCGGGGTGGAGCAGATCCTCTCGAACCACAGCGGCTAGCTCACTCTCAGGAAGTCACCAATGCTCCGATACTGTGATATTGGCAGCACACGAGATCACCTCTGGGGTTTGATGGCCACGACCTCTGAGTATTGCTTGGGCCCGGGGTAAACAGTAATCCAGTAAACAGACTTCTCGCGACAACATGATCTTGTCCAGTGAATTAGCCGACGTTGGTAATCATTCATGAATCCCTCATCGATGTGCTGTAGGTCTCGATGCTTGTTCCAACAATGTACGGCGAGGGCAGCTTCCTCCGCTGATAGGGGAAGTGTATGAGTAGGAAGGATGACGCCGATCGCGAATTGTTGCCGTCAAGCCGTTATTGGGGAAATTTGGCCACATTGCCCAACAGCCACAACGTAGGCACGTCCCCGATCAGGATAGATTAAGAAGACATGGTGTGTGTGGGTAAGGCATGTACGAGTGATACTCTTCTCGGTGACGCTGGTTGCAGATGTCTCTCTAAGTAGGATAATTCTCCAGACATGGCGAGGACAGTCTGGGGGTGAAGTCCAATCACCATCACGAGGGTCGTACTTGGCTTTGAGCTTGTACCCAAAAGCCAATCATGCTTTCTCAAACTTGCATTAGGCTGCTTTGGCTAAGGTTGAGATCGTCGTGTGAGGCGGGAACATTGTGACCCATGATAGCGACCCGTGATAGCGATCGAGGACTCGTTATAACCATCAGAGTGTCGAGGGAGGCTGGACGCAAGAGACCGGGTTTCAAGACCAGGACCGTGGTTCCATAGATATGGCAGATCTGGAGGCGACAACACGCAATAGAAATTGTCGGTCGCTGGCCGCACCCATTCGATGTAAAGCTTGATCCGCAGGGACAGCAAGTCGTATGATACGCTCGAAGAGCCTTGCTCTCACGAAGAGAATAGTAGCCTATCGAGTTGCCAGAAGATGAAGGGAGACATACGAGTCGTTCTCGTGTTGCTTGGAAGAAGGGGGTATTCGTCATCCACATCGTCCCGTGCGAGGAGAAGACATGGGGTTACTGGAGGCGCTTACCACCCAACGTTGACGAAGATGCATACCCCCCTACGGGCTCCAAGGCGAACTTCCCCTCCGACCACATTCGGTGCAGTTGGCGACTCAGCATCACCATATTTGCTGGGGTGTCGATGATGTTACTTGGGCCGTGGAGCTTCTCTGCGAAAATGGCATGTATGCAGTCACCTACGAATTTCGAGATCTTCTCCAAGACTCCGAGTCGTAATCAGGTTAGTTGCTTGCCAGGAGACGAAGGGAGAGATACGAGTTGCTCTCGTGTTGCTTGGAAAGGATCCGACACCGTGAGATCCGAACATTATGGTGAAGAGCAATTTGCCAGTAGTCGAGCCTGAAGAGTTGGACAGAACGAAGTCTATGAGCGGCCGCGAGTCCCAACAGCTTCAAGACTGGCTGGACGAGCAGGATAGCGGAGTAGTCACAGTGGTTTCCGGACGACCAGCTTCCGGCGTTGAAGACGTCTGATGAAGCGCCATTCATTGTTGCTGGATTCGCTGGCGACCTGCTTCCGGGAGAGGTATCTTGGTTGTTCAGCGCAGGAGGAACGACAAACTGAATCCTCGACCTCGTTGTTGGATACCCGGTCGAGGAGGTAGAAGGGCCCGAGTAGAGGTATGTCGTTCGGAGCATGATGTGATGGTTGATTTCGTCGAGGAACCGCCGTGTAGTACCTTTGTGACTCCCGTATGAGAGAGGATTAGGTGGTTGTTGTTCGACCGGGCCCGTCACGTAAGCATTCGGGAGCACCTCGCAAGACGCCACCGGATAGCAAGCCAGTATGAAAGTAGAATAGAAGTTTTGGGATCTGTGGCAGTGCCGGAGGTCATCATCATCACCCTTGGCATGGTCCTGGCGAGACTGATGCGCATGAGAGTAGGGAGCGAAACCAAGTTGACAGGCGTAAGCCACTGCCGGTGGAGAAGAGCGAGCATCGCGTAGTCCGTGAACAGCGTCCCAATGGAAGCTATATACGCACGCCTGCCCTTGACCACCACAGCGATCCCAAACCGCGCTCAAACTGAGAGAGAAGCAAAGAATTCGCAAAATTTAATTCTCCTGAAGATCCCGCAGGCCACCGATGGAGACGTTGTAGAAGATGTGACCTGCTGTGATGCATCTATACACTCCCGGCCCGGCGGCCGAACCCGACGATGTCGTTGATGTTTGCTGCCGATCGTCTACTTCGCCTTTGATGTTGTTCGTTACACCCCTCAGGAGAATGCTCGTCAGCAGGGCAAAGGCCAGTGCCAGATCGTGCTTTGCCCGCTGTCGTGTTCCAGGACCGCCAAAAGCCTAGCCGATGTGTTTATGCTCAATGACTGGTGTACTCTGGAACAAACGCAAGGGCCCCGAGTATTTTCTTGCCTCCGGGAAGCTCATGGCCGTTCTCGCCGTTCTCCGAAAGAGTAACTGCCTTCATAGAGCTGCTTCCAGGCTGAAGTTTTCCCGGATGAGCTCAGCCCGCGAGGTTCGGGAAACGGTCGGCGTACAGTCGACATTACGGGGTTGGAGCCAGATACGGAACGCAGGCAGCATAGTGGATTCTGGTCGCTTCGTTCCATCATACCGATCTCTTCATCGTGTTACGATGCAAGACGGGCCCGTAAACGGTGGGATTGTGGTGGCAAGACGCTTGGTTTCCCGATAGCGTAGGCGTATATGTCGATCACCGCTTCTATGTCGGTAGGCATATGCGAGACCATCTGGAATACAAACTCTCGCGATATCCTCAGGTCGTCTTTGTTTCAACATGGACATATTTGGGGGTCGTGTCGGTAGGAATACCCACAAGTCCTTGCAGAAAAGGGAGACAGGATACGGCAGGTCTGCGTGGTCTCAGTTGGCCAGCGGCCAGTGGCGTAGAGTGTTTGTGAGTAGCGTGCCAGCGCAGTTCCACGAGTTGGTTTGGTATTGCTCCAGGAATACTTTGCCAAAGGGCACGGAGCCGAGTGCTGTGTCATGACAGGGACTGGGGACCGAAAGCCCAGCCGCGTGCTAAACCAGCTGGCCTCTCAGGGTCCGCTAAGCCTTCCGCCGAAGCGCCGGGACGAATATACGTTGTTGGTATCACAAAAGGGTCGTACGTACGTGGGCTCAACAGTATGTTGATACTGCGGCATGTAAAACCGATGCTTTGGGGCCCGGTGGGCGCGCGTGAGCCGGGGGCAGTGTGGCAGGATCTCCGGGGACCGTTCCATCATAGGCAATGCAGTCGACTGGCTTGGGCGGTTTTCGTGTTGCCAGTTCTGGGCGAGAGCACCGGGCGGGCTTTGGAGGTATGCTCGATGTTGTTCCCGGTCATGCCTTATTGGAGGACGGGAAATGCGTTCGACTGATGAACCTCGCTGATCAAAGCCTTCGAACAGCACCCAGCAATCGTGACGGCAGAGGATTAGATGCCATTTGAGCTTATCCTCAGCGACGATGGAGTAGTATGACGGTTCGAAGTTGGCAACGCGTGAACGAGGTCGCTTGTCGGACCAGCACGAACTCTAGCTCCCATACCGACGGGGTGATGGGATGGAATCCGAACCGCAGAGAAACGACGCTTTCGTCTGGCGACGGACTCGACGCGTTGCGACTCAACCCCCAAGAAAGGGCCCGGGGAGCCACAGAATACGGGAGTTATTACCGCATCAGGGTGGGTCGATGATAGTACCGCGCCTAACAGAACCACAGGTCTGTGCAGGTCTTCGACAGTGGCGTCGGGGGGGGGGGGGGGGTTCAGTTCGGCTTTGCCTGACTGTATTCTATGGACTAGCGATGTGTTCCTGTTGACTGTGATTGCGCCGGATAATGACACAGGTGGAGCGAAGCATAACCAACAGCTAAGTCAGGGTTGCGTATGACACTCAGAGTGAGAGACGTCAACCCAATGTGCAACAGTCAAAAATGTGTCGAATATGGGCCCGGAGTAGATAAGATGGGTTGATAGCATCACCAAAGTGGCCAAGGGCCCGTATGGGACGTGAGAAATACGGCAAGACATCAGGATACCTCGTCGAGTAATATAGACGAAATGGGCAAATCCATCATGGACAAAAGATATTTGTAAAATGATCAAGGCAGAATGGGTATAAGTATATAAAAAGGATTGACTACTGCCATCAAAAGGTAAGGTGCTTTGTGCAGGTGATCTATGCATGTGGCGAAGAAGCCAAGAAGGCACGGTGAACAATGCTGAAATGCAATCATAGCTTCGAATCATCCGGAGACTTCTTCTCTTCCGTCTCCTTCTGCGGCGCTGCTTCCGTCTTGTCTGTTGTCGAGGCGTCCTGCGGCGCTGCTTCCGTCTTGTCTGTTGTCGAGGCGTCCTGCGTCTCCTTGGAAGATGGTGTTGAAGTGGGGCCGGTCGCCGAAGGAGTAGGCTCCGCTTCTGTAGCGGGCTCGTACCGTGCCGGGCCGGAGACGAGGGCATCTGGGCTGGCGGAGGTCTCGTTCTTCTTCTCTGCCACAGGCGCGTTGGGGTCAAAGATAACAGCAACCTCGTCGAGGGGAGTAGCCATGCCCTGCGCGGCAAGCTGAATCTTCTTCTTGGCCTGGGCACGGAAGTCGGTGGCATCCTTGGGTGCGCCCTCGGACCCGTCAATGATGTGACCTTCACGACCGCGGTCCTCCTTGATGTCGGTGCCAACCTCGGCCTCCAGGTCCTTGGTCACCGGGGGAGCGGCAGCCTTGGGAATGGACGGTTGGACGTCTTCGGTGTCGCTGCTGTCGTCTTGTTGCGCAGGAGAGCCAACGGACTCGTGCTTCTTGTCATCATCGAGCCTGAGAGCGGTGTCGACACCTTCAGTAACCTTGCGGATCTCTTCCTCGAGATCCTCATCGCCATCGGCGGCAGCAGAAGCAAGCTGCCTCTCAGCCTCCTTAGCGCCGACGATGCTGCGCCAAAGATCCTCGAGCTCATCGCGCCAGCCAAGCAAAGAGGCAAGCTTGCGGACACCGGCATCGCACGCCCCCAACTCAACGACGTCATCGGTTCGGCGACCCATCTGACCAACGCGCTCCCTGTTCAACAGCAACCTTGGCACGCCAGACCTTGAGGCCTCAGCCAGGCCAGCAAAGGGGTAGACCGAGAGACTCGTGCCCATGACGATGATGAGGTCCGCCATGGCTGGGAGGTGTGTATTGTTGCGGAACCCCTCGGGCAGGGCCTCGCCGAAGAAGACGATATCGGGCTTGACGAGTCCTCCGCACGTCCCGCAATTGGGAACGATCTCGGCCTGGACATGCTCGAGCATCTTGTCGTCGGGGAACGGCGTGGAGCACTCGATGCAACGCTGAGTGGCGAAGCTGCCGTGAGCCTCGATGATCTTGTCGTCCGGTACGCCGGCGCGGCGCTCGAGGCAGTCGATGTTCTGGGTGAAGTTCATCTGCAGCAGGCCCTTCTTGGCGAGCAGGGCGATGAAGACGTGGGAGACGGTCGGGAAGAATTTGCCGGGGTAGAGCTCTTTGGCGAGGTAATAGAAGGGCTCTGGGTGCTTGCGGAAGTAGCTGATGTCGAAGACGGCCTCGGCGTAGGGGAGGTTGAGGCGGGCGAGGTTGGCATAGAGGCCGGTGCCGGGGGATCTGAAGTCGGGGACTGCAAGCAATTTTTTAGTGAAATTCAAGGGAGGATGGGAGAAGAGGTAGACGTACTGCCTGCAGCCGTAGAGATGCCAGCGCCGGTCATAACGGCGATGCGCTTGACGTCTCCGGACTTGATGTGGTCGGCGAGGGACTGGAGGTCCCTGGCCTTGAGGGTCTTGGGATGGACGCTGTCGTCCAGCATGGTGGATTCTTCGTTGCCCATCTTGTTGCGCGGCCGATTCGAGTTGGGCCGGCCCTTGGGGTGCTTGTCGCGGCGTCGACGGCCTATGGTGGGCAAATTGGCGGGGTTGACGCGGGGGAAAAGTCTGCAGTCGTGGCTGGTGAAATGGAGAAGAGAAGTTGTCGAAGTGATGCTCGATGTTGGTTGAGGGTTGTCGTAAGCCGTATAAATGCTTTTGGAGGTTGTTGCCTTGGAGAGATCGGAGGCAACAGTTCGACTTGAAGTTAGTGTTGGAGGCAAGGGTCAATGCTGCCTCTGCCTCGCCGGTGGCTCATTCAAAAAAGTCGTAGGAGCGATTCGGTGTTACATCATGCGGCGACCCCACCCCCGCCATCTCGGAGCTCTTATCGCAGATCCTTATCGCTAGGCACGCGGGCCAACGGGCTTGTCCGGGAATAAGCAATCGGGGGTCTTTCATTGACGAGCTGGATCTGTGTCAGCAGGCGATCATTGCGCCAGGGGGATTTGGGGGGGAAATCGACTCACAACCATCATCAGGTACCACGTTGAGAGAATGAAAGTTGATGCGTCAACAGCAAAGTCTGAGAAAAGATGAATCAAAAGGGGAAATCACCTTCGGGCGCTGGATGGGTGGTCTTGCGGATATGAGGTATGAACACTGCCCCCGTCTTCAGGGGCTGCTGCGCTGGGCACGGAAGCGTTTAGGCAGGAAGCCGCAAGATGAGCGGGATGGCAATGAATACGAGACGTGTATCCCAGAAGAGCCTGAGGTCGGAAACTAAGCCGGATAGCCTCATTAGCTGCCGGCAACAAGCAGGTATTCCAACATTCAATCCAGCCAGTCTCCGGCTGGACTACTCTCACCGACGGCATCCTGCCTAAGACCACCTGACCGATATCCACTTCACGGATGCAGGTCCTCATCGGAATTAGACAGATCATTTGCACTTAGATTATGCGTCTATCACGCTACCGCTCGATGCAATGCTATAATCCTATCCCAAATTTCGACAAAGGACCCAGCCCGACCCGCCACTCAGAGCAGCTTATCTCCAGGCAAACGATACGCAAACACAACAACCGTACCCGCAACGGCCATCACCGTCGCCGCCATATACGGCAACCCAATCCAGGGCCACCCCGCGGAGGCACCCGCCCTCAGCAAGGCCGATATCACTGGCGCGGCCACCAGCGTGCTGAGCTGCTCCACCCACGAGATGGTAGTGTTCAGAGTCCCGATCGTATGCGGCTCGACCACGGCGTTGAGCACGGCGCGGCAGATGTTGGTGTACGTCGTGCCCATGGAGAAGATGACGAGAGCCGAGATGAGGAACCAGGGCTTGTAAGCGACGGCGACCATGAAGCAGCCGAGAGACAAGAAGATGCCCGTCATCCGCACCAGCCACAGGTCGCGGATCAGCGGGTGCATGCCCGTCCGTTTGGTGATGTACCAGCTCAGCGCCGGCAGCACGCCCAGGAGCATCACCATGTTTGTGATGGTCGAGACGGGAGCGAGCATCGTCGCCTGCAGGTCCCCGTTAGCACGTGTACCTTCTACGTTCCAGAAGAGGAGTCGTCTTACCTTTGCCCATGACCATCCGAAGAGATTGTGGACGTATTGCGACAAGATCTCCATCTTGACGTACTTGACAATCACCGTCAAGTTAAACCCCAGTACGAGCGCAATGACCCTCTTGGACCTGATGAGGAAGTTGTACACATGACTCATGTCGTTCTTCATCGTGAACATGATCTGCTCCCGGAGAGTGCGCTTGGGGCCCTGAGCGCCTTCCGCCCGGTGAAGCGTTTGCTCGACCTCTACATCAGCCAACTTCCGCAACTCGGAGGTCTCCGGGATGAAAGGGGGCAGACACGTTCCGAGGAGGAGCAAGCCCATGCCGAGACCGAGTGGTAGCCAGGGGCTCTTGGTCATCAGGGCGGCGCTCATGGGAGCGACGATGAGTTCTCCCGAAAGGGCTACGGCACCAACTTTGTAATAGACCGCCGTCCTGTGATATGTTAGTACCCGCGACAGCGGGAATCGGCGGCTGCGACTTACAGGTTGGAGACGGGTACCACGTCGGAAATCATAGTCCAGACCATTGCTTGGACCATGGCGGCACCTCCGCCGATGAACTGGAACATGGCACCGAACCACACTGTCCAGAGAGGGAGGACGTCCGGCCAGAGAAGTGGCTGCAGCATCCAAAGAAACTCCAAACTGAGGCCAAACATTGCCAGGGACAAGACCGGTCGGCGGCCGTACTTGTCGGCGATGATGCCGTAGGGAATCGATGTGATTAGAGCTAGACAAACTGTCAGTATCCGTTCCGTTTTCCCACTCTGGTCGCGGGAAGAGACTTACGAGGTATGCAGTCAAACGAATTCATCCACCCTTTTACCATCGCCAACTCGCCCGCGACCCCTGGACCCTTGCAGATATCATCTGCGGCGTCCGTTACGATGTGGTCTGGGTAGTGTTTTCGGCAGATGATTTCCTCCATGATCTGGTACGTCGGCGGAATCTGCAAGTAGGCGCCGATTTCGATAATGACGATGAATGTCATAGCCAAGACAACGACCTTGATCTGGTACGCGCGACTAGGAGCAACCGTCGCAGGGAGGTCGTGCGCCAACAAAGGCGTCTCCTCTGCAGGCCGGTGCTCAACATCACGATCTCGGCTGGCGTGTTTCTTGTGTGTCATTTTGTCGTCTTTCTCTGTGTTTGAAGCCAGCGAAGGCCAAACCCAAGAACTAGTGTTCAAGATGTGCTACTGAGAAGTGAATAACGAGAAGAAGGCCTGGGAATGAAGAATCAACGCTGCGCTGGAATCACTTGCCACCCAAAACCACCACGTAATGAAGGAGGGTTAGCCAGCGAGCCAGAAACCCGCTGGATTTCCCAGAGAGGAAGCTCATTAAATGCAACGCCGCGTCGCCGCGTCGCCAACAACCTCCAGAACTGGCTTCCCCGAATGTCGTAAGCCCACGGAGGATTTCGACCCTGGACGAAGGGGTCCAGTAGGGCGCTGAAACGGGCTCACCCCTGCGAGGGAAGCCGACCAACGGCGAGTGCGAGTCAGCCAGGGCCGGTGATCTTCGTCGAATCTCGCAATCAGCGACCCGTCAGTCGCTGACGGCTCGACTGATAGCGCGCTGCCCCCCCTCCAGTCAACGGTGTCCCTGCTGGGACTGACCGCTGTCGCGGTTTTGTGTTGCTTGCGCAAGCGACGAATTTCCGGCAGGCTGGGACGAGATGGCATCGCCGACGCGCCGTACGCATTATCACCCAGCTTCGCCCCAATCACCGCAGAGGCCCGATTGTCGCAAACCTGCTTGCTTATCGCAACGACTGCCGACGACTCAGATCATGATTATGGCATCAGGCGTCGCTTGCAGTTGACGATAAGAAACCGAGATAGTAGTGACTCGGCGCGTCGCACCATTCCGTCCCCATTGTCCCAGAAAGTTGCACGTCGTAACTCTGTTCCTGCAGAAGTGCAGAAGTCATTCTCGAAGCATGTCGTCGAAAAATCAAAAATCAGGTTCGTCCTGTCGTCCCAACTATCGGATTGCGGTCAAAGGGTGATCGTACCCTCCATCATGACTTCCGGCGGTGGTGAGCTGGCCAGGGATCCCCATCGACGTCGTCAGCCTTGAGACGGAGCAGCCCCAAAGCTTAACCTAGACTGACGCGGCCAACGGTGTAATGCGATGTGAATAGTGAGGGAATAACAAGCCAAAATCTCGGACCGAGCTGGTTTCTCGTGGGAATTGGGCGGGTGACAACCGCCAGTGATCGCTGTTAAGAGTGCCTGACTCGGCGTTTTGATCATCTTCTTGGAAGTTGGTGGGCTGTCTTGGTAAAACTGGGCGCTTGCGAAGATATCTCAGGGCCCTTGGCGGGTAAATTGGCGGTATCAGATCGCCGAGTAGCCGGCGAGTCGAGGATATCGTCGCTGTCATCGGGGCCCGTCGGCAACCTGCCTGACTATGACAGGACGTGCCCGCCGCCCGGTCCATATCGCCGGTTTTGATAAGGCATGTCAGCGGCGTTGTAAGTGTCTCGATGCGGTCCAGCGATTGATGATGGAAAATTGAGGTCGCGAGAAACGTCGGCCACAGCTCTAGATATAGTTGAGATCGAGCCCGTCAACTTCAGCACAGTTTCCTGCGTGTTGAAGAGAAGCGTAAAGTAAATGTTGCACTAATTCCATTCAGGACTCGCGGTGGTTAAGTTGCTCACAGGGCTGCATTTCCGTCGAGGTTAAAGGCGCCCGCCCAGGCTCTCGACAGGACCTAATACTTTGCAGGGGACGACGAATGCTCGGCAGCTGACTCATCTGCCGGCCGCGGGGTAAAGGTCCAGCAGGCAGGTACGGCCTGGGCAGTGACGAAGCTACCCCGCCAAAGCTCTGTCTCCGACTCCGAGTCACCTCCAACTCACGAGGAAACCGAACGCGACCACCACCACCATGTCCGGAAAAGCCAAGATCCTCTCCACCGGGCCTCTGGTATGTTCTCCCCCGCCATGCGCAACCAATACCCTTCCCGGTGATCCGTTTCTCAACGGCTAACCCCGCCGATTGAAACAGTCCGATAGCGAGGCCCGCTGGATCAAGCTCGTCAAGATCGACTACGCAGACCAGGAGGGCAAGGCCCGCACCTGGGAGTCTGCCGAACGCCGGACACGTCCCAAGGGCGGCGAGATTGACGGCGTCGGCATCTTCGCCGTCCTCGAGAAGCCCACCGGACCCGAGATCATCCTGCAGAAGCAGTACCGCCCGCCGATTGACAAGATCACCATCGAGGTTCCCGCGGGACTGGTTGACGAGGGCGAGACTGCTGAGCAGGCTGCTGTGAGGGAGCTTAAGGAGGAGACTGGTTATGTTGGTGTTGCGTCTGAGACATCACCGATTATGTTCAATGGTATGTCCTTATTCCCGTCTTCTACGTCTAGATAACTTAGTCTGTGCTTCTTCGCATACTGATCTTGCAACCTTGACCAGACCCCGGCTTCTGCAACACGAACCTCCGTATGGTCCACGTCACGATCGACGCTACACTCCCTGAGAACCAGAACCCTCAACCAGAGTTGGAAGAGAACGAGTTCATCGAGGTCTTCACCGTTCCCCTGTCCAAATTCTGGGCTGAGTGCGTCCGTCTCGAGAAGGAGGGCTTCGCCATCGACGCCCGTGTCGGCACGATAGCAGAGGGGATCGAACTAGCTAAGAAATTCAAGCTATGAACCCCCCTTTCCCATCATGGACAAGTCCCGCGTGACCATCATCATACCTTGCCCTCACGGCGAAGTCCCTCCCACAGAGCCACTGCAGCAAGACTCTTCGCGTCCCTCGCACCCTCCTTCCAAAGGTCCTTCATAGGCACGATCTTCAGCGTGATCTTCTCTCCGTGATCTCTCAGCCCAGTCAACTTGCCACTCCACTCTTTCAACTGCTCCCTCGGAATCCGCCTCTCATGACCGTAAATCGTGATGAACTCATCGCATCCACCAGCAGACGGGAACATGGCCTCCGCAAGCCCCTCATCGCCCTCTTCCTCCGCCGCTCTACCCGCGCCAGCAAGCTCACTCAGACACGTAAGCTGGTCCTCGTGAATCTCCAACCCGCATTCCTCCTGCATCTCCTTCGCCGCAGCCCCCGCAAAGCTCCCGCTGTCATCGACCATACCCGCCGGCAGCTCCACGAACGACAGACTGCCCGCCGGGACGCGGGGCTGCACTGTCAGCACGACGTACCTCTCGTCGCTGTCGGCGGGTACGTCGTCGGGGATGAGCATGACCAGCATGGCGACGCTCGGCCCGCGCAGGAAGACGCTCGCCGGCAGCTTCTCGCCCGCGCTGTTGGAGACCTCGGCGGTGATCTTGAGGAACCCGACCCGGCCGCCGCCGAAGATGTCAAACGCCTGAACCGTGACGCCGCGTAGGGCGTACGGGTCGTTATGGAACGGATGGCCCGTGTTCTTGCCCTGTAGAGCGAGGGAGCTGGTCAGGCCCTTGACCCAGTTCTGTCTCGCGCGTCAGCGGCCACGATTAATGTTTTGGCGTCTGTGCCGTCTCGGCATCGGATGTGATGGTCTCTTACATTGAACGGGCGGAAGGCCAGGAGCTGGGACTCGGATAGGCCCTCGGGGAGCTTGACCTGGAGGCCACTGTCTTTGAGAGTGATTGTCGACATTGTTCTAGTGGCGCGTAGTGGATTGAGTGACGGAGCGCGAAAGTTGAATCTTGGAGGCTGTGGAATGAGATTTTTGTGAACAACGAAGTTATATGTGTGTCGTCTGAAGGCAGGCGCGATTGTGCTCATTCTGCCTCGTGGCTTGGACGGTGTAGCCTGACGTTGGTGGTGTAAGTGAAGAGTTGACGTCAGTCTGAATTGGGTTGTTTAGCGGGGCCCTCATAGAAGGCCTGCATACTGCTGACCAAAGTCGCGACTGTCTGCCTGTCCCGGACATCGAAGTGGAATATCAAAGACATCGAATCAGCCTTAACATGCACGGATTTGACAAAGGTGTCATCAAAAGTGCTTTTTCCTGCCTAAATGCTGATACATGCTGTGTAAATGCCATAATCTCACCCCAATGCAGCTTCCTGAACTCCTCATCCCCGAACCCTTTTTTGAATGACATGCTGACATGATAATTGCGCCCGGAAAGTGCCTTGCAAATTTCCTGCCAATTTACAACAGTACTACAGCCTCATCAACCCAAGAAATTCTTCAGATTGCCGCCAATGTTCTTGAGGTCCAACAGGAACGTGTCGTGGCCGAAGAAACTCATCTCCTCGCTTAATTCAATGTGCGCCACATTTCTGTTGCCTGACAGCTTCAGGGCTTGCGCAACCTCTCTTTGTTGCCAGGCAGGGAACAGAATGTCGCTGGCCACACCGATCACGAGAGCCGGAGTGTCTCTCAGCGGCGTCAGGCCAGCAATCAAATCCTCAGGTGGCCTTGAAGACATTTCTGCCGGTTGGTCTGAGGCGCCGGCATTGGACTCTGGTTGTTCGACGTAAGGGGTCTCGGGAAGAGTCAAACTGCAAGCGGCATCGTTCCGCACGGGCTCGACGCCAGACTGCAGCAGCTTCTCGCGCTCTGCTCGCCTCGCGCTGGCAGCCACTTGGTTCTCCCTACCCAGATCAAAGAGATCCATCGCCTTGCTGACGTACAGCAGACTATTGGGGTCATACGTCAGGCAGAACTTCTCGCCGGCATGGTCAAGATATGTCTCAATCAGGAAATCGGGGCACAGGGCCGGCGGCTTGCTGGGGTCCGCCCTCCTCCTTCCGAACCGCTGCTCCCACTCCGGTCCGGATCTGTATGTGACCGTCGCAATCTCTCGCGCCAACTTCATGCCGGCATGCGGCGGCACCCTTCCATAGTAGAAACCTCGGTTCCAGTTCGGGTCCATCATCAACACCTGGCGCTGCGTGTGGCGCATCGCAATGCTGTACGGGTGACTCCTTGCGCAGCCGCTGATTGAAACGATTCTGCCAACTCGGTTGGGGAACAAGGTGCCAGCAGCCAGAGACTGCATGCCGCCCATGCTGGATCCAACACTAGCATAAAGCTTCTCAACCCCGAGTCCGTCGAGGAGGCGGAATTGCGCGCGCACCATATCCTCCATCGTCAAGATCGGGAATCTCGTCGCATATCGCTGGCCGTCCGCGGGGTCGATGCTGCTAGGCCCCGTTGAACCGTAGCAGCCTCCGATAACGTTTGTGCAAATAACGTGGTATTTATCCGTGTCCAGGGCCAGTCCAGGGCCGATGAACTTCTCCCACCATCCAGGCTTCGGGTTGCTTTCGGTAGAGTGCGCGTGTGACGACGCAGACAGGCCGGTGTGGAGGAGAATCACGTTCGACTTGTCCGCGTTCATCTGACCCCAAGACTCGTATGCGATATCGAATTCGGGCAGGATGCCACCCCAGTCGAGAAGAAGCGGCTCTTTGCAGTGGTACGTCTCCGTTGCGCCGGCCGTGTAAGAGGGCTCGGGGCCGCTCGACTCGAACTTGGCCTCGAGGGTCGCCGATCGGTTTTCGAGTGCGTCCAGGCATGGGAATGCCATTGCCGGGTTCGACGCATCGCCGGGGCTGTTGGAAGCTTTCCGCGCGGGCTTGGAGTGGAATTGGCGGGCGCATTGTTGGACGCCAAGAGCTGCTGGAGAGCTCCGAAATGCGGAGGGAGCTTTGGTCCTGGAAAGCGGCGCCCGGGCCTGGCGAAGGGCCGCCGACGCGATTCTTTGGCAATTCATAGCGCCAACTGAGAACTATTGAGGCTTTGGAATAAACCGTAAAGAACCTGAGTGTTCATAGGCTTTTGCCAAAGATATAGCAATCGCCGTATTAGTTTCCCGCGGCCCTGGTTTGTAAGCTGTAGCTGTGATGGCAAAGCTCCGTTGCGCCTGCGATGGTGCAATTGCACGTGATGATAACGACTCGATAAGCCGATAAAACACTATCGATACGGTATGTTCTAGACACGAGCTAAAGGGAGCTTCGACCCCGCTACGCGTCCACTCTCTCCACTGACGTCAATTTAACCTTCCTCATTAAGGTAACAGCAGCATGCGTCCCCGTTCGATGCCCCGTCCGACCCTAAATTGCCAGCAGCCTGGAATCTGTCTACGCCACTCGTAACACGCTGACGTCGCCTGCGTACGACGGCTACTCTGAATCACCTATCTACCTACTTTAGACTACTCAACCCTGAATTAGTGCAAATATTTACACATCGCCCATGTCGAACTTCCTCTCTTCCATACAGTCCCACGCCGGAACACTCGCAACAATCGCAGTCGGTGCCATTATCGCTAGAGCCATGAGCGTCAACGCAACTTTGACAGAGGGCCAAGTGCCGACTGGAGACGATAAATCACGAGATGGCGGCCACAAGCCCGGCGAGTACAAGCCGACACCGACCGACGTCATTATAGTCCGCATCATGCTCGAGAGAGCCGGCAACCTCCCGCCCGAACTCCTCGACATCATCTTCGACGAGGCCGAATACTGGCCGCACTCTGAGGGCTACATCTTCCAGCAAGTCCGTACTGCCCGCGACGCCCTCCGCGTGGTTGGTGGCACGGCCCAGGGCGAGAACGTCCTCCTCGTGAGATGCCCCCCTATCGGATTCGTCGATTACCGCAAGGTTGGCGAGGAGTTTAAGACGGCCCCCCTCCCGCCCAAGTCTGTCGACGGCTCGGCTGTGAGCGAACCGCTACAGAACCTGACGCTCATGGAGCCTTCATCGTCTTCAACTGAGCCCACGCGCGAGGCGCGGAGGGAGTTCTTCGAGGGATCCATGTCACAGCCCCCGGCGCTGAAACACCCCGTGAGAAAGATCGTGTTCAAGTTGAGAAGCAAAGATCAGGGCTGGGGTGGAACTCATGCGGATAAGGGCTCGTACCGGGGATCGTGGACGTGGTTCGAGGCAGGCCTGGAGAAGTTTGATGAGGATCGGAAGTGTAAGTCTGGTCCCGCCTTCCAGTTGACAACTGAGTCTGACCGCCATGAAACAGGTGACGGTTCGTGCAAGCGATCTAGACCGAGCTCACCTACCCAATCCGAGAACCCCGAATCCGCGAATCCCAACACCGAGACCAAGAACTTCTGCACTTGCGGCCTTCAATCCGTCTATCCCCCGGTGGTCGCGTCGGCCGATGGCAAGTTGGCGTACCACCATCACGTCCATCCCCTCGAGAACCTGAAAATACAGTCGAATAAGACGGCACATAGAGATTTCTTGGACCACGAGGTGGTATGGTCGTGGACCGATGACATACACCCAGAGTCTCCAGAAGGCGATCATTTGTCAGAGATCGGCAGGGGACGCGGCACGGGAACAGGTAGGTTCGTTCGCAGCCTCAAATTGGGCGATGTTGTCACGGTCTGGGGCAAGGCGAGGTTTGGTGGCTGGTGCAACTACGTTGAGAGCGTCAAGGTCGAGATATACTGGGCGGTCTAAATGATTCCCGGGCGCGGTTCGTACATCTGCTTTTCCTAAGAAACAGTTAATAGTCATTAGTTTAGGCGTTCGGGTAACGAACAGAATGAGACATGATGCACATGCAAGTTTTCGATATTATCCTACCTTACCTAGTCAAAAGCCCAATGCTTATGTCCAATTTTGGCGACTCCGCGGGCGGCTTCATTGGACGATCATATGCAGCTCCCATTGGCCCATACTGAGACTGCGCCTGCGCCTTCGACCTGCGGTGTTACGAAGACCAGGCTGAGTATTGGATCAGCCACCTCGGGACCACAACTCTTCGGTGCCTCTCATCATGCCATAGCGACGCAAAATTGGATTTCGACCGTGTCCTGATGAGCGACAAGCTAGGAGAGCTTCTGCGGGAATTGGATCGGCAGATCTCGGATTGCGAACGTCGCAAGACAGGCCCCGCAGATACGGCCATCGAGGGAATTTCCAGTCTCAAAACCGAGGGAGAGGATTATTCTCGAGCCTTGAGACAACTTCGGACTTCACTTCGCGGTACCTTTCATCGCGGCTCTCAGCTCCCTGTAGCATGATTCTAACGACTGGGTAGACTGCAATGCAGACGATAGCCAGTGGCGTGCTGTACCACTGCCAGCAAGATCACTCTTGTGGAAGATTATTGCTTTCTCCCGACCCTCCGCGCGAGTCGTGGACCCTCTATACGCACACCACAGGCTGGATGCGTTCCTGAATGTCATCGCGATACCGGGGCCTTCAATGAAAGATGGCAGCACTACGCAGAGTCTTTGGGACAACGGCCAAACGAAAGAATGGATCACCGCGGATACGCCATCGCCAGTGTTCCTGGAGATCCCGTTTTCCTCATCCGAGCGTGTGCGGCGCTTCGAGTTGGAGCTCATAGAGCATCTCGAGAAACACCACCCGGTGATCCACATGCTCGGAGGTCTTCCGCCGTCAGAGACCAGCGTCCTCTATCCTGACATCACGCCAGAGGCAATCCTCGAGCACCTTACCGTTCAGGCCCTAATCCATATTTCCGTAGAGGAGCCGCTGCCTTTCCTGGTCGATGTTCTACCGCTGTTCAAGAACGCCAAAACCTACCAAGACTGGCTGGGTCTGATGAGGGATGCTTGCGCACGAATACCCAAGATGTCGATTATTGTCGACCTTTCTATCCTCCTCCCACCCTTCGATGAGCGTAGCAAGAGGTTGTCGGCGGATATTTCTGGCATATCCAAAGATCTTTGGGAGGGCCCGTCTCCGCGATTCTGTCAAGTAATGCTGTCGGTGCCAAGTCGGCTACTTGTAGACCGTCGTGCTTTGGGGCCTCTCATCTCGATGGGAGATTCTTTGGCTCCTCGGAAACGACGATTTTCGTTTCAACTACCGGCGAGACCGGAGCCACGTCCCTTCAAGATTCTGAAGCCGTTGAGAGGCAGCGACTCTACATCAGACACGCAAGAATCACAGACGCAAAGGTCACAAAAGCAAGAGATGCGAGAGTCACAGACTCGAGAGTCACAGACGGCGACATCTTCAACCCCTCGTCCAATGAATCTACCTCGGATGCCTTCTGATCAAACAAACGACGGCCCACTCCACGAAACAACCCCAGCATCGGGCGACTCAATTGAGCCGCTACTCTCTCGTCATCATATCAAGATAGCAATAGTATGCGCTCTACCATTAGAAGCAGACGCCGTTTGCGCCCTCTTCGACAAACAACTCGACGACATCGACGACGCCAAAATGCGGGCCCCGGGAGACAGCAATGCATACACGTTCGGCCTCATAGGTCGACACCTCGTCGTGCTCATCCATATGCCTGGCATGGGCAAGATCAACGGCGCGATCGTGGCCGCGAAGAGCCAGAGCAGCTTTCCCAACATTAAGCTGGCACTCGTGGTTGGCATCTGCGGCGGTGTGCCCTTCTATGATAAGGGCAAGAGAGAAATAATCCTGGGGGACATCATTGTTAGTCAAGGTCTCATTGCGTACGACTATGGACGAAGATTTCCGAACGAGTTCGTCTCGAAAAGCTCGCCGGATGACGTCTTCGCAAGACCTCCCGTCGAAATCAGATCGCTTCTCGGCAAGCTCAAGTCCCAGTCCGGTCTTCGGAGGTTACAAGAGAGGACATGTCAATATCTGCAAGCCTTGAAGCTACACTCAGACTGCCGGGCAGAGTACCCGGGTGCGGGTGAAGATCAGCTGTTTAACGGGAAATATGTGCACAAGCATCGAGCGCCTGAAACTTGCGACATCTGCGCCGGTTCCACCGGCGTGGCTGGCGATGTCTGCGAGGAAGCCAGAGGCTCCTCTTGCGACGATGTTTCTTGTGATAAGGGCATGTTAGTACCCCGGCAAAGACTTGAGGCCATCTTGCAAGGAACAGAGGCCCCTGTGCCCATGATTCACTTCGGGCTTATTGCGTGTGGAGACCAGGTCATGAAATCTGGCGTACATCGTGATAAGGTTGCCAAGGACAAGGATGTGATCGCATTCGAGATGGAGGGCGCGGGCGTTTGGGACATCTTTCCTTGCGTCGTGTTGAAGGCTGTTTGCGACTATGCCGACAGCCACAAGCATAAGAAATGGCAGAGCTACGCGGCCGCAACGGCTGCTGCTTGTGCAAAGGCGTTTCTAAAGGAGTGGCATATGTAGCCGCAGGACAAGCTGCTGAATCTTTCTCAAATCTTTCGTGGCCAGGACCCTTTTACGAGTCCTCAACGACACGTGCAGTTATATGACCTTTCACCGTCTTGCTCGGAACTGTATAACACCGCATTTGCCAACTTGAGTTCATAGGTTCACACTATCTCCTGGATCACCTCTCTGCCTTCGGCTCCTACAATCTCACATGCCCAGTGCCAAGAACATGACCTTGAAACTAGGAATTCTAAACAGATGGTCACACCCGACTAAGCGTGAGAGTCATAGTAGTATGTCGCCAAGGCAGCGTATTTGATGTTGTAGTTTAAGCTATTTGAATTACCTATCAATCAATAATAAAACGAGGCTTATTTGTAGCTTTGAAGTAAATAGCTAAGAGGTAGATTCTAGCACTCTCTCTGTACTCAATACTAATACTCTAAATCACACCCTCTAAGACTAAAACTCCTTACTCCCTCCCTGTGAGTGGAACTCCCATAACCTGAGAATACGGAGCCTTAGCATGTTCATGATGAACATAATTCCCGCTATACTCCTCACAGACTCTTGAGTCAATTCTTTCCCCTGCATATGCTGCCTTCCTGTCCAATAATGGGATCCAAAGGCAATGATTGAGTACATGTGGTGCAACAAACTAATGCGCTGGTGAGTCGGTTGTGTCCAATTTTCCCCGTGCATGGAACTTTTCCTTCCTCCGATCACGATACGGGTCCCTGCTGATACCTTTGGCGTAACGCTTTGTCGTAGGAGGCACCAACTCAAGTTCTTTTCGGAATGACTGTGGCGGATTGAAGTGCGGAGCCGAGGGTTTGATCTGGTTTTGACGACTACCTGAGACTGGATATTTTGAAAGCCGTCTTGATTCCATGAAGGCCATTTCTCTCCGTTTCCACGCTGATATTTGATCTTGCATTTCAACTGACGATGGCTTCGATTTCCCGTCTATTTGAACGAAACCGTCGGGGAGACCGTTCAAACTTAGTAGGTGGCTAGATGATGAATGCGTTGCTGGAGCACCCGGTATGTGCGGGACAATATCATTGTCGTCATCGTGATCAAAGGCTTCCATAAGATCCTGTTGACTTCTCCGATCCTTGAGTATTGGCCATTCGCTCCTATATATAAGGCCATTTCAGTATGAGTCCTCGTCGGTCGAGATATAAGGCTTCGGAGCCGTGACATAATTTGTAGGAAGCTTGGATCGTTCCAACTCGACTCTCTCGGGATCTGGCCTGCTTGTCTTACGTGGTATTGCAGCTAGCGGTCTGGTGTGAAATCTTTTACCCAGACTTTCCAGTAATCTGCCTCGTCGTGCGTCTTCGCTTGTAGTGTGGTCTTTTGATATGGTAGAGTGAATGGGAGGTTGGCCGCGCGCACCGGAGAATAACGCGTGCCTAGGTATCGAACGTGGCATACGGTGAGAAATGGACGCATTTCGAGTCCGCTGAAGGTTTCTTCTAATCGGCCCTTCCATCCATCCCGCCTCTGCGGATTCCACATACGCCCTTCTTAGCCTCTTAGCATGTTCTTCTTCTTCTTCTGCTTCCTGCCTCCGTCGCGCTATCCGGAGCCTGCGCTCCATGTCGGCAGCGAGGCTGCCACTCTCTCTTGCAACGGTCATTTCGTCTCCTATCTTGATCGATCGGCGTCGGGTGTTGTCGCGTCCGTCTTCATCCCATGATGATGGAGAGCGTTGACGATATTGTCGAGGTGGAGGAGACTTATGGAACGATTGAACAAAATGATCGCGTTCCTCTAATGAAGCCATTCTTGTGTTGGCAACCGTGGATGTCATCATGAATGTAACTTGAGTGTAGCCATGCGCCAGATTCGTCTTTGATCTGGTCAGCCGACAGCGGCAAAACCGCGGTGTACAGAACGAATCAGATTGAAAGGGGAGGGCTCGTGACGTGTAGTCTTCCGATTGGGAAGCACGTCTGTGACTTGCTAAGCGAGCCTGGGCCTGTGTTTACTTAGTGTACGACGACCTACTCGTCATTACATAGCCACTCTGGCTTCGCAGACAATTATCTTCAGTGCTGAAGTAGGTGAATGCTTACGCCAGGCCTTATGGAATCAATTTGATGATGCGAGAGTCCCAGAGGATATATTCGGAGGAAAAGAAAATTGAAGCATAATCTTGTTCAACCTAAAAATGCCTACACATATTCTGGATTTCGCAAACGCTATCGCTCTCCTCGCCCCCGATGCTTATCATCCGCTGTATACCCTTGACTCAATTCCTTCAAATAATCGTCGAACTTTCTTGCCTCTTGAATTACACTCAAGATGTGCTCATACCCAAGAGGCTTTTCTTCAAATCCTGCCAGCTGTCGGGCCGTGGAAATTGCATTTCTGATCTCTCTGCCATTGAGATCGGTCTTCGCTAACTCTGGGATCCGCGCACGTATCTCCTCTGCGTTGATCCCCATGTCTTGGTGAGAAGGGCCACTAGTGTCCGCAATGGCCAGTCTTTCTCGGTGCATGGTTTCGATGCGACTGATGAAGTTGTACCAGATACTGAGACGTTGGTCTTCGTTCAGATTGTTGTATCTGAGATTCAGTTGAATTCGTGACTTGAATGCCTCATCAAAGGTTCCAACGCGATTGCTGGTTAGAATCAAAATGCCTGACTGCCATGAGCTTGAAATCTCGTTAACTGGAATCATGAAGATTACCATCGTAGTATTCCAAAACACGAAGAAACACTGCCGCACTGTTAGCACGGCCAATTTTGCTCCGATATGCCTTCTTCGCGAGTAATATGCGCCGGGACTGAGGTATTTGAGAGACTTACCCGAAACAAGGGCATTTCTTTCTAGATTTTGCAACGTTCGTTCCTCTAGGAAGACATCGGCTTCGTCCAAGAGAACAACTGTGCGGTTCGTGATCAGCGTGACCTGTCCAAGAGAGTGATTTGTTTATTCGGGTCTTACCACATCCCCAGGTCTTTCCAAGTAACAGGACTGTGTCCAAATACTGATCTGCTTTAGCAACAGGATAAACCCACACATGGTAGTGGTAATCCTACCTTTTCTACGTCTTCCGCTTTAGTCCCAATATCTCCGCATGTGACTCTGTACAGTGGTTTCTTAGCGATTTCGGCGACACTATCGTTCTCCGTTAGAAATTTAGATATTGAGATGAGTCTAGCGTCCGGCAAAATTCCTAGATACCTTTCGGCTGTCAATGTCTTTCCCGTACCGGGGCCGCTAGATCGTCGTTAGCTGGAGTAAATCGAATGGGTCAGTGGATCATGCAATACCCGTGCAGTAAAATGAAGAGGCCGTTTCCTTTACCCTGAATTAGGTCGGTATGTTCCTCTGCTCGAAGTTGAGTTGTCACGACCGCCTTAACAAGCCTTTTTGTTCCCGGGTCGATCACCAGATGTTCGAAAGCTTCTTCGTTCCACTCGACGTCTCGGATGAAGTCAACTTCTAGATTAACTGCCACTGATAGTCAGAATACACGGAGTACGACTCATGATAGTATCTCACTTGCTCCATTCTTTTTTGTGCATATTGAACCCAAATATTGTTGCTGGAAGACACATAAAGAAATCGTCTCCAAGTTCAGGATTGTCTTGTGACATTACCAAAGGTCCAAGGGCATCATCGCTCGACGGGAGGTCGTTGTCGGGATGCATTTGAATGTAAGTGGTGAAATCAACCATGAATCGTGAGTCGGTCTATGTTATATCCATTAGCATCTTCTTGATTGACCATAACGTGTGAAGAGGCAGTACCGAAGCCTGCACTCCGTCGCCCGAGAATCGGGAAGAAGAGATATAATTTCGATGTCGGCACTTCCAAAACATTCGCCCTCTGGCTTTGAGTCTTTCGACAATCTCTGACGTGGCGAACTTTGCGGGATAAGCGCCGATCAGGTCCTTGATAGGAAATGCCTCGTTTTCTGCCACTGTAGGGGGTGGGCCGATGGGCAGAGCATCATGGCTTTGATGGAAGGTGCCATGAAAGTTCCACAAGGTGACTTGGATTGTGGTAGGGATGTTTTGATTATTGCCCGGCATGAGCCAATCAGTTGCAATAACTCCCCTCAGTTGATGCTTCTTGTCTCCATCAGATTTGGATACGAGAACTGTATTGGGAACCTAGATATGTCAGATCAATGGCGACAGCTAGAGGACTGCCAACATACAAATAAGTACGAAATGTACTCGGTAGTAATTTTGCTTTCGGCAAGCAAACTGTCAACAATGCTCCATTCCTCCGCCAAGCGAGCCTGGACATAGTACTGGAACACTGCAATCTGGCTCTGGCTAACAGAATCCAGCAGTTCGGTCACGAGCTGGATCTCTTTCCGCCTATGGAACCACCAAAGGTATGGATAGGAAATTATATCTTCAGACCGTCTGTTGAACTTTGGATGCGGAATGCCGACGAGAGCTTCTTCGGCCAAATCTTGCAAACCGACCGATAAGTCGTCGGAGACGATGGTCATAAACTCGCCTTTGAAGAAACTCGAAGGATCAGAATCGACTACACTCGACACACGGCCATGATAGCTGAAGTGCTTTGGGGGTGGAGCTCTGCAGCATTCAAAGTTACGGTAAACGATGAATGCGATCTCCTTATTCCTTTCGAGGTGTAGTTCGAGGTGTGGAACGGCGTTACTGCCCCTGAGATGAGCATCGTAAGGTCCACTTTCGACGACCCAAGGTTCACCGAGCCACAAGTCTTCAGATCCCTCTTCATGGCATGTGATTCTGTAGATGATCTCGCATCTCGGCGGGCCTTGCTCTTGTGAGACCGCGTATCTTAGTCTCTCTACCTCTCGTAGGGTGTCAGATGCCAGGGACATGGCATCGAGAAGATCCTTGTCGGGGATACCCGGTGGCAGCTTCAAAAGAGTGCATAGGGCGTGACGCCAGTCAATGGCCATGGGTGGGTGGTGCTTCGGCCTCGCATCGGAATCATCGGAATCCTCTGGACCCAGTCGTCAGTACATGTACGAAGGGGTACCGCTTCTTCGGTGGCAATCCAACTTACCAGACGAGACTGTGTCGCGGTCCGATTCACTGTCAGAAGAATACGACGGGTTTCCCGAAATTGGTGGTGCGACGCCGCGGGAAGTTGTTGCTATCTTTCTTCTTTTCGACTGCGCCGATGATCTTGATTCCTTTAATTGGGTCGGCCCATGCCTGCGAGGTCGTTTTCGATCCCCATCTGTGCCGGTCATCGTTAATTTGAGCGCGCGATGAGTAGCTTCAGGCAGAAGTTCAAATAAAGCAATCGATCTGTTTGTGTAGAGAGCTCGCAGCCTGATCCCGCTGCGAAGTTACTTATGTGCATGTGTGTTGGCATTGGTTGCCTGGTAATAGTATGTAAGCCCGTATTCATGCATACGCCCGATATCGACCCTGGTCACTGCCCCAATCACTCATTGGATAAATTGTAGTCCTCGATAATTTCTCATTCGTGGAAGACTGGATTCTAATTGAGCGCTGCGCCTCGCAGTCTAGAAAAACCCCGTCACCTCGGTAGGGCTTAAAGTTCATCTTGGTCAGGAGATCAAGCCACAGCCTGAAAAGGGCATGAAGAAATGACATCATGCCGCTCATCGGTACCTAGGAACTAGGAACTTGAATACAGCTGTACCGGATACAAAGAGCTCATCTAAGTGATATGTTCCGGGAATGAAAGTCATGGAGGTAGACAAACGCTCTGCGTTGCCCGTGGATGGAACACAAGGAAGGTCACTCTCAAACAAGGTTCTATCAACCTTTTTCGTGTCTTGGAGACGTACGATAGACCTGAATGGGTGATGGCTAATGAAAAGTGCATGCAAATTCGATAAGCTGGTTTGTTAACATTATCAATGTGCACTCAGCATCAGCATTGACTGCTGACCTGTTTTGAGGGCACAATCCCACATACTTGGGCGACAACGTCAGGCTGCAGCGCAACCGTTGATGGAGGAGCTCATCTATAAAATGCCGCTTGGCCCATGGCGGATAGCCTGATTCTGTTGCACATTCTCGCAACTTAGTTTAGCACTCCTTCTGGGCTTTCTATCAATCAGATCACGCTATTACCATCCTCGAAACTCTACATCCCATTATCTATGTATAGAAGGCCAGACATCCATTTTAAAAATGACCAGGCTACCGCCTACTAGATCACCAATCGCGCCCTTCAAGACCAAGGATGAAAGCTGGGAGTCTACGACTGAACATGAAGACTCGAGAATATTCTTCGATTCTTACAAGGCTGTTCAAGAAGTCACTTCTCAGAGGGAAGCTCGACAGCATTATGAAGTAGAAAAGAACCAGACGTTGCCAAAAGACAAGGACACAACTCGGGATCAGAAGATTGGAGTTGATACGCTTTCGCCCATGCAGTGGAATCAATATTCAGATGGCCTTTCTAGAAATTCCATCATAGAATCCAATTCAATTGGTACAAGGCGATATCACAAAGGTCTACGACCGAAATCTGGCTATATGAACGTTTCCAATGATTCGGACGATAGGACTTCAAAGAGAAAATCGACAGCCTTATCAAACACGAGACATATTGGAAGAAAGCTTCAGTTCAATGTCTCCCGTGGCCGCCTTCGAATCGATAGTACAAAACTGTATACGATATCCAAAGACCGCACCGATATTCATGCGAGAGAAACACATCTTTTGGCAGACCTGGGACGAAAGTTGCGAGGCGTCTCCGCGACGTCCCTACGTTCAATCTCAAAAAGACCCCCGGTGCAAGTTCTCGCCGGAGATGCTGTTCTGTGTGTAATCCCTTCAAATATTCGTGACTGCAGAAGATTCAGACTAATCAAGGTGATTTAAATGCAGCGTTGAACACTTGGGTAATGGCCGACTGCCGGAGGTTGCGTTCACAGCCGCACTACTTTAAATAGCGGTTGTTTCACACAACGATGAAGATTTCTCATCTGATTTTCGTTGTCAAGCTCGATGGGATAACGCGAATGCACATGTAATTTACTAAACTTGGCCATCTGACATCTAATGGATATGTTGAACACTGGCTTCTGAAAAAGTTTTAGAAAAATGGAGACTATGACTGCATTCTACATGTATGCTATACGCATATAGACCGGAGAGGAAATTAGAGGGTGGGTGTTACTTTGGATGAATGATGCAAAGACTCGAGAGATGCCTGCACTTTGATGAATCTTTTGCTGGCAATTTGAGACCTTTATTACATGTTATTATACACTGAGATCTATTACGCATGGCTTGGCCGGGATCATTTCTGCATGCTTCAGCGGATTCAGTTTGATGTCCGTCCAAGCCCTCCAGCGAGTGACGAAACGAACCCAATTCATTGGCAGCATACAGTTGTCTCGTCAATACCAGCAGCCTTGTTAAGTGTATCTTCCCCACCAACAGTGCACGTCAACCAGTCCGTGAGAAATTTCCCAAGCCCAGCACCGACAATGATGGAGATAATAACGTATCCGTTGAAATACATGGCTAGCAACATGACGATATATGCGACACCAAATGTCACGGCGTGTAGAACAGCGCGAAGAATTTGTTGAACGGGAGAAACGCGCATGACGACGACCTTCCGAGGAGCCAGCGCCGGGACCGCCGCGGTGCGAGGGCAGCCTTCTTTGGCGGCGTCACCATCGTTGTAGGCGGTGGGAGATGAGTTGGCTGAAAGAATGGCGTTGCCGCGGCGACGCATTTGAGAGATGATCATGGCGTCGTATTTCTTGCTCATCAGACGTAAGACCTCGAGGACGACCACCAGAAGGACGACGCCGATGCAAGAGGCCGCCATCATACCGCCGTTGCGGATCTGCCATGACGACGAGAGGAAACAAGCGTCGACTGTGTCCCAATTCCAAAGCATCTAGAGGTGGAACTTTTCGTCAGTCGGAAGTGAATGAATGAAAACGGCGAGTGATTTGGAAGCTTTCCCAGGGGTAAACGCACCGAGACTTTACAGTCCGCCATCTCCGCGCTTCCGTGATCCATGATGAAAGCTGGTCGCGAAACGAGAAGGATATTGGATCAGAGAAAGTATGATGAAGAGGTGGTAGGAAACAAAATCTTTCAGACCCAGCGAAGAAGCAAACTGACAGTCGTCGGGATGGTGTGGATGTTTTGAAGGTCAAAGGGCTGGCCGGAAGACCAAACACAACAATAAACCCACGCACTCCTTGTGCAGCTTTCGAGGTCTTGATACAAAGCTAGATAATATGCGGAGAACGAGCTGTTTTTTGCACTTGGCGAAGAGCGACACGACTTACCAGGCACAGATAATGAGCCATGCCGTCCTTGGTTTTACCATCCCAACCCGCCGAGAGAATCAACGCCAATCAGTCACGGAGATCCATCAATCAACAAAAACACATGACATTACAAAGCATGACCGCAAAGAACCGGGCCACACGACGCTGCAATAAGTGGTTTGCAATGTTAGAAAGACCTCAAGATGGAATCCACGTGGGGCCGCCGGGCGGTAGCAAGAACATCGGCAGGCAAGCCGAGCCCCGAAAACCCCGCTTACCCCACGGCCCCGCTTGCCCTCTCCGGTGACCCCCGGTTCCCTTACCGTATTCGGCAACCAGCTGGGTCAAAAACCCCCGAAGAACCTGCGCAAACTTGCTCACATAGCTACCCTACCTCGTGAACTCTCGTCATATTAAACGACTGCCAAGCCCGCTATCGATCTAGCCACATGGAAACCAGCCGGCTAGCATCCGGTCTGCGAACTGCCACCACGCGACGGTTTCTGTCGTCTTTTTCCTTTAGTCATAATGGACTCGAATCTTGAGCAAAGAAAAAGGGCTCGACTGAGCCGCCTTTAATCTGTAATTTGACAGGCCCCGACGCCAGATGTATATCACAGGTTGCCTTTGCCTCGACCCGATCTACTGTTCGGATTGATGACTCGTTCCTACGTTCTGTTTCCTCCAATCGCATTCAGCCCCTCCGAGGTTCAGCCGCCGCAATGGAGGAAGACTCGTCAGCCGCGGCCTCATTCCTACCTCGCATTTTCCGCCGGGTAGGCTATCAGTCCCAGAACACCTCTGAAGGTGGTCTCGTCGATTATTGGGGTTACGCTGCCCGCGTGGTCCCTTGCACCAACGACCCCGGAACATGCGAGTACTTCGAGTCTGTGTACGGCGGCCATGAGCGCGGCATGCTCTACACCGGCATCATCTGGGCCACCCTCGGCGGAATCCTGCTCGTCTGGGCCATTGGCCGCCATGTTTGGGCACCTCAGCGTGCTGGAGAGGCTAGCGCTGCATCTCTCGCCACTTCATCATCCGATACAGAAAAGAGGGCGGACGAGAAGAGCCCGAAACCCCACGGAGGCAGTCTGAATCGTCTTGCACGCGCCTTCTCAGTAGCTACGCGTCGCTACACCCTCCCCGAGTCCATACGCTTCATCTTCGGTCGCACGACGCGTCTGCAGGTCCTGATCCTGGCTCTCTTGACAATCTACCTGGCCATCTTTTCGTTCATCGGCATCTGGTACAAGGACTGGATCACCCCCGTAAAGGGCTATGACAACCTTTATCAGAGACGTTCCTGGTTGGGCGCATGGTCTGATAGGGTCGGCGTACTGGCTTACGCCCTCACGCCTTTTTCTGTCATGTTGGCATCGCGCGAATCGATCCTTTCGCTGCTGACCGGCGTACCATACCAAAGCTTCAACTTCTTGCATCGGTGGCTGGGATGGATCATTGCTGTTCAAGCTCTCGCGCACACTATCGGCTGGACGATCATCGAGAGCGTCTTTTATCAACCTCAACCCAAGGTGGCCGATAAGTGGATCAAGCAGCTATACATGATCTGGGGTTGTGTTGCCAGTATTCTACTCCTTATCATCGTCGTTCTCGCAACCCCCTGGGGAATCCGCCTCACTGGATACGAGTTCTTCCGCAAGAGCCATTATGTTCTCGCCATGGTCTACATCGGCGCCTGCTGGGGACATTGGGAACCCTTGAAGGTCTTCAGTAAGCACCCACCTCATTGTTCGATCCCTCTTAAAGATTCTAAGCTAATGACAACTGTGCAGTGGTCCCCGGCTTGGCCATCTGGCTCGTCGACCGCGCCGCACGCCTGATGCGTTCCTTCCTCATCCACTACCAATACCTCCCCGACGGCTCTATGGGATTCCGAACTGCCCAGGCCGACATGTCCATCTTCCCCGACGATAAGTACGGTGACCTCGTTCGCCTCGACTTCACCCATCCCCACGACGTCTGGAAGCCCGGTCAGCACTTTTACCTATGCTTCGCCAAGTCTAGTGTATGGCAATCACACCCATTCACACCGCTCAACCTCCCTATCGAACGCAAGGGCACCGTTGAGCACGCCTACATATTCCGCGCGAAGAAAGGAGAGACTCGGAAGATTGCCCAGATGGCTGCTGCTTCTGGAGCTCCTACCAGCACACCTGTCATCCTCCAGGGTCCGTACGGTGAAGACCATACCCTTCATCTCACCCCAGATATCAACGTCTTGTGCGTCGCCGGCGGTACTGGCATTACCTATGTTCTCCCTACCCTTCACTGGCTTGTTCGCCAGCCGCCTAGCCCCAATCGCCGGATCGCCCTCCACTGGGCCATTCGCCTCCGCCAGGACATCGAATGGGTTCGCGCGGAGCTAGATCTGCTGACGGCCGCCAAAGCACACGGCATTAGCATCACGATTTACGTGACCCGCGAGGAAATTGATGTCACGTCATCGGGCAAGCAGATCGGAAAGAAGGGCATCGAAAGCCGGACCGATCCCGCCCCCTCATCGTCAAGCCAAAGCGGCAGCAGCCATTCAGGCGGCCCCGGGGAAGTCTTTGAAGTCTGCGGCGGTGGTGGTCACCCGAGTATGGCAAATATTGTCCCGAATTTCTTGTCCAGCAATGTTCGAGGCCGAACGTCTGTCTTCGCCAGCGGACCTGGGGCCATGATCTCCGACCTCAGAGGCGTGGTTGCTGGGGCAAACTCCGGTGGTCAGGTTTGGAGGGGTAACGAGATGGCTGATGTTGAGCTGATCTGCGATAATAGATTAGAGTGGTAGACTTCGCGGTCGGAACGTGAGTGTATGTATGAATGGATGTGAACAGATTAGACACAATATACCCCTTGGCCTCTTATTCTGCGCCCTTCTGCTTGGACTCAAATTACTTGCGTACGAAGCATAGCATTGGAGCTTTCAATTTCTACCCACTACACAAAAGAAGGAAACCCAGTGAAATCGCTTCTCTGGGATGTTTACATGCGGTCATAGTGATCTGTGAGAAGTTTTCCGACAAACTCCTTCCCACCCATTGAGCGATCAGCCAACTGACGCGAGACACGGTCTTCGGGTTTGATCACGTATTCCGGGATCATGAGATTTCCCTTCCTCCACTCATACAAGTACTGAACCTGTCCGCCTCCCGATCTGTTCAATTTCTTAGATCTCGTGAAGTCCTTGAGCGATCCTGGGTTGTACGATTTGAGGTGATCGTGGCGATAGAAGACGGAGGGATGGATCGCTTCGTTGGTCTCACCGAAGTCGTTCCCAGCATCGTCCTTTCTGTACTCACCCGGCGTTCTGTTTGCCAGGAAGAAGCCCGTAGGTGCGAGATTCACAATGGCTGAACTGTCCATAATGATTGGCCCTAGAGCCCACTTATCATTACCTTCGTCCGTCTTGAGAATGCCAGCGTAGTTCAATGCCTGTCGAGTCAGTTGCAGGGCTGAGTTGATGCTGAGGCCCTGGAGCTGTCTTGAAAACTCGATAAGCTTTCCACGAGAGGCAATTTCGCGGTCGGCAAGAGTCGACAGTGTCTTCTGGTCGCCATTGTCGTCCCTTGGCTCGTCGTCAAGCTTAAGGAATGGACTGATTTGGTCACACATCCAGGTGAAGGAGATCAGCGCCAGTTCTAAGGTCTGTTAGTTAGCGGGTCTGTCACAAAGTCGACGCAGGCTCATTATGTATACTTACGCTCACAGTCAAAGGGGGCCCCAAGAAGAATGCCCGGGTTGCCACCTCCAATGTTGATATGGCTACCTGGGAACCAAACCTGTTGCAGAGTTGGTTGGTCGTCCTTGAGTTGGTCGGACATCTCCCTTCGAATCAACGCTTTCCACGCGGCGGAAATTTGGTCTTCCATGGCACCGTCTGTCAGGAGCCTTCTGAAGTCCTTTGCGAGATCTTCTTTTGACCGATCATCAGAGCAGTTGGTACATTGCTCTCCATCAAGAGGAAGACGCCAAAGCGTGGGGGTAAAAGCTGTCTTATGTTCGTCGAGAGCTAAAGCATGATAGGCATGCTTTATGTCTGTGGAAACGGAACGACCATCAGTAAGACGAATGAAGATATTTGAAGACGCGAGAGTTGTGCAGAAAATGGCATTACTTACATCTGCTCAAGGACGGATTGTGGAAGCCAAGACCGTCGATACCAAGAAAAGGAGCTCGCCTGGCAACTTCATTCATCAAGCCTCGAGTCCAAGACATGTACGCAATACCCAAAGCACCAACGGTATCGAACACGCCGACAACTTGGACCACTCTGGTGAATTCGGGGGGGAGAGTATGCGGCACTTGCTCCCATTGGTCCTGGGATTCATTTGGACTTTGAAGCAGATGCTCCAATCCCTTCTTCCTTTTGCCGGTAATCCACTGCCGGTACGCCTTAGACTGACGAAAATTGAAGCTGTCGTTGTGACTGTGATTTTGATACAAGCGGTACAGGTCCGGGAAGTCGTCCAGTTCATGCGGGTGAATGATACCGATATCCGTAATAAGGCCAGCTACCGCTCGAGCAGTGTAGGCCCCTCGTGAGAAACCAAAGCAGAAGATTTCATCATGAGGAGAGTAGTTTGTGACGATGAAGTGGTATGCCTTGATGACGTCGGACACGAGTCCGTTACCAAAGGTGGCCTGACGCCCTCGTTCAAGGATGTTCACGCCGTCACCAGTGCCGACACCTGCACTGTAGAAGACAACTTGCTGGCAAACATGATCCTCTTCCTCGCCACTGCTATTAGTCTTTCGCATACGCCCGGTTCGAGCAAAGGCGCGTGCAAGTCGAGTGACGTTTGATGGAATATTCTTCTGGCCAGTCACTGATGACTGCCAGGTACCATCACAGCAGATGATAATACGCTTAGGTGGTGACTCTTTATCGTTGACCGAGGCAACTGATTGGCGTTTCACCTGTGATTGATCCAAGTGTTCGAGAGACTGGGGGATTGCATTGTCCGAACCCGGAGCCTGAGTCAAAGGAACGGTCTGCAAGGTAAACCTCGAAGGTCGCTCGACGAAAGATCGCCAGAGGGTTGACGAGCTGGTGCTCAACGACGACATGACTGATTGCTTTGGAGTAAAAATACCTGAAATGAAGCGGCGTGGTTGGAAGGACGCAGTTTGTTTGGGGATGCATTGATTGCGAGATTTATGTAGGAAGGAAAGGAAGGACCAAGCCTGCTTCTTCCGTCGTTACTGTCTAATCGGGCTCAGTTAAAGTTTGATTCTTGTCTCGGTACCAAATTCCAGGCGACGCGCCTTCCAGAGCTGAGCTGAACCAGCGACGCCCCTGAGACCTGCGAGAACAGTTTCATCGCCGCTTTCCTTTTAATGAATATCGGCAAATGTCACCGAGCAACAGACATCGGAATGCGTCTGTGAACTTTTGTATCATCACAGACCAAGCATCTCGAGTTGGGCTTCAGGAATGTATCGGCCTCGCCGTCCCGACACGTGCCAGGACCGAGACACATAGCTAGCAAAAAGGTCTGATCATCGCTAGCTAGATAAGATAAAAAGACATGACGGTGAAACCTAGAGCCCTGCAATCAGTATGGTGTTGGGTTACTTGGCATGCATTTCAAGTCAAACCTCGTGATTGTGTCTGGTCGGCCTCGAACATGGAATGAGAGGTCTGGATTGTGTGGATTGCATTCACTTTCGCAAGTGATGATTCTAGGTATTCGTATTATTTCTCTATCAGCTTCATTACACGATATAGGCAACACCACTTTGACTTTCTCAATGATACTATGGTGCCTGCTCACGACTTTAAGAGACTTTATACTTCAGTCCTATTCATACGTTGAGCGAAGTTGTCATGTTTTAATGATCGTAAACCTCCAAGATTCATGAAGTAAGCCATGTTGACGTATTCAAGATCCCGGAGATTCAAACTAAGAGGCGTTGTTCATCGTGATTTGTCAGTTACCAGTAAGTTCATTATGTTCTAATTGGGACATGGCGTGGGCTGGGGGTGCAATTGCTCCTTCTTTAGGCATACAGTTCCGGACATCCCAAAGTTGGAATTCAATAATAACGACGAGACTAAGCACCCTCCCTGGTCATAAGTGATTGTCTGGGGGTGGAAAATTAGGGTTTCCCATCATGCGAGCGTCTGTCTGGCTCTGGAGGAGAACACAAGTGAATGCATAGCCAGAACCCTGGAGATGAGATCCATATTTGACTAGGCACCACCAAAGCTGTGCCTACGTCCCTAATAACATAATTACTAGCATTTGCCTCGGAAAACTGTACCCAGTCTCAATTTCCTTGAGATGAGCATCGCAATTACTGCTGCTAACATGAATCCGCCAGCAAAGATCCAGGTTCCCTGGAACTCCTTTTGAATTGCTTCCGTGGAATCTGCGCCTTCACGACGATTTTGTGCAGCACCTCCAATGGGATTACCTATCAAAGCCCCAAGGCTTGCAATTGTGTATCCCATGCCCATCCTCGTTCCATACTCAGAGAGGTCGTCGGTCAAATTGGCAATTGTCGCAGGTGGCAGCGAGACCATGCCGCCAGAGATGAAGCCGTATGCAATTGAAATGACAATGAGGCCAGGCAGCGAGTGCGCAAATCGAAAGAGGAACAGAACGATTGCGGATCCGATGCAGCAGGGAATCATGACCGTCATGCCGCCGTACTTGTCAGCCAGCCAGTTCGGTGCTAGACGGCCGAGTAAGCTGGCTGCGTTCATGGCGCTCAGGATGTAGTATGAAGTGTTCGGGTCGACTCCAAGTCGAATAGCATATGCATCAATGAAGAAGAAAGGCACGTATACGGAACCGATCATGAGTGCGAATGCTAAAGATCATTAGTTCTCGCTCAAGCTCGAAGCACAATGACATCAACTTACCAATGCAGAACATGACATATGGAGTATCTCGAAAATGTTTCAGTCGAAAGAGAGCGCCGCGGCGCTTGTGGTTGGGTCTCAGCCTGAGAATGGCAATGCAAACAAGCAAGCTGCCAGTAACAATGAAGGCAAAGACCCTGACAGCCCAAGCAAACCCAATGGCGGGAATCAACTTTCTCTCGATGATTGGGTATATGATACCAGCTGATTGATGTTAGCCTGGAACTCTTGGGTATGGAGCTGGTAACTCACCAAGACTACTTCCAGTCGCGGCAATACCCGTCGCCACCATGCGTTTGCGCTGGAAGTACAGAGGTATGATCGCAACAGATGTAAGGCCGAGGAGACCACTGCCTGAACCAACGCAAAATGCTTGCGCAAGCAGGATCTGCCAATATTCCGTGCATAGACTAAGCATGAATAATCCCAGCGAGGTAAGAGCCGTTCCGCATATGAGGATAAACTTCAAATAGCCGGCGTCCAGAAGCCATCCAGCACAGACGCCAATCAACATCATGAGGAAAATTTGGATCGAGCCGATCCATGCCACCTTGGATGGGTCATCATCTGGGAGCAGTTCAGTCGTGTAATATGCCTGGAACACCCCAAAAGAGTTGGACAGGCCCCTGGAACATGAATGTGTCAGCTAATTGCATTCATCGACAGTGATTCGAAAGTTTCTCGCGATAAAATTTTGAAGTCACTCACCAAGTATTCGCGAATAAGATCCAACAACCCAAAACCTGAAGCCAGGCAATGGTGCCGTGGTCCATCGGCAGATCATGACCTTCGGCTTGCACCGGCTCTTCCTCCGGGACTGGAGAAGAGACGGAACTCGGAGTCTTCTCTGTAACGGACATGGCGGAGCGAGAGCCAGCGGATTCGCCGGTTGCACGATAAGTGTAAGAAAAGCGAGAACAGCAGTTGTCGGTTGCGAGGAGGGAAAGCCTGTGTGAGCATTTTCAAGAAACGACGATGGCCCCCAACCTCTTCGGTCTTTTGTTGGTGCTCATCCTGTCCGCTCGGCAACTGCCCAGAAGAGCATAGATCGTGCTCACAAGGATTTTCTGCAGGCGGATGGTTCTCGAGTCGCGTTCCGTCTGGAGCAAATTCTCCTCTCAGCATCCTCTTTTATGTATCCACTTCAGCACATTTGCAAAAGTTCTCATGGATGAAACAATCGTAAGGTAGCAAATGATAAATCCCATCACGAATGCCATGTAGTGGATTCACGCAAGGATTAACAACCCTGTCAAGGGTCATCCAAGAAGACCCTGCAGCTAGACCGCACTGCTGCAGGGTAAGCTACAGTTTGAAATTAGCTTGCATAGAATCCGTACTTCCAGGCCTGTTCCCCTGCTTTCTGGGTATTGATAGGCTATACCTGTTAGCGTAGATCTGTTGGGACCGATGAGTCCAATCATTTTTTTGGTGACCGGAGACGAATCCCGCAAAGTCTAGGTTCCTGCGCTTAACAGATATTTTACGAGATTTTTCCCGGGGTCCCCAGACCGCGCTTCCTGTCTCGGAGCGGTGTCCGTCTTTGGAGAAAGCATGCACACCTGAGAACATTCACATCAGCACAAAACGTTCGAGAGTGACCCGAATACTACACGATGAAAGGAGAAACTTTTGTTGATCATCCGTGACACTATGTCTGATAGGACTAAGAGCAGAGTACATATGTGTGATCCAAGGTCTAAAGGAGTCTAGTGTCCTCCAGCGCTCTTCTTCCCGAAGCCAACGGCGACAGATTTGCTACAGGGAACCCGAGCTTGTCTCCGTTAAACTGCGTATCCTCCGGGAGCCCCAGCTGCTTATTGCTCCAAACTGGAGCTTCAAGGCCGGTGGTCTCCCACCCCTCAGCCACGTGGCCATGTTCGTCCTTCGCCCACTCATCCAGCCTCCTCAGCTCAAGCCTGTCCCAAATATTGATCAAAGCATTGATGAGATTGTCTTGGTGTTCCAGCGTATGCGAAGCTGTCGGGGAAATGCGGAGGCGCTCCTGTCCAACAGGGACACTAGGGCTGTTGATGGGCTGAACATAGATGCCATACTCATCGAAGAGAATGTCCGCAGCGATCTTGCAGCGTTCAGCGTCTCCTACCATCACAGGGACAATGTGGGAGGTGTTTGGTAAGACAGGAATACCGTGCTTGAGCAAGCGCTGCTTGACGAAGCGGGTGTTGCGCTGAAGCTGGATCCTGTCCTGGGGGTTTTGTCCCTGGAACTTGATTGCGGCCTCGGCTCCAGCCATGGTCGCGGGAGGGGCCGCGGTGGTGAAGATGAAGCCTCGTGACAACGAACGGATCATGTCAACGAGGTCGCTTGAACCAGCGACATACCCTCCCATAGTACCAAAGCCTTTGCCCAAAGCGCCGGTGACAATGTCGATACGAGAAAGCACCGTGCCTTCGTAGTCGCCCGAGCTGTGGGCCTCAAAGTCCAGATGCTCTGAGACCCCGGCACCGTGGGGCCCGTAAAGGCCAACAGCATGCACCTCATCCAGGAACGTGATTGCGCCATATCTCTCAGCGAGGTCACAAATTTCAGTGATGGGCGCAACCGTGCCGCACATGGAGTAGATCGACTCAAAGCAGATGATCTTGGGCACTCCCGGAGGAATAGCCGCAAGTTTACGCTCGAGGTCATCAAGGTCGTTATGTCTCCAAACAAGTTTGTTGGCTCCAGAATGGCGAATACCCTCGATGATAGAGGAGTGGTTGGACGCATCCGAAAGAAAAACGCAACCGGGGAGCTGTTGTCCAAGGACAGTGAGGGCAGAGTCGTTGGCAACATAACCGGAGCTGAAGTACAAAGCCGACTCCTTTCCGTGAAGTTTCGCGAGCGTGCGTTCCAACGACACTGCAAAGCGGTTGTGACCAGAAATGTTGCGAGATCCGCCAGAGCAAGCTCCGTAGCGGTCGAGAACGGCATGCATAGTCTTCAAGACTTCAGGATTGCCACCCATACCCAGCTTCCATAAGAGTCAGCTAACCAATCTGGATCTGTACAAGGTACAAGGCGGGAGGGTACTCACATAATCGTTGGTGCACCATACGTTGATCTTCTTCCCTTCTTCAGTGGAGTGGGCAAGAGGAAACTCGTGCGCCAGACGATTCACATTCCGGAAGTAACGGTAGGACTTGTCTTCCTTCTTGGTCTTGATGACTTCAGCGTATCGATCTTCATATGGAAACCGAGCGTTGTTGGAAATGCCTAGTGGGATTTCCACGTTTGCCACAGAAGCTGTCGTGCGTCAGAAGAATGCCCATCGCTTTACTTGGGGCTGAGGACACGGGACGTACCTAAGGGCCGCGACTTGTGTGTTTGCACGTTGGCAGAACGAGCAAGTGCCCGTCCGCCTTTGCCAAGCATTCTCGAAGACATAATAGTGTGTACGTGGACTTAGATGGAATTGGCTTTCGAAAACGAATATTTGACGGTCACCTTCAGACGTGGTGGGAACTTCGTTCTTATACGGAATTCCACTTCATCTTGGCGGCGGCTTTCACGAACTTGGGAAACCCCAGTCAGAGTGTGTTCGTCAAGTCAATCGCCTTGGTGGTACATTCACACGCTGCTTTCTGACGAGTTCGTACCATGCATGTATTGTGTGTTAGCCGAAGGGGAGTTGACGTGAACTCCTTCTGACAAACCCGCATTGCTAATAATCTCACGATGACTGCTCATGCTGTAAGAGTATCGCACAGTCTCCACCTCAGCGCTTCGCGGGCAGCTTTTGGATCTAGGGCGGTCTGAAGGTCAGGAGCAATGGTCAGGGTAGACGGGCATCCTCGGCCAAGAAGAGAGCTCGTGAAGTCCCATTGGATTGTCATGTTCGCTACTTACTGGCTCAACGCAATGAAACATCGAGTAAGCTAAATTCTCACCTCCTGCAACGGACTTTGAAGCTTCACGATGTTCGCCATTTTGTCTATGGAGACCGCAAAAGCAAGATGCTAGTTATGTGACGTGTCAACCAATGTCCCATGTTGAAGACCCTGCATCTAGGTTGCTCAGTTTCCGATGAAGGATTCTGCAATGTGACACCAAATTTATATTGCATTGGACAACTTTACTGTAGTATTGAAGGCGGAGCGGAGCGCAGATTACATGGCTGACGGTGTATGCGTCTGGCCAAGAGCTAGCCTTAGCTGGGCATTTCTGGTAAATATTCGGGTTCGTCGAATCCAATGAAGCATGGCCATCAATAGGCTCTACACACATGTGATCGAGGCGAGGTCTCCTTCTTCCAACTACAACTCCCTGAAGCAGAGGACTTCGTGATGACACAAGTGACGAAATGCAGCCACGCACATACATCTGAAGTGCTCGTGGGTCTTTGCCCGCAGGACGAACCTTGCCTCTGTGGAGATGAGATGCAGTCATGCGGAGAGAAACATCCCAGATGCCATAAGCCGCTCAGGGTCTTGTCAGGGTCCTGATTCCTGAACTGCTTCAGTCATGTCTATCAAGTTCCACGGACTTTGGTCCAGCCTGGCCGTTTAGCTCTGGCTAGGGTCCATGAATAATGGGCATACAGACTTGCTCATAATAGGAAGGACTTTGGATTTTTACAACTAGGTGACTAAAGCCGCATGTAAGCTTCGGCTTCTTTTCCTATTTTTTCTTCCAATCGAAATCTTGTCTGAATGCCCATTCTGTCTCAGCCAGACGTCTTGGAGCCTACTGCTTCATGGCCTCCAGTGGAATATGTCTTGTACAATTGTACAACGAGAATTCACTTTGCTGGTGCCCTGGCTGTTTCAAAAAAAAAAAAAAAAAAAGGGAAAAAAAAAAAAGAGGAAAAAGCCCAATTTGATGACACGTAAGCTTCTTTGAAAACACCATGTATATCAGTAGAATAGCATTTATTTCACTTGACATCTGCAAATTGCGCCCTCAAAGTCGATTTGGAGGGCGTGAAGGCGACTAGGGTACTGCATGAACACTTCGAACGTCGCCGGCTGCGGAGCGGTCCGGATCCTGTAACCCATGCTAGCGTTGCGGCGCAAAAGGGGAACAGGGTCTTGGGCGGGCAGGGTTATGAGCTCACTTTTGAACTGCATCACGACTCTTACTTTCGGGGTCCGTGTGGATATCGCATTGGCAAGGGCGAATACATCCGGTCCTATCACAGCCAAAGATCCTTCAGACGTCTGAAGCCCCGATGGCTGGGCGGGCAAATGCCTGGTATATCTAGAGATCTAGACGCAGCGATTCTCAACATGGGTCCCACCCTACGCCGCCTCTGGTTACATCGACACCTCCTTATTATGCCTGCTGACCTTGGTGGTTTTGAACGAGTAGTGGGATTGGTTACTGAATGCCCTGGGCGCCCACCAGACCTGGGCTTTGCTCTCAAGTCTGTCAGCCATGCTCTTGGACCACTTCGAGCGATAAATTCAAATGCTGTGGTTCCCAGCGGTCGTGGCAGATCGCTCCAGTTTGGTGACATATTGAAAGTATTATGCAGTTTCAACCTGTGAGTTGATGAAATTTGTCACCGAAAACTGACATCAAGATTACATTCCCAACATTCCCCACTCTAACATGCTTAATCAAGCCTTGAAGTTAGTTCAAGACATATGTGCCGGTAGGCAGGATGATACAAAAATAGGGGTCAAGTTCTATTGGACTTATATTCACCATCCTTCCTGCATTTGACAAATCTCGCTGGCACGTCCGCATTCCGCCTCTCGACTTACATGACAGTGCAAAGAGACCTGAGATACTCGGGCACTTCGACGCCCACTTTTTCAGACTGTATCCTCAGCGGATGTTCCATGGAGTTTTTCCAATACATGAAGTTGCTCGCCAACTGGTAATGATACTTGAACTGATCGACAGCAATTTCCTTCAGGCGCTTGTCTTCCCCTTCCATGATGAGTTTTGACAGTTTAAGACGCTTGGTTGTCAGAAGATCCTTCCGATTGGCGCCCTTGTAGTAAAAGTCAAAAGAGGGACTCTTTTCCTCAAAGAGCTGCTTCTCAATGCCGACAAAGACGACGTGGAGCCACCATATAAGGATCGGGAAGTTTACGGCAGAGTAGCCCCGTTGGCCACAAATGTCATTCCACAAATCCATCTTGGCAACTTCCAAGTCTTCCAAAATTGTCTCCAACTTGTTGAAGGCCTTCTTCGTAAGCTCCTCGCCGGCGGTCTTGGCCGCAAAATCAGGTCTGAGCAAGTGCATGGCTTCCATCATCCGCGTGAAACCCAGCTTGACTGGGATTTCGTTTCCTTGCCAGTCATCACGCCAACCCTCGTGATTGACATGCTGGACTAGTTCCGTATGCTCGAAATCCCATCGCTTGCCGTAGACGTCATAATAGATTGGTGTTCGGCTTAATCGCATTGAGGTAATGGCCGACGCGGGCTCGAGCTCATTGTCGGGTATTTTGCTCGGGTCCCAACCTGCCTCTTGGTACAGCATCAAGTGTGATACCTTTTTGAAGTCGATGTTCTCCCTGACTGGAAATACGCAGGGTATACCTCCGGCCAAAGTGGTAGATTTCGGCTGAGTTTTCCAGCGACTTGTATAGTCACGTTTGTAGCAATATTTTTCCCATATATCCAAGAGCGCCAAATGACCATCAACGTCACCGGGAAAATTGCGGCCTGGAATAAACCGACTGGGCCAAACTGCATGTGGCCATAGCCCCGTCATGAGGCGGTTGGCAGGTATCCCAGCGTAACCCTTGTCTTTGAAAAGATCTTGTTGAGACAAGAGGCACTCAATGTGTGTCGTTAGCACTGGCTCGGGCATAATGTCCAGTAGCCTCATGCCAGTGCAGTATGCGACCTGAAGTGCTTCGACCAAAGAAACGCCGCATGAATACGGTGAAAATTCCCACACCCCATCTGATTGAGGACTTGGAAGTCGAGGTGGTGGAATACCTGGCTTGTCGCAGTCTAGATCAGACCAGCCTAGGCGCTCTTTGAGGAAGTCGGTGGTTTGGTCGAGGATGTGGTAGATGTATTCGTAGTGTTCGGGCATCATGTTGGTGTAATGCTTGGTCACCCCCTTCAAGTCATCGGAACCCTGAAGATACCCCCCGTAAGACTCATTCTGGTCTCGATGGGAGCGATGGATATCGTTGGGTGCGTTTGGATCCGGACCCAGGAAGTGTTCCACATCTCGCATTGGGTAGAAATCGGGATCAGGGGCCTCCAAACGATGAGTTCCATGTACGCACAACGACCAACCGCGGTATACGGTGGTAGCGTCGATGATACATTGCAACTGGAAGACGATGTGTGGAGGGATCTTGCGGCGGGCATCTGTGCCTGTCTTCTGAGAGACAAGATCGGTGACAAACCATGCCAGATCGGTGAGGCCAAGAAGCTTTCGCAATTGTCCGGTCGGCCCGCTCGGAGACCAGTCCACGGCTTCAGAGAAACATTTGTCGCCTCTCTCCTGATGCTCCAATGCGGAATACTGGTTGACTAAATCGTACAGCCAGTTGATCGTGAAGGATCGACGCCATTTGATCCTTTCCTCCTTAGTTGCCGATTTAAGATCAAAGTCTGGGTTCCACTTGCCGAGCCAGGCCCGCATTGCTTTTGTTGGCCGGCAGCTGCGACTTTTCTGAAAGTCTTCGACGAAGTCTACCAAGTCGTTATAAGAGTATAAAAGCAGTTGCTCCCTTACGTCAATTTGACAATCGGGGCATTTCTTCTTGGACGAGCGTGCGGCCTTCTCATCGGACAACTTCTGCAGTTGATCGGTGTTGCCCCTGTTGAGTGCAAGAACGATGCTTTCGAAGCAGTTGTGTTTGGGGAAGTCGGCAAACATCTCCAACTCGGTCTTCTTGATTTTGGCGAGGGCAACATTGGAAACCCCTCCAGCAATTGCGCTGTTGAACTTTTCGTAGGCAACGTCATGCCAAAGATCCTGGATGTAGTTTCGGGTCTGAGACCACTCTGCCTTGAACGCCAAGGCAGCCATGGTGAAACTCGTCATGAGACTATCATCCTCTTCAAGCAGACGGTAGCTGTCGAGAGGTGTCTCCTCCATGACCTCTCTCGGTCTCTTTGGTGCCTTGGGAGTCTTGCGCGCCGGCTTGCCCTTCTTGCTCTTGCCTTTCTTCCCTTTGCTGGATTTTTTCTTTGCGGACTTGGTTTCTACAACCTCCACTTCAGCTTCAGAATCTTCCTCGGAGACTTCTTCTGAGGGCTTATCATCGGGGCGCTCGGTGGACTCTCCGTGAGTGAGACTCAGAGTAGCGAATTTGTTGCTAAAGACGACACCCTTCATCTCCTCGATCTGTTCAGCTTCCGCGTTGGTAGGCTTTGTCGCTATGTTGTTAGCCTCCATCTGTTTATCCCACCAAGCCATGCCACCCAAAATTTGGAAGATTTCGATGAGTGAGTCGATGAAGTGTCTGTGCATCTTGTTGCTCTTCTCCATGTGTTCGTCAGGGAACATTGACACATAGTCTGTAAATGCAGCATAGTGGCTTCGTCTTGCTCGCACGATTGAGAGAAGCCGACGAAAGATGCTGCCAGACACCGGCGCGCCATTCTCGGCGATGAGTTTCGCCATGCCCACTAAGCCGGCAACATTCGTTTCTCCGGACGGACTCACTCCGGCCGGGAGCGACGCATCGCCGTCGGTGCCGCCTCGTGACGCGAGAATGAATCTGGTCGTCTTCATCATCCATTGGATGAGCTCTCTCGTGTCTTGCTTGTATCCGACATAGGAGTCACGCGTCGCGATAGTCACCTCAGTCGGGCCCTCCTGACGCGTACGGGTAGCCATGGTGATGGGTATCTAGACTTCGTCAGTGAGTTGTGCCTTCAGAAATCCAACGACTAGCAGTTGCCGCACCGATGACGCTTCTTTTGTTTAACAAGATTTGCGGAAATGTTCTTTGAATGGTTGTTGAGCCTGGTTGGAAAAGGTGTGCCAGGCTCAACGACTGGGCCCTGAGTTGAAGCGGGATCGGCCGTCGGAGTCGAGGGCCAGCCAGCCACCAGCGTCAGAGTTGAGCAATTGCTTAAGCAAGTCTAGCGGATAGAGCTGACCCGAATGCCGTTCAACAGCCGGCATCCAGAAACGTCAGGGGAGTGCCAGTTTCCAACTCCCCACGATTTTTCCCAGTTGATCCCGGTCAAAGACAATGGAACGCATCATCAATGGCCCTAAAAAAGGCGTCCTTGAGGGTGGAGCAACATCGGGCTACCCATGATGTGGCAGTGCGTGTGGCTAAATATGCCGAATGCGGCTTTAAAGCAGGCCTGCCGGTTCCCTACACTTCCTCTACCTTAATAATAGCTCAAATAATTGTAATGCGTTGAAATTTTTGATGAATTGAAATTTTCTTCCAACAGCGAGGCTCTTGTACATCTAGTTCGAGATTTCGTGCGACAGCTCTGGTTCTAGACGTCAAGGGTCGCTAGATCTGATTTGTAATACTGCAAATAAACACACTAGAAGTAAAGCACACAATCTCATTCACACGCACCCAAAAGCGAATTAATACATAGATATTGAAACTTAATCACACCAAGCGGCTCTAATCATGTCTTGAAATTCGAAGAGGGGTCATGACTTAAGCTCCTGCTATCCCATTTTTCAGGTACTGTTCTTATGTTGCCGTCGGAATCCCATAAGAACTAGCCAAAGATAAAGATAATCATTTAGATGTGACAGTTATGAAAAGACGTTGCATACAACTGCTTCTTTGTGCTCACTTTCTTACGTTGAGCTGACGCGCGATGTCACACGAACCAGCCTGCAGTGGTAATTGATCAATTGAATGATCTCAACTATGTTACCCGTTTGGTTTATTGCGTGGCTTACGCTTCGCGCAGCTCTTGCATCTACCCAGCATAAAAAGCAGTATAATATGAGGTATTAATAGCATCTCTGACCCATGCTAGTACGCGGTATTGTATGACAGTAAGCAGAATCTCTGCAGCCTCAACTATGTTACATGTAGCAGAAAAACAGCTGTTCTCCATCAAGTTCTAGACCAAGGAAAACTGCATTGATAGAACGACGTATCATGATATATCATATCGATGTTACAAAGTCGCCCCCACCGTCAAAAAATTTGAGGGCAGGCAGGATTTCAATGCAGTGCCAAGAAGGGAGTCTGGAGAAGGAAAAAAGCCAGACGTGTACTCATAATGATTTAGTAGGGAATTGGCAAAATTCATCCACTCAGAGATTTATTGCTCAGCTCACAACTCGTGCTGGATATGGGAATTCGATGATCATTGAAGTTCGCAGACTGAATGTTGTCTCTATCCATGATTGCATGATCATGATTCATTAAAACCAATAGGCGGGCTTGACTCTGCTGAATGTCTCTTACCGAAGAAGATGCCAGTCTGCCTCGGCGACTAAGAACATTGAGGATCAGGTTTCCTCTCCCTTACTTCTGTGGTTTCTTTTCTTCGCATATTAAGGGGTGTCCATCTCCAACACCTTTCATCTTGTCGTTGGAACTAATCGATGCTGGGCATCGAGTCTTGGCGGCCCCCAAAGCTGAGATATTGATCGTGTGGCGGCGTAGTTGTCGTTGGTCCTGCATAATCCAAACCCCATGATTGACACAGCCGACAGCAATACACCCGATTCACCCGAAGACCTTGAGGGATACACCCGTTGACCCCATTCTCACTTACCATATGCCCGCGGTTAAGCCGTTGGTCGATGTCCATCGTCAAAGAGCCTTTACCGGCGTTTCTTGCTGACCTTTGTTTTTTTGGGACCCACCCCCTGTGCATGCATGCAACGGCGCATTCGCTTGGTGCCTGCGAACTTTCTTTTGCTTTTTGGCGGTCGAAAAGTTGGATTCCAAGCTAGCCATTTCCCAACGGAGTGGGCCCCGTCAATCTACCAAAGTTCAATTTCTGCTTCCTTGTCGAGGATGACTGTATTCTCGTCGTTGTGTCAGATGACAAGCGTGATTGGACAGCTTACGCGATACGGCGAGAACCAGGTGTTTGGGAGGGCTGCGCCCATCCCGAGTGGCGGTTGATAAAGTGTGGGCATCGGGTCGAAAGTGCAATATATAAGCCACGGATCTTGTCAGTATTCTTCTCAAATTTAAGAGAAGGATCGTGCACTCGGATTCTTGGGATCTACTTCGTAATCATTTCTCCAGCCATGTTACCGTTCGTAATAGCTTCCTTGGCCTCTCTGGCACTCGCTGAGAGCACTCCATGGCCATCATTTGGCAACTGGACAGAGAATGCTGGTGGCTACGACTACATCCTTTCCGGACCTGCGAAGCTCGGGAAGAAGACCGACTTCGAGTTGGACAGATGCCGATACGTCTGGGACCTTATCAACGACCGGACACATTGCACCAAGAACCCACCACCTTCCGAGGCAGAGGAGTGCATGAACAAGCTGTACGAACGGAAGACGGCCATCGGGGACCAGGGCTTCCTCGACATCTTCGAGCGGGACATCATAGAAGCCCGCCAGTTCTGGTACGAAATCAACGACAAATCGGACCTCGACCAGCCCGAGACCTGGAATGCGGTCGAGGCCCGCGCCGTAGTCTCCCTTCCCAACGTCACCGCTTGGGCCTTCTCTGCGTGGTCGTCGTCCCCGCAAGCCGATGCGGCTAACAACCGCGCCAACGCGGAGCACTACTTCAAGCACTCCGACTTCACCACCGGCAGCGGCGTCTCCCGGATCCTCGAGGGCTGGGGCGGCACGATCACCAACTTCACCATACCCAACTACAGCCCTGCCCTGTGCGCGGAGAGACTCATGGTCCGTCCTCTGCCCGAGTTCCTGGTCAAGGCCTGCGGGGACAAGAACTTGGTGGACGGCAAGGACACCAACTTCGGGGTGCTGAACATCGCGGCGCGCGACGTGGATGGCGCGGAGTTTGGTCAGTACGGGACGAGGGGAATCGACATTTACGCGTCGATCTGGTACGGAAACGCCGTTTCGGAGGAGCATCTTGAGGCTGAGCGGCAGCACGTCATCATCGAGATTGTCAACATGAGTCTGGAGGCCCAAAAGGACATCGAGACCGGGGCGTTTGTCGTTCCTGCGCCCCCGACTTCCTAGAATGGACGTGATATCGGAATCAGAGCATGTAATTGGTCAGCGGATGGTTCGATGTTTTCTTGGAGCTTTGTTGAGGCAATCAGGCGGTTTCTTCTTTCTGTACAAACGTCATGAGCGATAGAGTGCTTACCTGCTACTCACATAGAAGTTCGATTGGACGAACGGCAGTTGGAACATAATGGCATTGTTGTATTATGCATCCGGGAAATCCGATATCCCTGGTGTTATTCTTGGCAGGATGTGTGTTGGTTGCGACGCCGATTCGTTGATTTACGGGTCTTGAAGTAACGCTTTCTTCGTTTTCCATTTGTCAATGTCCGATTGTTGAAGATGGACAAATCAAAAGGCGTGATTCCAACGCAGAGGACTTCCTTTTTCAGTGTCGGTTCCGGGGTATAGATTCGTTTATTAAGTGGGCTTTCAACGGCTCTCATCCATGACCAGCTCCGGGTACGTGGCGGTCGTCAAGAAAGACCATGACAGTGGTAACAAGATGGTCTGAAAACCGGCTGTAAGAACCCTGCATGCATTGACTGATCGCGATCGGAATTGCTGACACCCAATCCGGGGCTGGACGACATACCGTAACAGGTCATTGGCGCCCGATGTTATCATTAGCGTGGTCGTCAGCGTTATAGCTGCAAGAAACCTGTATACTGTGAGTCTGAAGCACCGTCAGAAAAAAGCGAGTCCGCGGCAGTGAAGACGACGTGGCTGGCCGGGTCCGCTTATTGGAAGCCGGGCTTCGGCCTCGGAACCGGAGAGATCTGCTGCAAAGCCCGAGAAAGTTTCATAGCGCCGTGTCTCCGCCCGGGACGTCGTGTCGGAATGGAGCTGGTCCGGGGACCGTTATCAGCCCCGAAACCTTTTACGAAGCGGGTATAACACTCGGAGAAAACTCCGGCATATAGCGGTAAGTTACGGCGCGACTTGACAAGTAGGCCATACGTCCCAACCGGGATAGCAAATCGTAACCAATAGAAGTTGACGGAGGGACATAATCTCATGTTACACCGATGAGATTGGGGCGGAACGACGCTAGATCACATGCTGCCTCGCCGGGTTCTGCGCGAAGCCGCATGCAGAGCAACGGTCCGCGGAAGGTGTTGTGCTGCTCTGCGGGTTGGAGGCTGTTCGGTACTTGCAAAGGTCCAGGCCGGGAGATTGAAGGCTATCAGCAATGAACGTCTGCCAACTTAGTGTTCGGCTATGGGTGTCTAGGGCGACTGCCATGGTTTGCTGCCTGCGAGAAGCTCTAGCTCAGCTTCATGCTTGCAGATGCAGGCTGGAATCATGCACACGATCATGTGTAAGGTAGGAGGATATAGATAAAACATGTGATTGAAGTCGTGGTAGTTGTAGTGTAGAGCAAGAAGATGGGGTGTCCAGGTAAAGGATGTAAGGGCCGGGGTTGGGAAAGCGGGTTGGAGATGGGCCCACCTGGTCGGACCCGACCCCGGCCTGTCACACAAGCGATCGGAAGCCGGGCCTTTAATAGTCCGTCGTTGCTGGGTCAGGCCCGGTCAGCTATTTTCGCAGTGGAAAATCATCGCCAGCTGCCATCGCATGTGAAGTCAACACATCGAGGAGCTTAATCTCTTTGTTTTCCTGTCACGCCGAAGGCCAAACAGAACCTCGACGACCACCCAGACACTCCTTTCACAGCTCTCATTTTCTTTCGTGCGAGTCCCAGTGCTTTCCCCGTCATCGAAGCAGATCGAATCCCCGACACCGTCCTCCACCTCGACAGCCGGCTTTGTCGACCCTCGAGGCAGCGACGCCTTAAATCACACAATGGCGCCTCTCATCCTCCACAACGTTCCCGATGAGGAACTCTACATAGGCGACGACGGCATTAAACGCCCCTACGCCATGGTGTTCCCACAGTACGTCCCTCCCTCGACGCGACGAAACCCAGCCTCGACGAGGTCCGCCCGCAACAAGAGCGCAATGACATCCAGCTAACATGACCACTTCCTCCCACAGACAAGACGGCCTCCCCGGCGCCAGATCCCGCCGCGGCGCTCCAGAGACAGGCTCCTTCGGCAAGTCCACCCGCCGCTCGCGCTCCCGCACCGGCACCCCAGCCCGCCGCGAGAACCCGACCGTCGCCGCCGCCGACAAGATCTTCGGCGACTGGATCTCCTCCCAAGCAATCACCACCAACCTCAACACAGCCGCCAACGCCGCCTCGACAGCACCAGGCGCCGCCGCCGCCGCCGCCGCGTCCTCCTCCGCGGTCACCCAACAACGCAAGACCTCGGGCCTCTCACAACCGCCCCTCCTGGCCTCCGACGAAGCCCCCGTCGCCTCCTCCGGCCCCCGCCAGGCCCGCCGCGAGCCCACCGAAGTCGTCCTCCGCGGCTACCGCTCCCAGGCGCAGCAGTACGCCGCCATCTCCCACTTCGAGCAGCTCGCAGGCCTCATCTGCGAGGACTACCCCCGCGAGCCGCCCCTCGAGCAGCGCCGGTACAAGTCGGAGCTGCGCGACCCGGCCTTCACCCGCCGCCGCGCCCTCACGCCCGAAGAGCGCGCAAAGGTCAACCGCGCATACGGCGGGGAGCACTGGGTCAAGGTCACGTTCGAGTCCGCCGAGGCCGCGGACGCCGCCGTCTACGCCAGCCCCCAGCGCGTGAACGGATACCTCGTCTACGCCGAGCCCTTCAACGGTTACCCGCCCGCCCGCGACGAGGCCGTCCCGGACGTCGACTCCCTCGTGCCCACGCAAGACGAGCACCACCGCTCCAAGTCCGTCCCCGCAAGCAGCTTCGGCAACCACGCGACCCCCCGCCAGCGCCACACGAAGACGACGAACAACAACCCCTTCTCCTCCGCCGCAAACGCCCGCTCCATGTCCGACCTCTCCCCGCCGACGTCCCTCACCTCCTCCAACACGATCGAGACCGCCACCATCTCCAACACCTCCTCCATGACCGTGACCATGACCGACGCGCCCCCTCTCGACGAGTCCCTCTTCTCCTCCCAACAACAACAACAACAGCCCCTCCTCCGGACCGAGACGGACAGCCTCTTCTGCCGGCGCATCCCCACCGCGCGCCGGGCGAAGCTCCTCCCCGCCGAGCAGGCCCTGCTCCCGCAGCAGAGCTACGCCCAGCGCCTCGTCAACGCGGTCCCGTTCCTCAAGTGGTTCAGCGGCTCCATGATAGGAAACGAGGTGCCGCGCACCGACTCGGGCGACTTCGACTGGAACCGCGCCAGCCTGTACTGGAAGGTCATCTGGTGGCTTGACGCCACGTTCGGCCTGTTCGGCGGCGAGATCCTGAGCGCCGACAAGGACGACTGAAGAGGGAGAGAGAGAGGTTTTGCCGTGCGCTTTGGGGGAGTTTCTTTTTTCCCTAGACATGAAATAAAGGGTGTGGTTGGGTTCTCAAAGGAGGGGAGGGTTTGGTGGGATGGCGTTTGGAGGAAAAGTTTCTTCGTCGTTTTTTTATTAATGGTCCATGAATACCACGCATCACCAGCTTCTAAGTGTCTTTTTTTCTTTCTTAGACGGATGGAACACTGGTTTGGAGAATGAAGTCTTCAGTAGGAGCGAAAGCTATTTGCACACAACACAGACACAGAGAGAAAGGATGGCAAAAAAACATTCTGTATGAACAATTATAAGACTATGCTGCGCCGAGGGTTCGTCCCTCATCCATAGACGCCTCTAAATGGGTATAACAAAGAATAATCATGACTTTCGCCGCCGTCGGATAACATCACAAACGCGCGCACGCGAGAGCGTCACGCGCTCTCATCTATACTCCACCTCCTCTCCGGCCTACCCCTATCTCCCGATTCGGTGACAATCTCTGGTGAATCATCCAACCCCCTCTCCAATATCGGCCGCGTCTCATCGCTGCTCGCCTGCTCGTCTCCCCACGGGTGCCGCCCCGTCACCGTATCCCTTTCGTCGTCGTCTTCCTCCTTCAGCACGTCGTGTTCCCTCTCCTCGATCTTATCGTCCGCCTGCTGCGACTCCTCGCTCAACCCGACCCCGAGGCTATCATACGTGACGTCCGTAGCGTGCCGCCTGATGGGCTGCGGCGAGAACGGCCGCACCCCCCTCGACCGGTTGAAGTTGGTCTCGGAGAAGATGCTGTCCGCGTCGTTGTCGTACTCCCCGAGCCCGGGCGACGCGACGGCCGCCAGACTCTGGTACCGGTCCGTGTCGCTCATCAGGCTGTCCCCCCTCGCGTGGCCGTGGCCCCCGGACCTCGTCACGTCCGACGCCGCGTCCGCGAGGATGCTCTTGGGCGGGAGGATGCTGAACAGCTTCGCCGCCTCGGCCGACCCGCCGCCGCCGCCGTTCCCTAGCCCGATGCCGGTGTGGTGCATGTCCGCGACCTCGTCGCTCGCGAACAGGTCGGCCCCCTTCTCGAGCAGCTCGTCCAGCCCGCCGCCGCTCCAGCCCTTCCGCGCGAGCGACTCGAAGATGTCGACCTCGGCGCGGACGAGGCTGCACGAGGCCTCGAGGATGCGCCCGCTCGTGTCCTGGCTCTCCCGCAACAGGGTCCTAGCGTGGTCGCCGTGGAGGGTCGTGAGGCCGTCGAGCTTGGTGGTGAGCTCGACGAGGTGTGCGCGGAACTTGCCGACGTCGCGGCGGCGCTGCTTGTGCAGCTTCAGGCCTTCCTTCTCGAGCCGCTGTATCTCCCTGCTGCGGGCCTTGACCTCCCTCACGTAGGCCTCCTCCTCGTCGTCGACGCGCTGGCGCCACTTGTCGAGCTCGTGGAGGAGGGGGACCTCGAAGTCGCGGTAGACGGTCTCGGAGAGGATCTGCTGGTGGTTGGCGACGAGGTGGTGGACGCCCGAGGCGGAGAGGAGGAGGTCGGCGGTGCAGGAGCCCCTGGGCCCGCCGGCGGTGAAGCTCGCGGAGAGGGGTGCGCCGACGCCGCCGCCGCCGCCGGAATTCGAGCCGGAGCCCGTCAGGCTCTCGGCGCGGGCCTCTTTCAGGCGGGCGCAGGACTCGAGGGCGGAGCCGAAGGCGGAGGCGGCGGTGGAGAGAGAAGCGAGGGCGACGCGGTAGGCTTTCGCGGTGTGGAGGAGGTCGGAGTAGGCGGTCTGGGACTGCTCGAGGTCGGGCTTTGTGAGGACGGCGTGGACGGGCCGCGGGGGCGGCGGGAGGGGGAGGTGGAAGGAGGAGAGCGGGTTCGCGGTCGAGGCGAGGGAGTAGACGGGGGAGTTCGGGATCGGAGGGAGCTGCGAGGGCGTCGGGGTGGCCGGGCGGTTGTCGGGTTCTGCGGAGCCGTTGCCGGCTGCTGCTGCTGTTGAGCTTGCCATCTTTTCTTCTTTTTGTGGTGGTGGTGGAGAGTCTCCCGGTCGGAGGTGAATCCCGCGAGACTTCGGTTGTTCGGGGGAGTGCGTGTGCGTGGTTTGTGTGTAGCTGTGTGTGTGTGTTTACTATGGCAACGCTGCGGGGAGAGTCTCTTGTGTTTTGTTTCGTTTCGTTTGTTTATCAGATGGTGTTGGTCGAGGTCATCGTCGTGGAAAGAACGTTATGGAAGATGGGGTCGATTACCAGCAGAGCCTTCCAGAGGAGTGATGAGCAACGTTTGTTCCCTCACTTGGAGAGAATAAAAAAGAAGAGGGAAGGACCAAAAAAAATTAGATCGCTGAAGATTGCTGCAAGATGCACCGCCATGCAAGCTTTCCATGGATGGCACCTTTGGGCTCGGGCGGTTGGGTGTGAGCATGTGGGCCAGAAGATAGGCTTGCGCATGGTGTCGGGACGGGGGCCCTTGTGATTCGGGGGACGGGAGGCGGCTTCTTGACCGCTGACCTACCTCAGTGCCTAGGCAGGTAGGTAGCCGTTACCCGGATCCAATTGGGGGGCCTTGCAGTAGGTGGTTGCGTGCTGCAGCGCCACATTGTAGCGATAAGACCCCCGGGCCCTGACAGACATCACTTTGTTAGCGTCATTGACGGTCACCGAATGGTTTTACTACCTAGGTCAGTATTAGAGAGAGCTTGGGGAGGTTGGAGAAGGCATGGTATCCTGTAGTTGGAGTCGTTTATGGGACACAATAGTGACGAGGTGAGGGGTTCTGATGGGGTTTCGATGTGTTGTCCTGTGGAGATGAGTGTTGTCGGTCTTCTGCATCGTATTCCTTTCCTGCAATGCCAAAAATGAGATGTGAGAAGGTCCAATGAGGCGATGAAAATAGATATTCAGTGCATTAGTCTTTCAAGATGTAAGATCGCAGGAACAACATCTCCGGGCTGTTGCAAGAAAGCTCTTCGACAAGTTGTCTTTCTGTGTATGCTCCCATCACTGATAAAACTCGCGCTCATGTATGGTCGTGTCACAGGTCTGATTATCGACTCTATCGTGTCTAGCCATCCAGCAGCAGCTCTTCTCTAGCGACTCGTGTCATTTTATCGCGAGAACCCTCCTCCAATCTCTATTCTCGGCCCTACTTCTCGGTAGGCGGCAACCTCTTCGACAAGAACGCCTCAACATCATCCAGCTCCTCCAGGCAGGCAGAGTGACCCATTCCCCTACAAACCAACTCAGTCAGCAACTCTCACCCTTTCCAAAAAAAACCCTCTCAACCTTGACAAAGACCACAAATGTAGGGAAAACTCACGGGTAAAGCGTCCTCGAAACATCATACCCCAACTTCTTCAACGCCTCCATGGTCAACGCGCCCAGCTCGGGCCTGACGAGCGGGTCCGCGTCGCCGTGGCCCAGGAACACGGGCGTGGCCTGGTTCGCCTTCGCCTCGGGCACGAAGCTCGCGAACTTGTCGCTCAGCAGCAGCCAGCACGACAGGCCCACGATGCCGGCGATCTTGTGCTGCCCCGTGAGGCCCGAGAAGATGGCCATGGCGCCGCCCTGGCTGAAGCCGCCGAGGACGATGCGGTCGGCGGGGATGCCCGCGTCCACCTCGGCCTGCACGAGGCCGTGGAAGTACTCGTTGGAGGCCAGGATGCCGGCCTGGTCCTCGGACTCGCGGAGGGACTCGACGGTGCCGTCGAGGGTTTTCTGCGCGAGGAGGGCGGACGGTGTCAGACGGGACGGCGACGGGGGGATGTTGTGGCGGTCTAGGATGGAGGCGCGACTTACTATGTCGAACCAACCCGGCATGCGCATGCCCATGTTCTGGTTTGGTTGTCAGCGTCAGAAGTTCGTCTTCGTCCAAGTCTCATAACCTCATACGGCGGGCGAACTGAGCTTAGCGTTGACGAGGGTGAACTCACACAGGTGATGGGGATCTGAGGCGCGTGGGGCAGCACGAACTTAACCTCGTCGAGCCTCTGCCTCCGCCTCCAGTTCTCGACGGCGCTGGCCCAGCCCATGCCCGTGTCGCCGAGGCCGTGGGCGAAGATGAAGGTCGCCGTGTGCTTGCCCGCGGCCGGGATGACCAGCGGGGCCTGGCGGGCGATGGACGACATGTCGGGGTCTGTGGGGAGTGAGCCGAAGAGGGAGTCTTGTGCGACCGCGGCTAGAGGAGCGTGCGATTCGGGATCGGGGGAAGGAGCGGCCGATTGTGCGTGAGATTCGGTGAGTTGCGTGAGGCTGGAGATGACGATGAGTGCTGTTGTGATGAACCCTTGGAGTGAGTACATGAGCTTGTTAGGGAGTGAGTGCCCGGGTGAGATGTCCACGGTGGTTTTTTTTCCCAGCTCCGTTCCGAGGATGCGGGTGGGCCTGGCCGTCCGGATCGGCGTGCAGATCCGTCTGGAACGCACTGTGGGGCTGACCAGAGACTCAACTGTTACCTTACGCTTGTAAGACTCGGATCAGTGTCGTAGTTTATTCAAAGGCAGCGGAAGGGGGCCGAGATTGGGTATGTTGTTGATGGTGATGTTCTTGGAGGGAAAAGAACAAACCTGACACTGCTAAGATATACCCCATGCCTACGTTCCACCAGTCACGAAGTGCCTTAGAATAGGGAGGCGCCTTCAAATAGGTAGGTACACATGACAACAATTCGAGAATCGGGGAAAGAGCCCGTTACTCAAGACATACGGGTTTGAATCTTACATTTCCATCTCGGGGTTGATTTCTCACATTACAGTCACCAACAGAGCCTCCAACGCCAGCTGGGTATCATACCATCAGTGGGTAAGTTCCCCATCCTCGACGATCCCACCGCCAAAACAAACCCGTCATCCGATCTACCGTACCTCCCGCCGCTAAAAAACACCATCCCAGTGGACCATCCCGCGCGCGACGAAAACCACCCCGCCCCCGGCCCCTCCGTTCCGTGGCCGGTCGACGAACTCATAATAAACCACCGGTCTCACATCGCGAAGGCAAAACTAACCACATCAAATTCTCTTCACTACCTTTTTCCCCTCGGGCGACATACAGTCTCACCATGGCCCGTCTAAACCCAATATTCCTCCTCTCGTCAACAATCGCCCTACTAGCCTACATCCTCTCCCCGACCCTCCGCTCATACCTCTCAACCCTCACAACGACACTTTCAAAATCGTCAACCATGGACCCCTCAACATCACCAAAACCAAAGAAACCGCGGATGCCAGTCTACTTCTTCTCCCACGGCGGCGTAAGCTTCCCCCCTCTAGCCTCATCGCATCCAAATCCCACCTAACAAACACCGCAGCCCGACGTGATGTACAACAAAGCCCACCCGGTCTACCCGACCCTGCAACACATCGGCTCCGAAATCACCTCCCTGAACCCGACCGCCGTCCTCGTCTTCTCCGCCCACTGGCAGGCCCCCTCCCGCTCCGAGATCCACGTCAACGCCGCCCCCGGCGAGGCCCCGCTCATCTACGACTTCTCCGGCTTCCCCCTGCACTACTACTCCGCCGCCTACCCGAACGTCGGCTCCCCGCAGCTCGCCGCCCGCGTGTGCTCGCTGCTCTCCGCGCACGACATCCCCTGCTCGCCCAAGGAGCGGGGCCTCGACCACGGCGTCTGGGCCGGCTTTCACGTGGCTTTCAACCCGGACGCGAACCCGTTGAACGTGCCCCTGGTCCAGGTCTCGCTGTTTCACTCCGAGGACCCGGACGCGCATTATCGGCTGGGCCGGGCCGTCTCTGCGTTGCGGGATGAGGGCGTCGTGATTATCGGTGCGGGCATGTCTGTTCACAATCTGTATGAGATGGGCGGCGGACCGGAGCCGATGCCTTATTCTGTCAGTTTTGACAATGCGCTGAAGGAGGCGGTCGAGAGCAAGGTCGAGGAGAGGCAGGAGAGGTTGGCGCAGATCTGCAGGAGGCCCGACGCCAAGCAGGCTCATCCGTGGATGGACCATCTCATGCCTCTTCACGTTGCTGCTGGTGCCGCGGGCGAAGACCTGGGCAAGCAGCTATGGACTATGCAAGAGGGAAGCTTTGCGTGGGCCCAATACCGCTTTGGGTCTGCTTCCAAGTCTTGAAGACGACGTCGTGTAAAAACACTGTATTGTCATTGAATCATCAGCTAATATCTGCATTGCCGTTTTGGCCATTACAACCCGCCATACACTGTTTGCAACTCTCAGCGTCTAAAGCAATAAGCATACATGCGTCATGTATTAGGGTACTGCCTTGCGGTACCATAACTGCTGCTTCTTTGGTATCAGCCCGCTGTCGCTAAGAATGTCCTCGTAACTGCCGCCCTCCTCCGGCCCTTTGGAATTCCCCAGAAGCACTACATCGCCACGCTTCCACCGTGAACGCTCATCACAAGAACACTCTCGATTCTTCGCTCCTGCCATGCAATCTACGCTTGCCACTGAGAAAATTATCAACCATCTGCTGACTGCCAAGCTTCTGAGCCCTCCAGTCTTCGGAGCTGGTGGTGTCTGAATAGTCTGCACTGTCGCTGGGATCTAAGAGACGGCGATCGCTCCTATTTTGCCATTTCTCCTCAGGCGAACCCCTTCCTATCTGGTCGCTGAGGAGCATGGGGCCAAACTGGCGCTCCACAGTCATGGCGAGCCCTGGACTGGAGAGCGATGGCTTGATACCGTTACGCAGACCAGCCCGTCTGACCAACTTCATAGGCGACCGTGTCTTCGGCTTTTGCTGGTTCTCGACTGGCTTGACCTCAGCCATGTTGTCCACGCTGCGCATCTTTCGCTTCGGCGACTTGATGGGAATGTTGCTCTGTGACATTCGCGTCTGAAGCAAAGGCATCGAAGGCACGGTTCTCAGCGAACTCCTTGGTGGAATCGGAGGAGGTCCGTACATCCCGCGGACGCGACTCGATACCCGACCATCGGAATAGGGAACCGTATTCTCATCTCTGCTAGAAGTTGAAAGCTTCGCTTGAGCTCCGCCTTCAGCACGGCTTGCAGACGAGAACTGGCGGTTGTGACTCGTAGTGCGCAGTGGTGTGTGGTACCTGATGGGTCTCTCGAGACCAGTTGGTTTGTAGGATATGGGAGAATCATCGTCGATTTGTGCTCCCTCACGCACGTGTCCCGTTCTTGGCATGCTTGGTTTTGCGTATCGAACCTCGCTCAACCCTTTGGCGGCAGCCGGTGCGTGCAAATCAGCCTTGGATATGTTGGCGGATAAGTACGTCTTCCACTCCACAGAGCTTGCATACGAGGCTGTTCGCGTGTGATCTGTTGGCATGGTCGGTGTGTATACCAACGGGGCTCGCGGCGCATTGTAAGAGCCGGATCTCTCATGACGTTTGCTGGAGATGGTGTTCGTGTCCGTATCGCGCTCAACCGGGAGATTTGAGTCGAAGCTCTTAGAGTATGTCAGACGTGAATGTTTCCCCGATGAGCTGTTGCTTGGACGCCGTGATCGAAGCGAACCAGTCACGATCTTAGCCAATGCTGGAGGATTGCCCTTCGGCGAGAGGTATTGGTCCGAGTAGATGCTCTCCGAGTAGGCGACACGTGGATCTTCGACGGAAAGACTTGGATGGCGCCTTGTGCTAACCAGGTCCAAGTTCAGAGTTGACAGCGTCGGCGACCGAATTTGTGTCGAGACCTCAGAAGTTTCCTGCATCGACTTTTGCAGGGCTCGACGATATGGGCTTGTGGTGCGGAATAGGTGGCACGTAGGGCTCCCGAAAAAGGCGGACCTTCGAGTCGACAAAGCCTTGGGAGCAGTTGGAACGTCCTTAGTCGATTCCGATGCCACAGTTGGCTCATTCTCCTTCTCATCACCTGCGGTAGGTGCTGGGTACGCTTTATATAGCGTGCTGCCGGATTCAGATCGCTGGGGGCGGTGAATCACGCTTCCTGTAGTCGATGCGTTCTCGTCCTCCGTATCAGGAATGCCAGTTTCAGGGATTTTTTCTGGCCGACTGTCCTGGAAAACGTCGTCCTCTGGCTGTACGCATCTGATCGTCCCAAAATCGTCGACACTGGCCTGTCTCAGGGCTTGTCGTCGCAGATTCTCCTTCTCCTTTACCTCATTCAGCCGACCCATCAATGCCGAAAAGACTCTCTGGCTGTCTACTGCCGGGGCAGCGCCGGATCGTTCAAGCTTCTTTTCTGGAGACATCGCTTCGAACTCGAACGGATTGGTGCCGTTCAATGCAGGCCGACGGAAGGATGAGGATGAAACATGGGGCCCAATCTCTTTGATCACCGAAAGTCGCTGCCTATCCTTCTCTCCGTTCCAGGTAACTTGGCTGTTGAGGGTATATGTATCTGAATTTGTCCAACTGGTAACTCGCGACTTGTCGTCCGAGACCTTCCTTCCGCTGTCGATGCTTTCTATGCTGCCTTGGCGAGACCGAAGTTGTTGAGCTGAGGAGGCGTTGTGAAGTGAAGGCACACGTGAAGGTACTTGTGATATGGAGCATTCGTCCGCCACTGGATCACCGATTTCCATGTAGGCGTCGTCGTCTTCGGCGTCTCCGCCAGCTTCGGCGCCCCGGCCTCCATGTTCGTTGGAAGTGGTTGGAACCTCGTCTTCTTCCATCTCATCGTCCTTGCTACGACGAAAGAATGACTTCAACTTGGTCCGAAGCCCGTTGGAAACTTTGCGCGCCTTTTTGCGGAGAGAGCCACTCTGTTTGGGCACTACCAGGGTGTTCGTGGATGCGTTCCTCATAGAGTGGCGCATGCCCTCCATGTTGGAGGAAAATATCCCAGAAGACCGGCTCTTGAGATGCAGTTGGCCTTCGTCGTTGGCACTAGTCTTGCTGAATTTACCGCGCACATCCTTCCCCTTGGCGTGGTGATTTGCTCGAACACCCGGCTGCGTATTCATTGTGCCGGTTTTCAGGAAGCTCATGGACTTCGGGGCTCTCAGGCTCCGATGCTTCTTGGGCGACTTGGCGTCTTTGATATTCTGCAATGACTTGCGTCTCAATGCAGGCCTTGGGTTCTCTTGCTCAGGTGAGTTGCTGAAATAGTATTCGGCATCAGGCGTCTGGGCAGTGGGAGCAAACATGGACCTTGACTTGCGCAACTTCCCGCGAGAGGAAGAAACGGACGAACGCTCCTCTGTAGGTATATACGCCTCTACAGGCGGCAGAGACTCGATGTAGCTTGCGGTGTACGAGCTGACATAGGGAGCGGTACCCGCCTTGGACTGATTTGGGCTGTTTTGCTGGTTCTCGACGCGGCCGAGAACACTTCGACGGCGCACAACACCGGCATCTGGTTTCTGAGTAGGCTTGGCGAACCGTACGCTCTTCTGACGCCGTAGTCCGTTCTCATCATACTTGCCGTCCGCTGTCTCCGCTCCGTAGTAGTTCTCGGTATCTCCCGAGTACTCGGTTTGAGACCGATGAAGGGGATGACGAGACACAGAAGCAGAAGCAACCGTGCCAGGAGCAAGAGGCTGGCTAGAACGGGAGAAAGAGAGAGTAGCAGCGAGGTGAGCATCTCTGTCGGCGATGGCAGGATCGATATGCTCCAGCCTCTCTATGGCAGAACGGAACGAGCAGGTCGACTTGGTGGACTTTGACCTGCTCACGCCCGATACCGACTTATTGCTGTTATACCGGCGCATTTTGAGCGAATGCTCGATGACTCCCCCGTAGGCAGCCAAGGAAGAGAATAAGTAGGTAGGTTTAGAGGTGACGGATGGGATAGTAGAGAATTCAAATGAGGCTGCTGGTGGTTAATGTGCGAGGGTAGCTAACCAAAAGCGAGCCGCGAGAGCATTGGAAGGTCGAAGATGTTGTATGTTAGTTCATCGAGGTTGACTGGGAGAGAGTGGCGGGTAGATGTCATCAACCAGGCACTGCTATACGGCACGCCTGACCAGAACCAAGCATAAAGTCCATAATTGCTCTTTCCTCTGGGGCTGAGCGAACCTTCAAAAAAGAAGAGACGAGAATGGAAGGAACGTCCAACCAGTCCCATACCTCAGGCAGGAGAGGGGTCCGATCCCTGGTTTGGGCAGGCATGAAGTGGCGCTGGCAAAAGCCAGCTGTGTTGTCATTCCTTCCCGAGATGGAAAGCACAGCATTCCAGCAAGAGGGGACAATCAACACTAACTTCCTCACCACGCCAAGAGAGTAGTATAAACGGACCTCGCGGTGCAGGATTGAGGATGTAAAACCATATGTCGCCCAATGTCTTACGCAGATATATCTATGCAGCCTAATCAGGACTGGCGGCTATCTGTGAGAGACGGTGGACGTATGCCTGACGAGCTTACTCAGACACGGATACAAAGTTTTGACGTTAGTTTTTGGGAACCTTGACCGGTTACTAAGAGTTTGGATGGAGGGACCAACCTGAATCTGACTGACACATTTCGTCACAACATCACGAGCAGCTGGACTGGGCTCAATTACGGGTAAGGAGATTTGATTCGTGCTGTGAAATCTGTATGTTGCTATGAAGCGATGCATCCATCCTAACCCATCCTGCAATGTAACCCTATGCGTACACTGTCTTGACCCAAAAAACCGAAAAAGGAAAAAGAGAGGCTAGTCTAGCGCTCTATTAAACAACTCTCACAAGGCAGTCTCCTTGAGGAACTCCTTAAGCTCCTCGTCCACGAGCTCGTGGATCTTCTTGGCGAACTTCTCGGCCTTGTTGCCGACGTTCTTGGCACCCTTGACAACCTTGCCAGAGAGAACCTCGAAGTCCTCCTCAATGGCCTTCTCGAGGTCGTCAATGGTGACCTCCTTGGCCTGCTCAACCTTGTAGCTGCCAGCCTCGACGATGGCAGTGTAGTTGTTGCAGCCACCACCGTTCCAGGCGAGGACGTTGGGGGTGTCGCGGGGGATGTCGCTGAGGGCACCGACGGTTCCGACGGAGATCAGAGCCTTCTTGAGCTTCTCGGGGGTGATGGCAGCAACAGCGTACTCAGAGTCAGAAGCAGGCTGGAGAGAGAGGTAGTAGGCCAGGAGACCGCAGATGTGGGGAGAGGCCATGGAAGTGCCGGAGATGGTGTTGACGGCGTACTTGGAGCCAATCCAGGTGGACTTGATGTTGGTGCCGGGGGCGAAGATGTCAGTGCACTTGCCATAGTTGGAGAAGTAAGAGCGGCGGTCGCCGAGCTCGGTAGCGCCGACAGTGACGGCCTTCTCGGCAGCAGCGGGAGAGTAGTTGCAAGCGTCAGCGTTGTCGTTGCCAGCGGCGACGGCGAAGTGGATACCGGCGTCGACGGCAGCGTTCACAACAGCGTCGAGAGCCTGGGTCTTGCCACCACCAAGAGACATGTTGGCGACAGAGCCCTTGAAGCCCTTGCGCTTGCCATCCTTGGCGGCCTGAACCTGCTCGGTGTGAGAAGTGGCAGCCCACTCGACACCCTTGACGACGTCGGACATGGTACCGGAACCGTTGGAGCGGAGAACCTTGACAGCGTAGACATTGGCCTTCTTGGCGACACCGTACTTCTTACCGGCGATGGTGCCGGAGCAGTGAGTTCCGTGGCCGTTGCCATCGACATCCTGGTCGCCAGAGGGGATGGTCTTGCCCCACTTGGCACGACCCTCGAAGTCGACGTGGTCGACGTTGGTTCCAGTGTCAATCACGTAGGCGTCGACACCTTCGCCAGCATCAGAGGCGTAAAGGTACTTGTCGTAGGTACCGAAGCCCAGAGACTTGCGGTGGGAGACACGAGCCAGACCCCAAGGGGCCAGCTTCTCGAGCTCGCCGTCGCACTTGTCCTCAACCTGGGACTTGACGGGAACCTGGGTGTGGACAACCGAGTCGACCTCGATGAACTCAACCTGCAAGAGGACACGTTAGCGGTTGTTCAAACAAAGGCTTATTCAATGACCGAAGCTATCCGAACCGAGCTCGGTGATGTGACGCCAAGGTCCGGCCAGAGCGGTTGTGGGTCCCGGGTGTTTGGGCAGTGTATGGGACGAGGAGTCAGGGTCGTCAAACTTACGTCAGGGTGCCTGCGGATCTGCTCGATCGTCTCCTCGTCGAAGTGACCGGCGTAGCCCAAGAAGTCCTTGCCAATCTTGTAGGTGTGCTTCAAGCCGTGGAAGACATCACCGACCAGAGTCTCCTGGCCGCGCTTGCGCAGCTCGAGGCGCTCGTCCTGAGCGGAGGAGTGAATCTTCTGAACCCAGCTCTGGTGGTCCGAAGCGCCGGAGTCTGAGACGTGCTTCTTGAACTTGATGATGTATGAGTTGGGAACGGCCTCAGCGTTGGTGGAAGAGAGAACGGGAGCCATGCCGTCGTGGACGGTCTGGACGGAGAGGGATGGGGTGGCGCTGGCGACAGCGGCCAGGCCGGCCACGGCACCGATGAAGCCTCTCATGATGGCGAGGACGTTGCGGTAACGAGTCTAGAGTCTACCGGAGACGTTGAAACACAGATGATGAAGGAAAGATGGTTTGACTGGAAGCCGCCAGATAAACGACAAGTACGCGATGGGTTTGGGAGGATGGATGATCAATGGAGAGAGACGGGAGGGAGGGGATGAGAGAGAGATGGAGCAAGCGGATGGGGGGAGCTTCGGAGAGCGGATGCGGGTAGATATAAAGGGAAGGCAGCGACAGCGGTTGCGTGCGCACAGCTCCTGGTGAGGTAAGGACAAAGGCTGGCCGGGGGGGTCTGCAAGCGCAAGCCTGCCTACGGATACAAGGTTAGTGAGGTAAGGTACCTGTTGGGCAAGGTACCTTTCTGTTATCGGCCGGCCTCAGGAAGACTTTCGCGCGCCCCAGTGTGACGCAGCCAACCAAGATAAGAGCTAAAGGGTGGCTGACGGGTCCGAAACCGGCTTAGCGCGGCGGCGAGGGAGCCAATGGAATGACTCGATAGGGTTTCCTGGACAATGCGATAAGAGAGGGTCACGTTTGGGGTTTCCCTGGGAGAGTCTCCAGAGCACCTTGTTCGATACGGAAGGCTGTCTGGGATGGGAAAGTCCGGATGGGTGATAGCAAGGTACTTACTTCTTTCCCAAGGTTGACAGGACTCGACAGGATTGGCAGTCAGGAAGGAAGGCGCGTCCTCGGGGTTGCCTCCTTCTGCCAAACGGCCATGGAAGCTTCGTCTCAAGCTGTCTTTACCAGTCCGATGAACGGCTTTTTCTTTGACATTTATTCCATCTGAATCACCTCTTTCTTCCTACCTGACTTCTGGTTTCCCAACTGCTGCTTTCTTTCTTTTCCGGATATCTCGTCACACGACAAGAGGAGCTGTACCGCTGCAGAGTCGCGGTCAAAGCTCCGACGTCATACCCCAGGATACCAAGAGCCAAGGCTGTCGTGAAGTCAACGACGAAGCAAGGGTCGGCAAGACGGCCTTACGAGTACGCAGACAGCCCCGGAATCCTCTTCGACCCTTGACACTGACCAAGAAACCTGAGCTCAACGAGTTTGCTGCGATAGCTGTTTTGATTTCCCTCAGGCCAGCCGGAGCAAACAAGCAGCTGCTCCTCGCCAGCGACAGGCACCAACCAGCACTGCCTTCTCTTCTCCCTCAGGTTCGGACACCTGCTCGTCGCCGCGCCCATCAGCTCATGTACCACACTATCAGCTTACCTCCTGCATTCTTCACCCATTCTGTGAGAGCTCTCCCCTCCCAACCCACTCAGCACCCACACTGTCCGCACTCCTGCATAGCACTGCATGCGATAACGCGTAATGGGCGATTCACGGAGCGGAGAGCGAGGCAGATCTATCCGGAGGACCCTGAAGCTTAACAAGCGCTGCCATCCCGTCTTATCTCGACACTCGAAGCTTTCGTCGTTTCGTTGACCTGTGCTACCGACCAGTCACGGAAACAGAGGAGGACAGGGGAGCCGCATTGCCTGTCGTGTTCAGATCCCGTATCACCCTGTCACCGTCTTTTTCTCCTTCAATATTCCTTCCTGGGCCTGTTGGCCTGACCTCGGACGGCGGAGGACATGTCATCGACACCGACTGCGGTGCGAGTTGGCGAGCTACCCTGAGCTTATGCTGCAGCTGGCAGCCTACCACCCGCCCCATTGAGTAAGTAACTTGCTCAACAATGATGCGATCAACTGTAATAAGGTGTCGGGCTCCTGCTGGGTCTTACGGGGGGTGTTACCGGACCAGGATTGAACTCAAGGCGGAGGAACACAGGGCCTGGCAGCCACTGGAGTTCACGTTGCTCGTCTCACTTACCATACCGGTGAATGCTGGCAAGCGGCTGTTGCGCGGTGCTTTGGTGATAGCCAGGAGCCATCTCAAGGTACCTGTATCTTAACCGACCTTTGCCTCGGCGCTTCCCACAGCCTACAAAGTACACGACAAGCCAGGGCAAGCTCCAGACAAAAGGGCGAGCTGTCTGACTGGAACATGGAGGCGGGGAGGCGAGGCCCAGCACCAACGCTACGCTGATCCGAGCTAGCCTGGACGCCTGACCCACGGGTCAGATGGCACGTCCCCGTGTGGTGCCTGGCACGTGCCTCACTTTCCCCTGCCTTCCCGTCATCGGGGGCATTTTGGCGTGCCGGAGCTGCCTGAGCTGCCTGAGGGAGGTCCTTGGCTCGGAGCTTTGCTACGACGGGAGCGAGTGACTCTCCTCCATCTCTGGACTGGAGGACAAGAGCCGAGCGAAATCCGGGGTTGGAGTCATCCATCCAGGTTCTCGAATCGCGAGTCCTAAGTTTGCTTCGTCGCTCTTGGGAAAACACCGAAGAACGATTTTAACACCACCATGTCAGTATTCAACGACGAATAAACATTGTTTATCGCCCGCGGTCGTGCTGAGAAACGCCGTGGACTTGCGAGTCGTTGTCAATGCGAAAGCCGCAGCTCACCACACCACCTCGTCCCGCCCATCGCGATAATTGGGCCATTCGCGCCGACTAGACATTGACGCAGTCAGTACGCGTGTCGTTGTCCAAAAACCAGACACACCCAACCGACTCAACGCCGTCCGGTTCGCATCAACCAACACAGACTAGGTCTAGAGCCATCCCACGATACGGGCAACCATCGAATCACGAGGTTATTGCCGAAGCGCAATAGCTACCTGCGTGCCGTCAAACGTGACAACCATCGCTGAACACTCCTTCTTGCCCTTGGCGAGGGCCATGTCTCGGCGTCTGGGAGGAGGCAGACTGAAACCACCCACGCCGCCCAAGCTTCTTCCCAGATGCAGCAACTGTGCAAGTGTACCAACAGCAATGCGCTCCAAGTGCCAACAGCAAGATCCCCGATCCCCGAGCCGATGATCGCCCAAGCAACCCCCGGTCGACGGAGTCATGACACACAGGCAGTTGACCCGAACCTGTCTCTGTCGCTGCATCATTCCAGCTAGCGCTCAAGACGACAGGAGACAGTCAAACATCTACTGACTCAAAGAGCATCAAAGACTGATAGCGAATTGTCCACTGATTCGTGTTTCCTGCATTTCTAGCTTTTGGAGGGTTTCATGCACCAAAGAGGGTGTTCACTTGAATACTTCGACCGAGGTACAAGTACAGCTCACTCTCGCCATTCGCTCTCAGCCCAGGCAATGAAGACATTTGCGTCAGCTACCTAACCCCAGGCCAAGCAAAATATTTTCGCTATCGTCGGCGGATGGATGTAGTGTGCTCGAACGGGATGAAGCAGTCATGTTTCAAGGGATCCACAATGTTGCCTCCTAATAAGAACGGAAGTCATCCGTCTCTTTGTTCGCTCATATGCTATGGCTTAATGTCGACGACAAGGGAGGGAGCGTATTCTGCTCGGATTCTAGAATATTGCAAGTATTGAGGCCAGGCTTCAGACGGAGAAGACGGCCAACGTCCTCGCGTGCCATGGTTGTCTGTCGCAAGCTTATTGTAACGTGCTCAACCCACTCTCAAGTCGCAAATCAATTGTCAAAGCAGCTCCAGTTGTGCCATTAATAGCATAGAAAGGTGCGTCGTATCACCTTGGACACTGCGCTATGCGACGGGGACTGCGGACGTGGGCCAAAGCTGCTTCGGAGGCCCGGGTTCAGCGGCCCAGCGAGTGGCCCAGCTGAAGCTCTACCGGAGCGGCATGGAAGTCTCAGTGCACCGAAATCCTTCAGCACCCGCACCGCCACCATTCCTGCCCCACCACTGGCCAAGGCACCTGGTGAACGTAGGAGTCTGTAGCTCCCGTTCTGAAGAGGTAATCGAGGCTGGAGACAACTATGAGAATAGTAATAGCCACGATGTAGACAGAGCTAGAGAGGCTCGTGCAAAAGAGAAAATAAACGGGATAGTGACATTTGATGTTGGATGTGATTGTCTTACTTAATCCATATCTCCCCACGTCATTGGGCTGCTGGCGTCTGCCCCACTCTCCGCCGGCTTTGGCCAACGGCCAAGCCACACCGCGCAGCGCGGGCCTGGAGGCTGACACTCAGAAGGCAGGAGTAAACGGGAGCTGCTTCTTCGTGATAAGGCAACGCGAGGTTGAGGCGTTGTTCTCTGAACTACGAACACCCGATTGTTTCCATATCAGCACAGCTTTGCCAGTTTCTTATCAGCACGAAGCAACGGTCGCCGACCGCCTATTCGCACCGTCGTCGAGCCACGAGCTGCCTTACCCCCTACGACATCCTTCTTTCGATGCCGAACACCTCTGGCCGCTGCCTGGACCCTCGATGGGTGCTGGGAAATACGACTCTGGAATGAAATAATCACCGGCAGCGAACGAACCGAAAAAAATATACAGACATGGCGACGCTACAAGTTTCGAGGCGCTACCGCTCCTCGACCTCGGCGTCCTCGCACGCTACCTCCAAAGCTACCGAAATCCTTCGCGGCCTGCTCGACGGCCTGGCAAACGGCACCCGTCAACGACGATCCAGCGATGGCTACCCCGAATTTCCTGTGCTGCTTAAGAGTCTTCGCCAGATCCGCCAGCATATCGCAGCGACCGAACCGCCAAGCCCTCCCCAAGACGACTTTAGACACCTGCATGGCTTCGCTCACCTCCTCGACGTGCTGCGCTCTTTTTCAGGCTTTTATAATCCACAACGGCGGACCGATGAAGAGAAAGAAGGCCTGTTCAGCCTGTTAGAAGCGATTCTAGATGTTCTCGCGGCGGCATTCCTGGAGCACCCCGGCAACAAACGCTATTTCCGTCATAGAGTTGAAGGAGGTGGATGGGAAGCCCTCGAGCAGACTATCGCGAGCGTGGGACTTGGTGGGAGCGACTCGGACCTATGGACAAACTGTCAGATGTTCGGCAAATTGCTGGCGTTTGCGTTGGGAGACAAGAGGGTTGACGATCTATGCCAAGCCATCGCGAATACACCGAAAACGAAGGCAGACCCAGAAAGGGGGCCCGAAGACGATACGGAACAATCAGCAGCGACGACAACAACATCGACGTCCGAAGACACAAAAGACATTATCCAGGAAGTACGCGATATCGTCCAAAAGAAGGCTGTTTTCCGCAACCCCGAGATTTTGCGCGCCGTCGTGGGCTTCTGGGAGTCAATCCCAAGGGCGGAGGGTATGCCAGCCAACCCCTGTTCGATGGTCGCTCTCGAGGTCATGTCGAGTGTGGTCTCGATCTCCCTCTTCAACCTCGCTGCGCTTCATGCCACCGGAGTCCTCTCTCGCTTCCTCCGAGTACTGTTCGACCCTGTGCCGAGACTTGATCAGACCGAGAAGGACAAACTCCTCATTCTCTGCAAGAAGCTCATGTACTTGGGTGTCAACCAACCAGCAGATACCCAATTTTTGCTTGCAAATACTTCTCCAGAAGCATCGGAATTTTGCCTCGAGATGGCTTCGAGTTATACTGGACCTCCCTTCTTTCAATTCGACCTCTCACTTCATGGCCATTCATCCATCGAGCTACCGACCCTCGGCCGGTCATTTCCACCAAACTCATCCTCTGGCTACACCTTCACAGCATGGATTCGAGTCGACAGATACGACCCTGCAGCTCACACGACTATTTTTGGCGTCTTTGATGCCACCCAGACCTGCTTTCTTCTCATGTATCTCGAAAGGGATACCCACAACTTCATCCTGCAGACCTCTGTAACGTCTAGTAGGCCCAGTGTTAGGTTCAAGGGTATGGCGTTCAGAGAGAAGCAATGGTATCATATCGCTGTGGTTCACAGACGCCCAAAGACAATAACTGCAAGTAAGGCTTCTTTATACGTCAATGGCGAGTTTGTTGAGCAGATCAAGTGCTCATATCCTTCTGCACCGCCATTCACAAATGGCAGCACTGAAAGTTTTGCTTCTTTTGCTTCCACCAACGCAAAGCCTCATCCTGTTCAGGCGTTTCTGGGCACGCCAAGAGATCTCTCAAGCCAGCTTGGCGCGGGGTTGGTGTTCTCCAAATGGTCCCTTGCATCCGCGCATCTCTTTGAGGACGTCCTTAGTGACGATTTCCTGGCTGTTCATTATGGCCTCTCCCCAAAGTATCAGGGAAATTTCCAAGATAGCCTGGGCGGCTTCCAGACTTATGAGGCTTCCGCCTCGCTCGGCTTGAGAAATGAGGTCTTCCATCCTGGCCGAGATGAGAGTTCTGATATCATCAGAGCCATTCGAGACAAGGCTGGAAGCTTGCTGCCTGAGAATAAGATCTTGCTCAGCATTGCCCCAGCGGGTGTCTTCCGAGAAGATGGTGTTTACCAAGATACTCAGCTTTACCGCTCTCTGCCTCGCAACGCAGCTACGAACTTGATTCAGATGACACACAGAAGCGGTTCAGCCATAGCAGTCAACGCCGCTCTGCCGTGTCTTCTCGATGCTCTGGCGCGCCCTCAAGGCATCGCTATCTTGACAGGAAATCCGGTAGCCGCTATGCCCTCTTACTTTGACGATAACTTCTGGCGCCTTGCTGGTTTTACGCCGTTGGCTCTCAAGATCGTGGAACGCGCTACTACAGTCGAAGAAACCGTGCGTGCCGTGGAGATGACCTTCCTCTGCATCAGAAAGAGCTGGAGAAACAGTGAGGCAATGGAGCGCGACAACGGCTACGCCATTCTTGGCATGCTTCTCCGGGCCAAACTGGGCTATGTCGTTAATCTCGGCGCCGACAACGCCAACCTGCGGCTGCCTATTACCAATGAGGAGCGAGACCGGCTCAGCTTCCAAATTCTCAGTCTCATCCTCGACTTTGTCGGATACAAGCATGCTGAACCATTGGAATCCTTCATTGTAAATCCCCTGGCGTATCGCATCTTGCTCATCGACTTCGATACTTGGCGACGGTCAGCTCCCATCACCCAGGAGCTCTACTACAAACAGTTTGTGACATTCTCTGTCAAGAGCAAGTACCATCAGTTTAATAGCAGAAGGCTGATGCGCATGAGTATGTTTCCCTGGGCGGTGGTTTTGTAACAACAGTCGTCGCTGACGTGAACAGGAATTGTGAAGCGGCTGCTTGACGCCATGAAGGCGGAGTCCATTTCCGAGGATGTGCTGCCACACTTTATGAGCGCCCTGGAGCACCTCGTGAAGTGCAACTATACTGCGGAAGTTCATCGGGCTCTCGCACTCTTCATTACCTATGCTTATCATTCGCCCACTGCTTCCCTTGTCAGGACCCCTCGACCTGTCTCAGCAGCCAATCGATCCCCCACACGCGGCTTCGCAAGAAGGGCGACTTTCGACTCCAACAGCCCTTCAAACGCCTCCACTTCTCGCTTTCTCACGAAGAAGCAGCTGGGTGCAAAGATTCTGGGCATGTACTCTGACCTCTTGTGTGAGAAGGGCAACCGGGCCAATATCAGCAAGTTCGCGAGGACAGTAACCAATAAGGTGAGACCACCATCAGACGCAACCCAATTATCCTTATTGAGCATGGACCAGTGGTTGCTGTACCTCTTGGCGAGCGACGATCCCGAGACGGTGGTAAACGGCAGTAAGATATTGGCTCGACTTCTAATCACCCATGGCTCCGCGTACACGGCCAAATTCTCGGGTAAGACGGGAGGCTTCACGATCATGGCACACCGCCTAAAGCGCTGGTGGTATATCCCTTCGTTGTGGCCCATTTGCTTTTGCATCTTCTTTGGTTTTGATGTGGCGGAGGTTGACTTGGAGCGCAACTTTGAATTCTCCAGCTTGCTTGAGACGTTCGGGAAGTCCCGCATCGTCTACCCGGAGAGTCTCCAAGTGATGACATCGATGCTGCAGCATGGACTGAAGGATGTGATGAAGCATCAAGAGGACCCCAACTCACCGCAGAAGCCACAAAATCTGCAAGCAAGCGGATTCGAGGGACTGGAGACGCGGCCCAGGGCCAAGTCGATGGAGACCAGAGGCCTCGACTTGAGAGGTAATTGCCGTCCTATCCTGTGCACATTTGCGATGGAACTAACATGTCACAGAAAACGCCCAGCGAGACAGCGAGGTGGTAGCAAAGAATGCATCCATGCTTCGCACTGTCATCCGATTCATGGCCGACCTGCATTCCAACTCGCAAGAGTTCCGAGACTTCGCTCTCACATCCGAATACGTCAGGTACCTGCTGTGGGCGGCGTATCCCATTATCGTCAGTACCGATGCTGTCACTCCGGAAACGGAGCTCAACTCTCGCGACTCAGCCCTGACATTTGAGGGTGGCGACGTTATGATCCGACCTCTTGCTGGTTCTCACCCCGGCCCAATCGTTCGGACAACAAGCACGGATGCTATTGCCACCTTGGCAGGAAACCCACGAGGCACCCCTTTGCGGAAGGCATCTGGGTTCGTCCTTCTGACCAGCCAACAATCTCCTCAGGCCCCCAGCGCCGCGCGATTTGCACCGGTCATGTCACCAAAGAAGATGCTTGCTTCCCAGCAATCGAGCAGTGCTACTCTTGATAACCTACTGGACCTTGTCGTGAACGTCTTCATCGACCAGGTCTTCACCCGAAAAGAGTTCCCGGGCTTCGGCTTGTTCTTGAAGATTCCGCCCGGCTTCCAAGAACACCAGGCGTACTTCGAGTCGTATGTCCTTCGGAATACGCTCCAGCGCCTTGGATCGCACATTCAACCAAACCAAAAACCCCTCTGCGAACCAAAGATCTTGACGAATCTGGGCAGGCTCGCTGCCCACGTCACAGACTCAATCTTCGAGGGCTGGTTCATTAACGGTACAGAGCCCATGTTGGAGTTTGCGGGCATGCTACTGGAATATCTTCAGCGCCCTGACATCGCCAGCCTGAAGAGTGTGCGTCTGTGTAGCCAAGCTGTGACGACGATCCGCCAATGCTTTCTGAAGCTGCTGCTACTTCGCTTTTCCGAGCTCGATGACCCGGACTCGCATGACTCCAGCGCGAAGGAGTTCATGAGCAGGCTGCTATATTGGCAAGGACCCATATTAGCATGTCTCTCCAGCGAAGAAGACTACATGAAACTCTTTTGGTACCAGCTTTACACCAAACTTGTCGACTCCCGGGTCTCGATCCGAATTGCGGCTGTTAACATCATGCGCATAATGTTGGTCCAGAAGCCGGACGAAGCCAGGATTCTCTTCCGCCAATGTGTGCAGCCGGATCAGCAACACCTTACTAAGGACTTTGCTGTCAAGCTCACTGAAGTTGACGACGACACTTTCATCGAATGGGTCGACCAGCATCGTGCATCACTCGATGCCTTCTTCTACGGGGGCATCTCCAAAGCTTGGGAGGAATTCGTCGCCGTTGAAAATCAGAGGACTGTCGACTCGGCTAAGTTCCGTTTGGCAAAACGAAAGGATCGGTTGAAGTACTGGCAGACGGAGGCGCTTACTATGGACAACGTTCTTCTTCGACACGACATGGCGAACGGGGCCTGGATGAAGAGCATTTTCAACAGTGAACATTTCAAGCACCAGCGTCTTACACAAGACCAGCAAGACGACATGGCCTACCTTGCTGCGGCGTTTCTGAAGATGGACCTTGACCTTCGCCGACCTGGCGCTGTCTTTGCCGAGCAAGCTCAGTTGAAGTGGAAGCTTGACCGAACGGAAGGACGCAACCGCATGCGTCTCAGGCTTCTGCCAGACTATTCCAAGAAGCACACAGACTATCAGCCAAAGCGAAGGGCAGGGGAGGCGCCGTCGACGCCCGCTTCCCTCAAGGTCAACACGGACATGGCTCCGGCCCAGATTTCCCCGTCTCCCATTAAGGCAGGTACCCCAGCTTCATCCCAATTGCAGCTCGGCCTCGACGGCAGCAAAGAGAACGACGAATCGCCTCCAGATACCGAGCAGGAGGAAGAGGTTAATGAGTCGGGCGTCGGAACCGAAGATGATTTCGAGCTGGTTGACGATCCAAATGACGCCAACGAAGGCGACGACGGGTTCGAGGACAAGAATCGCAAGGTCATGAGGCGCCTGGAACAAGGTGATCAGGTCCAGGCGGTTTACAATGTCTCTCGTATCGTCGGTTTGGAGGCTTGCGAGGGCATCCTGATCATTGGAAAGGAGGCGCTTTACATCATGGACAACGTCTTCCAATGTGCCTCGGGAGAAATTGTCAATGCCTGGCAGGCTCCTCCAGAGGAGCGAGACCCCTTCTCTGAGATCATCACGGATGCCAAGACATCAGAGCAGCGCCAGAGCTCCAGTCGAAGCGAGCAAGAATCACGGAGCTGGAGGTGGTACGATGTTATCAGTATTTCCAAGCGCAGGTTCCTGTTCCGCGATGTGGCGATCGAGGTGTTCTTCACAGATGGCCGCAGTTATTTGCTGACGTCCATCAACCCGACGATCAGAGACGAAGTCTTCGGCAAGCTGATGAGCAAAGCGCCGCACACGAACGCAGCCAGCTCGCTTCCCAACCCCGAAGACGCTTGGCGACTGGAGGCACTCAAGGTCTCGGAGGAGCAGCCTCAAGGTTTTGGTTCCAAATTTGGCAGTATATTCAACTCATCGCCATGGAACCCCGCGATGAGGAAATGGCAGAAGGGCGAAATGTCCAACTTCCACTACCTCATGCTCGTCAACACAATGGCTGGTCGAACATTTAACGACCTCACGCAGTACCCTGTCTTCCCTTGGGTTCTAGCGGACTATACCAGCGAGGAGTTGAACTTGAGCGATCCAGCAACCTTCCGCGACCTCTCCAAGCCGATGGGTGCTCAAACCTCTGGTCGTGTTGGAGGCTTCAGAGAGTCTTACGAGGCTCTGGCCGAGATTGGCGAGACGCCATTTCACTATGGCACCCATTACTCATCTGCAATGATTGTGTCATCCTACCTCATTCGCTTGCCGCCCTTCGTTCAGTCCTACATCCTCCTCCAAGGAGGCTCCTTCGACCATGCCGACCGCCTCTTCCAGTCGATTCCTCACGCCTGGCAATCGGCTTCGTGCGACAACAAGGCTGACGTCAGGGAGTTGATTCCGGAGTTCTTCTGCCTGCCAGAGTTCCTGACGAACATCAATCAGTACAATTTTGGTAACCGTGAGAGCACGGGGGCCAAGGTCAATAACGTTGTCCTTCCTCCATGGGCCAAGGGCGATCCCAAGATCTTTATCGCCAAGCATCGGGAAGCGCTTGAGAGCCCCTACGTCAGCCAGCGCCTGCACAATTGGATTGATCTTGTCTTTGGACACAAGCAGAGAGGTGATGCTGCGGTTGACAATCTGAACGTCTTCCATCATCTCTCGTACCGCGGGGCAACGGACTTGGACAACATCAGCGATCCCCAGGAACGGCGGATCACTGCTGGCGTAATCCATAACTTTGGCCAAACGCCTCACCAGGTCTTCACTCGCCCGCACCCCGCTCGCGAATATGTCTCTTGCCCAATTAGACGTCTCGACAGCTCTGTCTACGCCCTCACCAGGCTGTCACACCCCCTACTCGGTAAGAGCCTCCACATCTCGATTGCATACTTCAGAATGATCATAGGCTAACCAAAACGAACAGAATCGCATGAAAGGGTTGCTTCCCTGATCTACTCTCCGAAGATCGACCGCCTCATCTGCGCGTCGCCATTCCGGCTGAACTTAGCACCTTACGACAAGTTCCTTGAGTGGGGATACGCTGATAATAGCATCCGGTTCTTCTTCAGTGACAATCGGAAGGTAAGAATACCATACAGCCCCGCTTCCGAGACTGCAACTGACACTTATCAGCCGGCTGGGCTTTTTGAAAACTTGCACATTGGGCAGCTTTCATCAGCCACATTTGCTGATTCCAAGACGCTCATCACGGCCGGAGAAGACTGCGTCATTTCTGTCTACGCTGTGCATACGGCTCCAGGAAAGGTCGTGGATCTGCTTCCTCGGTCGTCCCTATTCGGACACCGCACTCCAGTGACCAGCATAGCTGTGTCGAAATCCTTCAGTACCTTCGTCTCCGTGTCGACTGATGGCCAGGCCTTCCTCTGGGACTTGAACCGTTTGGAGTTCATCCGCAAGCTCCCACTGTCTCGAGCTGTCGAATGTGCCCGCATCAACGACGTGTCTGGAGAGATCATGCTCGGGTCCGGTCCCAATGTGGTGCTCTACACCATCAACGGCACCGTCATTCTTGACCAGAACGTCTGCACAGAACCGGACGACTACATCCACGCCTGTGCCTTTTACGAGGGCGCAGGAAACGAGTGGCTCGAGAACTGCCTCGTTTTCACGGGCCACAAGAGAGGCCGCGTCAATGTCTGGAAGAAGACCGTTGCGAAGAATGGCAAGTGGGTTCTGGAGCTGCTTCGACGGCTGGACCATGTGGATCCGCGCTCCGAAGTGGGCGCCAATTACGAGGCGGGCATTACATGCATCACACCCATGCCGCAGTGTGTCTACACCGGGGATGACGATGGAAGAGTGGTAAGTCGATATACGAATCCCCCCCCCCGCAACACCAGCAGCGGGAAGTCATGTGAGCTCTTGCTAACGATACCGCAGTACGAGTGGAACCTAGTTCAACGAGACAGATAGAGTCTGCCAGGCGACTGGGACATTGTCGTGGCTGACAACCACCATCACACCAGAAAAGTTAGTTGGTAAAGGGGAGGAGCATAGCGGTTTTACACGCGGGCAAGCATAGAATTGGCGTTTTTTTGTCTGATAGTCTCTGGCGATACCGTATAAATGAGACCGCATCGTTGAACATGCTTATCACTCCCACATGCTTATCAGTATCTTCGCCCATAATGGAACTCTGGATGGCAGGCGTGGTAGTGTACAGCGTGAGCCTTGCGTGAATTGGTTCTTCCTAATCGCAAGCACAACGGTGAGAGCTGTTGAAAATCGGCTCGACTAGCTCGTTTCCGAAGTCCACCCGCTCTTCCTCCCCCCTTCGCTGTCTAAAGCCTGAACGCCATCATATGTACATTTAGTTTTGTGTTTCGCTCGAACCCAACATCGACTCGGTGTTTTTCTTTTCTTTTTACTCATTCGTCGTCGTAGCCGGTCAGCTGCTTCCTAGGTCCCGAAGGAACTTTTGCGCAATTCGACGTTAGCCCCTTCTCTTTTTCTGCCATGCAGTTCCAGAACAAAAAAGGCTTACCAGGGTATGTGACGGGGATGGGCGGCGCGTTGTAGTCGCCGAGGGCGTTTCTGATGGGAGGGACGAGAGCCAGCTGGATGGGGCCCAGGGCGCCGATGACGACGGACCAGAAGTAGGCGGGCTTCTCGCGGGAGGACCAGCGCAGGTAGCGGATGGGCCCGGCCCAGAATCGGGGGGATGCGGCGGACATGTTTGCGACTGCGAGAAAAGAGGCCAATTAGCTTATTTCAGGTCCGAGGACTTGGCGGGGGCGGGGTGTCGTACTCAATTGACTGCGTCGTCGTGTGTCGTTGAATCGACTTGTTGCGATACACCTGGTTGTCGTTTCGATGCCGAAGCTCAGAATGGAGCCGCGAGCCAGCCGTCGTCGGATAAACCTCTCCGGATTAACTGGGTGGTAGGTCTTAGGTTCCCACTGGACCCGGGCAGCCCCGGCCGGAGCACCACCCAGCTGTGGTGGACCCCTGCCACCAGCACCCGGCGCCCACCCACACTCCCGGGGATTCTCCGACAGGCTTGGCAACGGCTACGTATCCCCAAGCTTCAAGACACATGCACCAAAAGTGCTGAAGCTCTCCACGCCGCAGCGCTACGCAACGCACCCCAGCTGTGCGCCGACTTTCCCTTTTTTTTTTACTGCACACCACCAGAAAGCGTCTTTTTGAGCCAGACCGCAGGCTTCATTTTTTGCTTGTTCTCCCGATTGACAATGCGGTCTCTTCTTTCGCTTTGTCTGCTGTTCCTGGCTGCTGCCGTGCACGCCGTCAGCGTGTCCGGCGGCCGGCTGCTTGCGATCCTCGACGATGTTGCTGAGAAGGAGGGCTACTCCAAGTTCTTGGGAGATCTGGAGAGTATGTTACTGGCTCAGAGGAGGCTTCATGAAGCTTCGCGGAACCTGGGGAACCGGATTGGCTGACCAATTGACTCGATTAGGCCGCGGATACAGCATCACATACGAGTCGCCCAAGAGCGAGTCTCTGCACCTGTTCAAGCACGGCGAGCGGGTTTACGACCATGTTCTGCTCTTCCCCTCCAAGATCAAGGGTATGCGACAATCCTACCTGCTACGAAGACCTCGAACGGAAGCTCACACTACACAGGCCTCGGTCCCAACCTGACCCCCAGCATCCTCGTCCAGTTCATCAACGCCGACGGCAACATCCTCCTCACCCTCTCCTCCGAGGCCACCATCCCCACCTCCATCGTCAGCCTCCTGGCCGAGCTCGACATCGCCGTCCCCGCCGACCGCACCGGCCTCGTCGTCGACCACTTCAACTACGACGCCCTCAGCGCCACCGAGAAGCACGACGTCCTCGCCCTCCCTGCGCCCACCCAGCTCCGCGCCGGCCTCAAGAGCTACTTCTCCCAAGCCGGCGAGGTCATCGCCTTCCCCCGGGGCGTCGGCCACGTCCTCGGCGGCGGACAGCTCCTCACCCCGATCCTGCGCGCCCCCAAGACCGCCTACATCTACAACCCCAAGGAGCAGGCCGACGTCGTCGACCCCGCGGACCTGTTCGCCGCCGGCGAGCAGCTCGCCCTCGTCTCGGCCTTTCAGGCCCGCAACAGCGCCCGCTTCACCGTTGTCGGTTCCGCCGAGCTGTTGAGCGACAAGTGGTTCGACGCCAAGGTCAAGCGCGCCGGTGACGCGAACGAGGTCAAGACCTGGAACCGCGAGTTCGGCAAGAGGGTTGCGGGATGGACTTTCAAGGAGCTCGGCGTCCTCCGGGTCAACGAGATCGAGCACCACCTCAACGAGGCCGCCAACGAGACGAACCCCGAGATCTACCGGGTCAAGAACGAGGTGGTAAGTAAAAGGATATGACGGTGCCGCAGGGCAAGAAGCTGACATACCACAGACCTACTCCATCTCTCTGTCCGAGTACTCCTGGGACAAGTGGACCCCCTTCACCGTCCCCTCCGACGACGACCTCCAGCTCGAGTTCAGCATGCTCTCGCCCTTTCACCGCCTCAAGCTCTCCCCCAAGGCCAGCACCGCCGACGAGTCCACCTACGCCGTCTCCTTCGTCCTGCCCGACCAGCACGGCATCTTCAACTTCAAGGTCAACTACAAGCGCCCCTTCCTCACCAACCTCGAGGAGAAGAACACCGTCTCGGTCCGCCACATGGCCCACGACGAGTGGCCCCGCTCCTACGTCATCTCCGGCGCCTGGCCCTGGCTGACCGGCATCGCCGCCACCGTCACCGGCTTCGTCCTGTTCTCCGCCGTGTGGATGTACAGCGCGCCCACGCCCGCCGCGGGACAGACCAAGAAGACGCAGTAAGAGGGTTGTTCTCCGCGGAAGAAGAGTCGGAGAAAGAGAAAATCTGGTGATGAAGTGAAGGCCCCTCCCGCGAATGTTGTGCCAGGGGAGGGGGCTTGGAATGGGAAAGTACTTATGATACTCGGATAGAAAAGAACGGAAGGGAAGCGAGGTCTGGATCTTTTTCCTTTTGCGGATCAAGGGGTCTAGAGCTTGTAACTGTAGTGTACACATCTGCGCATAGGATGCCCCTGGGACAGTCAGGGGTTGCAAAAAATGACTTTTACGTTTAGAGTGAGACTTTGGTTCCTTGATGTGATTGTGAACTGGCTATGAGGATTCGCGTGTTCGAGATACGAGTGACACGATCAGATGTTCAGGGGGAGGAAGGCTCATCATCGCATCGATTATGACGGTTAGGAGAAGCAACGAGGCAAGGGACAACGAGGCAAGGGACAACGAGCCAAGGGAGCTATATAACCAGCCACCCGCTCGAAGGAAACGAAAGGCATATATATTTTTGCTTCCTGATGTAGCATCGTTGTCGGAGTTGTGTCTGAAGAACCTGATAGCGACCAGTCCCAAGCTTGCTGACTCCGTCGCCAAACGACACCAGAGTTGCCCAATTTACCCAGCACAGAGCCTTTTGCGTCCGCCCTCTCTGTTTCTCTCGGCGTGTTTCTCGGAATACTGCGTGGATTCGAGATTGGGAAGATATTTGGACTCTTATCGTAGTCTCGGGGGTCGCAAGTCTTTCCTTGATTATGTTCCATCTGCAACCAAACGTGACGTACAAGTCGCAGTGTAAAAGGCCGTGACATTTGCTGGAGACCACCGGTTTACGCATCTTCGATGGTTTCCCTGGGTTTTATAGGACAACCTATTCAAACCTTCTCCAACACGTCGTTGTGTCGAGATCATTCGTCTCTGGGTTGGCCGGAGGAGATTTCCTCCCAAACATGAAAGCATCTGGGGTATATAATGTCGGCACGAGGGGCTATAAGTTGGGAGCCGGCCAAGACGACACATTTCGGCCTTTTCGGCCTTTGTTGATGAGCTTTCTCAGTGTCTAGGTCGTCGTATAAAGTCCGTCTCCAGATGTCACCGGTCTGGTGACACGCACCCGTAACCACGAGCATCCTGTTGTCCATCCTCTCTGTTCTGATACTATTCTTCTCGGTACATACGAACTGGTATTATTCAGCAAGGACTACCCCGTTGCTTTTGGGCCTTGATGCTGGATAAGATGTCTGTATATACCGTGTCTTTGGCAAGCTCGTCGCAAGATACTATCGATAGATGGTCGTGCCGTATCCAACTCCTGTGGCGCCGCACTCGCTCCGGTGTTCTGACGCTACGAGTCCGGCTAGTGATGGGTATCGACATGATGCTGGCTCGTTCTACTTCAGCAGCGTTTCTGTGGGTGATTTTGCCAGCCTTGCTTGCCATTCTTCGACATCGAAGCGAACTGACGTTATGCGACTCGCAAGAAGAGCTTTCCTAGTCTAATTTGATGACCTCTGAGATGAGGTATTTGGACACATAGGCATGTTAGACGATATCTTTGACACAGAGCAACAGACAGTTAGGTGGGAAGATGATGTTGCTCTTCCAACATGACCAGCAAGCTGGCCAGAATCTAGAACAAAAGTGACTCTGGTGGCAATCAGCCAAGTCACAGCACACGCGTTGCACTAATGAACTACACAACATGGTTCGCTCAAGAATCTTGAATTGGTGATCCTGTCTACTGCATGATTATAGCTGTGGTTTTGAACGGGTTCTTTGTGTTTGTCCCTCTGATCCGCTGAAAATGCTTCGTCCTGTGTTCCCTCCGTTTCCTGTTGAGTCCTGTTCGCTGGCAGTCATGAGTCGACAATTGCGTTTCCAGAAGACAGGCGTAACGACCCCACATGGACCGGCCGAGTCGATATCTTCTTGCCTTCGCTCAAACGTTCAACCTCGAGCTGCGAGCAACACTCCTCGCCACAGGACCTCCCGCCGGAAGACTACCTCCCAAATCATGATTCTCCAAAGGAGTCATCTCGATATCTCCCCCACCACTTCCCATACAGCTGCGAACTGAGACGGCCACCAGGACGAAGACGAATATCGCGATGTTGCATCCCACGCCAGCCAAGCACCAGCCAGTGTGCACTTCAGATTCCTTCGTATACTTCAATAGAACCGCAAAGGTAATAGTGGACATGAAAGCTGAGATTCCGCCGAACAGTAGGGTGAAGCCGAGGCTGGACTTTTCATGATGTAGCCAAGCGCGTGTTTTCCCTGGTGAATAGAAGAACCGGATCAGGCAGTTCAGGGTCATGCCGATGCTCGCAATAAGGAAGAACCACGCGACGATAAGAGCGACGGCGGCGCCAGTGTTGTAGTTGAAGATGGACTTTCCTTCGGAGAACCAGTAGGCGTCAACTCCGCACCCCAAAAGTAAGAGACCGAACTAGAGTGATCCGAATGCTAGGATTGGCATCCTATTTGGCTTGGGGTTTGCGGGTGGGTTGGCAATGTCGGCCATCAGTGCTGCAGATCCAGTCGCCCGATTGCCTTGGCTGAGGAAACACATTGTATGGAGGTATGCTTAGATGAAGGTATGCTTGGTGCCAAAAAGAGTAGATGGTTGCTTGAAAGTGTTGTTTGGTGATACGTGTTGTTTGGTTTTGGAGTGGTGGGAGGTCAGAAGTTGGATTCATGGGTGGGACGGGATGGCTGGGTATTTAAACCCGATGCCCATCACACGGGAGAGGAAGGCACACCGTGATGTGCTGATGTGGAAGTCGCCTGAAGCAAGCACCTTCCTATTGGCTTCATGATGCTTGTTCTAGGTAGTCAGGCTTGCTGAGGGCAGGCACCTCCTTCGCAGTCCGGCAGTCCCGTGGAATCGGCACGGAAGGAGTCAAGAAGGATATCTCGCATGAACCGTTGTAAAGACGATATATACTCTTCCATGTTCCTCGTCGGTCAGAAGCCAGCAGTGGGGTAAAGGCATTGTAATTTTAGACGTTTCTTTCACAGGCATCGGCGTGAGGCTTCGGCTTTGTTACGAGGCAGACTGATGTATGTGATTAAAGCCCGCCGCACGTAGTGGAAGTCGAATCTCAGGATGAAGTTTCCTGGAAAAAAGAGTGTGACAAGAAGCTGAATAAAAGGGGTGGTTGCCGTGTCTTCGACTCCTTCCCTTTCCCAAGCACCCCCCTCTCGCCCTTTCCCTCTTCCACCTCAACACCACCACCGTCCTCCTTCCACCACGAACCACCTCAGCCACTACCTTCCTTCTATCAACACCCACCTCCCACCTTCCTCCTATCGCCGTCGCCTTCCTCACGAGAAACCATCATCGCGCCTTGAATCTTCCAGACGACAACGAATATCCAAACCGCCACGCCGGCGTTGTTCTCGATTGTAGATTTCACCATGTTCTACAGCCATGAGAGTCAGTCAACCTCCATCGCGGCATTCTCTTCATCAGCACTTCTGTCTAACAACTAAGCAGTTCTCAGCAACAGGCAATATGGCATTGCGACTATCTGGTCTGTTCTCGGGATTTTCCTTCCTCAGTGAGATCCATGGGGACTAACTTTTCGCAAGGCATGTCGCCAAATTTGGGAACAGTGTTGGTCTGAAGAAGGTCACGCGAAAGGATATTGACTCCGTCGATATCCCAAAGGCCTGTGAGACGATCATGAACCCTGGTCCACCACTGGCTCTGCGCCTGTCGAGTGAGATGCTTTGCGGAGTCGTTCGCGTCTTCCGCCGGAAATGCCTGTACACCATGAACGATGCCGAAAAGGTCCGACACACCATGAAAACCATCATCGTCATTTGGGGCCAGACGGGACTTGACCCTAAGGCTGGAAAGACTAGGTAAGTCGCATACTCACAAGATTCTTCGGATCTGTTCCTAACTTCCGCTTCTTCAGCCGCGAGAAGATCACTTTGCCTGACGATCCCGCCTTCAACATTTCGGACAAAATCCCCCAGTTCTCGCTCGACAGCGGTGAGCTGCTCTTTCCTAGCCAAGAGAAGGTTCTTGCTGGGTCAGGTGACAAGTCTCAATCCCAGCTCAGTCCTTTTTCAAGCCCTATTGGTTTCGACTTCGGTGCTCACAACGATATCCAACTCGACTTTTCACAATCCTCGAACGGCGACTTCCAAATAGCCTCGCCCTTCATGCGCAGATCCCCAGCCGACACCTTCCTTCCGAAGGGGCGCGAGAACATCGATATGGGTGCTGGTGATATCAACCCCGAAATCGTCGACGAAGACGACTACATGGGCGCTTTCATGGAGGTTGATCCTAATGGAGGCTTGATCGATGATGATGACGACCTGGACTTGCCTATTCTCCCCGAAATGGAGGTTGAGTATGACGTGTCAATCCAGGATCAACAGCACGACCTTCCCTATCAAGATCAAGGTCAAGGCCAGGATCAAGATCAGGATCAGGATCAGATTCTTCCCGACGCTGATGCAGACATGCCGTTGATAGGAAGTGACCCTCCCGTCGCTCATCAGGAGTTTCAAGTTCCGGCATCCCCCGACCAAGGCAGGAGTGACGAGGTTGTCGCACCCGCTGCCAAGCGTCGACGCGTTGCTCTCAAGATGGACGATGAGACAGTTCTCTCTCGCAATGTCCTCAAAGGCTGGCAGGACAATTACCTCCAGAGTGCTGAGGATGCTCGACTGAAGAAACTGCGCAAACAACCCACCACGACCGAGGCCGCAAACTTTGCCCGCCACTTGGTCTTGGGACGCGGACTCTTCAACGTGAGTGACTTCAGAGATAGCCCTCGAATCACGTTCCCGCTCGTTCAAGATTTTGCCGGAGATGGCCTCCGCGACAAAATTCTGGGATCTCTCGAGGACTGGGAACAAGGTTCCGAGGCATCGTCTCACAAAGGACGACGCAGAGCCGCAGCAGAGGCTTTCGGTGATGAAGAAGACCCGCGCAACGTGCGACCCAGGCTCGAAGAGACCCCGCAGCAAGGCCGCTCTCAGGACGACATACCCGAGTTCAACGTCATGTACAGCGATGAGACCATCCCTGAGATGGGTATGGAGGGCCCGCAGCCCATGGCTGAGCACATGTCATCGTCTCTCATGCCCTGGAACCAGACTCCATCCGTCGGAAGAGGCTCAGTCGGCCCAGGCCCAGGCCCTAGTCTGCAGCAATCAGGTCGCCAGTTGAGCGTGCGTGGAAGCAGTGTTCGCAGCAACAGCCTTCCGCCTTTCGAGCCGCTTCAAGATGCCCACAGCAGCGACGACGTTGGCTTCCAAGGCTACGACGAAGCGCAACCCGCAGGCCTGCTTGACGGCATCGAACAACAGAACCAGGATGACGCACAGTGGTCGCGGTCGATAATGGACACCGCAAGCCAAGACTTCTTGAACTGGACCGAGGAGCACATCAAGAACACAGGCTTCGCAAAGATGGGAGATCCGAACGAGAACAGACGCTGGGTTAAGTTCGAAGACCTCTGCGAGCCCGGACAAAGAGACCACACCATCGCTGCTCAGGCCTTCTACCATATTCTCTCCCTCGCCACAAAGAACGTCATCTCGGTCGAACAGGACGTCGAGGACCTGCAGCCTTTCGGAGCGATTCGAGTCGGAGTCGACATGGCAGCGCATCTTGACGACATGAACTGAGACTTCGAGGCGCATTTCATCAACACATTTATTCGGCAGCACATGACGTTACAGGTACATGCTGCAATTTGCTTTCGGACGGGAGACACGAAAAATCCGGGGTTGTTTGCTTTTGAAAAGTTCGGAGAGGTTTCGGTTTCGGTTTATGCGTTTGTTTTTCGAAAATTACGGTTCAATTGTTCTTCAAAAGAAAGGGAGCGGTCTGTCGCCATTGGAATGGGGGTTTCTCAGGAAAGGTAGAACAGGACCATTTCGACGGACGGTTGGGACGGATTTGAGAACATGGATTTGCATCATCTCCCTTAGAAGGGAACACATAACTTGCTAGGCGTATTCTATCTTAGCGCCACACATATTAGCTAAATCACGAGAAAGCATTTGATTTCAGAATGAGCGTGCCATGAATGGTCGTGATTTCATTACTTCATACACTAAATACGGCCCTCATCTACTCGTAGACATCGTCATCATCGCCGACACCCTCGCGATCCTCGAACTTCATGTAGTGGACGTCGGGATCCTCGGCCGCGACACCCATGACTTTCGTCCAGGTATCCCGTACAGGCTCGAGGGCGGAGTCGCTGAAAGCAAGATCCAGCGGCAGGCTGGCCATGACGAGAGACTCATCCGCAAGCGTCGAAGCCGACGTAGACGCGCGGGCGTGCTCGTACGCGACCTTGTAGATGGCCTGCGGTTGGTTGTCACCTTCGCCGAGAGCAGAGAGCAGAGCGTCCAGGGCCTTTTGCAAGGCTTCGCCGGAGGTGGCGGACTTTGGTGTGACGAAGTAGAGAACGCCTATTCGTGACTCGAGTCAGTGGTGTGTTTTACAAGAGGACTTGCGGAGTCAAGAAAGTGTGTAGATATGTGTACGATCAGGGTCACAGAAAGTTTTCGTCGAAGCGTAAGCTCAGGCAATGTAGATAAGATTTGACAGGAACATCATGTACAACAGGTTCGCAGAAGAAAAGAACGTGGTTGGACTTACTCTGACCAGTTGGGCACTCTCCCGTCTCGCTCGAGTGAGCAAAGACGTAGATGGGGGATGGAGAGGTGGCGTTCTTAAGCGAGTCGGCGGGAATTGCGACGACTGCCACCGCAGGTGTCGGTGCTCCCTCGACTGCAGTTTGGAAGAGAGATGACAGCGGCGAGTCGATGACCGCGGTCAACCTGCTAACGCGTTGCGCGTCTTGTGGGACGTCCTCGGCACCGCGGACCAGCGTGCGGGTTTTCACCGTCACGTCGCTGGTCAAGTCCACCTCGAACTTGGCGCCTTCTTCCTGGGCCTCCAGCGGGCGCGTGGCTTTCATACCAGTGCCCAGCATGTAGACCGCCCCGCCAACAGCACAGGCGCGGCAGCCTACCTGCGCGATCTCGGACAGACCGCCCCATTTGGGGTAGACGGCGGCGAAGCCCGGTCCGAAGGCACCCATCGACGAAAGGTGGCGGTGGATGGCAGCCAGGCCGGCGCTGGTGGAGATCTTGCCGTCGAGGCTGAGGGTGAGGGTGACGATATACGTCTGCAGCGCCGCGTCGAGCTTGAACTCCTTGGCCAGGAACTCCGCGAGCGGTGTATCCGCGTGAGGAGTCCACGTGACGCGGTTGTCCTCGGAATCGTAGTCGAAGACGAACTTGAGGAACTTCATCAGCGACCTCTTCGCCCTCGCCGGTATCGCGGTCGTGGAGAAGACGGCTTCGCGGGTGGAGGGGATCGGCACGATCGAGGCGGCGCCATCACCGCCTTCTGACGGGGTGTAGATGAAGAAGGACCCGACGGCGAGGAACTCGATCTGCCGGTACGCGCGGGAGTCGACGAGCTGGGTGACCAGCGCCGAGCGGGTGTGCACGATCTGCGGCGCCAGGGCGAGGGAGTACGCCCGCGGGGACGAGACGCCGCTGTCCGACTTTGTGATGCTCGCCGAGGAGAAGACGCTTCGGGCGGAGTCGTCGGCATCGGCGGCGGCGGCGTTGGAGGCTACCCATTCCTCCATCTCCTGCAGGCTGAAAGCCGCCTCGGGGCCGCCATAGTACTCGTTGGGATCGAGGTGCAGGGTTTGTTTGCCTGAGCGAGAGAGGGCTCTTTACGGCCGAAGAGGGCTGCGTCAGTCGGATCGAGGCTTTCCGGTGATGCAAAAAAGCGACGACGACGTGTGCGCGCTCGCGGGGAGCAGAAAAAGAATGAGGAGGTAAAGTAGCTTACAAGGCTAGCAGCGACTGCTGCAGGCCAGTTCCGTGGATTATGACATCCCACGTATTCTCGGCCAGCGATTCCATACTGACTGGAAGTCCAAGTCGGAGAAGGAGGGGGGAGGAGGAGAAAAAGTTTGCGAGGAGAGATGAGGTTGAAAAAGGCGGCTGATTGACGATGGGGCTCTCGGTGGGGAAAATGGAAAGCTGTGTGCAGGGATTTACGTAAGTCGATGTCCGGCCTGCCAGCCACCCACACCTAAAAATTCTGGCGCGCGATGGGTCGCGACTTTTTTCTTCTCTTCTTCAACATCCGCCCGGTAAACCAGCCGCGAGTCACCAACAGTAGATTCGCGGTTCATGAGGGCCTTTCATTAGGCTTCCTCGGCGCCGGGCGGTAGATCGATATTTTCCCTAGTATCTACTGCCTTGGAATAACGTCTGAAAAGGTGGCTCGAATTGTGGAATACATATCTTAACCGCGTGGACGTGAGTGATTGATGAAGTGTACGTGGTCTGCCATTTGCGCTAGCTATGGACTATTGTCCCGTTTGCTCGATCTTTCCTCCCGAATAAAGCTCGTTGGCCACCGTTTGCTTCGCCGATGGTTCCCAGCCAAGTCATGCTGCAAGAACCGCTGCCTCAAACAGCCATTGAATCACCGTTGCCCTCTTCCCAAAGCTCGGAGAGCATGGCCAAGGACGACCTCGCCAAAGAAAACCATATTCATCACAGCAGGGTATCATCATATCTCGTAATGCGTGTCGTGTAGAAGTAACTTAGTGTTGAGCGTCGCCGGAATACTTCGCAGACATGGCGACGTGCTTGGCGCGAACGCAGCCACGGCCTAGGTCCTCCTTGGGGGCCGAGCAGCACGATTTGATCCAGTCACCATCCGACTCAAGGGTCTCTTGGCTCGCAGTGCTGGCGGGCGTGAAGACTATCGACCCCTTGCCCTCGACTTCGATAAGCCATTGACCTATACGTGCCATCTCTTGTCAGCGGAGTATCTCGAGCGGAATCGTGTCTCGACAGACGTACCGTCGTGGTAGCTACACGAGCGCGAGGTGTTGTGCTTCTCCTCAAAGGGCTCCGTGCATCTCTCGCAGATCTCGAGTTTCAACTCGGAGTTCTTCAGAGCGTTTTGAAGCAGAGGATGAACCTGAACACCAGAGTCCTGCGAGGCCTCAGAGGAGGCGCGAGTACTAGTGCGACTGCTGCGGCGTTTGCTCTTAGATGGTGCGGCCACCGGAGCCTTCTGCCCGTCGATGTAGTTGAGGAGCCTCAGGGCATGGTCATTGGTATCCTTGCTCGAGCGAATCAAGCTCTGGACGATCTGGAGAAGCTCATTCTTGGTGGCCTTGACGAGTCTCTGGTTAAGGTCTGTGTCTGCCATGATGGTCGATTTGCTGCTGTTTGATGATGTTTGATGTTTCGTGTAACGTTGCTTTTGCGCAGTGTGGTTTGTTTCTGCAAATGTTTTCGCGAGAAGGAGGAGCTTGTTGAAGTGGCCAGAAAAGAGAAAATGAAGCCTTCCATGTTAGGCGGGTGCATGTAGCTATGCGCCTGCCTGCTCATGAAAGCTGTACCCGCCCAATGCGGCTTGTGAAGGGAAACTGGCAAGTCGTCAAGGCTCACAACAAGGGAAGGCAGTATGCTAGTGGGCAGAGTACAATGGGGGAGAAGAAACACTTTCTCTCCCGAAACGTATGATTTTGTTTTCCTTTACCGGGTATCATTATCTTCATGCCATGGCCTTCTGGATCTCCTCCCATCTCCGCTCCGCAACGCCCACAAACTCCCTTATGAGCTGCGGCTGCAGCGTCGTACCACCGTGCTTCGATATCGAAATGACCTTGGTCTCCCCTTCGGTGCGATCCACCACCGCCGTGATCGTCTCGTCGCAGAGTCCCTCCTCCAAGCTATCCGGGTCCACCAAAGTCCAGAACTTGCCTGCCGCGGGCTGGTTCGTCGTCTCCTTGCTGGCGAACACGCCCGCCGTGCAGGCGACGGGGAATCCGTGGAGCGTGAGGGGCTTGGGCTCGTCGCGGGAGCAGATGACCATCTCGCGGTCGGGGTCCCATCGGGCGATGGGGATGGTCGTGTCGCGAAGTGCGGCGAGGACGGCGGCCCAGGCGACGTCGAAGGGGTTGCCGTCGAAGGAGATGAAGAAGATGTCGATGTAGAGCACCCAGTATGCAATCACAGCCTTCTCGCCCTCTACCTTCTCGCCCTCTACCTTCTCGTCATCCTCCTCCATCTTGTCCTCATCGTCCTCCGCGGCGGCGTTCTCGGCGGGCCGGGTATACCATATCCTCAAGTCGTCTGCGTCGACGAGCTTGGCCGAGTGCAGCAGGGAGTAGATTCTTGTGCTGAGCGTCTGCGCCAATGTGGTAGGGGGAACTCCTGGGAGGAATTGAGGCGCGCAGCCGGTGGCGAGCTCGATGTTGGGCACGAGCAGGTCGTAGTCCTTCAGCTCAGCGGCGCCGTCTGTCTCGGTCGTCGTGAGGGCGTTGTGGCGGCGAAAGTTGGGAATGTCGGAGGCGAGAACGGTCTCGGCGCGGACGCCACAGATGACAGTCGTGTCTCCAGTGCGGACGACAGCACTGCCGTTGGTGTGGGTGAGGGAGGATGTGTTGATGTTGGGGATACGGGCCTCGTCGGGACGGCGGCCGTTGCTACGAGCTGCGTTTGCGGGCGCGGGCGGTTGGAGGTTGGCGAGGAGGAAAGGGTGCGGTGAGAGCTTGGCGAAGGTATCGCGGGGGAGGCCCTTTGAGGTAGCCATGATCGCGGCTTGCTTTTCGACGGAGAGTGTCTCGGGATCTTGCAATTGAGGCGATGGAGGCGTTGTGTCGATGCCGCTGCTTGTGGCAGGTGGGATGAAGCCCGAAAGCTGGAAATTTTGGGTGGAGTCGGAGGTCGGCGTCACTGCGCTCCGGTGGAGCATCGGGGCGCTGGGGCCGGGCAGGCACCTTAAGTCACTAACACTGACAGAGCTTCTCAACTTTTCGCATGCTTATCAACACCAATACCGCAATATCCATTCTTCGTACACAAGTATTCATACATTTACGTGCGGAAACTATGGAATGCATAGTCTAACCCTCAAGCAAGCGATTTATCGACTGAGCTGGCAACGAAAGTCAACCAAACCACAACAGCGCAACGTCAAAAATGGCCAAAGTCCTTTTCCCTAACGCCCGCGGCATCGCCGCATCACCACTGCTTCCTCGACTGCTCCGCCATCGAAATATGCCCGTTCCCGCCCATCGCGATATCCTTCTGCCTCATCTGCCTGCGAAGCTGCTTGTTGTACGCCGGCGTCTTCATGTACTCGGACCTGGGCCGCGCCGTCCAGCCCTTACCGTCGTCGATGTAGCCCCATTGCTGGGGGTCGCCGGATTTGCTGCAGCTTGAACCCATGGTGCTTCGCTCTGTGCGTGTGTTTGCTGGTTGAGAGTGTGAAATCTTCTTTTCTGGCGACTGTGAACGATGATGGAAATTTCTGGCGATGAAGATGTTAGCTGAATCCGTGGAGATTGGACGGCCTTCCTCACCTTTTGAGAGTTGTTGCTGTCTCGTTTACTAATACAATGTTTTGATTTCCAAACGTTGACATCTGAGTCGAGCACCTAGCCCTTATATCCTCCCCGAAGCCATCTACGAACCTCACATTGAAGCCTTCAAGGCACAGCTGACGTCAATCTTTCCGATCCAACGCCCGAATCTCAGGGTCCTCCGGCCATCCATCCCAACACCGCCGATCCCCGGTGGTCGTTGTCAGTGGCTTGGCCGAACCGCCCCCTGCATTCTCCGCATCGGGACTGAGAGATGGCCGAGACATTCCCATCACGAAAGTTGGACGTCGCGAGTCGGAGGTTTGTGTCTCCGTCTCTCCGCGTCCTGGACCTGCTGGGCCGGCCGGGGGCTGTGCCTTGAAGACGGCGATCGGTGTTTGTGAAAGATGCCGTCCAGTGATATCATTCGAGCTGCAAGTGTGACACAATTGGAGGAGATGTTCAAGGCGATGTTGAAGGAATAGCCTGCAGACACTGACCCTGGGCACCGTCTCAGCTTCTTCGCATTCCGATTGGATGATGGCGCGACACAGCTACAATTACTTTCCTGTTGGGGTAATACAAAGAAGATCCGATTCTTCTTTGCCAAGTCTAAAATTCTAAGTCTTACAAGAATTGAAAGGTGGCCGTCGGTTTGATACCTCACGTGCCATGCAGAGAATGATGAAATCGCCATCCAACATCCACAGTCAAAATCGGACTCGCGTCCGCCCCCCACCGTCTAAGTCGCTCTATCCAAGCTCTGCGCCTCGCACATCTTCTTGTACATCCCGCCCTGCTCGATGAGCTCGTCGTGTGTTCCGGCTTCGACGATGCGACCGCCGTAAAAGACGCAGATCCGGTCCGCGTCGCGGATGGTAGACAGGCGGTGCGCCACGGCGATGGTGATGCGGTCTCCGGTGACGGCCGCCTCCATCAACGCCTTCTGAACGATCTTCTCCGACTCCGTATCGAGAGCGCTTGTGGCCTCGTCCAGTAGAATGACGCTGGGGTTCCGAACGAGGGCTCGAGCAATGGCGATGCGCTGGCGCTGACCGCCAGAGAGTTGACTGCCTCCTTGTCCACAAGGTGTGTTGAGGCCTTCGGGGAGGGAACTGACAAAGTCCCATGCGTTCGCGGCGCGACAAGCTTCTTCGATGACACGATCATCAACGGAGCCCTGCTCCTCGGGCTCGACGTCAATGCCAGATGCGATGTTGTCTCGGATGCTTCCGGGGAAGAGTGTTGGTTCTTGCTGCACGAGGGCCAGTCTGCTGCGGTAGAGTCGGGGGCTGATGCTTGTGAGAGGAGCCGCGCCGTCAATCTTGATCGTACCGCTCGTCGGGTCGTAGAATCGTTCGAGAAGAGAGATCATCGTTGACTTGCCGCAACCCGAGGCTCCGACAAATGCAACGAACTGACCGCGATCAATCTGGCGAGACAAGTTAGCCGCCATTTGTCTCTGGTATGATCAAAGATTGCTCACTGTCAAGGAAACGCCCTTGAGTACCCGGTTATCAGGGGCCAAGGGGTATGAAAACTGAACGTCATCGAAGCCGATAGAACTGCAGCCGCCAGGGGGGCCCTTTTCCTGGTTCTCGCCCGTTTCCTGTATAGTTGGCTGCAGACCAAGAAGCCAAAAGAAGTAGTTGGCAGCTGAATTGGCCTTGGTGAAACCTGAAAAACGAGATCATTAGAAAAGCCAGCAAAGATACGGGTGGTTAATACTCACTGCTGGAGAAACTGAATATGACACCAGCAGCCTGGCCAGAAAAGAAGACACCCATGAAGGAGATGATGAACTGAGAGAAGTTGATCTCGCCGTTGGAAACCAGCTTTGATCCCCACCTAAGTATGTTAGAATGTGATCAGACAGCATGATGCAGGCGTCCTTACCAAAAGCCAAGCGCGAGGATGAAAAACTCGATGGACTGGGTCAGAGCAAACCAGATCATCATGTTGAAAACAGGATAGGTCGAGCTCGAAATGGCATTGTCGAGTTCGTTGGTGTATCTCTGGAGGACATTCTTCTCAATGGCCAACGATGAGACTGTGCGGATAGCGTTCACGGTTTCCGATGCCAGAGAGGCACTTGTAGAGAACCTCTTGTCGACATCGGAGTCCATCCTCGTCTCAATACGAATGCGGGCAAAGCCAGACAACAACAAAGGGGGCATGCCGGCAAAAACTCCGACAAGACCAAGCTTCCATGAAATCGCGATGGCAAGGACGCTGCTGGCGACAACGTTGATGAAGGACAGAAAAGCAAGGGAGACGTTGAATCCCATCAGCTCGAGTACAGCCTGGGCGTGGGAATCGATACGGCTGTTGAGGGCACCGACGGTGTTTTCAGCCCGGTCGAAGAAGCGGAGATCCTGTCTGAGCATTCCGTTCAGCAGACCTTGGCGAACCTTCCTGCTCAGAGTCTGATGGAGACTGTCAGTGACCATGCTTTCAAACGTAGGTTGCTAGCCATTCTTACTTGTGTGATGATGTTGGTGGTCCAGCCCATGACGAAGTAAACAATCAAAGTGCCCAGCGACATGACGAAGTACATCAAAGCGACGAAGTTGCCCTGTTTGACCATGTCCGATGAGGTGAAGATGTCCATCACCTTGGATAGTAGCAGAGTCTGGCCAGGGTAGATGGCGGCTGTCCTCGAATTAGTCAATCTGTGCCGCAAACGATTCACGCCAAGAGTAAACTTACCTCCCAAAACACAAGTGACAAATGTCACACAGTACCAAACCTTGAGCTCGGGGGTTGACTGCATCAACTTGCCAACCGTGTGAAGGAGTCCGGTCTGCTTGTAGAGCTTGAAGTCCTCCTTGTCCTTGAGAGACATGAGATGTTGAGCAACTGCGGTGTCGTACTTGGCAAGTGATTGCGCAGGTTCGGCTGCCACAGTGGAGTCATCCTCGGAAGTATGATCAACGCTGTCTTTCCTCTCGACCGAAAGATTCTGCGCCTTGACTAGTTTCGCGTAGGAGCCATTCAACGCTACCAACTCATCGTGCTTGCCCTGCTCGACGATCTTGCCTTTGGACATGACGACAATATTGTCCGCGTTGCGGATGGTTGCGAGCTTGTGGGCAATGACGACCGTGGTTCTGTCCTTGGAGGCACTATCGAGAGCTTGCTGAACGATGCCTTCGGCATGGGGGTCGAGGGCGCTGGTGGCTTCGTCGAGAAGAAGAATTTTGGGTTCAGAAATGACGCTGCGAGCAATGGCGATACGTTGCTTTTGGCCACCAGACAAAAGGCCACCTCTTTCGCCAATGCGGGTGTCGTAGCCTTCGGGAAGGTTGGCGATGAAGTCGTCGGCGAATGCGATTTTGGCGGCTTGTTTAACGCGCTGCAACTGCTCCTCCTTCGAGGCTGATTCCCAAGCCGTTCCAACGAGGCCGTTGACAATATTCTCGAAGACAGTACCGTTGAAGAGAACAGGTTCCTGGCACATGTTAGCATCAAGTTGCACTGTTACAAAATGTCACAGATGCTTCATACCTGCTGCACGAGACGCATAGTTGTACGCAGCCAACCAAGACTCAAATCGCGGATGTTGGTCCCATCAAGCGTGATTGCGCCGGAAGCAGGGTCGTACCACCTCTCCAAAAGTCCGATGATGGTACTCTTACCGCTGCCACTGGCTCCCTTTCTTGATGTTAGCTCTTGGAACGCGCTAGAAATAGTTATAACCACTTACAACAAGGGCCGTCACTTTGCCGGCGGGAATGTGTAGAGAGTAGTTCTCAAGCACTGTGGTATCTGGTCGTGTAGGATAGCTGAAGGTAAGTCCTTGAATATCGATGAATCCAGAGACGTTGCTGGGTATCTGCCCGGACTCGTCAAAGGGGTCAATCTTGGACTTCCTGTCGATCAGAGCAAAAAGCTCCGAGGCGGACGTAGCGGCACGACTGAACGCCATAAGATGGGGGGCAATTCCATTGATTGAGGTTGAAGCAATGATGACAGAGAAGAGCACACTGTGAGGCGATGGTTAGCAAGCAGAAATCATTCAAAGTTTCAAACCAAAACTTACGTGAAGACTGTTCCGATGCCATCGACTTCACCACGAGCAATCATGGCAATACCTTGCCAAAATGCCAGACCCATGCCGGCATAGATGATGAAGTATTGCCAGCCAAACATGACACCGTAAAGCGGACTCTTCTTGTCTCCAATCACGCGAGCCTTCTCAAGGTATGTGTTGTATGTATGCATGATTCGAGACTCCAGACTGAAGGCTTTGATGGCGCGGATGCTTCCCAAGGCGCTTTCGGCGTATGTACCGGCTTGGGCGTTGATCTGCAAAGTCTTGGTCTCAAGCACGGAATCCTTGCCAGCCATGAGCATGACCACAATCAGGATTGCGGGAATGATGCTGATGAGAATGCCGCTCAACTTGGCGTTCTGGGTGAAAGCGAGAATGAAGGCGCTGATGAAAGTGCTTATGGAGGCCACGAACAAGCCCAGCTTCTCGGCGATTCCTGACTGGATGAGCTTTCCGTTGGTGGTAGCTTGCATAGCGATGGAGCCAGCAGTGCCATGGTCGAAGAAGCTGATCTCCTGGCTCAAAGCGGCCTGAAGGTAGCAGCGTCGAACGTTGCGGGTCAGTTTGAAGGCGACGTAGGTGAAAAGGGATGAGTAGATGTAGGTCGTAGCGAATCGAGCGATGCCAATGTACACGAAGTAAAGCCTAGATTCGTCAGTGGGATAACAATCAGGTTGAGCGTTTGACCGGAAAGACGCACGCATTTTGGCTAACGCTGGCCATGAATTTGTCGGGGTTGGCGGTAGCGGCAGTGAAGTCGCTCATCAGGTTCACTGAGTGATGGTTAGCAACAGAAACTCACAGGGCAAGGGGCTGACTTGCTCATGTTCCCGATGATCAAGTTCATCATGGTCAAGGCAACTCCTGAGCCGATGGCGGCCAGGATTCCGATGAATTCGAGGACATAGTCGACCGGTTCACCGTACTTGAAGACTCTCTGTTCCCAGCATTGTCAGCGGCCGTGTTTCTTCTCACTCAATGGGGAGGCGGGCGCACCACAAAACCTCCGTAGCCGGTAGTTTTCTTGTCGTCGTTGTTTTCGGGGGCAAGCGAGGATTCGGGGGTAGTAGAAGTCGAGGAGACATCTTGCTTCTCCATCTTGGCGGACCTGTGTCTCGCGAGGAGACGTGAGACTTAGACACAGGTTTGGTGATGAGATGGAGATGGAGATGGGGAATATTAGGTTAGAAGAAAGAGACGAGGGGTTAAACGGAAAAAAAAAAGAGTAAGGCGGAAAGAGTGAAGGTTATCGAAGTCAAGAGTTCAGACGGTGTTGTCCCTGCTGCCGCGTACGGCTACTAAAAGTAAAAAAGTAGCAAATAAACGCCGAGGCGAGTTAATTAGCAGCTGCACGGCTCGTAAAAAGGAGCAAGGTACGAATCTCGCCTCGTAAAACTGCCTACTCCTTATTCGGGCGAAAAAGAGCCCCAGGAAGCCCAGGAACATGGTCTGGCTCGGCTGATCTACCCGACTTACACTGTTGGCAGGAGCCCGGGACCCAGGCACCTTCCGTCCCGCACTGGGGCCGCGGTGGTGCGGCCTGCCAAGCCACCGCGCCCGAAGCGCCTTCCTCGACCGGAGCGCGGGACGCCAAGATTCCTCGATTCCGCACCCCTTGTTCACATCCGACAAATACACGTATTACGGTATTTCAGCTATCAAAACAACGCCAAATGCAGGTGAATCCACCGTTTGCCATCTGGGACCTGCACGTCATCCCAACTGGCAGTCAAGCACGGTCAGTAAATGTGTCGACTCATCTTATCCAGGAACCGGAGAGACGGGCCACTCGAGAAACCCGCTGTCCTGGGTCACAGCGCCTCCAAACGCGAAGATCCACATTTCACAAAGGTAGAAAGGCCTATTTTCTCGGTTCTTATTCTTCGGTTTCGGGTTGCGGAATCGCATAACTCAGCTTCACGAACGCGCGGCAAACAGAAAGTAAGACGTTGCAAGTCGCATCGTTCTCCTCGCACGGCGGACTGCGCTGGAAGTTACCTCCGCACCGCATCGCCCCAACCTGTCTTGAGCAACGGTCATCGCATCTTCATCCCAATCACGTCACAATCTGTACTCTTCCCCGCGCTATCGGGATCCAATCAGACCTCGATTCATTCTTAAGACGATGGAAACAGACCCCGGAACTGCCACTTCGCACGAGCCGATGGAGCATGCTCAAGACGAACACGAGGAAGAGGACGATGAAATCCCATTGTCCAAAATATCTGTAAATTTCCCCAAGAGCCCGGCAAGCACTTTTTCAGCTGATGTTGTGCTTTCACCAAGTGCGACCGCTGCCGCCGCCGCAAGGTTCGGTGCGACCGCCGGCATCCATGTTCCTACTGCATTCGCATTGATGTCCCATGCACGTATCCCATGAGGCAGAAGCCCAAAGAAAGACGGCAGCGTGTTTTCATCTCTGAGGTCTAGTAAGCAACATCACAGGCTCTGAAGTAGCTGCACCTAACCGCCAATGTAGCGAGAGGAAGATAGACTTCATTGCGAAGAAACTTGAGGAGTTCGGCCAGGCTTTGGGTAGTCTAGATGGCCGCCCACCCTCGCAAACCTCTTCCACCCTTCCATATCGTTCCTCATCAGCGACACCAGCATCTCTCAATGTCACACCAGACAACTTAGCTGCGCCGTCTCCATCGGCTCGCGAAGCTAGCAAGATCTTGACTCCAAAGTTGGAATTCGAGGGCGAGTCTAGTCTATCGGCTCAGGCAGCTTTTGCAGACAAATTGATCCGCGATGCTGTCAACAACAAGCCTTCGGTGGACATCACGGGCGAGATGGCTTCGGTCCTGGACACCCTGAGCCGTACAATCGGAAACCAGAAAAGGGAGCAAGAACCTGAGTACCTGTATCCACACGCCAGGACACTCGAACCAGGCACCAGCCTTCATGACCTCCCTATGCCTCCGGTAGAATTGGCCTTCGCCTGTCTCAGGATGGCCAAAGGTGCGAAAACGTGTTAACGTGGCGCGATAAAAGCTAACCAAAACGCAGAGCATCCTCGGGTCAGGTTCTTCTGGAATCACGAGGCGAATTCCGTTTCCGCCTTCACAGACTACTTCCTCCGAGTGTATTCCCCTGGTGAAGTCACCTTTGCCGATCTCATCATTGTGAACGCAGGGCTATACTGGTTGTTTTTGGAATGCAAAAATGTCATCCCAGAACCGGACAAGAAGTCGCAATACGAAGCTCAAGCCACGATCTGTCGAGCCAACCTCGAGACGGTGCTGTCAAGCCTTCCATTCCATCTTCCTTCAACTATGGACACTACATGCGCCATGATGCTAGCCGTACGTATCATTGTCAACACTGTCGTTTCCATCTTCATCATCTGCATCTATATTGCAATCCCTACCGTCATCGTCCTCATCATCCTCACCGATAAGCCCACTGTATGAAAACTAAGTCTAAACTTCAGGCAATGTACTGTCTCGACGTCTGCAAACCTTCCGCCGCATGGAACTTCATCGCCACTGCTTCGCACATGAGCCAAACGCTGGGCATGCACAGCGTCGTGGCAATGGCAAACGATGATCCGGAGAAAAGGAGAGGAAAGATGAAGCTATTCTGGATCCTGTACATGCAGGAGAAGGGACTGTCTCTACGCCTTGGCCGATCATCTACCATCCGAGACAGCGATATCACCATTCCACCTCTGGCTATGGATCCCAGATCAGACGTTGCAATCTTTGGACAGCTGCAAAAGTGGACGGAGCTTGCGAGGCTTCAGGGCATGGTGTACGATCAGATATACAGTCCTGCCGCCCTGATACAATCGCAAGCTGTCAGAGTTGCCAGGGCGAGACGTCTCGCGGCGGAGTTGGAGTCGCATACAACCAAAAGGTCCGCTGAAGATGTAAGGCAACCCCCCACTCCCCCCATTGAGCGCCTTCAGTTCCGTCTTGGATGACGTCTTGCTCGCCTCGTGTACGTCGGTTGGTGTGAATGTTGTGCTGATTTGGCCGTAGTTGCGGTACTCGCAAGTGATGAAGGAGGCCGTCGGAGACGTCTTCTACGAAGCTTTCGTCTGCACAACTCAAGTCACACATCTGTCCCTGTTCTGCCTCATCTACCGAGCCATACCAGCCGAGCCCGGAGAGGGTACCGTTTTTGGAAAAGAATGCATCGCCAGCGCCCGGCAAGCTCTCGAGCAGCACCAGAATTGCATGAGAGTCATTGCAAGGCTAGACGAAGACTTTCTCGAAACCTATGTAAACTGGTACGTCAATTTCCGCCTGTTTGGTCGCTCGATAGGTAACTAAACTCAGGCATAGGGCGCTTTTGCAATCCCCGTTTGTCCCGTTCACGGTCCTCTTCTGCCACATCATCGAGACATGCAACGAAGCCGACCTCAAGCGTCTCGGCGGGCTCATCAAATCCTTACAGTCCATACTGACCGACTCGTTCTCCACGGGCATCAAGAAGGAGGTCCGCCTGTTCAAGGTTCTCTACGACGTCGCGTGCAGCTACATCAAGTTGAAGACGAATGAGACGGCCCAGCCGAGAGACCTCGGCGCGGATGTCTGGAGAGGTGCCGCTTCCTCGTTGATGATGCCGCCGGCCCTGCCCTCTCAGTCGACGGTTCTGCCTGGCCACGCCACAGACGCGACGAGCTCTGAGGGTGTTACGCAGACACCATTTTCACAGTTTGGAGACTCCGAGACCGTGGTCGGTACTGCGTTCAATGAGCATCTGTCCGGGCCGGGCTGGATGTCTGGCGGATCTTTCGCGATGCCTGGAGACTTCGGCATGGAGGTTGATCAGCAGGGGACGCAGCTGGGGAACTGGTTGTACATGAACAATCAGATGATTCGAGCCTTGGAAGATAGTTACTTCTAGATCGGAGGAGTCAAACGTATAGACATCAGATTCTCGATTGAGGTCCTTCTCTCTTGAGTAAAGACAACGTCCTCACTTCACCGTTGGTCTTCATGGAATGTCGTGGAGAAGAGACGGTGAGAATGAGATGATCAGCGCGTCCTAAGCGTGCATTAATATGTTGCGGACTGGTGAGGTCCGCAGAGCGGGGCGCTCGGGGAACAGACTAAACGGCTGTTTCGAGAATGAAGTCCGTTATTAGTCAAAAAGCCAGCAGAACGCCCACATACAATAGTATTGTGGTATTCCAGACATTTTGAAAGGCTTTTTGAGCATTTCACTGATTCTTTTTCAGAAGCCGAAACATGATCCGATTTGAGAAATCCTGCGGGAGAAATCCAGTGCCGGATATCGGTTCCCGCTGCAAGGGCGTGGACGGAGCTCAAGTCCGTCTACTTCGCTACTACACAGTTCTTTGAGCTCCCCGAATTTGGAATCAGCGGCTCCCTATCTGAATCATGAAATGATTAGAAATACGTCTAGCGAACACTGCCAGTTTCTATCATTTTGTTCCCACTCGTCCGCCAAAGCCAGTTAGTTCGCATCCAACGCGCCCTGTAAGTGACAGCAAGCCCGCACGATTATGAAGTAAGCAGCCCCGTCACCGTGTGATGTGATTCGCAGACGCCGCACCCCCGATCGACTATGACCGCGGGGTAAAGACGAAAGGAGGGGCCCCTGCTCCTGCGTTTCTGTAGCGGACCCCGCAGAGAATTGGCTCGGCATACTGTCATAGTCCATGATAAGACGGAGCTTCTTCCTTGTTGCCGGCACTAGGGCTAGCCGAAACTCTCAAACGTGTATATAAACGGCGATCAGACTCGCAGTGCTCCTCGTATGCTCACCTCGACATCAACGACTACGGAATAAAGCACAGTGGATTTGGATATTTGACGACATTTTGAGAAGCAAGATGGTTCTTAAGGGAAGCTGCATGTGTAAGGCGGTGAAGTACGAGAGTAGTGGTAAGCCGAGATCCGTCGTGGAATGTTTACGAATGATTGACTGACCGCAATGCAGAAGAACCCAAGGTGACGGCATTGTGCCACTGCGTCGATTGCCAAAAGGTTTCTCAACCAAATCACATCAAACTGAACGGAGATATTGATGATTTTCCAGTGGAGCGGTTCTGCCTTCACCTCCAACGCCGTCGTTCCCCGCGCATCCTTCAAGGTCACCCAGGGTACGCACACACTCTCATTCCAGCAGTGGAAATACTGACACACGATCCAGGCGAGCCCAAGCACTACGACATCACCGGGGACTCCGGCAAGAACAACAGGCACTTCTTCTGCTCCGGCTGCGGCTCCAGCCTGTACACCGAGCTGGATGTCATGCCCGACGTCACCTGCATCAAGGCCGGCGGACTCGACGACGGCAAGGCGAGCTTGGAGGGAAAGCCCGCCGTGGAGTTCTACTGCAAGGACCGCGTCTCGTACTTGTCGGGCGTCAACGGCGCTGACCAGAAGCCTGCGTTTGGATAAGAAGCGAGGTTGTATTGCTGGTGTCTATGAAGTCTATGAAAATGAAAAGAAAATATTGACACATGTTTCTGGACCGGATGACTCCTGACGTCGTTGAATGAGGTGCGAACGAAACCCCCACCCGTTCACACCAGTGTATGTGAAGCTTGATGGGGTAACCAACTCGTTCAGCGTTCGAACAGGGGAACCTCGTTTGAAACTGGCTCTCGGAGCTGTAAACTTTGGCAAGGGTTCATCCTGAGACCTGACTTCTTAGTGAAGTCTGACCCTCTTGGGCCTTCCACCAAGCCTATGATCAACTCCAGGCGCAGCGACTCCGTTGGTGTGCTGGTCAGCTTCCCACACGAAGTCCTCCCTGCCTTCCTTTCCAGGCCCACGGAACAATACCTTGGTCTCAAGCTTCTTGTCAAACCGCTTGTAAGCCTTGGGAGCCTCGTCAAGATCGACTTCGCTCGTCACGAGAAAGCCGGGCCTGGCCCTTCCACTCTCAATGAGCCTCACCAGCGCCGGCACCGTCTCCAGGAGCTCAACAATGCCGAACTTGATAGTCACAGACTTGAACCACGCATCAGCGAAAGGAAAGCTGAGCTCCTTCTTCATCTGATCCGCATTGGGAGCCCCTTCACTCCTCTCCATCGCCCCGTACAGCCCCGGAACCCCGATGCCACCTCCGAAGGAAGTGACCTTGACGGCCTCGCGGAGGACGTAGTCCTGCTGCGGCTTCAGCTCGGCGTCGACCGCCGCCATCTGCCCGCAGCAGTCGACGCAACGGTTCACGCCGCCCGGGTGCAGGGCCAGGATCTGCTCCGACGCGGTGCCGCCCCGCGTGAAGTTGATGGGGACCGCGCCGATCCCGGCGGCTTTGGCCAGGCGCTGGGGAACGTGGTCGACGACGTAGACGAGAGCCGCGCCGCGGATGATGGCGGAGTAGGCCGCCATGAGGCCGACGGGGCCGGCGCCGAAGACGCACACGATGTCGCCCGCCTGGAAGCCGGACCAGGTGAGGCCCTCCCAGCCGGTGGGGAAGATGTCGCCGATGGGGAGCCATTCCTTGTCTGCTAGTTTCTTGGGGATTTTGAAAAGGGAGCTGTCCGCGTGAGGGACGCGAACGTATTCGGCTGTACCACAACATCAGCATCGGCGATCGCATCTATAGGAGTCAGGAGTGGCACTTACTCTGCAGACCACCCAGGTTCCCAAAGTCCGGACCGAAACCAAAGGAGACGAGCTCAAGCTGCAAGTGATTCCGGGAATCCACGTAGCCGTCCCGGGGCAATCCGACGACGACGCGGTCGCCCACCTTGAAGCTGTCGACGGCGTCGCCGATCTCCTCGACGATACCGACGGCCTCGTGGCCCATTGCGGAGGGGACCTCGCTGCTGGCGAAGAAGCCGTGGTAGGCGTGCAAGTCGGTCCCGCAGAGGCCCGAGGTCGTGATGCGGATGACGGCGTCCTCCGGCTCCGTGATGCGCGGGACGGGGATGTCGTGGTGGACGGCCATCTCGTACGGCTTTCCCTCCCACATGACGCCCTTCATGGTTCTGGGACGCGGGGAGTTGTAATTTGTCATTTTTGAGGAGTTTGAAAGAAATAACGAAGAGTGATTATAATCCTGATGATGGTGTATACTTGTTCAATGGCGCAGACAAACTGCGTCTTCTTATACAAGTGCCAAGGAACCAGTTAGACCCAAGGATCTTCACATGAGAACACCACGGATTCTTTACCAAGGACTAAAGAGGACACATCTGACGAACATGGTGGCTTAAGTATGAAAGTATTGTGATTCGAATGGTCAGACGGGCTTCCTTTGGCCTCACACCGCACTTACTTAAGCCACCGTGGAGCCAAATAGGTAACCTAAATCAGCTTTGAAAGAACAATGCAACCCTACTGAGCACCTGCCAAGAGAAGGAATGAAGAGAAGGGCGCAGAATGACTGACATTGTAGCTACTGTTGAAGTAGCCTACTGGCTAGTTGGGTGTTTGTCGTAGGGCTGACAGCAGAGGGAAGTAAGCTTACCCTTCCGAAGGGCGTTCATTGGATGGCTAATAAGCTACTTTTCTATTAATTAGAATTTGTTGAATGTTTATTCTAACTAATGGAGAGCTTATTAAGAAGAAATCGCCTATCATCCTCATAAAGCCATTCCTACCCTTGATTAGTATGAAAACTTAATACTGCTTCACTTAGTGCCTACACACGTTCAGTCCCAAATCCTCCCAAACCGCGCTTTCTAGATGTTCAAAAGTATTTCAAAACATTCAGTACAATCCCACGCATGTACTGGTGCAACAGAATTCAACAGAACACCCAAGTTCTTCTCGAGGCCCCGCCAATCTGTATGCCAACATCCATCCAGCCACCACCAAACCGCCCGACACCCTACATCGCCAATCATGCCGCATTCGCAAGAACAGCAAGTCCCGTGCTGACCATGGCAATCGTCTCCGCAGCCCTGCGGCCGCGAGAAGCCGACTTGCCACTCGACGTTGGCGCGCCGCTAGGGGCTTTCGTAGAGGTCGACTTCGTTTGGGTGGTGCCGGTGTTGGTATCCGTCGCCGTCTGGGGATGCGCATTGAGATAGCAATCGGCATGGGCCGCGGCGATCTTGAGCCACTCGTGCTGGGCCATATTCGGCTTGGCCCAGGCGACGGGGCAGCTCGTGGACAGGACCGAAACGGTCGAGCTCTTGGCCGTCCAGAACGACACAACCGCCGACACGTAGCTCGCGTAGCTGGACAGGACGTCGGCGGGCGCGGCGGTGGTGAAGCCACACCACGATTTCGGGTCCGATATCGTGCAGGAGAAGAGGTCGAGGCCCGTAGCCGTGGCCCTGCACGGCTTGGCGACCTCAGCGCCGTAGGAGTTCATGCGGGACAGGACGTTGCCCGTGGGCTGCGGGACGTCGAAGTACTGCGTGATGTTCTCCGTCACGCACTGCCAGGGGTCCTCCTGGATTGTGGTGTCCGACGGCAATGGCGATGGTGTCGGTACTTGTTGTCTCTTCGACGGCAACTGGCCCGAGAGAGTTACCGAGGGGAGATCAGGGAGGAATCTTGCTGCCATATTGGCTGCCGACGTGAGTGCGGCAAGTGCACTTGTCAAGATGCTGAAGCGCATGTTTATGAGCGGCGATTGGATCTGGTTACCTTGATATGAAGAGCGGCAAACTGGTGAGAGAGCAGCGGATGGCGAATTTGCAGCAAGGAAGGAGTGCGGAAGAAATATAATTCAAGTTGGAAGTGAAGAAACCACTTGTGAACACAGGGGATATTCGACTTGAAGGACTGTTCGGAGGGAAAGAACAAGGGCAAAGACTGAAGTCATTAGACATCAGAAAGCAACGTCACACCAAAATAGATGTAAGAGTATTCAGTACCGATAAGACCCCTTGCTTCCATCTGCATAGAGCGGGGTACGGGCTATTTGACACCAGTTCTTAGATATTTAAGACACAGCCTGTACCTCCTCCGGGGTTGCCTGGATCAATCATTTTGACAACACACAATCCAGAACCGCTGTACTGCGTGACGCCCATCATGCCCGGTCTTGAGGATATCACCTATTCCCGCGAGGAAACCACCGCCGCCATCAGTGGCTACTACGAATTCCTCATCCGCATGTACCTCAAAGATTCGCAAGTCGTTCGCCCGCCCGCAGGTGGTTGGCCGTCCATAGTGAACGCAGACCCCGAAGTCGTGCAATCCCTGGGCAAAACCGACGAGGTGCTGGCGCTGCTCGCCCACCTACCCTACATCCGCTCTCCCGGCAACTGGAACGATGACGCGGAGGCGGCCCCGGGCTGCCGGTTTGCGGAGTGGCCGCGCCTGCTCACGACCCTCAGCTCGAGCAATGCTATCACCGGCGAAGACATGCGCGCCGCGACCGAGGGCTTCACGTTTGCTCGGCTGGCGCCGCCCCACGTCGTCGGCCTCACCCGTGGCGACCGCGAGAACCCCATCATGGTGTTGGACACGAAGCTGGGCATCATTCACTGGGAGGACTGTATCTCCAGCATTGAGCGCGCCCACTACGGAGAATCAGTCGATTACGAGCCGGATGACGATGTTCCCGAAGAGGAGGCTAATTGGCGTTACAGCGCAAGGGCGTGGGCCATCCCTGATTTCTTCGAGATCCTCAAGCAGCAGTTCAGGACGCTGGACTGGATCCCCATCAGTCACCACACCGTATTGAGCGCTTCGGATAGCGAGGGCACGGATGAAGGGGGCATGGTGGCCATGGTCCAAGACATCTATCGCGAGCATGGCTGGCCCGATCTGACCGTCTATCGCAAAGCCGCTTGCTTAGAGGCGGTGAGGATCGCCATGGCCGAGAGATATCCCAATTCAGCCTGTGGCCGGGGATAACTGGACTCATTTGTTACCCGTCTCGGAAATGCTGCCTGACGTCCTGGGCAGACATGGGAACCATCGTGCTGCTACAGGTAACATAATAGAGTACCCTTAGTAATTCAATTCTGGCGAGATCATCAGCTCAGATCAATGTGTCTCTCGGAAGCCTTACATACCGATTTACCGGCAAGCCTAGCAGCCTAGTAACCTAACTGTAACCGATCTCAACCAAAACTTATTATACCACGCAGAGGTTTAACAAGGGGAGGGGTCTGTCTTAGGCTGATACCAAGTATCTTAGTGAAGACTACCTACAATTACCCTTTACAGCAATGTGCGCGCAGAGGGATCATGTCGCACTCATCGTTGCAGCCCTGACCAACCGCGACATGATTCAGCTGAAGTGTCAATGATCTGATGACGAGCAATTGGCTAAGACCACGCAGATTTTATTGAGTTTCTAGTAGCCAGTTTGGACACTTATTACCTCAGCTGGGCTCTTCAGTGTTGACTTCGTAACGTTACATACTAAAGCATTCATAGTGGTGCAGCTGTTTGCCAAGTCGTCCAGAGTAAGAATCTCAGAGTCAAAAGGGATAGGAGGCTACAGTCACGAGTTACCATCTAAGTAAAACAGCGTCGTTCAGCTGAACCCCTTACCTTTCACCAAGTTCACTCAGTAGCCTCGTGCAGTCCTATACGGGTTCTCAACCCATGAAATCGTGTGCTTGCCGCGTGCATACATAGCAATGCCAGGCGGTATTCTAGACTGCTTACTTCTGATAAGAAAGTTTTATTGTGCCAGATGGTCACTGTGATTCTAGCCATACCCTAGCACTCATCTTCCAACATATGACACCAATTTGGAACCCAACCCTCAACAAGTTCACGGCGAACTCTTGCTCTTTCAGGCATCACCTGCAATAGCCAGAATGCAATCTTTTCGCGTCGTCATTTTTTGGTTGGCCGCAGCGGCTCACGGAGCCATCAACCTAGATGGCTCCAGGGCTGTCGAGCCAGTCTCGGCGGACGACCCTTCACCCATTGCTGACACCCTGGCTTACATGCCGGACCAGCACGATTGCCCGTTGCCGTGCAATGCCGACTACGCGAATGTGCACAAGTGGACTCCCTATCACTCGGTCCATCGTCTAAAGCGCTGCAAGCTGCCCATGCTTCTGCATTTCTCAGTGCTGCTTCCTCTGGAAAACCCTGATACCGACGTTCTCATTCGGAGTTGTACCATCGGCGCCGATCCGGACTCTGCCGGAGACAGGACCGTCATCAACGCAACTTCCATACACATGGACAACCCCAAGAACGCAACCAACCTCTTCGAAGTCAGCACGGAAGCCGCCCCGGCGTGTGCCATCGACGGTCGAGAAACCAATGATGTGCTTAGGCTCATCATGACTGGCGGCGGGCGGCAATCCAGCGGGGAAATAAAGCATTTGCTGGGCGGGATGAAGGAGTTCTTCGACTCGAAGGAAAACTGCGACAGGACTTTTCTCTTTGCATGGCACAAAGAGATAGTTGCCGGCATTCACATTGGCCCCGGCCTGGGCAAGCGATCCGTGGAGTCTGCTCTACGGGCAGTTTTAGGCCGGCTCGAAAGCGGCGGCGACTCGATGCCCAACCGCACTGTTGCCCAGATCTGTGCCGGTGGACAGGGGCCTGAAACCATCTTTGGTCTCTCCATTGACACTACTGGCAATATTGCTGCGATGCAGAGAACCGCAGTGGCATGGAGTCAGGGAGAATGCGCTGTCGTCGCTGGCGATATTCAGCCCACCACCGAGCAGGAGACTCTCAAAGTCCAGGTCTTTGACATCGCCTCGGCGCCCCTGACGGATGTGGGTGACGAGAATAGGACCACAACGAACAACACCTCGCGAGGTCTCACAGGCTCAGAAAAAGGGACAGCCGGATCCCGGGTGTGGTCAGGCCTTCTCGGCAAACGCGCAACGTGCCGCTATCGCCGAGTCGACCCGGGCGACGGCTGCGCTTCTCTCGCATCCAAGTGCGGCATATCGGGCGCAGACTTCACCAAGTACAACCCGAAGCAGAACCTATGCTCAACTCTGAAGCCGGGAGATCACGTCTGCTGCTCCGCAGGTGACCCGTACACGGAGAACAAGCCGCAACCCCCCAAGCCGAACGCCGACGGGAGCTGTGCGGTACGCGTCATCAAGGACGACGACAACTGCGACAAGCTCGCGCGGACCTTCGGCCTGACGGTGGCCGAGATCGAGTCCTTCAATAAGGGCAAGACCTGGGGCTGGACCAAGTGCGAAAAGATGTTGGCCTCGTACAACATGTGCCTCAGCCGCGGGACGCCGCCGCTGCCGCCGCCGCAACAGGGCACCCAATGCGGCCCGATGGTCCCCGGCACCACGTGGCCCGACAAGTCGGTGCCCATGACGGACCTCAATCCGTGCCCGCTCAAGGCGTGTTGCAGCAACTGGGGCTTCTGCGGGCCCTTCGGCGTGCACTGCGACGTCCACGCCCCCGCCGGCGGCGGGCCGGGCACGAAGCTGGTCGAGTTCGCGAGCACCTGCATCTCCAACTGCGGGAATGCGATCAAGCAGAACTCCGGGCCGCCAGCCGTCTTCTCCCGCATCGGTTACTACGAGTCGTGGAACCTCGACCGCGAGTGCCTCTGGCTCAAGGCGGAAAACGCCAACACCGACGGCTCGTACACCCACGTCCACTGGGCTTTCGCCGACATCGACCCCAAGACGTGGAAGGTTGTCATCAAGGACCCTCACAAGCAGTGGCAGGCCTTCAAGAGTCTGCCTAACGTCAAGAAGATTATCTCCTTTGGTGGCTGGGCCTACTCGACCGAGCCTGCAACGTACAACATCATTCGCCAGGCCATCATTACAAACCGGGAGACATTTGCTACAAACGCGGCCAAGTTCGTCATAGACGAAGGTATTGACGGCATTGATATCGATTGGGAATATCCCGGGGTATGTTCTCTGGCTCTCCTCAACGAGTTGTGCACATGATTAATAACACACCATGCTCGTAGGCACCCGACATTATGGTGGATGGCAAGCCTATCGGTCAGACGGGAGACGGTATCGCCTATCTCAAATTCTTGACGGTCCTCAAGAACAAACTGCCGTCAAAATCAGTATCGATCGCAGCCCCGGCCTCGTACTGGTACTTGAAGGCATTCCCAATTGACAGAATTGCTGCGGTGATAGATTACATTGTGTATATGTGAGTTTGCTTTCCTGGCCTACGCCGCTCGCGATGCATTTCCCACTCCTCCTCTCTCAATCTTTTTCGTGGAGTTACCTTCCTTTCGCCTCTCGGTCTGACCCAAGTATGTCGTTTGATACTGATCATTCATTCCATATGAAAAGGACCTACGATCTGCATGGCCAGTGGGACTACGGTAATCCGAACGCCTTCGACTCGTGTGATTCTGGAAAGTGCATCAGGAGTCACGGTAAGAGACATGCCCCATATCTCGGTTCTACCGATACACACAAGTGGCTGACTCTGTCTTCTTCCTCGGTGCTAGTCAATCTGACTGAGACATACAACTCTCTTTCAATCAGTACGTAAACTACTCGATCTCTCACAAGTCGATCTTAGCTTTACTGACTTGCTCCCTCTATAGTCACCAAAGCCGGCGTGCCCAATAACAAGATCTTTGTTGGCGAATCAAGCTACGGCCGGTCTTTCCGAATGGCTATCGACGGCTGCTGGGGACCAATGTGCGAGTTTACCGGCACTCGGCTCAAGTCAAATGCGAACAAGGGCAGATGTACGGACACGGCTGGCTACATCTCCAATGCCGAAATCAATGATATCATTCGGGCTGGAGGGGGCCGAATGTTCCACGATCACAATTCCAACACTGATGTTCTGCTATACAAAGGTTCGTCCCTTTTCCACGGCTCCAGTTGCCAGATGAAGTCTGATGCCTCCGGGTCCTGATATCTTGGTCTCAACCAACCTATGCTTTTCTCGTTTGGCTCACCAACCTTCTGCCTGTCTTGCCGTGGATTCACCCACTGACACGGCACACATCACAGGTGACTACGTCAGTTACATGACGCCGGCGACAAAGGATACCCGGCGAGCCGACTGGAAGAGGCTGAACTTCGCCGGCTCCATCGACTGGGCCGTCGACCTCCAGGCCTTTCGCAAAGAAGACGTGGAAGCGCCGGTGGTCCCGCCCAAAGCCGGCGAGACCGGCTGCGTGTGGGGTGAGAGCCCGGACCTGAACGCGGACAGCCTGTGCCAGTTTTCCTGCAACTACGGGTTCTGCCCGGACAGCATCTGCATTTGCATCCTCACAGGGCCCGTCAAGCCACTGCCGAAGGTCGTGAGCACGGGCGAGTTCGTGGCATGGGACGAGTTCGACATGGACCTCCACCGCCTCTGCAAGTTGGCGTGCAAGTATGGGTACTGCCCGCAGGGCACCTGCGGCGTCCCCGTTGTTGACGAGTGGGACGACGGCTCCGTCGACCCGGAAGACCGGCCGACTGGCGGCTTGTGGGACGCGGAGAAGAACGACGCCGAGAACACGAAGCAGTGCTTCCTCTACAAGACCATGAAGAACTCGGATATTAGCTTGAAGCATTGCTACAGCACATGCCGGGTGGTCGTCGAAGAAGCCATAGCCGAGGGCCGCGTCACAAACTACGGCTGCATAGGCTTCTGGCCGCTCGACGAGCCAATCCCGTGGACTCAGTATCCGGGGACGACGGACCCTGACAGCGTCTACGCCGTTGGGAGGTGTTCATGTGACAACGCGCTGATCAACACCTTTACCGAATTCGTCCTCGACGCCCTGCCCATCATCGCTCAGGTAACGTTTTAACCCATTCCCATTAGCCGTGGCTAACCTGTGTTTCTTTGCAATGTGGCTCTAACGATGCGTACGTACCAGATCGGATGCTATATGATCATGTCAACACTGAAGCTCGTCCTCGACATAGGTTTGGCAGCAATTCCTGGCGTAGGCAGGATTCTAGATGCTGGGTTGGGCAAGTTCCCAATTTCCTTGTTCTGTTCTTGTCCTCTCCACTGTCGCCTCTCCTTCTTCCGGTTTAAGGAAGCTCAACAATGAGTAACTCTGACACTCCTTGCGCAGATGCGGCAACCACAGCGGCCCAAGTGATCGCATACGCATACGACAAAGGCGAGGATCCAGTCGGAGCTTACGAATGGTGGCTCAGTCCGTGTGGCGGGACCGACCTCGTGCCCGACGACATCAAGAAGGTCTACGACATCCTCAGCACCGTCGCCGACGGCGTCTCGAGCTTCAAGAAGCCAAAGTTCAAGAAGGGCAGCGGCAAGAAGGGGGACGCCGCCAACCCCAAGGACCGGGCAAAGCCCAAGGCCGGCACGGGTAGCGGGCCCAACGGCACTGGAAACAAAGGCGTCGCGAAGCAGAAGAAGTGCAACGTGCCCCCGAACAAGACCAGCGTCATCATGGGTTCCTACAAGAACACGCTCCGGGTGCAGTCGTGCGTCCCTGCCGCCGGTGGCGCAACCACGACGACCAAGACCGACTACGTCATCACCTCGCTGGCGTTTGGGGCCAAGCCGACGACCGAGCTCCGGCACTGCAAAAAGGAATGGTCGCAGGCGTGCTTCCACTACAGCTCTGCCATCGCCCAGAACCCCCAGTGGGAGGTCCTCAAGTGCCCTCACGGAGCAGTCAGGAACCCGGAGACCACGCGCCCCATCGTCAAAAGCTGGTACGACGTGCATCACGAGAGCTGGCGAAGGCCGGCGGATCGTGCATATAAGGGAGAGTGTCAAGCCGACGAGTACCCGCCGCGCTACCTCCTCGCTGACAGCAGTCCGATAATCAAGAATGCCGGGTCGCTGGGAGGCCAGCTGATACGATACTTGCCAGACAAGGAAAACGGTGGTGCTGCGGCTATGTGGAAGGGCGTTTGCTTTGCCCCCCACATAGCAAAAATGACCAATGCCGAGTTTCTGGCCAAGTGGAATTCAGGGCCCTTGTCGAAGAAGAACTCAATTTCCAAGCAGGGCCCGGGCACCACCAAAAAGGAAGCCGAAGTCCCGGTCGACGTTGTTCCTTCCTTCAAGATCGGTTCGTACGACCACTCCTCCAACCCCCCACGCGATCACGGCTTGTGGGACAACAAGTGTTGGCCGAGGCAAAAGGCGGCCAACGATCCGGGCATGACTCTCTTTAGCTGGGATCTGTGGTACAAAACCCACAGCCACCTGTATGATTTCTCGCAGCCGTACGCGAAGGGGACCAACGGGGCATGAGTATCTGTTTCGGAAAACGTGGGGTCGGTCCTGTCTGGCTTGACGCAACTGGACATCCGTTTACAAAGACCAGTTTTAAGACTATCTAGGTAGTAAACTGAGGTCATAACATGACTGATATTATTTCACTGAGAAGTGATTGTCAAAGTTCAGAGCCATTGTGACCCTCTGGTATGTGAATAAAGCTAGCCGGAACTAGAATATCCCATTTATAAGTTTTTTGAAGTAGATTTTCAACAAAGTAATAGATGTGTCTTCTTCTTCTCTCTGCTTGCTTTCCGAGAAGTAGTCACTTTTTAAGGCGCAAGGTAACCATGACAGGCAAAGGCAAGCTCGTTTCGAGAGATAAGACCCCCAGAATCTATTAGTGTTTGATCGTGATGCACCGCCAGCAGCAGCTCACACAGTCCACCCTACAAATAAGAAACAACAATAGTAAACAACAATAGTACTGTTAGCCGTAGTAGTATCCACACTAGAAAATAAAGATCCCTAGAATACAAGTTACCACATTAAATTTTGTCTGAGATGTCTTACCTGGGGGGTTCAGCTATCGTTCGGGACTCTGGTTCATGGAAGCATGGATCAATGATACGCGCTGAGACGGTCGAGGAACTTTTGCATTGTGATGAAGCCGTGCGGTCGGGCCGTCTTGCGGTTCTCTGACAAGGTTGCATTCGCCAGTAATTAACCTTAAGTTGGTAACGAGAAGCGGATCAGCCAACCAGTAGAGGTGTTCATGGTTAGGGGCGGGTAAGCCAGGGGGGCCTTGTTATCGTTAAAACCAGCACATCTAGCTTTATATGAGGATGCAGCACCCCAACTGCATCTTGAGGCGGGGCCGTTGGGCATGGTTTCTCGTCAACGCCAACGAACTGTGTGGCTTTGCATCTTTGGACCAACACAAGCGAAGCATCGTCTAGCCCAGTCGAACCACTTCCGAAAAACCTCTGCCTCACAACCCATGAAACCAATCCATTTCACCGCTTGGCGCCAAATCCAATTCTTTTCCACGAATGGGAACTCCCGGGTGGATGGTGGATAATTGAATGATTTTGGCTGAACAGCCGGTCTTCAGCGAAAGATACCCAAGACGAGACCAGCAAATTGAGGCAATCCCGAACGTGAGAAGGGTTCACATCCGAATTGTCCGAGACAGGGTTTATGGAGCGAGCCGAGGCACATCAGATTACTTCGACGGGCTCCACAAGAAATTAGGGATGGCATTTCGTGGTTTCTGGAATGTGGGTTTGCTTGAGATTGTGTTGAGACAACAACACCGCAAAAATCATTGTTGAAAACGGACGTCAACGTGAAGTAACGATTTGGATGATAGTAAAAAAACCAATCATGATATTGTATTCACATTGGACACTTTTGAGTTCAGGCGGGGTTTGGACGAGAAAAGATAGGTCCAAAAGACGCCTAGCTACAACGCACGCACGTGTTGATGAAGAAGGCGAAGACAGTTGTACGTTGAGGTAAAGAGAGCATGAACTCTGTTCTACCTGTTCGTACTTTTGCATTTCTCTACATAATATTTCGAACCATCTTCCTTCACGATCAGTCTTTTATGAAGATTGAGTACGTTCTTCCGGATACAGTGAGAGTCTCTTGCAGTGAAAGTTCAGATATTGCATTCACAGGTAGATTAAGGTAGTTGTTGCACAGATGGTGAGTGCGTGGCGGACTGATTAATGGCTATGCCATCACTGCCTTCAATTGCTTGTAGGGGTAGCAGTCGACTCGATTGTCGGTTGCAAGGAAGAAACCTTTGAATCTGCGACATGTGCTGCTTCCGAATGATAAATAGGTCGTTGGCTCGTCGATACTATCTCAGACACTGAAGTCGTTATTCCTATAGCGAGCCGAGCTGTCGCAAATGTGGAGTTCCTCCTGGTAGTGGAAGCTCCTGCTGCGTGAAGTGTCAAATTCTTTCCGCCGTGAGGGATCTTGAGCACTTTCTCAGAGTTCATGGGTGGTCTGAAAAAGATACTTAGCTAGCAGCTCTAACTCTTGCGGTTGATTTCCAAACTCACCCGACACACACGTAAGTGGATTTCGTGTACTCGAAGTCATCACACTGGATGTACATTAATGGATTCCAATCTTGAAGATCCTTTGGCGTAGCCCCGTACTTTTCACCCAGAGACTCGCATGAGTCGCCAGGTTGGATGAAATGAACATCGCACTTGGCAGGCATGCACAGTTCTTGTCCCGCTTCGAGACCGTTGCACCATCCGTTGATAACATCATTCGCCTCGATGAGGCCTTTTGACGAAACACTCTGCTCGGCCGAAATTCTCTCGCAAGTATCGCCGTCTCGTACATGGTACGTAGAAGCGCAGTCGGCCGACATACGCTGAGCGGACCATCCAAGAGCTGCAATGGTGGACTCGGCTGGCGCCGCAGATGCCGTGCTGTGTGTGCTCGGCTGGGTGTAAGTGTAGCCTGTCTTGCTGCAACTCAAGACGGCAGCCTGGAATTCGATAGCCCGGTCCTCCGTGTGGCCGATTTCCGAGTTGACCTCGATTTCCATCGGCCCAAGGATACAGTCGTGGCAGTCGTGTGGACCATCATCAGTTTGGTTCCTCCATGTGCCCAAAATCGAATCGCAAGGCTCTCCCGAGTCGCTGCAGGGTGTCAGATCGATACTTCCGCATCATTCATCTGCAGATAAAGCCATACCGGTCCGTGTAACAAGAAATCTCATAGGTGTAGATATACCGGTCCAGAATGTGTGTTGCTGTGATAGACTCGTGTTAAGAAATGTACCAAGACAGTGAGTGTCTAGCGAATGAGCTACTGACCAGGGAACAGTGTTAGACCATGATCGAGTAAGTCGTTTTTAGGGTCGCAGTCGCTTTCGATTCGGGACCGCAAATCTTCCATTGATTGTCTGCATTCAGCAGTGCAAATCGTGGCTATGCCATCGGCATCAAGGACGTCGACCCTGTGTGATCTAACAGCGCAATCATCAGCAACGATCGAAGTATTTTCAGATTCGAGGTGGTGCTCAACTACGTACTCGAAATTCGCATGAGAGGCAAGCCGTCCCGAGCATTCCAAGGTGGTGTTGAGCGTGCGAAGGCATGATGCACTCAGATCGAAGTACTCATAGGAAGAGACGAAGCCCGTGAACTGCTGTGCCAGGGCATAGGGCATCAGGATGACCAGAATTCTCGATATGAAGGCCATGATGGGCTGGCGCCGGTGGAAATCGAAACAGCAACTGGAGTTTGGGGTTGGTATCGGGAAGCACAACAGCTTCCGGAAGAGTTGGGGAAGATCGGGGCTCTCTAGAGAACCCATCGGGTCTCAACTGACTTGGAGCTGGACATAAAGAACTGGATCCTTGTCTCTCCTTCCGTCAAGACTTGAGACCTTTGGAGGTCCACCTTCATCGATAGTCCAGATGTCCCTACTGAACCCGCCTGTTCTGTAATTTCCCAGTCCCCGCTTCAGTTCGCCCCGACATGGACTTGTTGGTGAAGAACTAACCTTAATATTGGTCTGCAAGCGCTGCAGCCGCATGGGTTCACGACGAATACCTGATGAGGAAGGAGAATTCGAAGAGGAATACGGGTTGACCAACACAATTAGCCTCGGCGGCCGGTTATCCCGGCACCGCGGTTGAACATGAAGCTACCGCGGCCAAAGGTGACGATTTGTCATTTGAGGCTTGCGGCCCGAAGAGATTTTCATCAGCTCTTGGCGTTGGTCGTACGACTTGGCATCTCTTCCCGCTGCGAAAGTGTGAATCCATCAGCTTCTCGGAGGGAACTCCATTTTCTGGTAGTCGAGACCAGCAATGGACCAAAGGTTCTTAATGAGTCCTGGGAAGTCCTTTGCCTAATCAGGGCCATGGGCCGGATCTGCAATTAAACGCACCAATAGGTTTGTAGGATAGGTTTTGCACCGAGGGAACGACTCCACGAGGAACCAACAAGACAAAGCCAACAGCATCCGGATCCTTGCCTTAATACCGTTTACAACGATGTGAGGTAACCTACCTCTCGACCCTGAAAGTGTGACCAACGGAGCCGAGCTGCTGTTGAGATGAGCTCATGCGATTTTCAGGACTGTCAAGCTTTTTTGGTTATCGATTTTGCATGCTTTGACCCGTTTCCGCTAGTTCTCCCCATACAGGCTCGCATTCCTTTCGTCTAGACTTACCGGACCCCTGCAGGACCCCTACTTGCACATGCTCCAATCGAGTCATGGTCTCGTGTAATTCGCAAGAATTCGATCTCGGGCCCAAAGGGCAACTCACTCCGCCAAGCAGGCAGGCGGCCGAAGAACCGCGCAAACCGAAGCTGTCTCGACTCGCGAGTTGCGGGCCATCGGGTTGTCCATGTCGTCCATGGCCAAAGTTGGGATGCGTCAATAACCGGCATTCTAAGTGGATTGCAAGATGTCTTGATACCTCCTGGTGTCGTGGGCGGCTTAATCTTCCTTTGCCCATATGCCCCTCGATTCAAGCTAATCTTTCTTTACTCCTCCGTGACTCTCTGGTCTTCAGCAGCTTGGTTGCGCATGCATTCCTTTTACCGTTTCTCCTTGAGATCGTACCATCGCTCCATCAGCACTCATGAGGCTGCTCGTTTTTCTTCTTACGGCCCTGTCCTGGGCAGACATCGTCCTAGGACGGGCGGCTTTTGCCCATTTCATGGTAAGTCCGGCGTTCCAAGAGGTTTTACGAATGCTCTAGCCTCGTCTCATGCCTCTCATCGTTCAGGTTGGAAACACAGAAAACTACTCGGCAGCCGATTGGACCGACGATATTACACTGGCACAAGAGGCTCACATTGATGCCTTCGCTCTCAATATGGCCAAGGGAGAGCCAATGAATGAGAAGGCCATCGCAAGCGCTTTTTCCCATGCTGAGGCCTTAGGGTTTAAGCTCTTCTTCTCTTTCGACTATGCTGGCCGAGGGCCCTACTCCAAAGCAGAGGTTATTGGATGGATCACCAGATATGCCTCCAGCAGCGCGTACTTTAGGCACAACGGGAAGCCTCTTGTTTCCACCTTTGAGGGCCCTGATCAGGCCGAAGACTGGATCGATATCAAGGCCCAGACAGGGTGTTTCTTTGTGCCTGACTGGTCATCCTTGGGTGCTGGTCCAGCTGTTCGCGCCGCCGGTGGCGTGGCTGACGGTCTTTTTAGCTGGGCTGGATGGCCATGGGGCTCCCAGGACATGGACACCTATGTCGACGCCTCATACATGGAAGCGCTGGGGGACAAACCATACATGATGCCAGTGTCGCCATGGTTTTATACTAACTTGCCTGGTTATAGTAAAAACTGGCTATGGCGTGGCGACCATCTGTGGTATGATCGCTGGCTTCAAGTTAACTTCCTTATGCCTGAATGGATTCAGATTATTTCTTGGAACGACTACGGCGAAAGCCACCACATTGGTCCCATTCGCGATCATGCCCTGGTCGCCTTCGATACTGGCAAAGCTCCCTACAAGTACTCGCTGGATCACCATGGCTGGCGTGCCTTTCTTCCGTATTCTATCGACCGTTACAAGAACAACAAAGCGGCCATCACGAAGGAGGGTGTCTCTTTCTGGTACCGTCCTACGCCCAAGGGTGCTTGCAACTCCGGCGGAACAACTGGCAACACTGTCTCCCAGCTCCAGATCGAGTTTCAGCCAACTGGCATGGTTGAGGACTCGGTCTTTTACACAGTTCTCGTAACTTCTGAGGTAACAGTCAAGGTAACCATCGGAGGCGTTCAGACCAATGGCCAGTGGAGAGATTTGCCTGACAGCAAAGTTGGTCTCTGGCATGGTAGCTCACCGTTCAATGGCCGAACCGGAGAGGTCCAGATCACCGTCTGGCGCAAAGACGTTCTCATTGCTGACCTCACTGGCCCGGCCATCAAGAACGATTGCCATAACGGCATGACGGGTTTTGACGCTTGGGCTGGAGGACGTTTGACCTCAACTGTCTCCAGACCTATCAACAGCCCGTCTCTTGCCGATGAGGTATGCGTGAGAGGCACAGGTGCCAAGGGATTCGACGTTCTCTGCCAAGCCACATGCTACTGGGGATACTGCCCGAGGAGCGCATGCGTCTGCCAGCAGATGGGTGCTCAGAGACCGCTGCCAAAGGAGGTGCCTGGCGAGGTCTATCCGGCCGAAGGTTTGAACTCGAACTACATCGGGCTCTGCAACTACGCCTGCCTCTATGGTGCGTGCTATGCGTCATACTGCGGCAAGGACCCCCACCCTCTCATCGAGCCTACCGTTTCCCCTTTCCGGCCCCCTTCCTGTATTTCAGGTACCGGCCAAGGGGAATGGGAGGTGCTGTGCGGCTTCACCTGCCGGCACGGCTTCTGCCCCATTGCTAGGTGCACATGCAATGCCCAGGGTCCTCTCGACCTCCTCAACCCAACACAGGCAACAAAAGCCGTCAGTCGGACCGGCGATGACCACGGCCTTTGCGGCTTTGCTTGCGCCAGAGGTTTCTGTCCTTCCGACATTTGCAACAGCGGAAACGATCCTGAGCAACAGACCGATCCTGTCGACGATTTTGAAATCCCACATTTGGACCAAGACTGCACGCGGTTCTCCGATTGCGTCGATTTGGACAACCCACAGGCATCGTCTTGTGGAAAAGGCTACCGACGCCAGGGATATGACAAGGCGGGTTGCTCGGGCAACTCTGTAAGTAACACCATATCTTCTTCTCCAGTTCGCCTCAGATTTGGCATGTTGACTGACATCAACCGGTCAGGCGAGACCCATCTGTTGCAAAGACTCGACTGTATCTCCTGATTCATGTACATGGAGAGGCAGTGGAGGAGACTGCAACGGCCAATGCCACCAGGGCGAGGCTACGCTCTTCGAATCGAACAGGGGCGGCTCTCCAGGCGAGAGCGGCGATGGGCAGTGCAGTCGTGGAAAGAAGGTCTTCTGTTGTGAGCTTAAGACGTTCGGTACACTAACAGGCCAATGTCGCTGGTCACCATGGTACGTTCCAACATTGTTCCCCCAAGATGAAATTGAATTGGTCTTGCTGACAGCATCTAGCGGTTCCGGCTGTGACGAGGACGAGACTGAGACTGCGTCAGCGTATGCATTGAGCGAATACTGCTCTAACGACTTCTTGAACAAGAAGGTGGGACAGAAGTTCTGCTGCAAGACTGAGGTGCCGCCTCTAGACAACTGCCACTGGGTCGGCCAAGGGGACTGCGCAGACAACAATTGCAACAACAAGGAAGTCACTTTGAGAACCAACCCCAGTGGCGCCAATTCAAACCAATGCTTTTGTAAGTACCGAGCGACCCTGAGAGACTACCACGCTAACGTCGGTTCAGGGTCGAGGAAGAAGTCACTCTGCTGCACACCCAGCGATAGGTTCTTCGAGATTGCGTCAGAAGATAGCTTTGAAGACGTGCTTTGCACCGAGAAAGACACCCGTCCAAGCTGTGAAGTGGATGAGTGGGATCAGCAGTTTATTTCAGATGAGGTGGAGGAGGAAGTATGCAAAACCGACGAGAAAACCGAGCTCCGGAGGAGTTCTCACGAGAACAGCATGCCTATTCTGTGGCCTCTTCCTATCGAGGAGAGAATGAACGAGTTGGACAAGAGAGCCAAGAGAGATCCAATGAAAGTAACCTTCGAGGGTGCAAGAATCGTCATATCTATCGCAGCTATGCTTCATCCAAGTATAGGCACTCTTTTCAGGGGCTCTGGAAGAGGTGGTACCCCTTCAAACTACGTTTTTCGGTATGTATACTCCTGGCAATGTCCCTCCCCATCATTCACCGTCTTTCCACTCTGTTCTCCGTCTATTCGTAAGCGTATACTGACAAAATGATGGAACAGAATGGTCCAGAGGGGTATCAGACCGGACGTCACAAGCGAGCACCGCACCGCCGCCGGACAACTCTCGGGAAGATACGAAGCAGAGCACAACCCAGATCTGCAGATGATGCGCGATTTCACAATCTTTGCGATTGATGGCACCTTGCCGCGCAGTGAAGAAATCGTGAATGAAGCTCGTATCAGTGCTGAAGCTTTCCACAGAGTTTGGAACTCGGATACAACGAACATACAGTTCCCCACGGTCGGGTCAAGAACCTGCTACGCAAACCTCAACGACTACCTAATGGATCGATTTGGGTCAACGCGCTACCCGAGGCCGTTAGTCGCCACCGAAAGCAAGTTGAATCGGTGCAAGGGCAAGATTTTCAAATTCAACGATCCCATTGAGAATGGCAGGCTGAGAGAAATGATTGCGGACGCGGTCACCGGCGACAAGGCAGCGACCGATAAGCTGTTCGGAGAACTTCGATTGGTATGTTCCATTCTTTCTCACTTTTGCGGAGATCTTTTTCGCTGACCCGCAGCTCCCGGCACAGGTCATTGGCACTTTCAACTACATCAGGCATCCTGACCTTCAACCCACCCTCAGGCAAACTAGACAAGAGCTGCGAGAGGCAATGACGTTCATCGGTCAGCAGTATCCGTCACTCAGGTCACTACCGGACATTTACGAGCGGTTCGAACCTCTTTGGTACGCAAGAGCAGCCAGCATTAGTCGTGAATGGTTAGAAGAGCGGCTCAACTGGATCGAGAGGGAAGTTGACACACGCATCGCTGCTGGTCGGCGGCCCCCAAATGCGACCGTTATCTTGGCCCGTGTGTTACTTCTCAGAAGTCGCCTATCAGACATGAAAGGCCCTCCGCCACTCTAACTGTGGGAATGATTCCATAGCTGATGGGAATGGCGGGGCTTTGAGGCAGTGGCGGTCGATTCCAACGGATGTTCACCACTACCGTCCACGTATTGTATCTTAGCTCTCTGCACATCATACTGACTATCGCGACGCCATTTAAGTCTTCTTTTTTTCGAATTTGTATTCATGTATCTACGCATGCCCTTGAACAAATTTACCAAGTTCATGAATAGATTTACCAGTTGTATCGTTTTGATTACAACTTTGGGCCAATTCAATTTGTTCGCAGTAGAACAACAAAGGCTTGTCCAGGCTGACGACCGCTGAAGAGTTTTACGCCTATTCCGGCATTGATAAACCACTAAAGCCAGGGCTGATTATAGGCGGCCTGGCATAGAAGTCGTCGAAATCCACCACTCCATAATTTTGAGAGAGTTCGTCATAGAACGACGTCAAATCCAGTGCCCTGGTATAAAGCCATCCCACATTGCGTTTGTCGGTGCCCTCAATAGGCGGAAATCCTCGGTCTTTTTTTGGGACGCCTTTGCGACTAGGCGTCCACTGGCTGTCGACTAGCACGATGACCATGGGGGGTCGGCTGTACTGGGCGATTTGCCCGACAAAGTCTCCTTCGGAATTCTGGAACTGCTCGAGCGTATCGAGACACTTCTGGTCCACATACAGACAGTATCGGAAACGGGCTATTCGTTCGGCGATCAGGGGCGTCTTGACACTTTCGCAGGGCTGATTGGCGATGTGCTCCGAGACCCAGCCGGCGAAGTGCCTCCTCACATCCGCCTTGGAGGCATTGTCCAGGCTGTCGCGATCCTCAATGACGTCCCACTGCAGGTACTTTTCCAGGATCTCGGCGCGCTCGGCGCGCACCAGCTCGCTGTGGATGTTCTCCTTCAGCTGCGCCATGTAGCGGTTCCAGAGGTCGTCGTCGCCATAGGCACAGCGGTATATCACGAAGCCCCATTTGTGGTAACCGGTACGGATCATGGCCAAGAAGAGATCTCCGAACCGGCGGAAGTAGTGGTTGGGAGGTTTTGCTGCAGCCGACATGTCCTCGAGCGTTCGGGCATTGAAGGTTTCCATCTTGGCGGGTTTGGGTGGGCTGGGTAGGCTGGCGGCGGCGGAGCGGCGACGTGCGAAGTGGCTGAATGAAGTTGAAAATGAGGATTCTGACTGGTACCGGAGACGGAGGAACGGTGAGTACCGCGAAGGCCTCCTATTCAAGGACAAGACCCTTAGCACATTGCTCATTGCTGATGTGGACGAGGTTGTGGGCTGTTGGGGAGGGCATACCAAGCACACATGGGGATGGGGATGGTCGTTTGATCTTGTATTTAAGTGCGGGAGCCCCGTTTGTTGGCAACAAATCGGCTATCTGCATAGTCGGTCCTCGAGCTTAAAAGAGACGCTGCATGGGCCCACGCATGGACAGGGGTACCTACACAATATGGACAGGGGTAAACATCCAAGAATTCCGTGAACCTCGTGAACCCCTCCTCCTCCCATATGACGCCGTCAGATGATGGTCAACCTATATACTATAGTTTAAGCACTCAAATTGGTGAGATGTTCTCTTGAGTATTAACCTTTTACTATCTCTATAGGTAGCGAGGTGTTTCTACTCAGTATTATAGTTACTGCTCACTTACACAAGGAAAGAAGGCAAAGGATGACCCCGACCTCATTGAAGAGGATCAGAAAGAATGGCTTTTGTTATTCTTATTGCATGTGGAAAAGTATGAAAGAAGAAAAGGCAAGAAAGGTCAAGAGCCTAGGCTGATCTCGCACCTTCCCATTGGAACTTCTAGTAGCATGGAATCGAACTCACCTCGCATCCGACTGCCCGATTCAAGAACGTCACTTTAGCCCAAGACTTTCCTCAATCTAAAATTGCATCAGAACCATAAACGACTATGCGAAAAGATCTCTTCGGACTGCTGGAATTCGTGCGAGTAACCTAATTTCTAGCAACTCGCTTCCCACATGAAGGCCTCTTCCTCACTTCGCCAACTGTGGCCTGCCACTCACGAAGACAATTTCCCGCCTTCGTTCTCCATCTGTTTTCAATCCCTTCACCATCCAAAACACCGTTAAATCTCACCCTGTTTTTAGGTGACTATCCACTTAATTTTTGTGCGTGGTAGCTTCATCAGCCTTTTCTATCGTCCTTCGAAAACACCCTGGGCCTCACCTACATCCGCGAGAGATTCATGTCAATTCTGTACCCGACGTCTTCTCAGTCAGTTTGGATATGGCATCTATTGCCAACCCGTATGCGCAGTTGCTTCAGGCTCTCGACATCCAAGCAAAAAACAAAACAAGACCTGCTGTCTCACAGCATTTTGAAAGCAAACGCGTTTGGTGCATCATTGCCGTCAACGACGTCTTCTGGCCGGGATATGAGAAATCTCATCTTGCAGGCAGTCACGATTTCGGTAACAATAACTTGTACGCGACCTCCGTGTTTGGTCATAGAGCCTTCGTGACCCCGAGATTCGCATCAACTACGGCTTTCGAGAAATTCGGAATGGCGTATCGGTCGATGAGTTCGTTTTGCTCATGACCATTCCGGTCAATGCCGTGAAAATAGTACCCGAAAGTACGGACGTCTCAATGGATCGGAATTTCTTCACGGGGGGATATCAACCTCCGATTGCTTGTCAATCTCGACAAAATACTCTTTTCGCGGCCATCCGAGATGCCAAAAAGAGCGGAGCTTGCTGCCGGCGTCGGCCACAAACTCGCTTCATTGAAGATGTGCGGAATTGCCGTACGATTACCCCCAAGGCTGCAGCTTCTCAGTCCCACGTAACCCTAAGTTCTATTGCAGTATGTTCCATCCATAAATAGTTAGAGACCCAACAGGGGACAGGGATGGTGCGCGGTTTGTCTGCTCGTCACTTTTACTAGGATATACGAACTCGGGCAGGAGATCCAGCCCCATCTTTATCACCAACCGCTTATAAGAACAACCAACATCTCACTCCCTCTTTTTCGGACGTGACAGCAATCCTCAACAGCATACATCCCACATCATCATTCCATCCTACCTTCACCAGGAAATATCGCACAACCCTAAAAGTCACCAGCCGCGTCTCACAGCATGGCAGACGATTATTTCGCAGTGCGCAAAATCGAAGATCTTCCTAGACAATGCCCCAGGGGGATATACGACGTATTCGACAGGACTTGCGCAAACATGAGAGATCTCAACTATCACACTTGGGGCTTCGTCGTATATCGTTGCACCTATGATGATGAAGAACTCTGGGCCCGCTACCTCAAGCAGCTCAAGGACTTTGCCCATGAATATCTCGTCGAGAATCGTCGAGCGGAGCTGTTGGGACAGTACCTCGATTTTCATGTCATCGAAGATCGCGCCACCCTTGAGAATGCTTCGAGACAGGATTTGAGGCGACATTTCAACCAATGGGTTTCGAATCAGAACCTCCCCGCCGGCGACGGCTTCTTCTGGAGCAAAACCGTGGCGGAGCTACCCCGTTTTCGCTTCTTTTTGTACGTCGACAAGCAATGTCTCGATACCGTCGTCCAGTTCCAAAACGCAGACCATGGCCATCCTTACTTCCGATCGTTACTTCCCCCGATGGTTATCGCTGTCGTCGACGGTTCCTGGACGCCAGACACCGTCCAGAGCTACCACCGTTCGAATGAAGACGGATACCCCGAGATCGATGGCAGTACGAAGAGATACGTCGGCTACGAGTATTATATGGCGCTATTCGCCGCCGGGTTGTACGAGAGCCTTCATGGAGTTGGGCTTGTTGACTACGAGTCGTACAACCGCCCGCCGGCGATAGCGCCCACGGGAAAAGATACAATGCCTCCATGAACAGCAGGATTCAAAGGGAATCAAAGACACAAATTGGTAGCGATAATACAATTTCGAGAGATACTTCTTCCTCAAATGCCCCACCGCTCATCTGCTCTGAAATCCTTGAAACCTACCGGCGCGCACTTCAACAAAGACGTTGTCCAACGGGGGAGGGTTTCCTGGTTTGTCATCGCGGAGATGTCTTAACCCAGGATACTGTCTCAAGTGGAGGAGATGGATCTGGTCGCCGCATATCTCGTGAACGTGTATCGCAAGATTCAGATCAAGAATAACACCAACACCAACGCCGACGTCGAGCTAAAAATAATACATAAGCCAACCTAGGATATCCTCAGGCCCGATGACGACTCGTCCTCTAAGATCAAGGCAGTACGGGCAATAATTTGGACTTCGGCTCAGGAGGACGACGAGCTCTTCGAAAACAACCTTACCACCTAGCTATTGCCTTTGCTCAAACTTCGCCTACCCTCTGACTCGGCTTCGAACCAAATTACTCCGGACTTTTGGCTGGCAACGCGAATGGCGCTTCGCTTTGCAGATAAAGATTACGCCTGCTTAATCGTGACCGCGTCAGGCGACCATGCCGTCAATGCGCTGAAGGGCCAGTGGGGAGAGGGTGCTCGTGTCAGTCACCTTCCTACCCCGAAGAGCACGATAGAGTTGTCGAAGGCTCTTCGGCTCGGGGAGAAGAAGAAGCGAACTACGAAGTCATCCCCAGAAATGACACCTGCGGTTGCTTATCACATTCGAAAGTTCTTGTCGCGAGAAGGCCAGAGAACACTTGAATCAGACAACTCCGACAGATTGGCTGCGTTCTCTGCAGACTCGGTCGTGGCCTTGGCTAAACATGAACTTCTGAGCAAACGGTACCAATGCGACAAGTTTTAGATACAAAATTTGGGATTGCCGGCATGGGAGGAGGGCTGTTTCGAGGCCATCAGCCATGCCGTCTTCAAGTTCGATATCCTCGTAGGCGCACCATTCGGCGTGGGACAGATTGGAGAATATTCTCTCGCAAGAATCAAACCCTCATGCAAGCTCTACCCTCCCTGGAAACCATCACTGGTCGTCGTCGACGAGACCGGTCGCATACCAGAAGTCCGGTGGTGGATTACAGTCTCAGTCTTCCCTGACGCGGTCATCCTCATAATAGGAGACACCGGCCAGTCTAAGCCTACGCCGAGCAGCGTCAGACAGCTCACCGACCAAGCCCACGGCAGGAACCCTAAGCCCGAATGGAAGTGCGTCTTCGGCTACAAACGAACCCTGTCCATCTTCAAGCGCGTCGAGGCGTGCGACCAGATTCTCGGCCATCTCTCCAACGACCGCCGCAATAGGGGCGACATCGCCAACTGGGCTCGCGAGGAAAGCTGGCCGAGATCATGATCGTGAACGCCGTACCTCTACCAGATGCACCACTACCGCGAAGAAATCGCTGAGATGGGGCGTTCGGGCGTCGTCAAGCACAAGATCGTGGTGCGGACGGTCGACAACAGCATGAGCGCCGAGGCCGACCTGGTCGTCTACGACTCGGTCCGCGCCAGGGACATATCGGGCTTCCTCGACGACCGCTGTAGGATGGCGGTGGCGTCCACGCGTGCGCGCGGCGGCGCGGTCCGGTCGTGAACAATCTGGCGTTGCGGCCCGGGAGTCGCGAGAACGAGGGAGACGGTTCTTTCAACTCCTACGTCGACATGCACAAGCGCACGGGGAACTGGGCCAACTCCAATGACCTGTGGAGGGATGTCTGTAAGAATTGCAACGAGCGCGATCACGCGCTTTGGGATGGAGCAGAGATGTCAGGAAATAGACCGGGACGTGACGAACAGGAGTAGTTGGTTGTATGAAGAGAGATTGTTACGTATCGGTGGCATTTCCCGGATGAGACTGGGCCATTTCGGGGTTCCGGCAACTACAATGGCTATGTAGAGTTCAATCTATCACAATTTTCTGACCACAGCGCAACCGGGAACGTTGCACATGACAAGAACGAGTCGACCTAGCGTCATTGCGAGAAACTGTTCTTGGGAAGACTGGCACAGCTTGCTGCCTCCGCAAGAACCAATGTGCATTGGGTCGCATTGTCATTGTGTGGCAGAGAGCACGACGGCGAGATCGGCGGTTGGATTCGGCCAGTCCCACCTCGACGGACCGACGCCGTTGAACACGAGTTACGCAGGGCGTTCGTTCGTGCGATGCCATCGGACAGTACCCTCTGCAAAATTGCCAGCTGTTGGGATCGAAAGATGGCTGGGCCGCGAGACATGGCGGATATCTGGCAGGCATGGAAGGCGGGCAGGCAGGGTTGGTCGCTGCGGGCGGTGGCCGGGGACGGGCCTGGCTGCGCATCACACCGGCCCAGGCCCGGGACGGGCGGGAGACCCATCGGGTTCAGTGACAGGGGCGGCCCTGGAAAATGTTTGCTCTCTTTGTCTCTTGGACAGTCTTCGGCGGCAGCGGCTGTTAAACGACCTACCTCGTTGGGCAGTTGATGGCGATTTGTTTGCTACCCTTCCCTCCTGTGCATGTCGATTTCAAGGCACCGTGGTCTTGGCGGTTGGTGACGAGAAGTCGAGGACTTGCATTTGCATGGAGGGGAGTGGTGCATGAATATTGATTGACCGTATGATCAGAGCGCAAGTTCTGAGGTGATGTCGTCCCTCGCAGCCGGTGCTGGATGGACGTTGTTGAGAAACGACATGGGTTCCAATCGACAGGGTCAGGAACTACCCTAGTATGAAGGCAGATTCATCACATCTCGACGAGATGCCATTGGCGGCGGGGATTTCTGGGCAGCGGGGTCGATAATCTGGCTTGTCGCTCCTCTTTGGGAGAAGCGCAATGAGAGGCTTCCGGATCTGGATGGGAGGAATACTCCTGGTCGCGCTCGATGTCAAGCTTCATTCGACATAGCCGCGCAGCCGCGGAAATGATAAGCTCATCATGCCCAGATGTGGTGAAGAAAGCGCGGCTTGGAGGTGGGTTTGGCCTGGTGGATCGGGATTGACGACAACGATTCCACTGCGATCGGCGCAGTCCTTCCTGTCCTTTCGGCAGGCATCAGCCATTTGGCGAACGAGAGGCCAGCGAGTATTCGTAATTGGGCTTTTGGGGATTTGTTTCGTTTCTCAGGATTGTCCGGGGAGGAATCCTCGAGCAGAGCTTGAGAAGAAGTCTTTGGACATCCGGCAGGACCAATTCCCCTCACGCCCACTTCCTGCGACCACTCGCGGGTCGCAGTTCCGGCCTGGTGGAGGCGCCAGATGCGGTGCAGCAGTCAGGTACCGGCCAGTGGGAGAATTGGAGAGCCAGATCAGGCGACATCCAGAAGCTCTCGGAGGTCGGAAGTCGATGTAGCGAATGAGAGGAGACGAGATGCGGTTGATGGAAGGTGGGCGTGATGAGGTGAAGTCGAGGCGAGGTGTGGTCACTGGTGACAGCTGGAGGGAGCCGTCTGGTGGAGCATGGCGGGAGCTTGGGCCGGGAAAGCTCTGAGTGGGGGTTCGATTTACCCATTTTAGCCAATCAAATGCTTGAAATTACCGCCCGTCAGGGAACAGGGAAGGGCGGGGACGTTACCCCACTGGTGCTCTTTCCACGCCACATCTGCGAATCACATCTGGCATCCAGCTTTTTCCCGCCTTCCTGCCCGTTCAAATCCTTGCTATCGGTCTTTTTGTCGACCTGCACATCGCCCATCACAACGCTTCCGTCCTCTGTCATTCGACAGTCGACCAAGAGAATCGCACGCCCGCAATATGCAGTCGTCCACCATGTGTGCCGGGTCGCACATCTCCTGCAGACCCTGGCCTCGCAGTACACCGTCCGCTGTCGTCCACTGTTGGTCAATTCCGTCCCGACGTCTCCATTGGCGGTCAGGTTCATGAGCCGGTTGCTTTCGAAATCCGACCAGTCTTCAGATGCCCACGTTTCCCTCATGACGGCCGGCCCACGACGCTGGAAGAACGACCCGACGCTTCGTGTCATCCCCTCGCATGATGGAGCCAGCGGAGTAGGGCACGACAGCGGTCATAAGCACAGTTGAGCCACCGGTGTTGACGTTGTACGGTCACGCAATTGTTCCACGTTGCTCTGATCTTCACCTCCGGAAACACAAAAACCGTTACCGGTTTCCTCGGCCGCATTATTCGGCTGCCTGGACCAAGTCAACCGCCAGAGACTCATCTCTCCGCGGAAGATGCAACGACGGTCATTGACAAGGGCACCGTCGACGGAGACAGGCGCCGCCGGATATCTTGCTTTCAATTGATCACATCTATGGCGCAAGAACCAACGCCCTCCCGCATTCGAACCCCGGCTTGCATCTTCAATAGTCTCTCGTCTGCCGAGAAAACGGCCGTACCAGCGTACCTCGACCACCTCGACCTACCCCAAGAGCTTGCAGCTTGCAGCTGTTCACCTGCGTCGCATCCACCCCTCTAGCGCCCACGCCTGGCCTGCATTGTGTGACATCCAGCGGCGGGGAACGACCAGAATTTCGGCCAGCCAATATTAAAGTACGGTCAACCGCTGGGTCCGGTGCCATTCACATTTTACCACCGGAGCCAACCAAGATATCGATGCCCTCTCTGGCCTTTGATTGAACGACCACATCCAGGCCGCATTTTTTTGACCCCTCCACATGGCAATTTCGCCGCCTTATCGGCCATCCTATACACGACAGATGCCACCACACTCTGTCTAGTTGCGCTTCTCGGCCTGCCTGTCAGCAACGTGACAGAACTGTCGACATCTGCCTCCATCACGCCGCTTGCCCGCCAACATCAACCCACAGACATATCCACTTCGGAGCGCCTCCGATCTCACTCCATATATCCCCTGGCAGCTCCCGGATTCGCGGATCGGTCTTTCTCTTCCGCGTTTTCTGCCCCGTCTCTCGTTTCTTTGCTTCAGTCACGCCTTGCTGTTTCTTACCTTGACACAGAGGGATCTGGCATTCCTCAGTCGTCATCAGCACATCCTTACTTGTCAACATCTCTAGGATAAACGGCGGATAGACGAACACATTTGGGTATGAGATCCAATTAGAAACAGCACTTGACGCCCCTACCGAGCCACCGAGATCTACCACGAAAAATCGAAGATCAACCCCGTATGTCGACACGATCTTAAAAGCTTTGCGCTCAGTCGCGTTCTTGTGCTGCTCCGGCAAAGCTTTACCACCTCACTACAATGGCTCCTTCGCTAGTTAGCGTCACAGACGCCGTTACGGACGGGTCGGCGCGACTCGCCAAGCGCATCGCTATCGCGCTCAAGCCCGACAGCCCGCCCGGACTAGTAGAGGCCTTGACAGTAGACCCTTGGGACAAGTCTGGGAAGTATGGACTGGGATGGACGTACTTTGCGCTGGCACTGATGGGAACCGTACTTTTCATGCGATTTTGGCACTTCTGGCAAGACAAAATCCGACAAGCCATCTACAAGCAGGAAGTTGAGCAACACTACGCCGACCTCTACAGCACCGATCCCGAATACGCACACGCATTGCGCACTGGACAGACGCAACACTTTTTCCCCGAAGGCGAAGGGCTTGGAGAGAAGCAGTTCAAGCCCCAGGCTCATTTCTCTTCCGTCGGCTTTGTCAACGACACCCTGGCCCTATTCCGCTGGATCTTCTATCGCCCTATCCCCGACTTCGTCTGGGGAAGCCATCGATTCACGTTCTCATCGCTCGCCGTCTTGACCTGCGGCTTCATCGCACTCGCCTTCGTGACTCTCTACTGCTTCCTCCAACAACCACTTTACTGGCAGAGCATCCAGTTCGGCTCGCCACCCGTCGCCATTCGAGCCGGCATGATTGCCGTCGCTCTGACTCCCTGGATCGTCGTGACGAGTATGAAGGCCAACGTCTTGTCCATGCTCATTGGTATCGGACCAGAACGCCTCAATGTCTTCCATCGGTGGGCCGGGTACCTCTGTCTCTTCCTCTCGCTCGTCCACACCGTGCCTTTCTACATCCAACCGGTGTGGGATGACGGCGGCATGCAAGTCTTCTCCAGGCTCTTTGACGGCGGAAGCGGCGTCATTTACGGTACAGGCATTGCGTGCCTTGTTCCACTGGTTTGGCTTTGCGTTGCGTCTCTCCCTTTCATTCGACGTATTGCATACGAGGTCTTTGTCATGCTCCATGTCCCGGCGGGCATGGTTTATGTCGGTTTGTTGTTCTGGCACACGAAGAACTTTCTGGCCTCTTGGGACTATCTCTGGGCGACCATCGCGATCTGGGTCGTCTGTTACATCATTCGCCTGTTCAACTTGAACTGGACCAAACCATGGAGACTGAGCTTCATGGTTGGTGACGAGGCTGCCATTAGCTTACTTGCCGAGAACGCCATCAAGATCACCATCCCTACCCAGATGCGATGGAAGCCGGGCCAATTCGTCTATCTCCGGATGCCTGGTATCTCGTTCTTCGACAACCACCCTTTTACCATTGCATCGCTTTGCAGCGATGACTTTCCCTCCGAATATGGAGAACAGTACCGCGATTGCATGTTGGTCTTCAAGCCGTACGGCGGCTTTACTCGCAAGGTCCTCGACACAGCCATTGAGAAGGGACCGTTTCACACCTACCGGGCATTCCTGGACGGACCTTATGGAGGCATGCGCAGAGATCTTGCTGCCTTCGATACGTGCATTCTCATCGCAGGTGGCAGTGGTATCACTGCGCTGATGTCTCAATTACTGAACCTTATCAAACGAATGCGGGATGGGAAGGCCATCACACGGAAGGTGGTCGTTGTCTGGGCCCTGAAGAGGCTCGAAGCAATGGATTGGTTCCGCGAAGAGCTTCGAATTTGCCGTGAGTCGGCGCCTCCCGACAGTGTCACCTGCAAATTCTTTGTCACATCGGCAGTGCGCAACAGGGCCATGATGATTGCCCCTGGTGACCGATCCGCGCCTCGGGCCCTGAGCCACATGTTCCACGACAAGTTGGACGGATTTGTTGCAGGCATCGCATCAAAGCGCAACTCTGCTCTCATACAATCGGTTGCGCAAGGCGACCCTCATCGCGAGCAAGAACTTCGTGCCGAGCAGGAGGACAGGATCACAGCCCTGCCGCAACAGAAATACCTCCAACCTCACCAGTATCCTCCACCGCCTCCAGGGCCGCCACCATCAGACCGATTCTCACCGCAAGAGGAGTCACTACGCAGACTTGAAGGGCGCGACTTCGACAGAGACGAAGACCCGGACGCGAAGAAAGACCCTAGCGATTTCCAGTTCACTCGCGGTCATATCAAGGGCGACCAACCGCACTTCAACTATGCTCCGCCATCACCACGGAAGGTGCCTGACGCCAACCCAGAGCACGTTGACGTCCCTATCCAGCCACCAGAGTTGGCTCACCTCCGAACTCTTAATCTCCCCAACTCGGGTCAGCCTCGACCCACAAGTACCTTCGGGCCTCCGTCCGGCTTCGATTTCGGTTTCCCCGAGACCCCAACCGAGTTCCAGAAGAACCTCATGCGATTTGCCTTCCCGGTTCCGCATCAAATCGACGGCGGCTGGAGCGTCGAGTACGGTCGACCCGACCTCGGTTACATGCTCAAGGAGTGGGCAACAGGAGGAGCTGATGGAAGAGGTATCCTCGGCAGGCGAACAGCCGTCTTTGTCTGCGGGCCACCGGGCATGAGAGTCGGCGTCGCCAACACCGTCGCCAGGCTGCAGGCAGAAATCTGGGGTGACGATAAACTCGAGGAGATCTACCTGCACACTGAGAACTACGCCCTATGAGGCGACCTCAAGGACGGTAGTGTTGTAATTTTACTGGATGATGACTTGGGATGAAAATACCTGGCGTTCGATACCATGGAGGATGACATATACCTAATCGCGGAATCTCCGCTGCTGATGACATTTACAAATAATACATGAGATGACCACACATTCGTCTTTCTATTCAATTTACAGTGAAAGAGCATAAAGCGTGGGTCGTACATGTTATCATGTGTGGATTGCAAAAATGAAGAAGGCGGGGCGAGAGGTGTCGACTGAGGAAAGAGCAAAGGGCGAACGAGGACTGCACCTTCCCTCGAAACCGAAGGCGAGGTTCGAGGAAGGTTCCAGACTCAGCAACGTTTTGACTGGCTAATTTTTGGCTTTCTTTTTTTCTTCGAGATCCGGTACCGTTATCCAGACGACCTTATGGATACCTCAGTGGTCTTGCCCCAGACGCCGAGTCGACCAAAAATTAGGATCTCTAATTGCCCTAGGTAGCGACGCCTCAGACCAGCTCCCTGACCTCGAACAACCGTCGGGTCTGCCCTCGACCCACGTATCTCAACACCGTCTGACTGCGAACCACTCACCTTGCCTTTGCCGCGTACAATTTTCACCAACGCTCGCTCTGGACTTTGCTCGGTCAACACAGATCGATTCGGCTCAACTTGCTCAGGCGCGAAGACTCGGAAGCGATTTAGGCCACTTCACCGACTTGCTACCGACCACCGGGAACCTCTTCATCCGCGCGCTTCCCACTTTGCGATATCGTCACCTCTATCGTTGCCTCCACGACTTGCCATCGTCACCTCATATCGATATCGGTATTTTGATCAGACAATACACGCAATCAACAAGCAACCAGTTTCATCTCGGTCTTCGGCCAGAACCACGTCAACTTCCATCTTTTCCACTTGGTCATCAACCGGTACCTAAACCCATTGCCTTCTTCTGCCCCAACTCCAGTCATCTAACAAGCATCTCAAATCCAGTTCCGTCTCCCACCTCCCACAATGCCTCGAATCGGCACAGTAACCCGCTCCAGCGCCCCGATCGTAATGCTCGGCGCAGCCACCGGCCCCCACCCTCCCGCCGGCGCCCTGCAGCTCATCGGCAGCCTGCAGATCCTCTCCACAGTCAACCCGCCCTACGTCATCCCGGGCCCCTTCACCGTCGCCTTCTACGGCGACTACGCCCGGGTCCTGCGCGGCTGGGGCTGGGACACCACCTCGGACGGCCTCCTGGAGAACACCAGCGCCCTCTCCACCAGGATCCGACTCCCTGAGGCGCTCTAGAACAGCACCGTCCGCAGGGTCATGATGTACATGGTGCAGTCCGTCTCGTACGCGCACCCCGAGGGCCCGTCCATCCAGCTGGGCTTCGACCTCACGCCTGAGGAGCTCGACAGGCCCGTCCACGTTCACGAGATGTTCCGCGACTCGCACGTCTATGCTCTGATCGGGTTCTTGCAGTGGGAGCTCGGAAAGGAGTTGGAGTGGTACTGGGACTGTGCTGTTACTGACACAAGCTGAGTGTGTGGATTGGGACTTTTGTGGATTTGGCTTTGAGGTTTCCAGGTTGGCGTTGGACAAGGATAGGGAAGATATGGGTATGGCTTGCTCTGGATGCTTTTGTTATTCGAGACAGATGGGACAGGACTCTGTTGAAGGGATTCTGCAACAGTTAAGTAACATAGAAAGACGTCTTTGGTCCCATGTTTGGTCCATTCCCAGTCTCTTTGTGTCAGGTTTTGGGCTTTTCTCGTCGTCAATAGATTCGGACCTAAATGTTTCAGTCTATGTCAGTGATCCCTCATCAACATCTTTAAATCAGAGTCTGGCAATCAACACTCAGTAGCTGTGAGAAGAAAATTCTGGAGCCTCGCATCATCAGCGAAAGGTAGGTACTTCGACTCAATGCCAGAAGACTCACGCAAGCCTGGAATAAACTAGACTAGACTCAGTGGAGGCTGAACCCTTGGAATGACAACAGCGAGGCGGCTACTCCTCAGTCCGATCAATAAAACTTTGGATTTTCTTTTTCTGGTGACTGCAAGAACACAAAGACCAAGTGCGTCTCGCTCCTTCCCTCACCTGCTGGCCCCGCATTTGCCGTTCCTGAGGCTCTGGGTTTGTCGGCACGTCTGCCTGCGCCTGCCTCTTTTCTACTTGAAATCTCTGATCTCCTGAACACTCAACCTTTCCCAAACAAAAACCGAGCGGAGGTCGATCGAAACAAGATCCCAACATGACTGAGAACTCTCCTAGCGACGTCCATACGACGGGCGTCGACGACATTGGAGGCGAGTCACCTCTCTTACCCATGACCAAATAAGCACGAAAAGGCTGACCAGACCCTTCTAGGCGACACCGATGGAGGAGGCATCGTCTTGGAGCCCTTGTGCTCTCAGTTGCAAGAGGTCTCGTTGACCGACTCGAACGATTCCAAGAGTCCGAAGCGAGATTACTTCCCGTACATGGAACTTCCTGCCGAGCTCAAGAACATGCTCAACAACGTCTTTGAACAGGATGAGGCTGTGGCCTTATCGAGCACCTGCTCTGGACTTCGGACTCTGCTTCGGCCCTCGGCATTCAAATCAATCGGTCTGGTTGGGCAGTATAACGACCTGAGTGAGAAGATCACCGAAGTGATTCGCTTGGGATGGCCCACGCAAGCCATGAGGTGTGTGCTTCACCAATATGATGGCTGATTATGTGACTAACCAAGTCAAATAGGTCACTCAAGATACATGTGATTAGACCCCCCGGCGCTATCAGGGTGATAGATCATATCTTTCTGATGGGCCTCGGCGACCATATCCACGATCTGCTCAATCCCTCAGAAGCTTCACTCGAAGACCTGACCTTGATTTGGGAATTTACCACCTTGGCGTTGCGTAAGGATACATTGGCTCTCTTCGGTGCATTTGAAGAAAAGCCTCTGTGTCTCGCAAGACTGCGTGCCCTTCGTGTCAGATCGACCAACAGAAAGATAAGCGATGGATTTTTCCGTTACTTGGAAAAGGCAACTCCTTGCTTGGAGTTCGTTTCGCTGACGACATTCACTGACGACACTGTCAATGCCTTCGAAATGCAGCATTATGAGCCAAACTACTACGACGACCCAGACGAGACTGACCAGCAAGAGCAGAACTTCAAGCTAGCAGAAACCTTCCATGAAGAGACAAGAACTTTAGTCATTGATTCATTGGACTACGATGACACAACCAGGGGCGTTCAAGACATGATGGAAGCGTTTCCGGGCTTGGAGAACTTGGCAGTGCATCAAATGCCCAATACCCGACGTTATGACCGAATCATTTGGGTACGCATGTTCTGGGTTGATGTCGAAACAAGTATACTGACTAGTGTGCTGCAGCAAATGGCATACGACGGAAACAATATCCGCAAGTTGTCGCTACCGTTGTTCTTGAACACCGACGGCAGTCCGTGGTGTATTCCTGGTCGTGTGGCATGGGTACAGCTTCTTCGATACATCTTCGACCATCTAACGCAACTGCAGCTATTCCAGTTGATACCCCACGAGGAAGAGGCAATCGTGTGGGTTGCGAAGAAGGGTGATAAATACTCGCCGCAGATTGAAGAGCCTGACCTGAATGATCCCGATTTGGGTGGCTTAATTATCGAAAAAGTCCCCAAAGCAGACGCTTTCAAGGGCTGGGACATTTGACAGGGTTTGGTGGATCAGTATGCGCTCTTGGTGTGGTTTCTATGGAGGGAATCGACAGACCCGATTCACCTTCGTTGGACTCTATCCCCCTCGGAAAGACAGCACGAATAATACCGGGGTTTTGGCAGGATAGAGTTTTACATGGAAAAGTTCGGCTGTACGGGGAACAACTGAAATGGATGACTTACAACGTCGGAGGTAGTCTCAAGGCATGGTATTTGGGCATCGCTTGTAGTTAATAGAAAAGGTCGATCGGGACGGCGTTCAACATGAATACAGAAGCTTTAGAGATAGAGCTCTTGAGATCTTTCAATCTTAATTCATAGCACAGAGTCCAGCGTGGTCATCAGTAGATACGTTGTGAAGGCAACCAATCGTGGTTCCGAGCTCGAACGCGGACGGCCGGCAACGTGCGGTCCCACCCGACGGCCGAAACCCGGGACGTGCCCCACTATATCCGGTCTGTTCTCGGCGAGCACTCTGAATGCCTACCATCACGCACACGGAGGCTACTTCAACCCAAACATGGAGAAATCTTGAAAGTTCCGGCTCTATCAATATGAGCACGACGATATCGACGACACTAATAGTGGTTACAATGCGAACAGTTTGTGAAGTCATAGATTATTTGATGAGTAACGATAACTTCATTTATGTCACTGATCTCTGCCACTTTCTTCTGGTTGTAATGCTACGCAGTTGCCGCTATTAGTCTGGACCGAGTCGAGCCTGAGCATGAAATTGGTTACTGAAGCTTGTGCCGCCCAAAGTAGAGAAACCTTTTAGTATTATATGAAAGATCTACGCTTGTCCCGCTATAAAATGTCTAATGACACGAATGGAGATCTCGGTCCCATCATCTACACACACCCAACTCATGTTTGGCACGCAATCATGTTGCTAGCTTCTATGCCAGCTTAAACCACAGCAGCAATCGTATTGTCTTTGAAACGATCGGCCTCGCGCTTAAGCATGAGCAAGCAGCTGGCGACGATAAAAGCCTCGGCGTCCTTGACGGCGGTTTTCTTGTCATCGGTCCACATCCCGAGATCCATAATCAGCCGGCCGCCGTTGCCGCCCATCCAGCGACTAGTGCCGGCGGTACGGAGTTCCGCGCTACGCACCAGCTGAGCGATCGGGACGCCGTGCTTGCCTGTCTTGCCGGAGGCCGAGGCCGCGGCGGCGGCGTCGTCGGTGCGTTCCAGAACCAGCAGCGAGGACGCCTCAGACGCTTCCTTCCGCTCGCCGCGTCCACCGTAGCGCCACTCGAAGGTGCCGAACGACGTCTTCAGCTCCTGCGTGCGCGACATCATGTTGCGGCTTTTCACCTCGACCACCTCGCAGACGAGATGATCCGAGTTGATGGCCTCTTCCACCGTGGCGGCGGTTCCCGGGGGCAGGATCCTCATCCTGGGACGTCGGCCCGGACCCCAGCGGTAGATGGTGGATATCACAGGCGTCTGGGTGGTGTCGGAGCCGCGGACGAGCGCGCAGGAGTTGGAGTTCTTCTTGAGCCGGATGGACGTGTACTCCAGCTCGCCGGAGCCGACGCGGTAGACGGGGATGTTTTCCAGCGTGTTGCCCGTGAGGGCCTGGTTCGTGTCGTAGCCGATGGCCTGGATGTCGAGTTGGCTGATTGTGCCGCTGTCGCTGGGTGATATGAAGGTTCCAGAGGGGTTGGCGCCGAGAGACTCTTTGTAACCGGGAGGCGCGTCGCCGTAACTCGAGTTCCCGGACGAGACTGAGCTCATGGTTGAGAGGTTACGGGGATGAGGAGCACGTCTTGGCTGCCGTGCCTTTATGGACTAAGCTGGTCGTCTTTATTGAGGTAAAAGTTTGAGTGTAGTTATCGCAAAGCGTTGAGTAAGCTTCGAATAGTGATGTTCTTGCTGATTGTGTTGATGGGGTTTCTTGTGAAGCTGGAGGGCATTCCGACGTCGCGCTTTTAAGTGCTTGGCGCATCAGTGACATCGAACGCCATCAGGCACTAAGCCTTAGTAGGCAAAAGCATGTCACTCCATGGGTCAGCCCGCTGATTGGCTCTGGCGCAAACATCACGATGCATATGAGGTCGGCGGCGCAGGGATCGAAACCGGCTCAGCCTACGGGCACGTCAGACCATGGCTTGTTAGTACCTTAGAAAACACAGGACTGCAGGCTGAGCATGTGCTGCGGCGGGGCGTTTTTGATTCGCGTGTGTCAGCAGTCAAAAGCGTTAGCCTTTACGTGCCACACATCGTTCACTAGTGCCACGGGCACGTCCGGGTCAGATGCGGATTCGACACCGTCGAAATACCGGCTACCCGTTATGTTACCAGAAACTGCAACCACTAATGGAAGTGTCAGCAATTGCGAGCTATCCTTCGCATCTACGCGCTGATATGTATATGCTGCCCTACGTCGTGGGTTACGCTACAGAGGTATCCGTGTTACGAAAACAATAGCCATGTAGCGATCTCCTGTGACCGTTCACTTTGACGTTTTAAGTGTATTGCTCACCTTGACGTTGCTGATTTTGATATCCAATACAAGAGGTGAGCTCGCAGGTGGCCAGGATGGCTAGACTGAGGCGGTGTGGGTGAGCGACTCGCGCTTAGACGGTCTGTTTAATTCTATAATGTTCTGCCTTTCAAGGCGATGGCTTTTCTTCACGACATACTTAAAAGACTGAATAAATGAAAACGCACGATAGACTTTGGTTCCATCTAAATCGTCTCTTTCTCCGTCCCCTTCTATGTTTCAAAGTACCCCTCGATCCTGCTCATACATCTCTCCCTATTGTACCTCTCAGTGAAGACCCCTTCTTCCCGGTATATTCTGGCCAGAGGATTATCCGGGGAAGTAAAATGGACATGTCTACGGTCCACTGCAGTCTGAGTTGATTGATAACACGATTAGCGTGCGAGGGCAAACGGAAACAAACGATGGCGTCTGTGTAGAGACACAAATATCGACGCACCATACTGAAGTTCCTGAACTTATCCTTCGCCATGGCAAAGAACTCTGGAAACGTATACGTGGCGGATCTCCGCCATTCTTCTTCGTCCGGTGCGTACTAAGTGGAGGCGAAATCAGCCACATATTGAACGGACAAACAACCATGTTGAGGAAGGAAATCTCACCGGATTTGATAGTCGGGTGGGTTTCGTGATGGTCTGGAGGTCCATCAGGACGATGGTACCGCGTTCGGTGTCGACGAGAATGAAGTGTCCATCCCGTCCCTCGGGAACGATAGCGAAAACGAAGACGTGAGGCGGAAGCTGGTGCGGGTAGGCTTCCTCCGGGATCTCAAAAAGTTCCTCGTGGGCGTACTTGTTGGGCAAGCTCAGGACGACCTCCCCGACGAAGTCGACCTGCGTGGACTTTTCGTAGATGTTCCACGGCTCCCAATCGTCCTCCTTGTCCCGGCAGACATAGGGGATATGTCTCATCAGGTCTGCTACTGTGTCGTTCTTGCCGAGGAAGAATGACTCGACGAAGTCGGGCGTGATGTGCTCCCACCCGCCCGGGGGAGGGTATCTGACCACTTCGGGAGGGAGGTATAGGTGGGTTAGAAACTCATAGTAGGATGTCAGCTCGGAAACGAACTCATCCCTGGAATAGGATGATTCTTGCCGCTCACTCTGGGCCATGTTGATGGATACGCGCACCAGGGATACTAGCACGTCGTGCGAGTGTGGAAGGGTTGCGTTTATTAATTACGTGGGTGGATTGAACCCGCTTAAGTAAGTCCCCGCTAAGACTCATGCGCGAAGGGTTGCAGGGGTTTGGCTTTCATTAACCCAAGGGAGCCTTCGTCCATGATATCGCACAACCTATAGTAGCCTCACCAGTCTGAGCAACATCCACTGATGATGACTCTGAGCTGCTCTCTTGGAGTGCCAAGCTCATTGTTAGTGAGGTAGATCCGACTTCGGTGCTGTGCCTTGCCTGCTGAGACGTTGACTGCATGGTGTGTTTCTCTGTTGACCAAGGTCTTCAAGGCCAACATCTCCAGAAAGGTCGACTCGAACTTTCAAGAACAGTTCGTTGTTGGCTCTTAAGTACTTGTCTCTTTAAATGGTGTCCAAATTCTTAACAGCAGGACTACTATAGTTCGGATAAAAGTCAACCCCAACAGCGACAGGAACACTATGACTGCAGTCGTCGTAGATCCTACTATCACAACTAACTGCAGACACAGCATGGCCAACTGGAACCCCTGGATTGGGGGTGCTTGGTCTACCAGTTCGGTCAACGCCAGTCCAAATCTCTTTCTCTCCTCTCTCTCTCTCTCTCTCTCTCTCTCTCTTTGAAATGGTATGCGCAAGGGCACCGGCGAACAAGAGTACCAAAAGGTCTGCGAATTCACCTCCAAGTTCAGCCACTGTCACTCAGTTATCTGCACCTGCAACGAGCTGGGCGGCGCCAAGAAGGAGCCCAAGATCGTCAACATCACAGCAATTCCTATAGCCTTTACAGCCGAAGTTACATCCATAGGAAGTGCCCAAAGGAGTGCTCAACTGACACTTGACACAAGGGTAAGTACTTCATGCTTATAGAAGAGTCTCAACGCCCCAAAGTTTCAGATCCGCAAAAACAACGACCCGCAGTGGCTCAACAAGAACCGCTGCTTTATCTTCATGCCGCCAAACTATAAGTACACCAAGCAAACGGTCGGTGAACAATACCAGGCGCATACTAAATGAGCGCTCATGTTATTTTAATGCAACCTTTCTAGAGGACATTCGTAGTGCTAACTTTGAGCTCATGGGCCAGTAACGTAGTTATTTCTAGGTTTAGTGAGTTTTCACATAGCATAGCCATTTTCGATATCCAATGTTGGGATGACGAGGGGGTACCCTCTTGGCAAGACAAGGGTTTGAAGGTCAGAATTGAGTTCAGCTCGGCTCCCACTTATCCCACTGTATCATCGCGCGACAATTGAGATGATTTTGAACTCAAATCCCCCTGACAAGAAAATTCGTCAAACCCCCTCCTCATCCGAACCAGGCAATTTCCGTTTTAACCGTGGCCAATGTTTTTTAACCATGTTGCGCCTCTTCAGATTCTTGGTACACACTGTCTTTGTTTCAACATCGATGAGGTCCGGTCGAGTTTCTCGTTCTCTTATGGTCATCTTCGCCCATGATGATGTCTGTGTTCGTGCTCGTGGTGGCCCTGGCGCTCATCGCCAATGCCTTTTCACATCACTCCTTTCGTGACGGTAGAAGAGGGCTACTGAGTCCACCACCACACCCTCTCCCGGAACCCAAACGCTTGAGCAAACGACGGTCAGACAATGTTTTCGTGCCTCTCTCTCACGATCGACCCATTTTGGTACCAACCAGAGACGACCATCCGCAGAAACCAGTGGGAGTCACGCAAGATGGACCCCTCCAAACCAACAAGTTCTATGCCAACTTCTTCGCCAACAAACAGGACAACGCCACCTGGACACACCCCTACTCGGTCTGGTGGTCCAACGAAACAAATAAACAGGGCCACGGTCTTTCCGTTTCCCACACTGATAGAGATGACTTCCTCTACGGGTGCGGAACACCGGTGAAATCGTTTGAAGATCCTCCGTTTCAGCAGTCCATCGCACTATCGGCGCGTGAGCTTCAGAATGGCACCATTCTGACCACCGACTCTTTGACGGCGTTCTCTGTCAACGTCAATCTTGCGACTAGAAAAGGCGCCGAACCGATTGTCTCGTTTCCGCTCGTGCAAGGCATGGGGTTCGTCACGGGTGTGTACAGAGGAGGAACGGTGCTGTTGCAGTCGGAAAAGGGGTTCAAAGACATCGACAGGATTGAGATGAACTCGCGCGGGCTCGGCGCCACTGTTCGTGGGTGGAGTGCCCGCCTGAAGGACGGATCAGAGTGGTTGATCTACATAACCTCAAGCCACCCCTTTCAGAGACCAAACCTCGACATGACCGACAAGGGAACGCTTTCGGGCCCTCGGAACTTCACTGGAATCGTGCAAGTTGCGAAGAATCCGAAGGGACGAAGTGGTGTTCGAGTCTTCAGCCAAGGCGCCGGAGCGTATCCCGTTGGGGCAACGCTCACAGGATCGGTATCCGGCAGATCAGGAACTTACACGTTGTCCTGGAAAAAGAGGGGGATTAGAGAGATTCCACTCCTCATGTTCGCCCTCCCACACCACGTCAAGTCGTTTGATCGAAGGACAGCGAGGGGTCTCACGGATGTCAGGTTAGCCAGCACGACGAAGGGCATCGCTACGGCCACGTTTGCGGACGAGTTTACCATGATCGAGGACGATCTTCCCACGGATATGGGGTTTGATCCGTGGTCACCACGCTTCGGCTCTGTGGGATCCAAGAATGCCCGTGGCGGTACGGTCTCCGAGGAAGCCAAGGCTGCGATCGTCGAGGCAGGGAAACTCGAGCTTGCAGGGGACGTCACCAATCTCACCAACTTAACGTCCAAATACTACGCGGGGATAGCTTTCTCCAAGTACGCTAGGGCTCTGTATGCCGTCAACAACATTGCCGATGACAAATCGTACACGAAGGAATCCCTCGCCAAGTTGGAGGCCGCATTCGACAGATACGTCAACAACCTTGAGCCTAACCCCTTGTTCTACGATAATGTTTGGAAAGGTTTGGTTTCTTCTGGATCATACGGCAACAACGATTCTTCTATCGACTTCGGAAATACATACTACAACGACCACAACTTCCACTACGGCTATTACGTTTACACAGCGGCGATCATTGGGTACCTAAATCCGTCCTGGCTTACGAAGAACGGCTCAGTCAACAAGATCTGGGTGAACAACCTGATCCGCGACTGGTCCAACCCATCATCAGAGGACCCCTACTTCCCCTTCTCTCGCTCCTTCGACTGGTTCCACGGCCACAGCTGGGCGCGAGGCGTGCTTGAAGCGCCCGACGGCAAGGACCAGGAATCATCCGCCGAAGACGCCTTCTCGACGTACGCGATCAAGATGTGGGGACGCACCATCGGCGCCGCCAACCTCGAGGCCCGCGGGAACCTCCAGCTGGCTGTGACGGCTCGCAGCTTGCAGTCGTACTTCCTTCTCGACAGTGACAACGACGTCCAGCCGCGAAACTTCATAGACAACCGCGTGACGGGCATTCTGTTTGACCGAAAGGTCAACCATACCACCTACTTCGGGGACAATATCTCCTTCATACAGGGGATTCATATGCTTCCGATTGTACCGAGCAGCGCCTACGTCCGCAAACCTTCCTTTGTGAGGGAAGAGTGGGACCAGTATTTCGCTGGCAACAAGAGCGGTAATCTCTCTGGTGGGGGCTTCGTCGGCCATGTCTATGTCAATCTTGCTATTGCGGATAAGGCCGGTGCCGTTGAAAGCTATGAGTTTATGAAGACGCAGTCGGTGAATAGCTCTTATCTGGATGGGCAGAGTCTCACCTGGCACCTGGCTTATACCGCAGCTTTGGGTGGGAGTCTGGGTTCAAGGGCGACGCTGAATAATACCGCAACAAAACGGGGGGCTTAAGATGATGTTTTCTGCCACATCATCCCTATTTGCTTCACTAAAAGAACTTTTGGATATCCTTGATCCTCATACGCTTCTGGAAATGTCCGAATTCCGTAATGTTGGAAACAGGAAAGAAGGCCAGGGAAAGCTATGGTGGCCCGTTGGAATCGAGCCACCGCGTCTTTGCCAGAAGAGTTTAGTGAGATTTGGAGAACGAATTGAGGAAACTCTAACAGAGCAATCTTACCGCTAAAGTAAAGCCCCCTTGCTTCTTCGTTGCATAATAGAAATCACAAGTCAGTGACGAAGGCATGAACGGGAAATATTGCAACCTGGTGGACGCCACAAATTGATGGGTACTGGACTGCGATACCATCGTTGACGGGAACTCAAAAGCTTACGCTGAAAGGTAACAGCGAGAGTTTCGGGGTGGTTGTGAGAAGAGTGTTCATTCATGCGTGCTTGGTGACATAATTTAGAGATACTAGTACAGGATGCTTCCGGAGAAGACTTATGGGCGCCGACTACCTGTGGTAAATGTCCTTGCCGATATAGCTGGGAGACAGCTAGATGCGAACACGACCCTTGGTGAAAGCGAGTGCCAGCCAGCCAGCAATGAGAGAAAGACCACCGATGGGAGTGACGGGTCCGAGGAACTTCAGGTCGGGGTTGAGAACGAGGGCATAGATGCTGCCGCTGAACATGGCCATGCCGGCGGTGAAGAGACCAGAAGCGACGGGGTTCTGGCGGGCGATGAGCAGGGCGACGGAGTGGATAAGCTGTGTCGTGTTAGTCACTTTATAAGGTCTCGAAGATGGTTGAGTTCATCCGGTGAGAAGACATTGGGCCCGGCACAATTAGGCCGAGATAGAAGCTGAAGGACTGGGAAGGTGACCCCATGTGGTCACGTGACAGAAAGGCAACCCTCGAGGGAGGCATCACGGTAGGGGAAGGCGTACCTGATAGTGAGCAGCGGTCGTCCAGCTGGCAATCTTTGACGGATCGGAAATGCGGTTCTTCAAGCCGTGTGCTCCGAAAGCCCCGAATCCGACACTCAGCGCCGCCGAGGTGGCAGCGAGCTTCCAGTAAAGTTGACCGCTCATGGTTTCTTCTTCTTCCACTTCTTCAGGAATGCCGGAATTCAATAATTGGTTGGGAAGCAGTGGTGTCGTCTCGTTTCCTCGACTGGTGGACATAAGGGAGGCGCTGTTGCGTGATGATTCGAAAGTTTGAGGAGGTTGCGGTCTGGGTGAGCTCCTCTCACCGGTTTAAACTCACGCGAGATGTCCGAATGCCGGCGGGCGCGAGCAGGGGGCGGATGAACTAATTAGTAAGCTGGGATGCTGGTTCTCAATGGCGCCTTGACCAGACGAACGCGACAAAGAAAATTAGGATGAACGTAGTGCAGCATTTCCTCTGAGAATACAACTTACTTCCAGTCTGCAGTGCATCAAACTTTCGGTCACACAAGACGATATTATTGAATGCCAGCGAACTCCCTTCCACGAGATCTGTCTTGTCAAATCTCAGAGATTCAAATTGACCAAGCAGGCTGTTGCTGCTACAATCTTAGACGCCCGTACATGCCTGGAGGTCATCCTCAAATGGTTTCGTGGTGTAGTTGGTTATCACGTCAGTCTAACACACTGAAGGTCTCCGGTTCAAGTCCGGGCGAAATCAGTTTTTGCCATTTCGGCCCACAAATGATCAATATTCGACATGTTAATCTCATTCTTTTTTGGTTTCTTCCTCCCTTCGAAATAAGGATTGCGGTTGCCTTCTGCGGATCGATCCTACTTTGCAGCCTTCTGCATATCTTTGCTTGTCTACGCCCTGTTGCCTGACGTTGCTTCCAGGGATTCAACTCCTCTGAAGGCTTAAACAGACCTTAGCGTCACAGCTCCACACGTACTAAGAGCACTCCGACTGGTCTGAAATACGGCTCAATACGATTGTCCAATCGCTGTATTTACAGTACGCGTCGCTCTGAATACGACGGCTCCGGCCCACCAGCCCACTCCGCGAAGGATGCGGCAGTGTCTTACCCAGTAGGATTTGGTTGAGTACGAACTGTGAAGCTCGGCGAAGATTGCAAATTCACGATAGCTAAGGTTAAACGACGTTTGAAAACATCATAACAATGAACTCACCGTTGCAAGCTGAATCATGATTAACCAAGGATATTTAAGCTTAATTACTGTCATCTGTTTATGGGGTTATCTTTCAATTGACAAGTGCACCGGCAGCCGGCGAGGACATGGTTCACCTCCGCGTAGGTTAACCTACATCTCCAATTCTGCACGCAAGTCTATCTCGTCGGCCCGAACCCTTAACGTCGAGAAAGCTTCAATTGTTAATTTTCACCCATCAGCTAATCTCACTTAAAATGCCTTGTAAATAGATACCAGTGTCTTTTCACCGTGGCAACAACTATTCCTACAGACTCAAAGAGCTGCCACAGTCAGAGGCAGCACAGTGCGCAGATCCGGGGAATGCTGGCTGGCGTGCCGGGATCTGCGGCACCGGGGTGGCTTGAAGCCCGATTGCGTGGACCATCTGGGGACTTTCAGAAGTATTATTATCTGGGCGTTTCTGCCCGGGATGACATTCTAGAGTTCTGTGTGACCCTTCATCTAATCTTTCATCCACACCTTGATTCAACCTCACTGATCACTCCTTACCCGAAAGCGTACCGATATTCGACACTCGGAGCCTCACTTGACTTTCCTTCACTCAAACATTTGAGACAAATACCCAGAATCCGACTCCAGAAATGCGACAAAGAACGCCCCATAGAAAGTCGAGATTTGGCTGTAAAGAGTGCAAGAAACGCCACGTCAAATGCGACGAGAGCCGCCCCTCCTGCGTCAACTGCTCGACCGCGCTACGTCGGTGTTCGTATCTTGATACGGAGAACGCATTGCCATCCCCATCAGCCTTCATGTACCAATGTCCAAGCCCGGCTACGTCGACTGAATCCGCAGCTGCAGCAGCTGGGCTCAACGCGATTGAAGCACAGAACGTCCGGACTCATCAGCATCCACCAACAGAGCCGTACGACCTGCGCCACATGGAGCTCCTCTTTCACTTCGAGCATGATCTAGGCTCTGAGATGGACTTCGGTGACTCGACGCGGGAGAGATTTCAGAGGATGGCCGTCAAGCAGGCCGTTCGCAGCCCGTACTTGATGGACGAGCTGTTGGCTATATCGGCTGCTCACAAAAGTACGCTGCCGGGAGAAGATCAAGAGTTCTACCGATCCGAGGCGACACGTCTTCAGACCAGGGGTCTGTCGAGGTTCAATGCCGCTAAACCCGCGATCACAAGCGACAGCTTCTTAACCGTCTTTCTATATTCAACGTTCCTGGGACAACACGTATTATTCGACACATTCATGTCCCCGGGGGACTTCTCAACAGTACTAGACAAGCTTGTTCACTGCATGAACCTACAAAGAGGAGTGAAAACGATCGTGGCGGGCTCCTGGCCCACGCTGAGGGGACATCTCATGGAACACTTGGGACCAGACTCGACGTTTATTAACAGCGTTATCGTCCAGCCGGACTCCATCGAGAAGGGTTCCGAGTGTGCCAGACTCTCTGAGCTCTTCGAAAAAAGCGATCTTTCCGAGTCAACGCGAGCTGCATGTCGTGAGGCTGTGGACGCACTGCAGCTCATGTTTGACGTCCACACAAGGTTAGGGATGGTTCCGGGCAGAAGGCGTGCGACTGTGCAGGAGTGGTCTATCAGAATTCCGACAGAGTACGTCAACTTATTAGATCAGCGGCGGCCGGAAGCGCTTGTGGTTCTGGCGTATTGGGGAGTGCTGCTGCATCATTCAAGAGACTACTGGGCGTACGTGAATGCCGGACAGGCTCTTGTGCGGTCGGTTTCAGCTCATCTAGGAACGTACTGGAGCGAATGGCTAGCATGGCCACAGAAGATGGTAGAGGACCCCGATCCTTCGGTTTTGTCTCATACACCCTTATCATAGCGTTCTTGTCCAGCGATGCATTTTGAGGCCCAATGAATAGAGACCTCTAGTTTGAGGCTTTGGCGAATGTCACATCATCAAAGGGACATCCACGCTCATCAAAGCTCCTCACTTCAATTCGTGACTTCATTGAGCTAGATTTATTCAAGCCAGAAGTAAGGTTCGAAGCTTAGATCCGGGGTACTGAGGTACTAGGCATCCAGCATAGAGTGAGAATTGACTTGCAGGGCAGGCAGGTCTCATTTGTCTGTTTACTCCTGATCAACAAGCTCAAAACATCACATCTTTAACAGGCTCTGCGTCTGCATGATGCGATTCTTCATCTTTTCCTGGGAGATAGGTGAACCTTCATCTCGGTCTTGTGCCAGGTCGTGAACATTTTTTGCCTGTCGAGCCAACCAGCACTATCGGGGTGGAGCTTCATGTCGAAGTTCCAGACCACGCGGGATAGGATGACACGGATCTCAGCATAAGCCAGACTGGTGCAAGTTAGTATGGTTCTCAGGTTATGCGGCTCGCTACTAAAGGAACTCACTTCTTTCCAATGCAATTCCTTGGGCCAAAAGAGAATGGCTGAGCTGCGGTCTTCTTATCCGACTCGAAACGCTCATCGCCCAGCCATCTCTCAGGGTGGAAGCCATCATGCTCCCGGAAGTTGACTGGAGAGCGGTTGACAGACAAGTGATGAACACCAACGGAGTAGCCTGCAGGAACGAACTGGCCACAGACGGTTCTTCCACCATCCGGCACGACACGAGGGAAGGTACCTGGACCCGGTGGTCCGAGGCGGAGGGCTTCCTCAATGACGGCGTTCAGGTAGCTCAATCCGGCGGTGCTCTGGATCGTGATGTCATCCTCCTTCTCGAAGGTGTCGCGGATCTCGGCAGTCAGCTTCTTCAGAGTCTCTGGGTTCTCGCAGAGATAGGCGGTGGCGGTGGTGAGTGCCGTGGCGGTGGTCTCGCTTCCAGCAACGATGAGAACCTGGGCAGCGGCATAGATCTCTTCCATCATCATGCCCTTCTCGTCGGTACCTTGTAGGACGTAGTGCACTATGAAATCAGTTGAGCAAGTTGGATTGCCTTGGATCACACCAGATGACTTACTGAAGTCGGGTCTTTCGACCTTCTTCTCCAATCTTTTATTGACGCGCTCGACTCCGAAGTTGAACTGAGCAACTCGTGTCTTGATGAGGCGGCGAGGGATGAGGAGCAGCAGCATCTCAGAAAACGGCGATGAGAAACGACGGGCAGCACGGAGGTAGGTTCCGGCTTGGAAGATGTCGAAGACAGCATGAAGCCACCAATGCCACTTAGCATCTCTCAAGCAATAGAAGGGCTCTCCGAAAGCCAGGTCGCCAATGATGTCGAAGGTGGTGAAGTTGTACCATGAGTTCATGTCAACCAGCGAGGTATCGGGGCTTGAAGCCTGTCCATGGAGCTGATGGATGAGAAGGTTTACGTAGCCGGTGATGACGGACTCTTGAGCCTTCAATGCCTTATCCGAGAAGGCTGGGTTCTGAAGACGACGCATGCGCTTGTGGCCGGCATCATCGGCCGTGAGGATGTTCTCAACACCATTGACATTCTTGTTCCACCATTGGGCGTCCTTCTCAAAATTGCCGTTCCCTTCCCGATTGGGAAAACCTTGATAATGTTAGGGTATCAGACTTTACTTGGCGCAGCAGTTCTCTCGAGACATACCATAGATAGCCTGCCAGGCTTGGCTGGAGGTATATGAAAGCTCCCCTGGTGCGATGCGAACAACATCACCATACTTCTCGTGCCATTCCTTGACCTTCCAATGGCTGACTCCCCGAACATCAAACCAGAGGTAGTAGGCCCTCGTGACACCGGCCAATTTGGGACCGGGGTAGTGCCTCAAGGGATGGAGAAATGTGTTATAAACGCCCTTTGCGACAAGACCCAAAATCGCCTAAAAGCAACACAAATCAGCGTCAACTTGTTAGTCAAGTTTTCCTCCGACCACTTACCAGAAGCACAACAAATGCGAGCAACGCCATTGTAGCTAGTCAGTCAGGTTGTAAAAACCCCGCCGTCTAGAGATACCGAGCGGGATGAAACGAACGGAGCAATGCGTCGTCGCCGAGTCACCTGAGAAAGGAACACGGTAGACTATCAGTGATCAGACGGGATGTGGAAGCGGGATGATATTCCCAAAAGGGGGGAAATTCGTGTGTAATATGACGCATATCGCCGTTGTCGGGTGCCATAGCCCGCTTCACGAGTCAGACGAACGGCCTCCTATCAACGAACTTGATAATGTCCCTTTATCTGCCAATTAAGCAGTGGTCAAACTTTCGGTCAAAAGCCCCGCTGCCAGCGTCACCCCGCCCCGAGGCTCTGGGACGGACGGCCCCGAAGTTCGTGAGCTGCCTTCTGCTTGGCAGTCCCGCGCCGATGGTCATCTTGGCTTCCGGGGTAATCGTGGAGGGCCCCTGACTCGCCGGTGGCCAAGCAATTTAATATACTTTGGCGAGCTCACCGGGGCCCGTTTTCTCGAACTGATATGAATAGTTATCAAAGCTTCGATCTGTGGGGACGATGGCACGCTGCGCGAATGTGACAAGTTGGAATTACTCGACCCGGCCGGCAGATGAGTTCTTATCCGGGTTCGTGCCTGCTCACTGGTCCCGTTCCCTGGATCTTCAACTCGTTTTCGGACAAGCTTTCCAGGGTGCCCCGGACGGGCGTTGATATCACGGAACTTGACAGGCCTGCGCGAAACATCAACCTTGCCCGTCTGCTCTTGATGGCGGTGAACCCTGGCCGTTCAGCCTCCACATGGGACGAACCAATTACCTGTTGTACAATCGCGATCTGGATCCAAATGCAATGAGAGAGATATGCAGAGATGAGGAGGTTATGTGGTAGAAGGTGATAAATTGAGGGCTTCGATTCTTCAGGAACGCTGCTGAGCTTTCACTGCCACACTGCATTTGTGCTCAGCATCTTCGACCCCGTCTAAGTCAATTCTTCATTCGTTGTTTTACAGCCGCCAACATGGGAGAAATGATCATGTCCCACGAGCCCTGGGACTTCTTGAACTCGGTTCTCCGATTCAGGGATGACGACTCCCAGTTCTGGTGGGACAGAACTGGGCGCATGTTCTCCAAGCTTCTCAAGTATGCTGGCTACAGCGCCGCAGAGCAATATCGCGAACTCAACTTTTACTCCCTCTTCGTTGCTCCTGAGCTTGGCCCTTCCCCAGATTGTCACGGCAATGTGAGGAGATGGAGGAGCCCCGGCACTCCTGACTCCACGCCGATCGACTTCAGCTGGGAATGGGGTAGAGACAACCACGCTGTCGTGAGGTATAGCTTCGAGCCCATCGGCGCACACGCCGGCACGGAGCTGGACCCTCTCAACAGATATGCCACGAACGACTGGATCTCCAGACTTCAGGAACAGAAAATGGTGCCTGGTCTTGATCTGGAGTGGTACAACCACTTCACGGGGCAGATCTTGCAGCATGACAACCGGACGTCCAAGACGGTAGACTACTTCATTGAGGAGACTACTCCCAAAGCCGGCACCGTTGTCGCTCTCGACATCGAGAAGACCGGTCCGGTCATGAAGATCTACATTTACCCTGGACTGAAGGCAGAAGAGCTCGGCATCAGCAACCTCGAGCTCGTGGAGCGTTCCATCCGCAGCCTGCCGGAAGACCAGTACAAGTCTCTCAACGCCGAGCCACTCTTCGACTTCCTTCGGGAGGGCACCGAGAAGTACAACTTCGAGACCGGCATTCTCGCCATCGACTGCTTGACGCCAAAGGATGCCCGCATCAAGGTGTACATGCGGGCTCGCCACACCACCTTCGAGTACATGATGGACTGCATCACGCTTGGTGGCAGGCTCGACATGTCAGGGGAGGCCATCGAGGACCTCAAGGACTTCTGGAGCACGTTCCTCGGAGATGCGTCGGACGTCCTGCCGGACGACGCCCCGGGCCGGGCCAGCCCTGGCTTCTACTACACCCTCGGCTGCGGCAAGGCCATCTCGCCCAAGGTGTACATCTGCCCGCAGTTCTTCTGCAAAAGCGACGTGGATGTCTTATCCCGCCTCCGCAAGTTCTTCTCCACACGGCGATCCGATCAGATGATGGATAACTACGAGGCAGCCATGGTCGATATCTTGTAAGTTATCATCACGCCATCGCTCGGATCTCGGCTAACCTTTCTCCACAGCGGTACCAAGACTCTGGATTCCAGATGCGGGAGCCATTACTATGTTGGTTGTGCCTTGGCCAAGGGTCAGCTGCGGGTAGTCACTTATCTTAGCCCGCAGTCATTTGACTGTGAAAAGGATAAGCTCATGGCTCGGAAGCCTTGAGTAACGTGGCTTGGTCATGAAGTGTTGGGTTTGTTTTTATCTAGTACCTTGATATCCGTTGTCTTCATATACCGATGTAAAATGAGAATGATAATATGAGCGCCTGTCCACTTTACTTGCGTGTGACCTTCTATATCAAAGACGTCATGATATCGTGTTCCCTTCAATACCTAACTAGCTTGAAGATTATGAGAGAATCGTCAAGAGGTCAGATTTGGCGTTATGGATAATGGCCTTAAGGTTGTGAGCTACTGAGGTGTAGACTGAGCTTGGCACCCAAGCACTGACCATTGGTTTGAAAGGCCGGGGTTTTAATGACTTTACCGAGATCTTGAATACAAAGTTTCGGCATCACACTGGTACCCGACATCCGATTGACGAAGCCTTGTTCAAATTAATTGCCTAAGTCTAGCAACAAAGTCTAACCTATATGTACTATCATAAGGAGATCTAGTTCGCTTTCAACGCTGATGCTGCTTTCTCAAGCAAATCGCATGCCTTTTTCGCACCACCCTGGGCATTCAACTCCTCTCCAATCTTGACCGCATTTTCAGTGTAGCTTGTATCATTGAGAATGCTGTAAACAGCATCTTTGACCTGGGCCACCGAGGGGTTGTCGGTTTTGAGATCGATGCCAGCGCCAACCCACGAAACTCTGGCGGACGTGTCCTTCTTATCCTCAGAAGTGCCGGCGCAAATGAGAGGAACTCCGTGAGAAAGTGCCTGGGTCACACTACCGTAGCCGCCGTTGGTGACTAAAAGCCTGCAGCGCGGAAGAAGCTGGTCATATGGAACCCATTCGGCGATGCGGACATTGTCCTCGACCTTGATCTTGGCTCGGATTTCGTCTGCAAGCTTCGACGGCACCACCAGAAGAAGCTTCTTGTCCTCTTGAAGAGCTTGGATGGCGGGTATGATGAGCGATGTAGGGTCCATGGCGAATGTGCCCTGTGTGATGCCCACAACGCAGTCGGCTTTGAGAACGTCATCCCACCATTCAGGAACAGTGGAAGTAGAACCCTTCGCAACAAGAGGACCGACGTAGTTTGCTTGAGGAATGATGGGTTCGGGTCCTTTTTGGAACTCCAGCGAAGGGCAGGAGGCTTGAATGTGCAGAAACGGACTGTAAGAGAACGGATCCGTGAGTTTCAGAGGAGGCAGACCGAGCTTCACCCTCTCAGGGTTGATGACTGGAAGCACCAGCTGCGGCTTGCTGAGAAGCATTCCGAGTGCAGACTGAGCTGCATGCTCAATGGGCTCAGGCCCAATGTCCGGGAGGTAAAGTGGCACGACTCCAAGAGTAGCGTACTGAGGGATCTCTCCAAGCTCGTACAACGCAGCAGCGCCTTGCGGCAATGCGTCGTTGATGACATAATCGGGCTTGAACGTTGAGAGGACCTTGCGGATATCAGCGACTTGCGCCGTCACCCGGCCGCCGAACATGACTTCTGCCGTCTCAGCCATGTCCTTCGGGGTGGCTCCGTCGAGATTGCCATCGACCTTGATCACATTCTCTGCCGCCACGAACTTGGCTCCGGAAGCGACAACCCGGGTTTCCTGAGGCGCGATGGTTGTCCATACGACCTCATGCCCACGCTCGACCAATTCCTTGGCGACGGCTTGCATGGGCAGTACATGGCCCGTTGCGGAGAAGCAGTGAAGCAGGAATTTCAATGGCCGCCTATCTTTGGAAGCGGCCGGGCCTGAGCCGTCTGGTGTTGAAAGGTGCATTTTTGGTGGAATGGTCGGTGAGGGTTGAGGTTGGACGAAACGTGGGACGATCTGGCTGAACTTAGCGATTGGATGAACAGCTGGCGTTTGGCGCATTCGCGGGCTTGAAGCAACACTTTCACCTTGCAGAACTGAGACACTCACTCTTGCATTTAGGGGGTATTAACGGCTTATCGATGCGATGTCACTTGCTAGTCTCTGATTCGTCGGACGGCATTGATGTGTCAACACGAGGAATACAGGGAAGTTGAAAGAAGACAATCAAGCTATCTACCGAAATCGGGCCCGTCGCAAGGATCATTCTGGAGTTGACTTCTTATCAAATGATTGGCTTTCAGAAAGACGATAGAGACACGTACAATGCGGATCTCTGATAAGTCGCAAAACTCAAAATATTACCCCGGACATTGAAACCCACACGCATGAGTCGGCGATGGATGCGAGTCATGAAGACTTGATGGGGTCTTCGATAACATTACACGACGAGGGGATTACTCCATCGGGGTAACCCGGCAGTTGAAGTACACGCATCTGTGAACAGGAGAAGGGGCAGGTCACGAGTAAAAGGTCGGCAGCACCGCTCTTACTCCAAATTGCTGCCGGAGAACCATCCCGAAGAACTCGTCTGGTAACATACCGATCTGTCAAAATGTCCCGCGCCGTCGATAAACTTCCCGCTCCCGCGGAAGAGCGTCCTATGAAGGTCATTGGCCTGGGTCCGAGCCGGTAAGTTATGCTTTGGCGTCAACATCTGACGTTGCAGTCAAATACTAACGTTTTTTTTTTTTTTCAGAACGGGAACGCTCGGATTGTGGCAAGCGTTGAAAACCCTTGGCTACAAGCCATTTCATATCTCTGAGCTGTTGCCCTATGGCTTCCAGCAGATGAGGGCTCTGCAAGAGGCCATCATTGCCAATGACACAGAAAAGCCCTTCAGCAAGGCCGAGTTTGACAAGTTGTTCGCCGGCTACGATGTGAGTCTCATGAAAACCGAGTTTCAAATGCGGGCGTGTTCGACTGACGCCTCGTGTCCAGTGCATCGTTGAGAGTCCGTGCTACTTGTGCCCGAATATCATCAAGGCATACCTAGAAGATCCCGATGTCAAGTTCATCCTGACTGAGCGCACGCCCGAGTCATGGGCGAAATCGATCTCTGGGTCCCTCGGCGCATACCACGCAAAGCTCGCACAACCACCTTTGTCGGTGGTTAGATACTTCGACAGCTTTGTGTGGGAGCTCAGAGCACTTTTCCAAGCCATGACCTACCGCTGGTCTGGAGGACTTGAGCCTAGTCAGCCGGGCTTCGACGAAGCGCTTGCCAAGAGCTACACTGAATAGTAAGTCGAGTTCATTATCCATCCATTGATGCACGCCCGAGACTAATACCGCTATAGCATGAAAAATGTGAAGGCTATCATCCCGCCTGAGAGGCTTCTGGTATTGAACCTTGAGAAGGGGTTCGGATGGGAGGAGATTTGCGGTTTCCTGGGTCACAAGGTCCCGGAAGAAGCGTACCCTCGCATCAATGCTATGGCAGACTTCCACGTCGCAGCGGAAATGGTTCTTGCACCAGCTGTGAAGAAGACTCTGCGTATTCTGACCTCATCCGCCATTGCTATCGCCGGTGTTGGCTTCTGGTATTGGCAGCGAAGAAGGTGAATAAATGCCGAATGCCTACCGTTTGTGCATATTTGCTGAGGTTTTACATGACTGGAACCGGGGGAGAAACACAATACCCAAAAGATAACGCTCGAAGTAGAGATAAAAGTTTTGATGCATTACAGACTGCGCCTATTGTGCAACATGTTCAAGAATGAGGGTTGTATCGATATACATTTGAGGATAAGTAGGGTTTGTTCTAAGCCTTTCGTGGCATTCCTCATTTCTAACACACAAAGTTGCTCAACAATTTATTTTGAATCATAATTATGTTGAGAAACTAAGTGTGTATTTTTGCTGATGTGTAGATTAAAAATTGAGATATGTCATTGATTTTCCAAGAAAACTGTATTGATCTCGCAACGCACAACAGCCCTTGCCATAGTGAAAGGATAGTCCTCAGGATACGGGTAAGCGATGGGAGTTGAACTTACTGGGAACAACGAAAATCATTAATAGCATAACAATTCTGGCTGGGAACTCTCAAGTACTACAAGTTATACGTCATACGGAAATCGAGCTCGCAGCAAACTTGAGATAATCGCTGGTGAGTGTGATGCGGAACGGAAATTCAGTGGCAGTGTAAGCCGGTTTAGACAATCTTTGTTTGTTCTGATAGTGTTGAGGAGAGGTGATAACAAAGGCCAAATCTCACTAGAAATTCTTTACTTATTATAGTGCAACTTCATCTCGAATTAGTGATATTCAACTGCCGTGCTTGAAGTGATCACAGGTTGACGACAACTTCTTCATATTCAAGTAAGAAAGTTTATCAGCAGAAACCCATAAATATTTGAATTAAATAGGTGCTGAATAGAAGCATTCAACGTGATTCACATGATGGCTTGAAAGGCTCAGGAGGGGTTGAGGCGTAAAGCTTCAGAAATCCGGTATAAGATCCAAAAGATGTTACCATACTGTCTCCTGAAGGCTCATACCATCTCAAAAGCATCGTATCTTCAGAGTCATCTAACTTGTTTGCGAATATCAAAAACATCTTGAACCTAGGACGAAAGTGTATGAAATCATGCAGGTAAACCAAAGAAACGTGCCTTCCCCAGAAACTATCGTGTCGCGCCTGCCCTCCTGAGATTGCGTGCGGTCCAATGCCCCAAGGCTACGCCTGAGGCAGGAAGTCACCGCCGTTCCAATCTCGGTAGGTAATCGCGACTGATCGTTCTTTCCTCCAAAAAACATCATCACCGCCTCAGATCAGCCTCGCCTGCGCCTGCCAGACCACTTCGCCGCGCCCGCCAGTAAGTCAGAATCGTTTTCATTTCATCATCGCTGCTTTGCTCCAATCATTCGATTCAATTTGAACTCCGAGGCGCCTGGTCGCTCTTCAGCGCGGACTGTTGGACCTGGAAGCCGTGGCGAGATTCGGGAAGGCCCAAAGGTTGAACCCAGTTGAGCTGGGCGGCCCAGCTCGCAACGCAGTCATCACAAGCCTCTGAGACCAAGCAGGGAATGGGACATTGAATCCACGGTCCAGATAATGTCCCACTTACTTTGGCTTGTCTGCGTGGACAAAATCTGGATCTCGAAGTGCTCTGGCCGGGCACGGAATGAACGATTTTGCCGGCTCGACGTCGGTTTATCTGGACTTTCTGCAGGTGACTCTCTGAAGTTTTGTCCTCATACTCCACTGCGTTTTGCTTGTCGAGCGACAGTCAATATTGGAAATGTTTCAGTCAATCTTGAAATCTTTTCCACTTCCAGCAATCCGCTCAATGGATGCTTTTCGGAGAGAGCTGTGCTAACGTAATTAAATTTTGATAGTGACTCTGAAGTGTTTCAACTGCGGCGAGAAGGGCCACAAGGCCTGTTAGTGAATATGAATTGTCAGTGTGGATTCTCATTAGCAAAATGTCAGACCAATGTCGTTCGCCACCATTCACCCCGCCACTATTCGCCCCGCCGCCGTTCGCTGGCCCCGGCACTCACGGCGCTTTCGGCGACTTTGGCATGCCGAACTTCCACGGCAACCTCGGCCACCCCGGCCACGCCGACCCCTTCCGTCCTCTCGTCGACCTGCAAGCCTTGATGCAGCGTCAGAGACAGATGGGTGCTCAGCTACAGCAATTGCAGCAGCAGCAGGAGCAGCAGCAAATGCAGCAACGCGTAAGTGGAATCAACCAAGTTCATCAACTTCTTTCTAACTTGACTGCATGTAGATGCACCGCCGCCGCCAGGGCCGTCAGCAACAGCGACAGCAACGACAGCAAAAACAGCAGCCGCAGCAACAGCCACCTCGCCGGGCCCCTGCTACCGTCCCTGTTCCCGCCCCTGTTCCCCGCCGTGCCGAGAACGCCGAAGCCACCAAGACTATCAAGACCGCCAAGCCTGGAAAGGCCGCCAGGAAAGTCAAGACTACCAGGTCCGGCAAGGCCGGCAAGGTCGTCGTTAAGAAGGAAGAGATATCCTACAAGGCCGGAATGTTCTCTGTGAAGAAGGAAGTGGTGTCCGACGAGGCCGATATGGCCGTTGTGAAGAAGGAAGAGATGTCCGACGAGGAGTTCTTTTCGGCCCGCGAGGACTGAGGTCGCCGCACTTGATCAAGGCGAAAGTGAGGCAACGGTCGCATTACCCGCATTGAATGACAAATGTCTCGTTACTTGTATACAAATGACTCTGAGTGCTTTGAAAGCTTACCTGTGATGTTTTCAGCGATTCCCAATCAGGATCTCACACAAATGAGTAGGATTGCCATCCTGGCCGTCTCCCGATAAAGGTGGGTCTTCCGGGGGTTGAGGTGACGTTCGGTTCGGCCCGCGTCCGGAAAGCAGAGGTCGGAAGGATTCACAGGAATTGCGTGATGGAATTCAGGAAAGTTACATAATCCGGCATTCCAGCTAGGTAAGACATCAGCTCGAATGCTCGGGCCGAGTCATGATATCATTGACTCAAGAGATTGAGACAAGTTTCGGCCAGTCGCGATCGATCAGAGCCAAGACTTGCCGATGGTGGCGAGGAATGCGGCGAGACTCACCGGATTCACATCTGGAATTTGTGTTAGATTCTTCATACGACTGCGTGCAGAGCGACGCCCGTTAAATCACTCTTAGCAACTATGAAATTCGCGCGTAACTCTAAATCAGAGCACGGTCCGGTCTTGGCATATCCTTCGTCGCTTGGCGCTGGTTTACAGCATCTAGTGCTTTGACGGTGCCGGAGAGATTTTAGGCCGTTTTTTGACGACTTATGAGCGTTTCGCAACGTCGCGGAGACAGTCGGACCGGCTTATTACTAAGTTCGATTCTCTTGGCTCGTGGCTATGCGTCGCTTTTGCACAGCCAGTTCGCCTTGCCATGCACACTGGACCCAACCGAAGGAGCGTTGGTAGTATTTGGCGGCTGACAGGATTATTCAGCGGAAGATGTAGCGTCACCAAAGTGAAGGATGCCAAGTCTCACAGACAGGTTGGCGTTTCGTGATGTGGTGTTCAAGTCTTCTCAACTACCAAAACGAGAATTGTATAAATGGCGTATTTACCTTCCTAGAAAATTTGAATCAATACTGGACTGTTACTCAAACTTAATCTCGTTCCCTCTGTATTCTCTTGTCCAAAATCATACTCACACTCATATTAAATCGATAAACTTATTCCGAACACGATGTCGGGTCTCAAGTACTTTTCTTACAAGGACTATGGAGTCACTCTTTTGAAAGAGATGCACTACAGCCAAGCTGTCCGCGTAGGCGACCACATCGAAATCTCAGGCCAAGGTAAGTTCCAGTTTCTACGTCAAGCAAGCAAGCCTTGCGCGTTTTCCAGCTTCATAAATCATACTAACCCGACTCACAGGAGGCTGGGATCCCAAGACCGGCGAGGTACCGTCCGACTTAACCAAGGAGATCGACCAAGCCTTCGAGAATGTGGACCTGACATTGAGAGACGCTGGCGGCAAGGGCTGGTCGCAAGTCTTCCGCATACGTCTCTTTGTCCTCGACGAAGCGATGTCCGCGGAGGGCATGGGTAGAATGGTCGAAAACATGAAGAAATGGATGCCAGACCATGCGCCGATTCTGACGGGAGTCGGAGCTTCTCAACTTGGGCAGCCGGGAATGCGGGTGGAAGTTGAGGTTTCGGCTTATGATCCGGAGGGAGCCAAGAAGCCAGAGGAAAATAGTTGATGATAGAAGACTCGTCGAACTAAAGCTTTCCTGCTTTTAGCAACTCATTTTGATTGAACTTCAGCTCTTATACAACTACATACATACACAAATCTCGCTACCGCAAGTCCAATCGTTTGTGCATGGGCTTCAAGATTGAGCCAGAGATTCTCTAAACTCAGAATAACTTAAAGTAAGTTGCAGCCCCAATGATGGTCGTGAGGGCCACAATGAAGCGCGCAACAAAGAGCAAACCGAGCATAAGCTTTTCCTTCCTAAACCCTGTAAGGAATCGCTCAAAGTCTTCCGTTTCGTTGAGGTGTGGGAAGGGCTTGTCCGGAACCTCCTTACCCAGGAAGGAGCACAACGGCTCCCATCCCGATCCAAGCTCATATTCAAGCAAGCGTTCCTTAGGGATCCGTTCCCGTATCTTAGTGGAGTGCTCCAGATATATTCTTTTCAGATTCCCTCTCCAACTATCCCCATCATGACAGTCAAATAATTTGTGTAGAATTCCCTGAGTCAAAGTCGCTACCTTGAGCGTCTGAAAAGGCTCAATAAGATTGACAATGACCCACATCGTCCGGTCGGAGAAAAAGGGGATGACAGTATCGTTGAATGATTTGGACCACTTGTCAATGTCACGGTTGACGAGCACCACTTTGGCCTACGACAGATCGTTGGATTCTTTAGCCTTTTGAAGTGTTGGATTGGCAGTTATTAATTCACGATAATACTTACATCCGGATAAGCCTCGATTAACTCATCGATAAATCCCAAGATTGGACTGTCTGAGACCGCAGCCCACCCTACTAGAAGATCATCGAACTCTTTCCTCCCGTACGGCTTTCCCTTTCCAAAGTGTTTGGCGTTGAAAGCCTTGTGAAATTGCAGTTGATCTTGCGGTCGCTGGAAAAAGTCGAAGCCATGGTAGGCAGGCAGGCCAAGCTCCTCATAAGCAGCCTTCATGGAGGTACTGCCAGTCCTAGGCAAGCTCAAATGCAGGACTTGGATGTTCGATTTGGAAGCCATGATGGAATTACTTACACAAAAGGACAAAAGACAGTTGAATGGGAGGTGGTTTACTTTGGATGAGATTAGCCGGCCATCACAGATTAAATACTCTGTGATCTACTAGGGTTATGATGCACGTCGGAGGATCTTGACTGTCACCAGTTCGATTACCCGCAGAAACCTGTCACATTGCATTGGCTAAGCGACGATATCACGCTCCATATGCAATGTAGCAACCGCCAAGTTGAAATCCTGACCTCCCATTGAATGCTATTGCACAACCGTGTGGCGATTGACGGTGTCGCTGCTTGATAAAGTGGGTGTGCTTGGTCTTGACCCATTCGCATGTCATTATGCAGCAAGTCCAAAGAAGAAAAGCGACAAGAAGAAGGAGGTGCAAAACGCGAATGGCTTGTAGATAGCCAGTTCAATCTGACGTGCATGCGGTGTTGCACTCGTTTTCAATCGTCTTGGTGTACCCGAATGGTGCTGTAAAGTTGGTGATTGGCGTAGCTGGGCAGTTGCGTTGCGGTCTGCTCATGTAGGATATCCGCAGACATATGCGTCAAATAATATCCAATGAGAGGATTCGTCTAATCGATTGCAACATTCTTTTGGCCGATGAGAACATTAAGGTACTGCTCAGATTGTGGTTTGCAGCAGCTTGATGACTAAGGACGAACAGAAGTCCTTCGGTACCCGCGCCTGATGGGAAGGTTTGCAGTGGCTGCAGTGGCTGTGGTTGCCTGGAGTATTACTGAATCCATGGCTGACTTGCCCTCCAGGTTGCCTAAAGCTTTCCCAGTTGACATCCATTCGCATGTTTCTTGAACCGAGTCCTTCGAAACGTCATTCATCCTTAGAAAGCAATACGACTTTTATCGACATGTGGCAAAGGATCTTCTCATCATCGAAAGGTCCTTCGCCGGAGACACCTCTAGCGCGGGGCTCCCCGCAGCAAGCGGACGACCCGGATCTCACGCCTCTCTACCAGTCGTGGCACGAGTTCAACACCACCACCGCGCAATGGGAGACGGTTCCAAACGCCGTCGAATATGTCCCTCCGCAGAACTTCAGCCAGCAGACTGTAGACGAAGACAGAATGACACTGGCGACATGGAACGTCGATGCGTTCTCCCCCTTGCCGAATGACAGACTCTCCGCCATTTTGTCCAGAATGCTTGATCAGGCACCGGCGCCTGATATCATTTTTCTTCAAGAGGTCTGCAAGCCCATGGTTCCCTTCATCATGCAAGATGAGAGGATTCGCAGTGGGTGGTATTCGAGCGAGAAAGATACTGTTCAGTGGCGCGGTCAATTATTCGCGACTATGGTGCTTATTTCGAAATCACGGTTTGGCCACCTTGGTAAGACGGCTTCTGGTATTCTCGGCAGAGTATCTCGAATCAAGTATCGTACCCGATACGGTAGAGATGCCCTCTGCAGCGAGATTCTACTTCCAACATCGACATCGAACCCGAACCCTGGCCAACCCGCCTTCAAGCGCATCCAGCTTGTCAATGTCCACCTGGATTCACTGGCAGTGACGCCTTCGCGCCGTCCTCATCAACTATCAGTCGTCGCAAAGCTGCTACACAACGCCGGCCACGGGCTGGTCGCTGGGGACTTCAACCCGGTACTCCCGGAGGATGGAACACTCATCGAAGAGAACAAACTTGAGGATGCTTGGAAAGCACTGCGTGGCGAAGAGCCTGGCTACACCTGGGGAGTTGACGGAACGGAGCCATTTCCGCCAAATCGTATGGACCGAGTCGCAATGGTCGGGCTGACGCCCCTGCATGTGGAGGTGATGCATCCGGAGACTATCGCGTTGCCGAAGTCTGACAATGCACAGAATAGGGCTGGGAAAGAGGGCGTGGAGGCTGAGAAGGAACAGACGGTGCCTTGGAGCGATCATTCGGGACTGAAGTGCACATTCACGATTGATGGATAGGCCGCTGATGCTTACACCGAATTCTTAGTAGCTATCAGTTAATGCCCAACTTCATGTTTCATTACCGCCTGTAATCACAGAGCTCCACTGACATCTGTCATAGCTGACTACATTAAGAGTCATAGTCTATCTTCGGAAGCCTAGATAAGGGCATGTTTATTTAACTTAAAAAACAGCAAGGTCAGGTGCCACGAGTTCTAAGTTGTACGAGGTGGATATAACCTTGACGGCCAAATTCTTCTTTCCTATAATAAGATGAAACAACACTTATGGCAATCTGTATAGCATCTAGGCGTATAAATCATCTGCGGGAAGTACTTCTAAAAGCACTGTGATGGACACGAATGAGATTGAGAGCGGAGATGCCGCCAACCTACAAAATCTTTCGATCGATGAGATCCTTCGCCAGCACCCACGGCCAAAACTCTTAGTGCAACCTCTGGCATGGACTTCTCGTCACATGGAACTTCTCCGCTGCAGCTGGCTGGAGCTGCCTGATTCTTGCGCGGCATCTTCAACCATTTCGCCTCCGCGCACTGCAACTCAGGCGCCCCCTACCAAACAAAGTACGAGATGGGCCAGGCAGATAGACAGAGGGCTCTCTGTCACTGAAAATATCAGATCTCTCTTGATCTTTCACTCGTTCAGAAAGTTATCGTGAGCAAAGTTGCTTTTTCCCGAAGAATTGTGTCTTTTACTGATTTTGCAGCGATCCTCTGGCTTTTCGGTTTAGAAGACACGACTTCCATCTTCCGTGTGATATCTACCTCAGCCCGATACCGTACACCGGTGAAGAGCATCCACGGACGATTGCTTATATTGCTCAGCCGCAAATTCGATCCCTTCGCCGAAGCAAACTTAGCAGACGGAAAGCATGGCCATTCGACCATATCGACAAACAGTACGATCCATACATTGCCGCTTTACTCATCGCACAAGCCCAGCAGAGCCAGATGGATGGTTCGCTTTCAGGCTGTGACGATCACGTCTCTGAACCTGGAACCGCTCATAAGGTTAGTATCTACCAATGCTGGGGTATCTAATGTTCTAATTCCCGTTGTTTAGGTCCATGTTTTCATGAGCAACCTCTCAAACCAACCTCTTCGTCTATATTCGGCCTGTATTACCAATGCTTTCCTCGACAAGCTAGCCTACCCCAATAGAAAGCCGAATCCACCAGATCTTACCCGTCTGGATATATGGCACACTCCTTTCTCCCCTAAGCCGTACTCGACTTTTATCCCGCGCCTCATAGAAGAAATGTGTTATTCGCTCGAGATGTGAAGCATCGACGAGAGACTGAAGATCGATCATTCATATGGCAGTCTCGTGTGGCTTGCTCCACTGCGAGCTGACACTTGTCGGCGGCAGCAATGGGCAGACTACGATTAGCCTAGAGAACAGTTCATCTTTCAGTAACGGCATGAGATAATTGAATTGTTGATGGGAATCACAGAGGTTTTCTCAGAATCGGAGACAGCCCCAGTGCACTTGGCGCAGAGCTATCGATCATACTCGCTGCTCGTTCGCTTCGTGCTGTCTTTGGACCCCTTGTTGTAGCTCAACTGTTTCAAAATCTCATTTCAGATTCACCTGCTTTGTTCCTCACGCTTATCAACGCAACTTGGGCCCTGAGTTTGTTTCTCTCTCATTTTATTTGTTTATCCTATCAGTCGACATATATCGACGTTTTCGATGTGTACATTGGTACGTTGCCTCTTCGGCAAATGAGAACTAATGAATTAAATGAAGTGTCCAATATCTCGCATTCTATCCTAGGACCAAAAGAGTGTGCTGACAAGGTTCTTCGACACAACCTTATGAGAAGTCGCGAGGGGTAAACACGACGAGGAAGAACAATAACCCTTATTTCGGCGGTGAAGAATAAGATATAAAATCGTGCGCATGATACCCCGCATCCAAAATCAAAATGCCGTAAGTCTGACGCATGTATGATCGATATAATGATGTACATAGCTTTTCTTATATAAAGCAGGAACATATCTGCCTGGAGTTGGAAGTTCGTTAGCGGCCAGCCGCAATTGTCTTTCAGCAACCTCAAGTTCCAACTCACCGCTCAGCCATCAAGAATCCGCAGAGCCAGGCCCTGGTAGATAAAACTGCATTTAGAAACCCATACGTACCCTGAAAGGTTGATAACTAGTCTCAATACGCTTTTGTTCGGGCGTTAGTGACATATTTCCTAGGACCCTTGATCAAACACTACCCCAACGGCTGGCTTTCACGTACGCTCACGTGCCATTGCCGACATGCAGCATGCGCCCGAAACATTATCACACTCGTACAACACGTACAAGAGACAAACGGCCCTCGTTCTGGACTGGCTGGCCGACACATACAATGCCCTTGGGGTAAAGGCCGCACTTGTTCCTGCGCAGACAGTTGCCGGGCTTATCCGCATGGCAGAGGCTTGTGTAGATGCCAATCGTAAGATGCCGGCCCGGGTAGAGATGGCCCTTCGACAGTCGATCGATCTTCGCCGCCGGTGCGCAGCCTGGTTCGAGAAGTCTGGAACGACGACTTCAACGATCAAGCACGCCTACTTCAACTCAGCCCTTGATGAGATTTTGATGCAGTTTGCAACTTCGCCCAACGATAACGCGGTCCATAATACGCCCTCGAAGAAAACCACCCGAAACATTTTCTCCGTCTTAGACGATGAGGGAGTTGGTCTACTTGATGAAGCTGTCGAGAAGGCTGCGTCGACGTTCTCTACTTCGAACGACGAAATCAGCCCGCCATGGGAACAGCTTCAAGATTTACAGCTCCAAGATGCAGAGATGTCGGAATTGATGGAGACGTCTGAAGCCTACTTCAACTCGGCATTAGTTGAAGTATACTGTCTATTCGAAGATGCAAATAAGCTACGGTATTATGCCCGAACTCTCTGGAAGCGATACATGAGTGGAGAGGTAGACTTGATGTCTGTCTCTCTGCTCATGCAGGCGGTAGTTACGGTCGTGAAGGACTTGATAAAGGGATACGAGACAACACGTCCTGACTGCCCAAACGAATATTTGGGACTGGCGGAAGTGGTTCAATTCCAAGCAGCTTTGGGCATATTTCCTGTTGTGTATGGCGATACCGATAAGGAACTGAAAGCCCAGGCCAAAGAGTTGGGGCAACGTTTCAAGGATTCTTCATGGCAGCCATCAGCAGAATTCCTTGATTGGCGTTTCGACAGCACTTACCAAATGCTCGTAAGCAAGTACCGCGCTCTGGATATTTCAGAAAAGAACAGAACGACGAAGCGCTTGCAGAAACTCGTCCCGCCGATGTGGCCCAAGGCAGAGGGCCTCACGATCCTGCGAAGACTCATCAAAATAAGCGACGACATTGAGTCAAGGTCCGAAGAGATGATTGCATATGGAATGCTGGATCCCTTCACTGTAGCCTTGAATTTCGACAACGAGGATCACAGAAAGGGAATTACATTCGCCGAGGTGGTTGTAACTCGAGTCCTCCTTGACGTGTACGACTTGGAGGGACTCATGGAAAAAGTCAGAAACGACATCAATCACTTAAAGAAGTATTGCGAAAACAACAATCATTTCGAGAACTATTCGGCGAGAGAGAAGCGCAGCGACCCTCGATACGAGCCTTTTTGCAAAGATCTCGCCGAAATATCGAGACCGACCTCGAATCTCGATGAAGCTCCAAATCCCATATTTCTGGGCAGCTGTCTCTTCCGAGTGCTTGAAATTCTTCGATATACTCAGGTCGAAAAGGAGAATGAAGAGTGGAGCCTTCTGGCGATGGCGCACCTCTACCACGCGCTGAAAATCATTGATCAACAGCCCCCAGAATGGAAGGATATGAACGTCTTGATTCAATTGCACGAGAAGGACATTTTTGGAGGCGCAGCACCAGCTCATTTCAACCAGTGCCTCACTCGATTCTATGTTGCAGAAGGCCTCAGATTCAATGAGGCCCAGGCAGGCGGCGATCGTGATGAAAAGGCAGAGAAACGAAGGCGTCCAGTCCATACCATGTCGTACATTCTCAGCAAAAGGGGCTTGAAGGGTCAAGCATACCACTCGGAGTCTTGTCGCATGTTACCCGTCTGGTTCGCTCGAAGGAATACGCCTGGCTTTCGGAGAGAGCTGCTGCCAGCACCTTTTCTCGAGAGCGTCATGATGGAAATGAAGAGCCCTTACGAAGGCGTATTTCTGGAGAGATGCAAGGTTCTAGCCGAGGCGATGCTTCATGTCGCGAACGAGACGTCAGCTGACGTCTTAGCCCCCTTTGACGCTCTGGAACGGCGAATAACGTCCGAAATGTCAACAACTGTCTTCAATTACCGCCAGCTCCGGAGACACGCGGAACGCATTATTCGTCCTATAGATTATAATGGTTTGGCTCTTCACCGCAGAATCACCGTGAACTTGGGGCTTCCCTTGTCCCCGTACTGGAAATTGTTGTCTTCGCGAATTCGTAAAGATGGCCATCTAGAGGAGGTCACAACGTCATGGGTTGATCTGTGCAGGTTGGTGGTTCTTTGGCCTTGTTGTGAGAAATGTGAGCTAACATAGTTCCTTCTTTAACAGCAAGACGGGTCTGAAACCTCGAATCCAGATCTCAGCCATCGACAAATAAGATGTCCTCGAGCAGGAGATTGAGGAGCGTCATGTTGAGACATTGATGTACGTCTTCGATGGTGGAGCATTATTGATGTCTATGCTTGGTCATGACACCTAACAACGTCGTTGGGATGCAACCAGTGTAGAACTCTAGGTGGAATCCAAGACCTCGAAGTTTAGGCGTTCCGTTCTTTTAGTTGCCGAACTATTGTGTAACCTCGGTTGAGCAACAACACGACGGGGGAAATAGCTCAAGCTTGACTTACTACCAATACTGGGACCCTTCTATCAAGTCAAAAGAACGTACATTTGAGTTCTAGTTAACCTAATAGAGGTATGCTGATAGTTATAGGTTGTCCCTGTGTATGCTAATCTTGTCGTTATTGTTATCCCCATTGATTTTATCTGTTGCTGTCATTGTCGCTGTGGTCGCTATCGTCGCTACCGTTGCTGTCATCGTCGACATCATCGTCGACATCATCGTCGACATCATCGTCGTCATCGTCGTCATCGTCGACATCATCGTCGTCATCGTCGTCGTCTTCGTCGTCGTCTTCGTCGTCGTCTTCGTCGTCGTCTTCGTCGTCGTCTTCGTCGTCGTCTTCGTCGTCGTTGGTGTATTCATACAGAGCTGTTGTATATCTGACACATTTAAGATGGAAACCCAAAGAGAATGGACACTTTATTATTATCTTTTCTTTTATAAAACAGTCAATGACATTGCTAGCAGCGATGTTGAGGATTTATTGAACAACTAGAAATCTCATTCAAGCGTTCAGTTTCAAGCGTACGTGAGAATAACCAGCCGCAACCTTTGAAGTTTCATGTGGTCTCCGCAGCAGCCACTTTCACCCACATATTCTCTTCGACAAATATGTTGTAGCTGCTGGAATCCCATGGTTTGACCGGGTTGGCCAGTTCAAAGTCGAAGTTTCGCAGTAGCTATCACAACATCAGAACAGGATTCAGACATCTCTTAAACAGGTCTTGACGACTCACCTCAAAAAAGACTTTGTACAGCTCCATGAAAGCGACAGGCTTCCCAGCGCACATGTAGCGTCCATAACCGAACGCCATTTCCACCTCGCGCTCTAGCTGGGCCCTAGCCTTATCGCTGACGTCTAGAAATCGCTCTGGGCGGAAAAGGTCTGCATCCGGCCCAAACACAGTCTGTGACCTGAGCATGGCAGGTGCGTTCATTCCAATTGCCGTGCCACCAGGGATAAACTTGCCGTCAATGGTGTCGCCTTGTGGTGGAACTGTCTTGGGGTAAAGTCCAGTCGCAGGCGCCCGGATTCGGATGCCTTCATATACCAAGGCCTGAAAGGGTCAGAACACACAGGGTTGAAGGCTGGGAAGACGCAAGTCGGCACTTACGCGAAGAAAAGGAATCTTGCTGCTCTCATCAACTGTAATAGGAGTCGAGACTCCGGTATCAACAGATTGTCGAATGACGTCTTTGAGCTTAAGGTACACTCGGGTATTGGTCATCAAGTAGAGCATAGTGATGCGAATGACGGATGCTGTAGTGTCTGAGCCAGCGACCAACGCGAAAAGACCCTCTGCTTCACACTCTGCCTTTGTCAACCCATTCTTGATCCAGGAGCCCTATAATTCCAAGTCAACGGAAGCCCAAGTTAAGTAGGGAAGCCTAGCAACGTACCAACATGTCGTTCTGCGGTTTTGAGGTTGGCTTAAATCTTTCGCCGACGTACTTTTCAGCAACTCTGGGTTTCCGATGTTAGCGGCAGCAACCTACGAAATACACTGAACTGAAGACTCACCCCATCATCTGCCCCATCCCATGCGTATCCGTGGGTCGAGGACCGAGTAGCTTCAAGAACCAGCTCGAGAACCTCACGCTTCGTATCCATGGGGTGTCCAAAGTGACCGCCAAAATCGGCCAGTTGTCTCTCATTTGTGCAATGAAACCGAAGACATCTGCATCCGCATCGAGATGCCCAAAAGGCTTGCCAAATGTTGCACTCGTTATGACATCCATTGTCAGATACGCGGGTAGCAAACCCATATCCATGAGACGACCCGTGTCAGCGTACTTTTCTTTCAGAAGTCTCACCGCCTTCATCATTTGCTCATCAACGCTTGGCTCCAGCAGGTCTATCTCGCGTCCTGCGTATCCGGCTGATGTCTGAGTCTTCATCTTGTCATGGAGGGTCTTATCCGTCGTCGTGAACATTGTCTCCTGGTATGGGTTGAAGCGGCTAGAAAAATACCAGGCGTCTTTGCCATAGTCGCCTCGCACAGCATTGACGCGGCGAAGGACATCCGGGTCGTCTGTGAGGAGCTCATTTGGCCCAACACGGACAAGACGACTCTTGTACTGAGTGTTGATGTTACGGTACAGCTCTTCCTGGCGTGCGCTGGCAGCGATTCGCAGAAGCCAGAAGTATGAAAAGGAGCCAACGAAGGGACCAGGAATGTGTCGAAGACGGTACCAGGAAAAGAAAGATGTAGTAAGGTACCAACAGGATATAATGAGCAATGTCAGGAGGCAAACTTGGACAGGTGAAGCCTCAAATGAGGGCAGTGTCAAAGTCTCCATTGTGAGAGTTTTGCTACAAAGCTGCGTAGTCTAATACTCGTTCTGCGGATCAGAAGAGGTGCGAGAATGCCTCCCGTTCCGTGGGCACTGAGACGTTTTCAAGTCCTTCCAGTCAGTCAGATGCGAACCACGGCAGATGCTATCCGTGGACATTCTGCGTTGCATTGCGCGGCAGAAACTGAGCTGTTGTCCGTGGAGATGTCAGCATAGCGTTGTATCGCATCATCTTATGGTGGCTCTCAAATGCCGATCCACAGGGTTCAGGCTGGCCTGCAGCTGATGTGATACAAATGTCTCCATCGTCATTCGATGGGCTCTGCCATGGTTACACAGAGTGTCAGTTAGGTACAGCTTGACAACTCAGTTTCCGCTGCTCAACACAACGCAGCAAACCCTCTTGGTCCACCTTACACCGCAGCTCAGCATGTCGGAGGTCGGTTCGGATCGGGGGATCCACCTGAAGGCGGGTCACGGCGGGCTCAACCCCGGTTATCTTCCGGGGCCCTAGGTACCTTCAATAAAATGTGCAACTTTGGTGTGACCCAACCACCTTGCAAAGGCGGCCTTACCTGTTTTGTCATTGGATGTAGAAGAATGGAGGACGGCGGCCTAGGGTTTGGTTTGAATTCTTGCGGAATCAACAAGCTGTGTATAGCGCCGGGGGCTAGAATCACTACGTTGCCACCACGGAAGTGTGGCACATGTGCAAAAGAATTGATAGCCCGGAACCAAACACTCTAGCCGTTTTCTATCTTGCATAGGTAATTCATCGGGCAAATATCAGATGACATTTGAGATAGTACATGTCAAGGCAAAAGGGAACCATAATATGAGAACAGGCCTGAGCCCAGATTCTCTGTATAGACGGCACCAAAAGTACTACATCCACAAATGAATGTCGGACTGACACTGTACGAAAAGATTGTATATCTTTTATTCCATATTTAGGGATATTTACGCAAACCCATATGCAACATCGGTCTGAAGCTCCGTTATTTAAGCAATAGTCCTTTACAGCTTGTATCTTAGGACGGGACGCATTGATTCATGATATTTAGCGTTTTACACTACTTCATACAGTCTCAGTGGGTATTTCCCTCAATAATAGCTACATGTACGTACGAATACTCAATCAAAGGCGACGAATACGAAGACGAGGATAACACATCGACAATGATGACGACGATGACACCGATAACGAAAATAGTGATAACAACACTGACGATGGTAACAAGAAAGAAGATGTCTGTATCTACGACGACAGGAATAATAACGGTAGGTTGACTTTTCCGGGCGAAAGATGTGATTTAAAAGCACCTCGTGGTGAATGGGACAGGAATGCCTATTTATCTGTGCATCACCGCCTCAGGATCGGATGATAGACCTTGGCATGTGTTTATTGCTCGTCCTGTCTCGCAAATTGGTCAAGAATCACCTGGAGCTGACGCCTGATATTGAGGACTGGTTGGACTGGTTGGAATCTCGCTTCACGGGCCAGTTAGTCCGCAAGCTCAGCAGCTAAACACCTGCTTGTGGCAACTTACCGACGAAAGTCTTTCGTCGGGCGGCCCGATGGCCAGACTGAGTTATGCACTTTCCACGAATGCATTATCAGCGCCCGTGAGTGTCGTATTTTGACATACAGTTGCGTCGGATGAAAAGTCATCTGCCCGGTTACATTGATGCGCATCAGCATTGCACGTGGGGAGGATGAGCCCCTTATCGATGACGGTCAGACTCCCGAGGACGGAATGTGTGCACTTTGTTTAGAACCGTGTTGAGTTGATACAGAGCGCGCTGCTGGATCAACGGGTGGCTTCGTGTTGTCGCATTTCCCGCGCATCCAGGCCCTCCCCGCCTTATGGGGCGAGCCTCAACTCGGTTCTGGTACGGGGTTCCGGAATCCTCACTACTTCGCCACCAGAGCATGCTATCGTTGAAGATTGTGGACAGAGACTGCGAGTGAAGCTTACCGATGCGTGACTTGCCGATGCGTGACTTGCCGATGCGTGACTGGCCGATGCGTGACTGGCCAATGCGTGACTGGCCGATGCGTGACTGGCCTGTCTCGGCACCCAGGAGACGGTCGGAAGACTGCTACGGGATAGTGAGGAATCAACTGGTAACGTTAGCGTCAATGTGTGGGACTGCCGGCGAACAGAGGGCGAGACAGCCGTCTCACGGCTCTCGATGGCGAAAATACCAACTTGAATGAATCCCTTGGTATGCCGTCCGGTCACAGAGCACCGACGGGGCTGTAGAGGAATGTAGAGGAATGGGGTTTTTTGAGGGATCGTGATTAAATGGGGAATCCACACAACGACAAGCTCAATCGGAATCTGCATGGCGATCTGGTTCGATCTATCGAGCACGGCGCTAGTATCATGAGTTTCCAAGCCGGCAGAGAGATTGATACTGCTCTTGTTCATGTCAAAATGACTGTCTTCATACAAAATTGGGCCTGCCCTAGAGGTTTTGAGCCTCAACAAACAGCCGCTTCAGGTCTGTAGTGTGTTTTCCATGAAGATCCTATCCATGGCCGGCTCATTCTGCGTCATCATCGTAGCATAGAGCGTGGAGAAGTTCTGCCAGGGGATCGTGGCTGAGGCATCGACAGTGTGGAGGGGAATTTGCCGTTAGCGATGTCTTAGCCAACGCACGCAAGGAAGCTATGAGTCGGCGTCTCGGCGAAAAGGCCGAAGGCTTATCGGGGCCATCTGGCAGGTTGAAAGAGTCATTCTTCTCTGAAATATATGAGTTATGAAACTGTTCGACCTGGAAGTTTTCGAATATATCTGCATTATTTCGCAAGATAGAACACTTAGGTTAGTGATGGCATGAATGCGGAAGCACTTTCTGGAGACGAATTATAGACCGTCAGAAATCAACGACAGGCCTTTCCAGGCGAGGACAAAAAAGAGTCTCCTAACATGAAAAGAATAGTCGACGAATGGTGAGTCAAAAGAATACACAATCCACGTCTCAGTCCTCTGCAGGCCTCTCTAACTAGTAGCCTAGGAGAGCAATTATGGGTGAGACGAACCATCAAGAAGGATCAGTAATATTAGCCAAGGGAGTATGCGCAGAATAATAGTGATAAGGACGACGACTATGCTAATAAGGACAGTGGCAAGGGCGACGACAGATGACAAAGAGACTAACGGCAGCAACAACGATAGCAATGACAGAAACACCAGCGGCAGTCATGATGACAGACTTCTTCAAGAGAAGACAATACAAACAGTAATAATAGAAACAGGACCATTTGGAGTTATTTGCTGACAGAATTACTTACTGCTAAAATGAACGCAATCTTCGTTGCGAGGCCGCCCCATGCAATCAATCAAAAATAGCTTCATAAAGCTTCAGAGACAGGTCCGTATTTACAATATGTATTACAAACAGGTTGCGTTGTGCAAGAAAGCAGCAAAAAATACGAATAAGAAGATCGAAAACTGTGTGCTGTGCGTCTAACACTTTCATTCAACGGCTTCTGTCATCGTTAAACTGGCGGTCGCAGTAGGATCAATCCAATGCAGTTGACTACCCGTCACCATCAGTTTCGAACATGAATGATGTCTTCGATCAGGGCTGACAGTAGACTGGACACATCAGCTTATAACATCGTTCATCGAAATGGCTTGCAGTGGCTGTGAGACAAACGATAACCGAGGGCAGGGGCTTGAAAGACGCTGGAGAATGACGTCCAGGCCACGAAAACAGGTCATTTGAAGTGAGACACAAACATGGTGTGGCTTGGCGGACCGGCAAGATTGACTTGCATGCCACTGCTCTCTCAGGCTTGAATAAGGATACAACATTAGTCCATCATGAATAGTAGTGCAGGCACTGTGTCACTGAACCCAACAAACGAAGTCGGCATGTCATTTTAGCAACTATGTTCGGCCCGAGGCCGTTCCTGGTGGGAGTAATCCCGAAGCAACCGCACTTGTGCAGTATGGTGAGCTCACCCAGGGTGATGCGATGCGCTCATCTTATGGGTTGTCTCAGTCAGCATTCATCTTCTCAAAACTTTGAGACATCGACACATGCGGGTCATGGAAGTGGCAGGCGGGAGGCTTGAGCCCCCAGCAACTGCTCGAAACCACACCCTATCATCGCATCCGGGCTCGCAGCTTACTGGTGACATACTCGGGCCACATCCGAACAGCAGCCACCACATCTCGCCGACGTTGGAATCTGATCGGCAGCCTTGGTCTCTACTTTGAGCCGGTCGGTAGGCTAGCAACCAAGCTATTAGTGTGAAAAGTACTTGACATTGGGCATTGCACACAATATGTACGCCTCTCACTACTTTCAAAGCGGAACTAACCTTGCAAAAGGCAGTTTCTCTGATTCCGTTTCTGTCCCCTTCTCCACGCAGAGTGTCATCCAATACCCATTGTTTTGCTCACCATGGAAACGATCCAGTCCGTTGAATTTGTCTGCAATCGGAATTTCGCGATAGCAAAGTGCTTGGCGGTAACCGACGGTGTCAAAGTGAAGGCAAAAAGGTTATGGAGTGGCCTGGACTATCTCATCGATGGTTGATGGGCCCTTTTCAAGCAAATGCCTTCCCCTTCCCTCAGTCGATAGTGCTTGTAAATTCAGCACTCCAAGTGAGCAATTCATTTCTTGGCTTGAGCCTCATGTGGTGACTTCGTTTGTCTCCTCTGATGACTTTGTTCGTCTTCTCTGGCGATTTCGTTTTTCTCCTCTGGTGACTTCGCTCATCTTCTCTGTTGCCTGTGGTGACTTTTTTCGTCTCCTCTGGCAATTTCGTTTGTCATTGTCTGTCGTCGTCTGTCGTCGTCTGTCGTGTATTCAACCCACTACCAACTTACGCCGTTCATGATCAACGATGGCGAGACTTACAGGGTTGTGGAAGCTCCTCTTGCCTCCACTGCTTCTAGGAAGCAAAGGCTATGCGCAATCATGCCTTGATGCCCTCGACAACGACCAAGTCGATGCCTGTGTGTGCTCTTCACTTGACTACGTTGTCAGCTACGTCGCCTACATTGCTGTTTCGACATCATCCACGGTCAACTGCGAGGCCCAGTCGACCTTATCACTTAATATTTCGACTTCCTCAGGACCGGGTGCTGTCCGACGGCAACTAGATCCGTCTTATGTAGGCCCAACGACAGTGGTTACGGTTTTGCCGTCAGGGGACTTCCAAATTCCGCCCTCCTACTACACGATTTCGAGGGGATCGACCACAACAGCAAGACCTGGCCAAGTGTCGACCTTTGCCAACTACACCAGCAGTTTTACGACGAATCCCATTTCTTCACCGCAGACTCTCCTGGTTGACAGACCGGTCCCTACAGCTGTAGGGGTTTCGGCTCGGTTCACAGCCATTGTTGCGATTCCGGATCCTCGACTGGAGGATACTTTTACGTCTACGGTGTATTACAGTGAAGGGGAGTCTTTCAGCGAACGGCAGATTATTTCTTCGATAGCGCCTCGACCTGCGACCATCGTTATCGCCGTTCCAAGCCCGTCCGGGGGCCAGGTCCAAGATGATTCGCGGCCTTTCGTTACGTCTGTCGTCCAATACTCTGGTGACGCAGCTATCAGCACGCCAACGACTCTATCCGTGATCCCCCCTCAAGGAACTCAAAAAGGCACAGTGATAATAGGCCTTCCTCCAACCGCTTCACTGACTGGAGGCCCTCCCCCATCATTCATCACGTCTGTGGTGCCGAATCAGTCACCGACAGGGGCGGATCCCTCTGGCTTCAGCCAGCCTCTCTTCAACTTGGCAGGAACCGAAGGTCTCGTAGCATCGTCGATTACTACAGAGCTTGTGTTCACAGATGCTTTGGCTGCTACCAGAACCTTGACACAAACACTCAGCGCTTTCGTTGCGACTCCTAATGGCACCCGTCCTGGAACAGTGTTCATCATACAGGCGCCGACGAACCTTCCAACGCAGAACTCCGGCGCGACTAGCCCTGCCGAAGACCCTGTATTACCGGCATCTTTCAACCCAGTCAGTCCTCAGACTGCCACGCCAGTGATCAACGCGCCTGGAGGGAACGCTTTCGGAACTGCTTCGGGTGGAGCTGCTCTTCCGAACAGTATTGCTAACCCGGGCAACTCCGCCCCAAGCAATCCGGTCCCAAGCAATTCAAACCCAGTTAACCCAGACCCGGCCAACCCAGACCCGGCCATCTTGGGCCCAAGCAACGGTCCGAACCGAGATAACCCGAACCCGAACCCAAGCAACGGAGGCGACTCTCCATCTGCAAACGTTGGAGTTGGCCCCGCACCAAACCCCACCGGACCCGGGGGAGATGGGTCGACTGGACCTGGTGTGGGAGATATCCAGCCAGGACTTTACGTCACGTCTACGGTTCAATACACGGGAGCATTAGAACTGCCTGGACCTGTTACTGTGTTTTCTTCACCTCCTGAAGGGACCGTTCCTGGCACTATCGTGATAGCTGTGCCGCCTACGCAAGCCTTAGGGGGTGGATCTGCTGCCCCTTCGAACGCAGCTCCAGGGCAAGACGGTTCGCCTGAACCGGCTCTGACAATTGCTCCAGCTTCTTTAGGATCACCAGCCGCAGCACCAAGTGATGGTATCGCCGCCGGTGACTCCATCCTCCCAGGTGCTGGTTTGCCAGTCGATAACTCAGCTGGACCAGCACCAACACCGGCGTCGCCAGACGAAGGACAAGGAGGTGCCGGTGGTTTACCGGCAACACCGTACATTACCTCAACCGTCACATCTGACGGGCTACAATTCGCAAGAATTACGATTGCTACCATTCCTCCGCGGCCGGAGAACGCTCAACCAGGCGTTTTCGTAGTGGCAGTTCCGAATACCCAGAGAGGCCCCAACAACAGCGGTGGCTCAGTGACTGCTCCGAATGGAGCTGGAAGTGTGGCCCCGGGCGCAATCGCTAGCCCTGCTGGAACTCAGTCTTTTGCCGATCCGGTATTGCCAGCTTCTATCGCGCCCTCTGCTCCCGGAGTAGCTCCCGGAGTGCCCGGAGCATCAGCCCCCGCTGCTCCGGGCAACACGCCGATATCGCAGAATGGCTCGCCCAGTCAACCCGCACCTCAAGGAGACCCCAATTCGCCTCAGGAATCGATACTACCCAACATTGGACAGACTCAGCCACCCTCGCCGGGAGGAAGCGCAGCAGCATCACAGGATGGATCGCTGGGCCAACCTACTCCTCAAGGAGACCCGAATTCACCTCAAAACTCGGTACTGCCCAATATTGGACAGAGTCAGCCGGTTTCTGGCGTGCCAATCCAGACTGGAGACGCCCAATCCCCAGGACAGTCACCCGCGCCTCAGAATGGCTCACCAAATGAACCCACTCAGGGAGACTCGAACCAGCCTCAAGACTCGGTACTACCAAACATCGGACAGACTCAACCGGGCCCTGGCGTTCCAGCCCAAACTGGGGCACCGGGACAATCACCGGCTAGTCAAGCCGTGACGGGCGCTCCAGTTGGAAATGCTATTCCTACTCCAGCAGATCCCCTGGCCCAGTCGTTTGTGACCTCGCCGGTTTTCTCCCCTGGAATATCATCTCCAGTGTTCATTTCGACAATCATTCCAACTGATGGTGCTTTACCAACCCTGATCCTGGCCCTTCCTGGTGTATTCGTTACTTCGACCACCTCATTGTCCGCCATCAATCCAACAAGACAGCCGTTCCCTTTTACAACAATTGAGCCTGTCGGATCGGCTCCTGGTACCATTTTGTTTGCTGCCCCGGTCTCTTTTGCCACGTCAAGAGTGCTCTACACTGGGCAAGCTCCTCTCACAACACCGACGCCGATTGCAACCCTTTTCCCTACAGCGGGAGGAGCGGCTCCAACCATTGTCTTCTTAGACCCTCTTTCGTACGTCAGCTCAACCTCGACGGATCCTGCAGACGGCACCGGTGTAAGGGGCACGGGTCCACCAGTCCCAGTAACGACGATATTCCCAACTCGTTCTGGTGACCCAGCTACGATTGTCTTCCAGCAGCCGTTGGCTTCGACTCCAGCAGGCAGTTCTTTCGTTACTTCGGTTCTTGGTGGAGACAACGCTCTCCCCACGGACGGACTTGTGCCTTTGTTCACTATACCTGCAGAAGGAAGTCTTCCAGGGACTGTAGTATTGGGCAGCCCACCATTCGGGTCTCAGAGCAGCCCAACGCCCGATATATTGGAAAACTCCTTCGCCGGTAGTCAAGCGGCATCGACGCCAGCTGCCTCGGTGATCGGACAGAGTAGCTTGGGTCCTGGGTCCCCGGCATCTCTACCGGCAACGGAGGCAACCATCCCACAACCCTCTGTCGACCCTGCGAACAATGGACCTGCACCGCAGGCATCTAACGGCGGTGCTTCTCCCTCTGCAGCAGGTCCGCCTACAATTTTGGACCAACTTACTCCATCAGACGCAGCTATCACGCAGACTCCAGGCCCCGGGACGTCCTTCGTTGACTTCTCCGGAAGCGGTGTTCTGACAGCGCCGTCCACTATCACGACGATAGCTGGCTCAGGCACCAATCCTGGTCTCGTCATTGTAGCCACACCTGCGCTGCCGAGGACTCTAGAGGTAGATTACACGGGTACAAGCATTCTAGACGCCCCTATCACCCTCACGACCATTCCTCAAGTCGGTACGACTCCCGCGACGGTTATCATCGAAAGACCTAGGCCTGTGACGACCATACAAGTGCCGTACTCGGGAACTCTGTCCCTCACAGCCCCAACGCCTATTTCAACAATAGTCCCACAGAATATCGCAGATCCCATCACCGTCGTGGTCGCACTTCCAGCCTTGCTATCACCTTCAGCGGGCCAAAGCGCTGGTGGAGGCCCTCAGGCATCGCCATCTCCGATCGCCCCCATTTCTAGTTCCGGCGCTGTTCAACCAGAAACGTCACAAGGAGCTTCACAGCCGGCTGTATCAGTTTCTGGAACAGTTCCGCAGCCCAGTGAGTCTGTACTGGAGCAATCACTGCCCAACTCCCCAGGATCCACCGCGGCCAGTACGCAGGTGTCCGGTTCTCCTCCTACCGAGGCTCCGAGTTCTGTGGTCAACCCAACTATCGCGGAAGCAGTCTTCGTCACGGCGACGGTGCCGTACATTCCTACAGGAAACGAAATCATCACGGGACCGATCGTATTGTCCACAATCCAGCCCAGTAGTACGTTCCCAGGCACCGTGGTTGTTGGAACCCCCATTCTTTCGGGGCTTTCAACCCAGGTTCCTACGGCATCAAGCCCGCCCATCCTAGGAAACCCTTCTGGTCCTCTTATTGATGTTTTCATCACCATTACTATTCCTGTTGCTGGTTTGTTGCTTCCTGCGACGTCTACAATCTTCCCAACGGCCCCGAACACTATCGGGACAGTGGTCATCGAGACTCCTGCGCCATCAATTCAGCCGACTGTAGGAAATTCTCCTGGTCCTCTCATTGATGTCTTCGTCACGATTACAATTCCTGTCCTTGGGCTGTTGCTTCCCGCGACATCTACCATCTTCCCAACGGCCCCGAACACGATTGGTACGGTGGTCGTTGAGACTCCAGCGCCATCGAGCCAGCCGACTCTTGGGAACCCTCCTGGCCCTCTTATCGATATCTTCATCACGATTACGGTTCCTGTCTTTGGGCTGTTGCTTCCCGCGACATCTACCATCTTCCCGACTGCTCCTAACACTATCGGGACGGTAGTCATCGAGACTCCAGCTTCTCAGACTTCGTTCGTCACGACCACCGTGTTGTTCAGTCCAACGGGTAGCGGACAGATCACAGGACCGACTCCGCTTACCACCATTTCGCCGTCTCAAGGTCTACCTGGTACGGTGGTGGTTGGTGTTCCAGAGTCTCAGGCCTATGTGACAACTACCGTCCCGTTCAGCCCTACGGGAAGCCAGCAAATCACGGGACCAACTCCTCTTACAACCATTGCGCCATCCCAAGGAGTACCCGGTACTGTCATCATTGGTGTCCCCGAGTCTCAGGCCTATGTCACAACCACGGTTTTGTTCAGTCCTACAGGAAGTCAACAGATCACGGGGCCAACTCCCCTGACAACTATTGCTCCATCCCTAGGATTGCCCGGTACTGTGGTGATTGGCGTTCCAGAGTCTCAAGCATTCGTGACGACTACGGTATTATTCAGTCCTACGGGAGGCCAACAGGTCACGGGGCCAACTCCCCTGACAACTATTGCTCCATCCCTAGGCTTGCCTGGTACTGTAGTAATTGGCGTTCCAGAGTCTCAAGCATTCGTCACGACTACCGTATTATTCACCCCAACAGGAGGTCAACAGATCACGGGGCCAACTCCCCTGACGACGATTCCACCATCTCAAGGCGTACCTGGAACTGTGGTGATTGGTGTGACGGAATCTCAGCTTCTTTCTGTACCAGTATCATCTCCCGTTCTAGACGCTTCGTACGTCAGCACGACATCTCTCGTTTCAGGGACGGCTTTCGATCAGCTTACTACCCCGATCCCAATCACAACGATATTGCCTAGCAATGGTCAACCCGGAACCATCGTCTTCATTGAAAGGCCGTCAATCTCAGCGGCACCGACCGTTTCGTCACCTATCCTAGAGGCTTCATACGTCAGCACGACATCCCTTGTCTCAGGCACGGCGTTCAATCAGCTTACTAGCCCGATTCCGATCACGACGATTTTACCTAGTAATGGCCAGCCTGGGACCATCGTCTTCATCGAAAGACCCCCGACGTCAGCGGTGCCGACTTCTTCGTCGCCCATTCTGGAAGCCTCATACATTAGCACCACATCTCTCGTTTCGGGCACGGCCTTTGACCAGCTAACTAGCCCGATTCCAATCACAACAATTTTGCCTAGCAATGGCCAGCCGGGAACCATTGTTTTCATCGAAAGACCTCAGACATCAGTGGTGTCGACTGTAGCAACCTCATCCCTAGAATCTGAGGTCACGACGAGTTCAATCCCGGCAGTCAGCGGACAGACTTCGATCACCTCTTCTCAATCGGACGCAAACAGCCAATTGTCTACATCTTCTGCTCCGACCGTTGAAAATGCAAGCCAGAATTCTGGAACACAGACTCCATCGGAAACCTCCTTGGCTACAGGCCCTGCTATTTCTTCAACCGCAGGTGAATCATCATCGGTGTCTGGGTCCACTTTTGCCGCATCCGAGTCCAGCTCCGTTCCGGGGTCCTTTACTTCCGGGACCGGGCTTTCCTCCGGCCCCGGCAGCGCCGACTTCTCTTCCAGTACTCAACCGACGGCGTCTTCCATTCCGGCCGACTCATTGAGCATTACCGAGACGCCGGCAACGGCAACCCAAACAGGTGCTTCTCAGTCTAATTCAATTCTTCCTGGATCCTACGTCACATCAGAGATTCTCTACTCACCGACCGGAACCGAGCAAATTACCGCCCCTACTACCTTGTCCACCATTCTCCCTAGCGGTCAAGTTCCCGGAACGATCATCGTGGGACTTCCGGCTCTTTTCAACACCATAAGCGTTCCTTACAGTGGAGTCGGTCAAATCACGCAGCCCATCACATTGACCACAATCTTCCCTACAGGCACTGGTCTTCTGGGGACCGTGGTGGTGGCTACTCCCGCCAGCTCCTTTGTGACGTCTACGTCCCTTTATACAAGCGGTGACAGCATCACTCAGCCAACCACATTGACGACGATTGGTCAGACAGTGATCATAGCATCACCCAGTGGTAGCAGCTCAGCCACTCCCGACATCACGTCCGCGTCTACTTCCATTGAGCCAGACTCGGTGATAAGTAGTTCGTCTAGTACGATAGGGTCTCTGGATTCTTCGAGCTCCATCTCAACAGGCAGCACAGAAGCATCCACACAGACTTCTGACACAGCCGCTTCGCAGGCCACAAGTGGATTCACGTCTGTTGACCCTACCTCCTCAAGCCTCCTGTCATCGAGTTCCTCTGAGATTCTAGACGCCTCGATCGCTACATCAACCTTACAGACGACTGAATCCAACACATCAATCGCCCCTGATTCCAGTAGTTCTAGTGGGTCGATCGCCACGACGCAATCCGGAGAATCCACTATCGAGTCGTCGGTTACATCGTCAACGTCTGCAAGCGACTCGCCTACTTCAGCCTCATCAGATACGGGCGTCAGTGCCTCTACAGTTCTGAGCTCACTTTCTTCTGGGAGCCTCACTTTGAGCGGTTCATCCACGGAGAGCAGATCCTTCGAATCGCTTCTTCCTGGGTCTCTAGTGTCCACGTCAACTTCTGGCTTTACTAGCTCAGACTCATCAAGCTTAGGTCAAACTACGGACATTTCTACGAACCTAGACACGTCCATCACTATCTCGACTGGTTCATCCAGCGCAAGCGAAACGGAGTCATCATCGACGCAGCCAAGCGCTTCCCCAGAAGCTACGACGAGCCTGTCATCTGTCGAGACAGGGTCGGCCTCATCAAGCTTAGAAGTTACCAGCGACTTGATCTCTTCCACCAGCGAATCCGCGAGTCAGACAGCAGGAAGCACGAGCATAGACTTGGACACTCTTTCATCTCAAACTCAATCTTCAGACTCCAGCAGCACCATTAGTCCTGAGACTACAGGATCTTCTCTTATTGATTCAAGCACCAACTCGGATGGCCTTAGCTCCACCGGCTCAACCGAGACTGGAGTCACGTCCGCAACATCTCTGGATACAGATATCCTCGCATCGCCAAGCTCCACTGGCCTTTCATCCACCCAAGAGTCGACATCCGCAGAATCCACTGTGGCAACAACCGACTTAAGCTTGACAACAGCCAGCCCTTCGGTCTCGTCTTCCCTGTCTGCTACGGATCAAACCACACTGCTGGATACTCTTTCGCTGGATTCGACGACCTCAGATGGCGTTTCTACGACAGCTGATGCTAGCTCGACCGGAACAGGGCTCTTGACCTCGGATAGTGACACCGCAATCACTATTAGTTCCACTGGAACGGACACCACGCTGTTCAACAGTTTGTCAACAGAATCGCTTACTTCAAGCGACGCCACTTCCGCGTCTGGGGATAGCACTGTTTCCACGAGCATTTCCCCTACTGTAGATCTTGGTGTATCGAGCACTATCACTTCATCTGAGACGGACACTACGCCATCCAACACCCTTTCAACGGAATCGTTGACTTCAAGCGAGGCTACCTCCACAGGGTCGGATAGCAGCATCTCCTCCACTGATGTGTCGAGCACTGGCAGCCTGACTGAGTCGGACACTACGCTGTTCAATACCTTGCCAACAGAGTCCTTAAGTTCAAGCGATACTATTACCGCAACTGGGGATAGCACACTCCCCACGGGCATCTCCTCTACTTCGGACTCTGACCTGTCAAGCACTGGCAGCGCGACTGAGTCGGACACTACGTTGTTCAACACTTTACCAACAGAGTCCCTGAGTTCAAGCGATACTATTACCGCAACTGGGGATAGCACACTCCCCACGGGCGTCTCCTCTACTTCGGACTCTGACCTGTCAAGCACCGGAAGCGCGACCGAGACAGACACTAGCCTTCTTAGCAGTTTACCAACGGCATCGTCAACGCTGAGTGAGGGCACAAGTGCGATTGACAGCAGCACACTCACGGGCAGTGCGTCGACCGACTCCGCATCACTCAGCACAGCTACGGCTACCGACGAAGCTACCACTCTGTTCAATAGCCTCTCAATCGACCCATCAACATCGATTGGGGATTCTACGACGTCTGGTCTGAGTACCTCTACGGACAGCGTATCTCAAGAGACCGATACGGCGAGCTCAGTCAGTTCAAGTTCAGACGACGGAGTGACCTCAACCATCACCAGTCCCTCTGTCTCGACCGATGCACAATCGAGCACATCTGGCGACAGCACCTCGACCAATAGTGATGATACCACGCAATTGACGTCTTCTTTGGTCTCTGAGTCTAGCTCGTCAACCTTATCGCTGGACAGTCAAATTTTGACAACAGAAACCTCAGACTTGACGACATCTGCGACAGAGACTGGAGCCTCTTCGGCCTCAGAAACAAGCTTGACAGATGCTGAGAGCTCGTCTACATCGGAGGTCACGTCGCAAGCCACGTCCTCGTTGGATGACTTGAGCACGATTGGTCCATCATCGAGCACAGATTCCACGGCGTTGGCCACTTCCACCGACACGACCTTGTCAGACGCGCTGTCTCTTACAGAGACATCCGCCTCGTCAACAGCTGACTCCCAGACGAGCATAAGTACCGACGCTTCTTCGACAACTGTTCTCGATGAGTCTATCTCTCAGACAATTAGTGAAGCTTCTTCGACGACTAGCGCCGATGAATCTGTCTCTCAGACAAGCAGTGACGCTTTCTCGACGAGTATTCTCGATGAGTCACTCTCACAGACAAGTACTGAAGCCTCTCTTACGACTAGCGCCGACGAGTCTGTGTCTCAGACAAGTGATGCAGCCTCTCTCACGACTAACGCCGAAGAGTCTGTGTCTCAGACAAGTACTGAAGCTTCTCTCACGACGAGTGCCGATGAGTCTGTCTCTCAGACAAGCAGTGACGCTTCATCGACGAGTATTCTCGATAATTCACTCTCACAGACAAATAGTGAAGCTTCGTCGACGACTAGCGCCGACGAGTCTGTCTCTCAGACAAGCGGCGACGCTTCTTCGACGTCTATCGCCGACGAATCTCTCTCGCAGACCAGCACCGATGCTTCTTTGACCACTACCACGGATGAGTCTCTCTCCCAAACGAGTAGCGACGCTTCAGCTACCATCACTTCGTCTGGTGACCTAGACTTGTCGACAGAGTTGACATCCTCTGCAACTACGGGAAGTACCCAGAGCGACGAGACGTCTACCGGGGCATTTGAAGCCACATTGCTTCCTTCAAGTACGACCACCGGTGATGCAACCTCCAGCTCTGAGGAAGTTCCCTCTTCTACAGGCACCCCAGTGTCAACTGAGTCAGGCTTGTCGACAGATTCGACATCGTCTGTAGGTACTAGCGCTAGTCAAGAGGAGACATCGACGGGAGCTTTGGAAGCTACTCTGCTTCCTTCAAGCAGTGACACCGTTGACACCACCAGCGTCCAGGAAGCTTCCTCTTCTACAGAAGCCTCAGTGACAACTGAGCCAACGTCTTCAGCACTCGATGAGACCACGCAAGCCAGCCTAACACAGAGCTCTACCGCTGAGACTCAGTCGACCAGCAGTGACAGCCTATCTTTGGAGCCTACATCTTCTGTAGACGATCCGTCTACCTCAAGTAGCATTTCTCTTGAGACGGAAACTGCCTCTTTGACAAGCAGTGTCAGTATCGATGACGATTTCCTCACTCAAACGAGCTCGACCGAAGGCCTGACATCCTCTGAAACTTCTCTATCGGATTCTACACTGACTTCGGCTCCGAGCACCACGGCCCCTGAGTCAACATCGCAATCTAGTTCAGCGTTGGATGACATTCTGTCTTCAGACAGTAGCTCTGGGGCAACGTCTTCAACATCTGAATCAATCTCCAACCCCACGGCGGCATCTTCCTCTTCGACCGAGTCTCTTGACGATATCATCTCATCTACTACCGGAACTCCAGGAGATTCGACGTCACAGAGTAGCTCTGTGTCCGCAAGTGGTTCTCTTACCTCTGATGGAAGCTCTTCCTCGGCTACCACGTCCGAATCTGATAGCACGCCTTCCAGTACTCAGGACAACGGCGTGTCATCTACGACAGGAGAATCATCGGAAACTACTCTTCTTGGCTCGACGTCTTCACCGACGGCTACCTTGCCGATTGAGACCGACGTCTTACAGAGCAGTAGCTCGTCGACAGTTGGCATCGAGACATCGGAGAGCTCGAGCACACCAGGTAGCACAGAAGCAATCAGCACGGGAGATCTTAGCTCGTCAACAACTGATGGAGTCATTACTTCTACGGGAGTCAGCACACCAGCTTCCGCCACGGCATCGCTTACCTCGGAGCGAAGCAGCACTTCCCAAACAGATGGCGCGAGCACGCAGCCCTCCATTCTGTTTGACACCATCGAGATCCCTTACACCGGTTCAGACATTGGCTTTGATCCTATTCCCATTACCACATTCTTGCCGACCGGAACTGGCTCGCGTGGAACGGTCGTGGTGGGCACACGAGCCGCGTTGTTCGTCACAACCACCATCGGGTACATTGTGGACGATGAGACCTCAGCTGCAAGCTTTATCACGATCTCTACAATTCCCCCGAGAGGTACAAATCCCGGAACTCTTGTGGTGGGAACTGCCATCTTTAGAGCGCGGTACATCACAACCACTGTTCGGTTCAACCCGACGCTGACAGGTACTGAGAGACCTGAGGCCACTACTTTTACCACGCTTGCACCTTCAGGAGCCTCACAAGGAGTGGTAGTAGTGGTAGAGCCAGACTTCATTGAGTCCACTACCAGCGATGCCTTGCCGAGCGCAACAGAGTCCGTCGACAGTCAAATCAGCAGCAGCGGCTTGACAACGGCTGCGTCAACAACCAGCGAAAGCCTGAGCGTGAGCGTGACTGATACCGCTACTGTTGACCCTGACGTCCTTAGTACGACATCGGGTGGCACGGCTTCAGCCAGTGTTACAAGCTCCTCCACTGCCGCAGAGCTGACTTCCGATTCGGAATCGACATCAGCAACTTCGACCGGCCCGGCGACTTCGGACGCACAGACCACCGGCCCCACATCATCGCCGATCAGCACCGAAGATGATGCCGGCCAAAGCGGAAGCACCTCCGCAAGCCTGACCATAGACCCTGCGAGCTTGATTTCGTCCCAGTCTCTTACCGCCACGTCTTCGGAGGCTGTTTCGACTTCAACCGACGGCGTAGATGGAAGCATTACCTCGCAGACAATCAGCACGTCTTCCGGAAGCGGAATCTCCGCGTCGGGGACGCCCAGCAGCTCGTCTGACGGCCTTGAGACTACAACAAGCACTTCGGACAGTAGCACAGATTCAAATCTGCCAGCTGAAACTGCCAGCACTGCGACAGGACAGACCTCGTCTAGCTCGGCAGAGAGCCTACCGCTGACAAGCAGCATTTCGCAAGATGCATCGACATCATTGTCCGAAACTCTGTCAACCTCATCCACCTTACCTCTTTCTGAAAGCTTGGCAAGCTCTACCCAGGAGGTTTCGCAAAGTTCGACGAGTGACAGCAGCACCCAAAGTTCCGGAGTTGCGTCGAGCACGCAGTTGGAGGATGCCTCATTGATTAGCAGCTCTACTCTTCCCAGCTCAGCCAGCGCGAGCACCTCTTCTGAGGAGGCTTCAATCACTGGATCCACCAGCAGTAGTCAATTATCTTCGACAGAGCTCACAACAGGAATCTCCGGTCCGACAATCTCTAGTTTAGAAAGCACAATTCTGTCAACCTCTACAAGCTCGGAAGGCCCGGCAACGACCTCAGCGGAGAGCAGCAGTGAGCCCACTGTGTTCAGTTCCACGACTAGCGCCTCCGGCTTCGACTCAACGACAGTCCAGATCAGTTCAAGCACGTCGAGTGACGAGACCTTTGCGCAGAGCTTCCTTTCCACAAGCTTGTCCGGCCCAGTCACCTCTTCCGGTACAACTGCGTCTTCCAGCTCTTCAAGCATTTCCGAAGGCATCACTACGAGCAGTTTCAGCGATTTATCTGAATCCTCGTCCGCAAGTTCTTCGGCAAGCTCTCTTGAGACACTCTCTGCCAGCTTAACGACATCGGCGAGCTCATTCGCAAGCGACTTTGTTACTTCTTCTAGCATCTCACCGTCGCTCACGGCGATCTCTCCTTCTCTTACGTCGCAAGCCTCTGATACAATCGACCCAGACATCCTCAGCAGTCTGTCAAGTTCTATCGCTGGCATCACTTCGACATCTAGTAGCGGAATTACCAGCACTTCCCAAAGTGCAACCTCTGACGGTCCTAGTTCGACATCGGGCCAGCTGACCTCGGCGACGACATCCTCGGAACTCAGCTCGACGTCTGGCGGTACTGCAGCAGAGAGTGCTTCTTTGAGCTCAACGCAGCAACCTTCTTCGACAGCAGTGTCTGCAACCAGCAGTGCGCTTTCGAGTTCAAGCTCTTCCTCATTCGACCCGGAAATTACAGACTTCGACACCTTGCGCCCTACTTTGCTCACGACTTCGTCTTCTGGATCTTCCACTCCTCTTAGCTCGACATCCGGGGTTGCTTCTACATCATCAGTCAGTTCATCCGAGTCTGATGGCACACCGACCAGCACATCATCGTTGTCTTCTAGCTTGTCGTCGATTGAGATCTCTTCATCGCCACTGAGCTCAATCTCTCCCTCATTGTCAGCTTCGCCCAGTCTCGAGCTCACGGCATCCTCATCCTCGTCGCTATTTACTCTGCCTTCTATCACTCCTTCGTCGCCCGTCTCTTCGACGTTTGTCTCATCGACGCAATCATCGACAGTCCAGGTCCCGACAGACTTCGAAAGCCTTATTAGTACTACTCCCACCAGCTCTTCAAGACTCTCGACGTCTTCTGGATTGTCCACATCTTCGTCCCTCAACTTGGGAGAGAGCTCATCGAGCAGCTCATCAATCGGCCCATCAAGCAGCCCATCAAGCAGCCTGTCCAGCATTCTGTCCAGCATTCTTTCCAGCATCTTGCCAAGCAGTTCGTCAAGCAGTGCTTCGATCAGTTCTTCGAGCAGTCTAACAGAGCTTGACAATATATTGACCAGCTCCTCGTCATCGTCCTTGATTGGTCTGTCATCCTCTGCGTCACTCGCGTCGTCCACGGTGTCCCCGTCGCCATCCTCGTCCTCGTCGTCGTTGTTGGTGTCGTCCTCGCCCTCGTTGTCGCCCTCGTCCTCGCCCTCGTTGTCGCCCTCGTTGTCGCCCTCGTTGTCGCCCTCGTTGTCGCCCTCGTTGTCTCCCTCGCTGCCGTCGTCGTCGTCGCCCTCGTTGTCGCCCTCGTTGTCTCCCTCGCTGCCGTCATCGTCGTCGTCGTCGCTGTATTCGTCTTCTCCACTGCTTTCATCGTCGTCTTCGCGATCAAGCAGCGCGACGGAACTAGACAACATCCTTTCGACCTCATCGTCAGCGTCTTCGTCGGTTTCTTCGTTGGCTTCTTCGTCGACCTCCTCAAGCCTACTCTCAACCTCGTCGTCAGCTTCGAACCCGCAGTCAACTTCCTCAGCAGCCCCCTCAATCTCATCCTCTTCATCGTCCTCCTCCTCCTCATCCTCCTCCTCCTCTTCTTCTTCCCTATTGTCTCCTTCACCTTCAACATCATCATCTTCGGTGTTGTCGTCCTCTTCCTCACCGTCGCCAGCTGCATCGTTATCAACACCAGCGTCTTCTACATCAAGTCGACCTTCATCAACAACGTCGTCGACAGGATCATCCAGCTCGCCCGTCATCAATCCTGCCTCATACGTCACTGTCGAAACCTTCAGCGCTGGAATAACAGCGCCAACAACGATCGCGACTATCAGTGCTCAAGGCACAAGCGCGGGTACCTATATAGTAGCTAGACCTGCGGTGTTCGTCACCTCAGAAGTCTTCAATTCGGCGGTCACGGCACTTACTACGCTTTCCACGGTTCTTCCTTCAGCTAGCCAACCGGGAACTTTCATTGTGGCCCGACCACTAGTCTTTGTCACGTCGGAAGTCTTCAATTCGGCGGTCACGGCACCGACTACGCTGTCCACGATCCTGCCTTCAGCAAGCCAACCGGGCACTTACATTGTGGCCCGCCCGTTGGTCTTCGTCACTTCAGAAGTCTTCAACTCGGCGGTAACAGCACCAACTACGCTGTCCACGATTCTTCCTTCAGCGAGCCAGGCCGGGACTTATATCGTGGCCCGACCTTTAGTCTTTGTCACGTCAGATACATTCAACACAGGAATCACTGCCCCTACAACAGTGTCCACGATTCTCCCTACAAACAGCCAGCCAGGAACGTATATTGTGGCCCGGCCGTTGGTTTTCGTCACATCGGACACATTCAACACAGGAATCACTGCGCCCACGACAGTGTCCACGATTCTCCCTACAAACAGCCAGCCAGGCACGTATATCGTGGCCCGGCCGTTGGTTTTCGTCACTTCAGAGACTTTCAACACGGGTATAACTGCCGCTACAACCTTGTCAACAATCCTACCATCGGCTAGTCAGCCAGGGACGTATATCGTGGCTCGTCCTGCCGTTTTTGTTACCTCTCAGGTGCTAAGTGCAGGAATCACTGCGCCCACAACGGTCGCGACAATTGCTCCATCCGGTAGTCAAGTTGGGACATATATCGTGGCTCAGCCTGCCATTTTCGTTACTTCTGAGGTCTTCAGTACTGGCATTACTGCTCCCACAACGTTGGCAACAATCTCGCCGTCTGGGACCCAAGCTGGTACCTACATCTTGGCTCGGCCTGCAATCTTCGTCACCTCTGAGGTCTTCAGTGCCGGAATTGCCGCCCCGACGACGGTCTCCACAGCTCAACCAAGTGGGAGCCAGGCGGGCACCTATTTCGTTGTACGGCCTGCCGTCTTTGTCACTTCCAATGTCGTCTATACCGGAACGAACACCGCGGTCACGGGGCCAACTACCTTGGCCACCATTCAACCAAGCGGTACCCAGTTAGGCACATACGTTGTTGCCCAGCCCGCTTCGTTCGTGACTTCGGAGATCACGGCGAGCACGGTCACCGCAAGGACAACTGTCTCGACAATCGCTGGTGGCTTGACAGCTCCCGGAACCTATGTGGTTCTCAACCCAGCTCCCTCTTATGTTACCTCGCGAGTGGCATATTCTGGAACGGCGCTTATAATTCAGCCTACCACCATTGCCACGATCAGTGCTTCAGGAACCAATGCAGGAACCTACATCGTCGCTACCCCGGCAGCCTTCTACGTTACTTCTCAAGTTGCGTATACGGGCACAATTCCAATTACGGCGCCTACGACGATCCAAACAATTCAACCTGCAGGTACAAATCCTGGTACCTATTTGGTTGCAAGCCAGGCCGCTATCTACATTACGTCGCAGGTGGCTTACTCGGGAACCGCCCCGATATCTCAACCCACAACTTTGTCGACAATTCCGCCAGTGGGCACCAATCCGGGCGTCTACATCGTTGCTAGCCAAGCAGCTTTCTATGTAACGACGCAAGTTGCCTACACAGGAACAGGCGTTCTCACAGGACCTACAACGCTGGCTACGATAGCCCCGATAGGTACCAATGCAGGAACCTATGTTGTTGCTACTCAAGCAGCTTCATACGTAACATCGCAAGTGGTCTACACAGCTGCAGGAACACTCACAGCGCCGACAACTCTGTCAACAATCCTGCCCTCAGGCACAAACCCCGGTGTTTACATTGTCGCGGCTCGTTACATTACGTCCGAGGTGGTCTACAGCGGAGCGAGCTCCATCACGGGGCCGATTCCAATCAGCACAGTCCAACCAACTGGTAGCTCGCCCGGCGTGTTTATCATCGCTTATCCGGCCGCATTCGTGACGAGCTCACAGCTTTACTCCGGCACGCTGCCCATCACAGCACCTACCACGCTTACGACGATACCCCAGCAGGGCAGCACTCCGGCAGTTGTCGTCGTGGCTACGCCGGCCCAACAGACGTCGTACGTCACATCCACGATCTTCCTCACGGCTTCCAACGCCGGAACGACTACTTTGACGACGATTCCTGCCCAGGGCACCTCTCCCGGCACGGTCATTGTCGGAAGACCCGCTCTATTCGTCACGGTGGTCGGTCCTTACAGCGGAAGCGCCGCTCTCACGGGCTCTACAACGGTCTCGATCGTGCAACCTTCAGGCACTGCATTTGGCACTGTTTATGTTCAAACAGCTATCAGCGTCTCGATTTCACCCAGCACATCTTCCAGCAGCTCTCCGGCGGCGGCGAGCAGCTCGGCCGCCGTTTCCTCCAGCTCATCATCATCGACTGTTTCGACACTCGTCACTCTCACAAGAGGCTCTTCTTCCTCGAGCTCGTCATCTTCATCGAGCAGCTCTATTCTAGCTTCAAGCCCATCTACTATATTAGGTGCTTCACTGGTATCCTCTACCACTACTACTTCATCTTCTTCTTCTTCAAGCTCGTCGATATCTCCAACTCGTACGAGCACTAGCTCTTCCTCGTTATCTTCTTCCAGTTCGTCTTCATCAGTCAGGACCACCACCAGCTCTAGCTCTAGCAGTTCCAGCTCAAGCAGCTCCAGCTCCAGTCGTGTCGTCGCTTCAGCTACTCAAGGTGCTGCTTTCTCCTGCCCAACGACCGGTTTCCTGGTTCAGAGTGGCGACACTGTGACACTCTACTCGATCAACCTTGCTACTGGCAGCCAAACAGTGGTGACCAACAACCTCGGCAACGACAACACCCGAAACATCAACGCTATGGGTTACAACGCCCGAGAGGATTACATCTACGCCGTTTCACAGCCCAACTCCGGAACCAGCGACTACAGAATCATCCGTATTACCGCCACCGGCAACACGACCACCGTTGCAACCATGGCTCAGTCAGCTAAGCTCGACCAGACCGCATTTAACACTGGTGACGTCGACGAAAACGGACAGTACTGGATCTCGACCGGCGGCATCGACTGGTACCAGTACAACTTCAACCCCGGCACAGCCAACTATGGAAAGCTGGTGGGCTCTGGTCTGGTCAACGGAGGCGCTGATGGGTACTCCCTCGGAGATTGGGCCGTCGTGCCCGGACTCGGAGGCGGCGATCTCTGGACGGTCGGTGTCCAGAACTTCAACTGCGTGCTCATGCGCTGGAGCCGTACCACCAAGGACTGGACCATCGGCCGGAGCCTCGGAGCCCTCACCGGCGTCACGAGCGGCACGCAGCCGTTCTTCGGCGCCGCGTACGCCACGACCGACGGTTTCCTGTACGCCATCGAGAACAACTCAGGACAGGTCTGGAAGATCCCCGTCAGCGGCAACGGCGCCCCTGTTCAGCAGACCAGCGTGCCGAAGACTAGCAGGAACGACGGTGCCAGATGTTTGGACTCGGGTGGCATCTAAGAGTCGGCAGGCCCAGACAACTTTTAGGTTGAGGGCTTCCGCAAATATTGGTCGAATGCCTCATTACATTCTTTTCTTTTACTATTTTCCTATTCCTAAAATTGGAACAGATTCGGTTCGCCAATGTGCGAAAACATCATATTATCTTAATAGGCTAATTATCTAATACTTCCTAAGAAATACAAGTCTCCTCATCTAATTAGGTCAACTATGGGATGATACATACATCTGTGAAGTTACAAATCACAACCTATTTACAGCCTAGATAGATAGAATGAACAATTGGGACGATGAATGGTGCCAGATTATAGTACCATCTGAAGTGCGGGAAAAGAGAAGGCATAACCGTGACAATATTCCCGCCCAGGAGAACTACGAACAAGAGAAGACAGAGAAGTGTTATCTGCAGTTTGGAGATTCTCTGGTCATCGATGTAGAGGCCTATTGTGACTGCAACGAAGCAGTGGATAGGCTGCACAACGATGATGCACAGGAGAGAGGCCGTCAGAATGTCAGATGGCTTAATGAAGGGTGAAAGCAGAAAAAAGAAGAGAGATAGTATCATGGAAACAAATTGCAGACAAAGAAACCATGTGACAATTGTCATCCAGCGTGATCGCGAGAAGTACAAGGAAAGCGAGCGTTGCAAATCTATACACTCTGAACTGACAAGAGTGCGTTGATTCACCAGTGGCAAGACCCGTCCGCCACTGCCGACGTGTATCTCCAAATTCAAATCTTGCTCCGGTGGGTTTCCTACTTCTGAAGATTCGTTTTCCTGTAGGGACTGTTGGAATTCGATCATTTCCACGGATTCGAACTCGGCTAGCTCAGTATTTCTAGTCTCTGCTGGAACCGTTCTTGACACTTCTTCTGATTCGATTTCCCGGATAATGGTGGACAATTGGTCCAAAACTCCCGTACTATGCGTCTGTCTTGCCGTAATTTCTTTTTCTTGGTTAACTTCCGTCATTTTGGAAAGTCCAAAAGGGCGCTAGGGGGCCAATACCATTTTTGTAAACTGTCAAGAGACTGAGTAATTCTTGGCTTGATTTTCCAGGTGGTTCTCGTTTTCGCTCTCCCCTTTGAGTCAACAACACTGCGATAAAAGAGATTGCGACTGTTGCAACTGGGCCCGTAAGGAGGAAGACGGGCAAGATTTGCCCAAAACCCCATTCATTCTCCAAAGCGTAGACTTCGGCTGAATAGCGCGCCTTCAGCAGGCGAGTCGTTCCCCAGAACGAGGAGATTAGAAGCCAGAAAAGCTGTGCGCGCACTCAGTACATTGATTTACCCCAAGCACCACGGAGCATGGGGATGACACACTTACATCGGCCAATTCAGATTGCAAGATATCCATGTAGAGTTCAGTGACCAAATACATTGCAATAATCAAGTCCAAAGGCCTGAGTGCTTCCAGAAGTCTCTTCCTATATGAGGTGGTTCCAAATCGTTGACAGACTCTTGCCGACGCGGCCAGACAGCCAAGAGCCCAGCTACCCAGCTTCTCTCTAATACTGTTCTTTGCAATGTCTGAAAGAACACGGAACATTTTGACTGATCGACTCAAGAAGCTGAATATAATCAGGACAATTGACAGGATGGATGACTCGTATGAGACGGTTTGTGACATTGGCTTTGTGTTGCGATAGGAGACAGACCAGACGTCGGGAGCGCTCCGCAAAGAATAATCGTTGCTATTGCATGAGTAGCCATCTTTCGCAGATTCCAAATACTGGTTGATCTTAGTCACACATAAACGAGTGTCCCACACGGCCTGCGCCATCCTTTGGTTAAAGAAGCACCGAGCGTTTGAAGCCGGTACACTTGCCGTACCCTGCTCAGCGACTTTTTCCCAGTTGAAGTAACCAGTGGGCACGATGGCCGTGACTAGACCAAATAAAAGGACGGTCATTAACACCATTCTGTAATTTCGCTCGGTTTGGTGGCGGTATAGGTAAGGTCGAAGGGCTGACAAGCAAGCCGCGTGTGTCAGATTGGAGAACCATGCTAGGTAGCTGATGATTTGCCAGTGATACGAGGATATATAGCAAGAAAGACTGATAAAGCCACTTAACAGGATTCCGAGGCCAGTGATAAGCTGTATGTCGCACATGTTGATGAAGATCTGTAAAATGAATTTTGGGTCAGCGCTTGACCTAGACTTTGAGACTTAGTTGCGTCATTCCATACTTTGTCCAAGGCCGTGTTCCAGTATGAATGATGACCAACCCTCCGTCGAAGACCACTGAAGGCACTAATGACCCTCACATCAATTGGATTGGGCTTCCATGTTCGTCTTTGGTTTCTTCGCTGGTCTCGTGTAGGATTCCCAAGTGGGTCGGCTTTGGGATCGAAAGCAAAGCAATACCGAAGCACAACCAAGATCACCACAAGCCATGCGGTGCCTATAAATCCAATTAGTACCTGCAATATGGACACCTTGTCAGCTTTTTGCCTCATTACTTCCCTTGGAAGACGCGTGATTCACAACTCATAATCACTTACGCCAACACCACCGACATCGGAATTCGATTCCAATTCTCCAGGAACTTGCGAACAGTTCTTCATGCAGTTCCGAGCTTGAGACTCCCGACGAAACAGCCCTGCAGATTCCATTTTCGAAGCGACGAATGCAGTTTGGCGGCACGTATTGCTACTCAAAAATCCAAATCTTGAAAGATGTCGGTCCAGAAATGCTGCGGATGAAGAAATACTGCGGATGAAAGTAACGATAATGGGCTGTATTTGATCTCCTCAGGAACGGAAGACAAGAATTGACATGCAGGCTTATCACACCCATCCGAGTTGGAAGCGGGCGTCATCTGAAGTCGACTTACCTATCACAACTTCAGGCTGCAGAGTAAGCAGCTCGGCGGCGGCTTACGATTGGACATGCATCAAGCAGGACGCAGGCAAGGGTCACACAGCGTATACGCGAGAATCGGCGCTCCCTAGAGCAATCTAAGCAGCAGTCTTGGCAGAGTTCAGCTGCAGCCTTGCCAAATTACCATGTGTGCACTGGGGGCAGAAAGACGAAAACTTTTTTGCGCAGGATGAATTTTGATTATTTGAGTTGCCAGAAGCAGAGCGGTGAGTTAATCAATACTAGTAGCTTGTGTCATACAATCTGATGACAGCGTTCCATCGCAGACACGCTTAGGACAGTCTGCTATGGGACGTCTACTGTCTGGGGGTAGGATTGAGGGGTTTGGCGACCTAGAACGCAGGCTTAGGAACCCCTACTATATACCCTGACTTAAGAGTTTATGAAAGTAAAGTGTCCCGAAAACATCATTATCGCAAGTCTCTCTGAAATGAAAGTTCGTGCCAGCAGCTGTTCATATATACGGCCCCAAAATCTCCATCGTCTTCTCCCAAACCCTCCCCTGCGCCGTCCCCCTCAACTCCTCCAACACAACCCCCTTATCAACAACCTCACACTTCTGATTAACCAAAAACAACCCCCTCCCCTCGCCTCCCCTCGTGCCCCTCTCAACCTTCCCCTCCCCATCCCTCGGTCCCCTCCCCCCAAACTTCCCCGTCGTAGCGATATACACATGCCTCTCCCCAGCCTCCTTCCCCCCGGACCCAAGCACCCACAAAACCGGCTTCAAAAGCACCGTCAACGGCACCGGCGATAACAAACTCGGCTTGTGATACCGGTCCATGTTCCCCGTGTCCACGGCCCCGGGCCAGTTATGCACGAACGTGATATTGTCATTCATGGGGTCCGTGGATAATCGGTCGAGGAAGAGGGTATTCATCGTGTTCATGTGCGCTTGACTCTGAATCCCGCCAAAGTTGCCCGGTCTCTCGAGGTTGAGGTCGTCGACGATGAGCTTGTTCGAGAGCACGCTGCCGCCCAGGACCGTGAGGACGCGCGGGGACGGGGAGGCGCGGAGGAGGGGGAGGAGGGAGAGGGTGAAGAGCATGCGGCCGTAGTACTCCAGCGCGTGTGTGACATCCAGCCCCTCGGTCGTATCTATCTCTCATCAGTCTCAAAGTCACGCTGCGCAGATGCGATTTCCTTACCATTCCGTCCTCCAAAGGGCGCATATCCCGCCGTCAAGCACATAAAATCCAACTTCTCCTCCTTCTCCTTGATAACCTCGCAAACGCGCCGCACCTCGGATAGAAGCGAGACCTCGCCCTCCACCCATACGAGCTCCGCTTGGGGATTCCTCCGACGCAGGTCCTCGAGCACGGGTCTCATCGCGGGCTCGGTGGCTTTACGGCCCACGATGTAGACTTTGACGGGTAAGTTGAGGGAGAAGAGCTCGATGAGCGTGAGCTTGCCGATTCCCGAGGTGCCGCCGACGAAGAGGGCTGTTTGGGGGATCGTGGATGCCGTGAGGAGGGCGTTGGAGCGGCGGACTTCAGCGAGGGTGACCATGTTGGCTACTCGGACGGATGAAGCGGTGTGTGAGTAATCCTGGGGTCCAATTGGCATCACAGTATATTCAAGACGAGCGAAGAAGGATGCATATGGCCCACATCTCGCGCTCAGCGTTGCCGATTTATATGTTGGATGTTGAGCTGGGCTGCCTCGCATAGCTTCGCATTCCCAATCGGGTTAGCCGTGTAGGCAGACATAGGGTCGCGCGCTAGTCGCGATCCTGCTACCTGAATTGGCGGGCTACTGACCGGGTCGATGCGCAAGAAATGAGGCTAGACTGGAAGGACGTCAGAGTAAATGAATTGAGTCAATGCCAGGCAGACATAACCTCGTGGGCCTGCCAACGCCATGAGGGGAGGTTGAGCCGGAGGCTCGCATTCCTGATTCGGTATGCGAGGGACCCACTCCGGCCTTGGGGCCGTCAGTGTCCGCCGCCACGGCGCGGACTAACGGCGCAGACTAGCACTGGTATCCATCGCGACCGTCCCCGCCTGAACCCGCCAGGCTCGGACAGAATGCGAGAGTCCGGTCAGTCTCCGGGGTAGTGGTCAACGACTCAGCGGGGCCGAAGAATCATCAGGGGTCGTTGAGTCGCATCGGACCCTCACCTCGTACCGACCCCGCCAGCCAATGAATCTCGCGCTTCACGGGGAGTCGCTGTTTCGTGGCAGGCGGCTGGTACGGGGAACGCGCAGTCCAAGGGGCGCTGTTTCGAGTCGTCGATCATCAAATGATCATTTTCGCCTCGAAAGAGCGCGATTCCTCTCTCGGAAAGGCGCTTCTTACGGACTGCGGTTGGCAGTGATCATGGAAAATCTTAGATAACTCCCGATTACACGAGAACCGCGCGTGTGGTTTTTGATCGCTGAAATTACTTGAGATCTTCAGCAAAGACAAGGCCGCTTACTGGGCACCATTTGGCAAGAAGCTTAGTTTGCTTGTATTCCTCGGCGGACAAGACATGGCTTGCATTAGCGAGCGGAGAGGAGACGGCGGGACAAGTGAGGCCAAGTGCCAAGACGTGGTGAGCGTGATGGAACAAGACGCCGGGCGATACGACGCAGCAACGGCCAATCGCCAATACTCAGCCCTGGACAAAGTGCTGCCGTGGCATTGCAAGGGGCAACAGCAAGCCGGTCGAGCTTCTTGCGGATAAGGTTCTTTCATATCCAACAGGGGTGGGCTGATGGTGACGACGGCTCATCATGAGGCAGTACACCGTGACTGTAAGTGGTGAGATTCTCAAACACCGAGCTGTTGAGTGGTTTGAAAAGTGATGTTGGTCAAAGAACATTAGTCGATGGGACCTAGGCTTCTCCTCAGGTCGTACAGCAATTTCAAAACAGACTCGTCTTGCGTGAGAACGATGAGTCCTGTCTCTCATCGGGACACACGTCTCGCAAAGTCCCAGATCGTCGCAAGTGGCGGAAAGGAACGTCAAGACAGATCAAAGAGCTCGCCGGAAAAGCAAGTGCGTAATCCTGCGTGCCCCTTTCCGAACAGCCTTCTTTCTACCGGCGTTCGGTGACAATCCCACCGGATATGGAAAGAAACTGGAGCAACGACATCATGAAGAGGCAATCGCTTGTGGTTCGGCGAGTCGAGTCGCTTTTGTGTCAAATTGATCATCTTGGTCGACGAACAAGTAACTGCCGATTGTGCGGAAGCTGGACGAACCGACAGACTTCCGGAAGTGATGGACACTGTCTCGTGAGGAGTCGTTGGCTTGGCTAACGCTGGCGAATCCTCATGTGCGCGTTTGATGCGTCGCAGGACGAAGTCGGAAACCTGAAGCCTTGCAGAGATGACGACTCCTTGGGCTCCAAGACGGCATTCGGTATTCGCCAAGGTTGTCGGGAAAGAAGAAGTCGGAATCTGTGGTGGCCGACGTCGCATTCAGATTGCGCGCCCTCGTGAGCGACTGGGACAACAGAGCTGGGCAACTTGGCAAGCCTGCGGCAGTGGAGAGTGTTGAAGAGATACGGATAACGAATGCGAAGGAGGTTGTAACCCAGGACGGTGGCCGAGTGACGCGCCGGGGGCCGAGGACGGGCCATTTTGCGATCGAGGCAGTGAGAACATCAGGCCTGTCCGCTGAACGACAGCTCGTTCTGTGCTCGTGGCCGTGGAGACCGGAAGCCAGGTCTTTCGTGGTGGATTGGTCGTAATGGACGGCGACGGGCGCAGAGGAATGGGGATAGCCTCAATAGCACCCATGTCGTCGTAAAACATCAGAAGCGGTACCGGCAGGCGCTGGGACTTGGCGCGAAGGGGGGCGTCTGACGTTTGGAAGCGCGCCAAGAAGCTTCATGGGGAGGCAAGCGGTAACGATGGGAGGTCGAGACGGCCAGCCGGGAGCGCGGAGAGGGATGGCCTCGCTGACTGATGAGGCGCGGTGAGGCTTGAGAACGGATTTGACTGGTGGAAGAGGTCGATGGGAAAGGCGGAAGAGGAGGGAGAGGGGCTGAAGAGACTCGAGAGAGAACGAATGCAACATGAAGTTGGTGATGTTCTGGATGTGGAGGCGGAGGCTTGTCGCAGGCCCTGGCAATTGGGAAGCGTGAGACGCGCCCAGAAGAAATCAGGAGGTGCAAGACTTGGCGAGGCGCGTTCACCGTCGACGACCGGTAATTCGCCGCGTGTTAGTGGACGAGCAGCGCGGGTTACAGCAGGTACAGGCGCTGAGGAAGAATTAACCTGGAAGCGAGGAATCTGCGGCGGGCAGGGAAAGGGGGTTCAGCGGTGAACCGCCTGAATGGTACGCTGACACACAGACGGCGAGTGACGGCCTCGGGAGGGTGGCGGCCAAGCGGCCCCTCTCATAGGACGACGTCACTTGGGCCTCCTCGCTTAGTCAGGCAGCTTAATCGCCAATATTCAGGGTCTTTCGGGCTGGACCTCATCATTTCAGCACTTCTTCACCCTAGTCATCGACCCCCCGTTTGACTTGGCGGCCATTCTAGCTCTTGGCTCTGCAAAAATCAGGTGCTTTTTTCTTGCCCCTACTTCCTGTCATCCCTTCTCCCACCCAACCCCACGGGATCCAATATCTTTTCCGCGTTAGCGTCATGATGAGATGCTTCCTGTTGCTTCCGGAGGCGTTGATTCTGCGACACAGGAAGAAGAAGCTGCGGTCTGTTGCTTCCTGGCTGCGGACTGCGGCCTGGAACTGGCTGCTTCCTGCTCAGAGCGCCGTCTCAGCTCGCGACGTCTGGTTTGAAAAGTGGGTAACTGCCTTCCCCTGTGTCGTCGTCCGAACAGAGCAGGCAGGAGCAATGAGGGAGGTGAGGTCCGGGTGAGGTCTGGGCCGTGCATGCCCTAAAAGTCCTTAAGGTTTAGGACGCTATCAGTCACTGAATAAGGTTTTTAGCAGTGAACTGCCCTCCACCTCCACCTTCCAGCCACTGGCCACTGGCCACGCGTGTGAGCAGGGAAAGATCCACCTCCGTCTCCGCCAAGAGAAAAGGTTAAACCTGCGGCAGGCATCGCACCTTCCACTTCTCAGTCCAAGACCTCTCACCAGACGGGAGTCTTTGTAACCTGCTCATTGCCCAAGGAAGGCACTCAACACGTGTGACGATACGTACCTTCCCTACCACCATCTCTCCCCGCCTTCTTGGTATCCTCTAGAGTCTTGGGTGCATCTCTTGGGCTTCTTGGTTAGAGCCTCATTTCTTGTCTTCTCTTGGAAATCATCCTCCCGTCCGCTTATTTCTCCGAATACAGACCAACGGTCACCTGCCTTGAAGGCGATCATTCCAAATGCTTATTTTTAGCCCTCGTTTGCTCATCAGTCTTGGGGAAAGGGGAAATCACCATCATGGACTTTCAGGACCGTTCCCCATGGTGTTGAGCACCGGTTGATCGTCTCAAGTCGGAGATCACCAGCGAAAAGGAACATTGGGACGGCGCTTCACTTCGCCTCCCTCCTCCGTCCGAACCAGACCTGTCGCTCGCCGTCACTTGGACTCCCGCATCGAGACTCGTGGAACGCCTCCGGCATGGATTCACTCTTCGATTTTTGCTGGGCCAAGCCTTCAACCGATAAAGTGGTCATATTCCCCACACGTTTTCCAACCCTCCGGAGCCTGGCAGTTTCATCCTGGCCTCGGTCTCCCATCCTGTCAACTTGACCAGGACCCTGGTCATTCCATTCCGCCCGCCGCCTTCGTCCGTCTCAACTGCCACTGCACCACACTACCGCCTCGACCACTCTACACTTTGCCCTGTGCTGCGCGTCTTGGTCCCATAGTCCAGATGGCATGCCCTGCCACATGCCGTCGCATTGGATGGGGAAGCTTGAAAAGCCCCTTGTCATGAGCACCGGAAACAAGTACATGGTAGACAGTCTGCCGTGTCTCCTCAAGTCTCTCTCCTTCTCAAAGTTCTTCGCCGTCATCTTGAGAAGGGCAATATTTTGCTGCAGAACTACGGCAGTCTCAAAGCTTATTAATATCGAATATTGAACGTTAAACTGCCTCGTCAGTATAGCGAGATGTCGAATACAGCGAAGACAATATGGGTGGCTGCATTGTATTGCGCGGCGTATTGCAATTCGTGAGCGCCGGAAACACCTACAATGCCATGGGAAACGGAGGCGCCCATCCCCAAACGCAAGCCACCCATACCCTTGTCCTCTACCCGCTCACTGCTTCCCATTGTCTCCTCCTAGCCTTCCCGCTGCTTCTCAATACCCTGGATGAAGCGCTTGCCAAGTCCCTCACCATCATTCCGTCCCTCCTGCCTCGTCCGTTCCGAGCATCTACTCATGGGTCAAGCCCGTTGATGCTATTCTTGGACTTGCGAGGGCGATCATCGCGATAAACCATCCTTCAGCCGGCAGCTCCAGATGTGAACTATATAGACATCATGCCATCTTGACAAAGACTTGCATTCCTTCCTAGTTCATCTCGTTTCTCACATCACCAAACTTACACCATCTTCTCTTCTCTTCCCCGTTCGTTTCGTTTCTTCCCCTAAAGGGCTGGCCTTACATTGTTTAACCAATAATCTTCTTTCATTATCTTTATCCTCTTTCTTTCTTCCTCTCCTTCGACTCCTTTGTAGGCCCTCACGAACTGGTTCGTACTACCGTCCTTACAATGGCTTCTCGTATCTTCACCGCCGGTGTCTTCGCCGCCTCCATCTCTCAAGTCCTGGCTTCGTGCGCCTATGGAACCCATCTCGACCCCCGTGCCGAAGGAGGAAAGGTCAAGGTCAACACCTTCGCCTACACCGGAGCCAATGTAAGTCATCACATCCCCTGATCACCCCTCGCAAGTCCTTGCTTACACGGTCTCAAAGGGCCCCCTGAACTGGGTCGCGCTGGACACCACGGCCAACGCCCTCTGCGCCACTGGAAAGACGCAGTCCCCTATCGACATGACTGTCGGCGCCTTCAACACCCTCCCCGGTAACTCCATCAACCTCCAGATCCCCAACATGGAGGAGACCGAGTTCGAGAACCTGGGAACCACCGTCGAGGTCATCGCCAAGGGAGGCTCCATGCAAGTCGGCGGCTCCAACTTCACCCTCCAGCAGTTCCACTTCCACCTCCCCAGCGAGCATCTCGATGATGGAAGGAGCATGGCTATGGAGATGCACATGGTTTTCGAGGGCGCGAACCAGGAGATTGCCGTCATCGGAACTTACATCGACGTCGAGCAGGGTGCCACTGCCGCTGCCCCCGTCGCTGCGGCACCTGCCACCGAAGCCGCCGCTGGTCAGAACAAGACCGCCGAACGCCGCACCAAGATGTCCCGTCGCGCGTCTCTCGATGCCGCCAAGGGTGCTGAGGCCGCCAAGCCCATTCCCGCCATGACCCTCAACCCCGTCAAGGCCGAAGCCGCCTCTTCCAACCTCCTCGCCACCGTCTTCTCGTCTCTCGATGCCATCAAGGAGCCTGGTACCGTCACCAAGACCGGTGCCCTTGATATGCAGGAGGTCGTCAGCCTTCTGACTGCTGGCAGCTTCCAGAGGTAAGATCACTTCAGTCTAGAGTCCGGCATACGCTAACGTGATCGCTATAGCTACATGGGTTCTCTTACCACTCCCCCTTGCTCTGAGGGTGTCCAGTGGCTCGTGTCTACCCAGAAGCTCATGGTCCAGCCCCAGACTTTTAACGCCGTTCGCGATGTCATCGGCTTCAACGCCCGCTTCCCTCAGAACACCCTTGGCCAGGACAACATCCTTCAGGTCGCCCAGAAGACTGTTGCCAGTGTAAACGGTGCTGCCGCAGCTGCCCCCGTCGCTGCGCCAGTCGCTGCCCCCGCTGCTGCTCCCGCCAAGGAGGCCGCTGCTCCTGCTGCCCCTGCCGCACACGCCTAAGCAGCATACCGCGAACGACGAACGAATGCGATGACACGATATCTTGATGGAACCTAGGAATCACACGGCGCAGCGGGATGAACTGGAAATTACAAGGATGCTTGATGCCTGTTTTGAGTTCAACTGTACCCTGGCGTCATGCGTGTCGATGGGTGGAAGGGAGGAACCTCCGCCGGAAAACAAAAGCCCCGGGCACAGCATGTGCGGCTGAGACAAGATTACAGTGTTTTTACGCGAGCAAGCCAGCCGCGCAGTTGTCAACATACATGACTAATTGAAGGACAGTTGTACCGGGGAATTCCATTTGTCTGCTTTGTCGAAACAAAGATGTATAGACATCCAGTGATTTGTGTAATAGTCGGGAGGTTTCCTTCGGTCTTCTGGATGGGAAATGATTTGGTAAAACACGCGAGCATTACTTTAGACGTGGCAGATAGCAAGTTGTTGGGGGAGATACCACAGGACTTCAGAGTCCAACACAATTACAAGCGAGTCGAGATACATAACAATGAATACAATAATCCGAGCAAAGTCTGCGTATGCATAAGCCAGAATTGACGAGTCATACGCTAAATCGTTCGACAACTTCAATGCTCTTGAATCGCGCGGTTGCTGAGTTCCGGCAGTCGTCGCACACAGACCGAAAAGTCAGAAATCCCCATCAGGTCGCTTGTTTGGCCAAGATGACAGTAAATACATATATAGAAGCGGGTTGCGCGGTTTCCTCTCCACCATCGCTCTTCTTTGTGGGAAATCAGGACATATTTGAGAGTCTTGGTAGCTTGGTAAAGCGCTCACGAGGTTCGGTCGTCTTGGCAACAGTTCACAGTTGCGCGGCTCTCGGCGCAGGGATGGAGCATGTGTGAGAGTGAGCCGCGAGTCGTGGTGGCAGAGCAGAATCATCAGACAGGTGCCGGCCGTCTGAAAATGTCCCGTCGGCGGGTAATTAAGGTGAGGTGCCGTGATGTGGAGGGGGGAGGGACCCGATGTGCCGGGTTGGATGGGACGTGTTTCTCTGCTTCCGCCCTGTGGTAATGGATTTGTTGTGTGTAGATTGGGGGTAGATTAAGCGGCGACTATTCGCATATCTATAAAGTAAGGAGTGATGTTGACGGCACCCGTACGGGAAGCTTGATGTCGGAAACATATGTGTGCGATAGATGAGTGGTAACATCGCAAATACCTTTTCTCCTTGCAGGAGAATGAACTCCCAGTAGCGTCTGTGTGTCCTTCCACCTCCGTCTTTTCCGCCACTTGACGGAAAACAAGGGACCTGGAAAGTGCGAATACGCAGCGGAGATGGTACGCTCTGATTTTTTTAACCTCCTGTCATCACGTCGAGCTGAAACCACCCCGACAGAGGATTCATGCGCGGACCCGGCAAAGTGGGATCGGGGATCACCACGCGACGGGTGGGCTTAGACACCGAATGGTGTGTTCGCACGGAGATTCGGTTCGACCCTTTTTTACCTTAAGTAGGTGTGACAACCCGGACGTCTCTTCCCGCGAGACGGACATGATGATACCGCGGTATTCGGAGTGTGGGTGTGGGGCCATGCGGGATGAATCACGGTGACGGACGCCGATCGGGCCCGCCTTTTCGGCGCCGATGCGGTGGGGCAGCCGGGCGGTAGTGTAAGGTAGTTTTGGGAAGGTGCTGACGGTCGATGTTGGAGGTCTTTCTGTGCAGATAAGGAAAAGACGTAAGCGAAGAAAACCAAACTCCGGCATCTTTACCCCCTCTTCCATGTCATCACACTCCTCAGACTTCCAATCCTGCACCTTTGTTCAAACTCCGTCAAAACCGCGACTATCAAAGATGACGGACCCCGCATTTCACCTCCCACCCCTCCTCCAACCCGCCGACCTCCTCGCCCTCATCTCCTCCCTCGGCCTCCCGGCCCCGGCCTCCACCGAGCCCCTCACCGTAACGGCGTCCTTCCACCGGATCTACCTCATCCACTTCCCCCCCTCAGCCACGCCGTCCCTCGCCCCGGCACGACCGAACCATGACGGGAGCACCACGCTCGTCCTGCGCGTCGCGGGCCCGCACCTCCCGCGCATCAAGACGGAGAACGAGATCGCGCTGATGAAATGGGTGAGAGAAAACACCTCCATCCCCGTCCCCGCCGTCATCCGCTGGGACAGCTCCTGCGAGAACGTCCTGGGGCGGGAGTTCTCCCTCCTGGAGCGGATCCCCGGCCGCAGCGCCGATAAGATCATCTGGGACGCGGACGACGAGAAGAAGCGTAAGATCGTCGCGCAGCTCGTGGGGTTCCTCGCGCAGCTCAGGGAGAAGTCGACCTGGAGACACGTCGGCGGGTTGCGGGTCGACGACGACCAGGGCGCGATCGTCCCGGGACCCGTGGTCGACGAGTGGTTCTGGATGGGGCCGCAGCTCGCGCGGTTCTGGGGCGGGACGGGGGAGACCGTGGACAGTCTGAATCCCGTCTCGGGGCCCTTCGCGACCTGGGCCGCGCACGCGGACGCGAGCATGGGGAAGTACATCCGCGTCATCAGCCTCCACCCGCAACTGGCCTGGATGCGAGACCTGATCCCCCGGCTGGAGTCCTTCCGAGCCTTCGTCCGCCCTCGCGCTGACGAGCTGGAGGACACGGAGTACGTCCTCGCGCACCGCGACCTGCACCTCGCGAACGTCATGGTCGACGGCGCGGGGACCGTCACGGGGGTTCTGGACTGGGAGTTCGGGGGCGTCGTGCCGGGGCCGCGGTGGGACCCGCCGAACGCGTTCCTGTATCCGTGGGGGGGAGGCGAGGGCGACGAGGCCAAGAGGGAGAGGGACCGGATGAGGGGGTGGGCGAGGGAGATATGCAGGAGCAGGGGGCTCGGTGAGGATCTCGTCGACGGGATACGGTACCGGGGCTGTCAGGAGGGTGTGCATTTTGTTCTAAACTACACGAGGGCGATTTGTGAGCTTTGGAGGGAGGAGAGGGGTGGTGAGCAGGGGTGGAGGAAGACTCTGGAGGGGGAGCTGGGGAAGTTGGGATTGTGATTTTGGTTAGAGGATGCGGTGGTTTGGATATTCACGATACGAAGCCGCATGCGATTTCATTGCAGTCTCGTGAATGTCAGAGGCCGCGACGCCGCCAGCCATACTTTCCCGGATCATGCTTCAGTCGAGAAAGAGGAAGAAGAAATGCCTTCTGGTATTACCTATATCTAGTATTGCCGGTCATTCTGCCACGATCCTTGGCCAACCTAGAGAATCACGACAATAGATATGCATAGGCAAATGCTCCGTAGTTTAGCCTTACGAACAGTAGCGATATTGGTACAGAATAAATTCGCCCAGAGCCCAGGCATCACTAACATTTCAAGCTACAATCCCGATCGCCATGCCAGACGACGGCCTACTAATATTCGAAAACAAAACAACATCAACCCGCAGTCCTCATCAATGTACAGTGCACCTGTTTGGTCCAAAGAATACCGCGCTAACAAATACAATTTCAATAACCCAACGCCGTCACCGCCGTCCGGGCCCCCCACACGTGTCTGTTCCACTACGAGCTAGCAGTAGGGGCGTCCGTGGCGGTCTCGGGCTTTTTCTCGTCGTCGTTCGTCGGCGCGGGTTCGGTAGGGGCTTCGGCCGGGGCGGGAGCTTCCTCGGCAGGAGCCGAGTCCGGTGCTGGAGCCGCGGCCGGTTCGGACGCAACCTCTTTTGACGGCTCCTCGGGTGCCGACTGCGGCGCCTCCTCCGCAGGCTTCTCTGGCTCGATAGGAGGTACCTCGGGCAGCGGGACGGGATTCTCGATCTTCGGCAGCTCGGCATGATCAGGGTGCGGCGCGGCGGGCGGCTCGGGAAGCGGAGACTTGCTCAGCTCGGCCTGGCGGTCCAGCTCCGTCTCGAGGCCGGCCAGCAGGTCAGGTCCGTCGTCCATGGGAACAAGCGGAACCTCTGCGGCGGCCGGCGGCTTGGGCTCAGGCTCTGCGGTGGGGATCTCGGCTGAGGGTTCAGAGGGCGGTTCGACCACCGTCGCGACGGGTGGCTCGAGAGGTGCAGGCGGTGCTGACGGTGCTTCGATGGGCGCGACGATCGCTGGAAGCTCGGTGGGATTCTCTAACGAAGGTTCGGCAGGAGCTTCAACTGGGATGTCGACGGGGATGTGTTCGGCGGGAGCTGGCTCGACTGGCGGTTCCATCGCCACCGGGGCTGGAGGTTGGATGGGAGCGTCCGCTGGTGCCTCGTTTACGGGGGCTTCGGTTGCTGTCTCCGTTGGTGCTGTGTGGAAAGGCTCAATGGGAGGCGCATGCTGGGGAGACTTGATGGGCGATTTGACGGGGGATTGGACGGGTTCGGGTTCTTGTGCAGGTTCCGCGGGAGCGGCAGGAGCAGTCGAAACGTCTTCAATCACCGGCTCGCTATTTTCAGCCTCTGTCGGGGCAGCCTGGGGCTCTTCGACGGCTGTTGGCGGAGCCGCAGCGCTGTCGTCCTTCATTTCCGAATCTTCTTGCGCAACGGGAGCAGCCTGGTCCTCTGTGGGGGGTGCCGGCGGCGCGTCCGAGGCAGGTTGAGTGCTCGAGACCTCGGGAGCATCGGTGTTCTGGGTGGTCTCAGGTGCTTCAGACATGTCGGGTACCTCGGACATTTCAGGGATGTCCAAAGCCATCGAGTCCTCTTGGGGAGCGTCGTTGGACGCGATTGTCTGATCGGCGCTCTCTATCCTCGAACCAGAGCCTTCCGTCTCTGCTGTGGTCGCCATCGAGAAGGTAGACCTGGTCTCCGCCATGGGCGAGACAATATCGCCCACTTTCTCGGCGGGCGGGATATACGTCTCATTCGCGGGCTCGGAGCCTGTGTCGAGCGGCAGCTGCTCAGGAACGCCTGGCTCTGGATTCTCAGCTGGTGCTTCAGGAGCAGATGCAGGAGCCGGCTCGGCATGATCGGCCATATTCACGTCCTCCTGATGTTCGTCCGCTGTGGCTGGGGGAGCAGAAACGTCGGATGCGGTGGGAGCAGGCAGAGGAGCGGGAGCACTAGGCGCTAAGGCCTCCGCAATGGGCGAGATTTGCGGTGATGCCTCTGTAGGAGACGGCAGCACCACGTTTTTCAGCGGGCTTCCTCTCGGCGACGCGTTGGCCAAATGCATGGCAGGAAGAGGCGGCGCCAAATTGAGGGGATTTGCGATCGGTGCCCCCATCTTGGCCAAGGGAGACTCGGGCTCGGTCGGCTGCGTTGTGGAGGCGTCCACAACGGGCGTGGGCGCCGATGGCGATGCATCCACCATTTCGTGATCTTGACTGTCCGCGTTCGCGCCTTCGCGCTGTTCCTCGTCGCCATCATCACCATCGTCACCGTCATCGCCATCGTCGTCGCCCTCCTCCTCGTCGTTGTCTGCCATCTCGCTGTCCGGGTTGTTCGAGTCTTCGCGCTCCTGCTTGATACCCTGCGACAGAGTTAGTCTGCGATCGGCCTTCTGAGAACTTCCATAACTCACGTTCTCCGTGCCCGGGGTTTCCTCGACCTTTGGCACAACGGGAGCCCCCTCAGCAGGCGGCGCGGCACCATCCACCGGCGCCGGCAAGGGCAAAGGCAGCGTCTTCTTCTTGCGCCCGCGTCCGGGACCGGGCTTGTTCTTCTTCTTGGGCGGCGGCGGCCTCCTCACGCGCTGAGGCGGCGCCTGCGCGGGATCGATGGCAGACACGGGCACGACCGTCGTGGAAATGATCTCGCCCTCGATCCGCTGCCCGTCCTGCAGCGTGACCTCCTGCGTGTACGGGTTGCCCGCGGCGTCGACCCGTCTCACGGTCGCCCTAGTGACCGTCGCGCCGACGGGGGTGCTGGCCACCGTCTTGGACGAGATGGTCACGGTGCCCTTCCTGCGCTTCGCGAGGTGCGAGACGCCCGAGCCCTCCGAGTTCCGGTTGATCTGCTTCCACACCCTGATCTGGAAGCCCTTCGTCGCCGTCTCGTCCTCCTTCTTCTCGGGCTTCTCGGCCACGGCGTCGGCGGCCTCGTCCTCCTCTTCGGTCGGCGCGGGACGCTTGTAGAGGACGCCGGAGCGGGCGGCGCGCAGCAGGTCCTGGCTGTGCTGGGGGAGGAGGCCGGCGTCCTTGGGCATGCCCCACGGGAGCTCGACGTCCCAGATGTCGTTCTTCTGCGTCGTCTCGGCCTGCTGGGGCGGTTGCACCTTCACCCACTCCTGGCGCCATTGGCGCACGGGGAGGCCCTCGAAGTCATCGTGCTCGGCGTAGCCGCTGCGGTTAGCGCGTCGAGTCTATCGGTGGTTGCGCATACGTTAGACATGGTCTCACGGGTAATTGGTCGCGGAAGTCAATGTGCAGGGGACTTACGCCGGGCGCCATGTTCAAATCCTACAAATACACAGAATAAACACGTTTATACGTTGAAAAACACCCCGTGTCGACCTCGGGGTGGAAGTCGTCGCGATGCGCGCAGGACGTCCGATCGGTCGGCAGTTTCCTGCTCGTTACGTGGGAATCGAAGGACCTAGTGCACAATGGGCCGATTGAGAAGTTGCGACTGAGGATATCAGGTTCGCGACTGCAATTGAGCGAGGCGATGCGACGCTTCGGTGCTGCTGCTTTGGTGGTCGATGGACAAGCTGAAGCGCAGTTGCACTGGGTCTGGGATTGGCTGCGCTAGGCACCTTCCATCACGAACTCAAAGCGCGACCAAGTCACGAGTTCAGTCACGTGCTCCCGCTCTGGGTCGCTTCGGTGAGTTCGGTCTGCTCGGTCAATCACAACCTGCATGGCACCTCACAGACGTGAATTCCAGTGTAGAGTAGTGAGAATTATCCCAAGTCTGCGAAAATTGGGTGCATATTTTCCAACAGCCTTCGTAGCGTCTCTCAGACCATCTCTGGCTGTTCTTCAAGACTCCATGACCTCTTGCGAAGGGCCACCAGCACGCTGTTTAGATAAGCTTGTCGGGCGGTGAGAAGTCAGCGGCCGCTGGGCGGTTTGCGATGACCTCTCTGTAGACATTTGAACGCTACATCCAATCCAGCCGGCGACAGCCAGACAACGCCGCACATCATCACAACGAATCTGGCCTCAGCAAAACAGAAGCCGAAATTGAAGGCCCAGCACTCATAGAACTCCATTGCCATGTCTATATGCCCAAAAGCCCTCCCCTTCTCGAAAAAAGCACTCCGGAGTGGAGTGAGGTCTGCCGGGAATCATCGTCCACCCATCCTCCCGTAATTCTCGTCCCAAAAATAAAAGCGTCTCTGGAATCGTGATCCAACATTGTGCGTGGTTGTACACTTTCTCTGCCTCTCGCCCCTAGCTTCGTCCGTGGTATAGTACAGGTGTTTTCTTCCCGAGATCTTGCTCGTTCCTCGGCGATATTAATGGCGGCGTCTCTCTTTAGTCCCAGCTGTGATGTGGTTGTTAGCAATTCAACTCGATTGTCTTCGCAGAGTTCGGGGGAAAACTCACCCTTGATCCTTTTGTCTGACAATATCCCCCTTGTCGCCCTTTTGTTTGCCCTGCGCAATCAGTCAGCCTTCACCGCCCGACCCATCCGAACATGTTTTCGTCACTCGAAGAAAGAGGAGAAACCTACTGCGGCGCCGCCCTCGACCACTAACCGGTCCATCTGGTGGAACTGGCTGATGACCGTTTGCCTCTGCGAAACCCAAGTTAGCTCCCCTCCTCTATCTGTCGCGGCATCCTCGTCGGCCTCTCCCGCGAGTGACAATTCGTATCCGACGAACCTTCATGACCTGGAGCTCGTTCAGCCCCTTCTGAATCAACTCCTGCACCCGCCTCGGGTCCTCGACGCGCGCGTTCTCCCTAAACGCATCCCTCGTCCTCCGCTTCGCGTACTCGCGGAAGTTGTACGCCGCGAACATGTCACCTTGCCTCAGCATCTGGCGGTACTGTCCCCAGCAATCCGTCAGCCAAAAAATTCCCAATATCATAGACTTCAGCCTAAACGCAAGCAAGCAAACATCAAGCCTGCAAAATTTCACCAGAAGGCGACGGGTAAAAAAAAAACCTACCAATGACCGGACCTGCTGCGGCGCATCGCCCTTCAACGCTTGTATCGCCGTCGCCATCGTATGCGCTTCTGTTGCAGTCGTGGGGGTTATGGAAAAGTTGCGAAGGAAAAAGAGCGCTGAGAGGGCGACCGATTGATAATTATTTCGGAGGTGGAAGGCTGCCGAGGGCGCATACCTATGATGCAACAAACGCCCGCGCATTTCCCCCCCTCGGCGTTAGTCGGGTAGGGGTCCCCCCTCGGCGCGGCATTTTACTAATCCGCCGCACCGGCCGGGGTTTGACAGGTCGGGAACCTCTGGTTTTCGTCACCGAGGTGAGTATGCGGCTATTCGGACGCGCAAAAAAATTCAGGACTCGGCGAATTGGGTTTAATCACTCATTGAAGGTTATCCCCGGACCCATCGCGGCTGGCATTGTTTTCACAGACGAAAATGACGTCTTTCGTCCCAAGTCATGATAGTCATTCAATGAACCTCTCCTCTCGCATTATCACCCATACCCAACTCATGGGCGATGCGAAAACTTGATGTGATCCCAAGTAAATACCTCTATTATGCTTAATTATCTACAATGCTATTCCTTTGATGTTGTACAGGGCCAGCGGCTAACCAGTCCGCGGCCAAAGGGCACCGTGTATGTATGTATGTATGTGTATGTTCTGCTCGAACGCTGCGAGCATGCTGTAATTAAACGTCTCAAGGTAGACTCATGAACAGCTTCTCCATCGCTGGGTAATTAGGCGTTCTAATGTAGAGTTAGTTGCGAAGCTTTTCTGAGTAAAGAAAATGAGAGCTTACCCCATGCCCGTGACGGGGTCCCAGCCTGACACCGCGGAGAAGCCCTTGGTGCCGCAGCCTGGGTTGTCTCCGTTGGTCACGTCGTTGAGGATTTCAGGATGAGCATAGAGCGTCGGGTTGATGAAACCGACGGGCTTCTTGTTGGCCTCGATGCGCTTCTCGTTGATCATGTTGATGACGGAGCCAACCACGGGTGCAGATGCTAGGTCCACGTCAGTATGAGTCGCATCATGAGGGGGGTAAAGTAGACTGCCTACCTGAGGTACCGAACGACAGCGAGAACTTGCCATTCACGGCTGTCACGTAGTTGGCACCGTTGGCACTGATATCCGGGAAGCCGCGCACGACCTTGGAGTTGTTGTATCGGTCCGCACCATAAGGCGGCGCGTTCTTGCTGAAGTATTCTCCAACCATCTGCTTTTGATAGTCGGGCATCGCGAAAATGTTGGAGAAGCCACCACCAGAGAAAATGGCCTTCTGGCAAGCGCTCTCGGGAGTGTGAACTGTCGAGCCCTCCAAGATCTGAGTAGCGCCGACGGACGTCACCCAAGGGCAACCGCCGGGGAAAGAGGGATTGAAAATGCCAGTCTTGCCCTCGTTGTAAGCGCCTGTCTGAGTGTCGATGCACTGCTGGCCATTTCCAGCAACGCCGGAGTCGCCGGAAGAGTATAGCACGGTGACGCCCTGGAGACCCATCTTCATGTACTCGGCACACTGGCGCTCAACATACTTGCGACCAAGGTCGGCCTCGTTGAAGCCATAACTCGTGGAGATGACGTTGACCATGGGTGCTGAACCGCAGACTTTGTTGCTGTATTGTCCGTCGATGTTGGGATCCTTGGAGCCGCCTCCCTGGAAAGTGCAGTAGCTGGCATCGACTGCGTCCAGGAAGTTGTTGAAGCTTGCGCCCTGGTTCAAGTCTCCCACCTGATAGAGCGTTGCGGTCTGGGGGTAGATCAAGGCCATAGCGAACTCCAAGTCGAGAGCCGATTCTCCGTTGAAGCGGAAGCTCTGGTTCTGAGTCTGGACGACGGCGTTGCCAACCAGGGTGACGATAGGGGGCGTGCCAGAGAGACGGGGCTCGAACTCTTTGAAGTACATGTCCAGATCACTCTGGAGGAAGGCCTGAGGAGTGTATTCGACAATGCCAAGGGTGTTGTTGGAGTTCTTCAGAGACCCGGGCGGGGTGGCGTAGAGAGCTCGCAGACAATCCGGAGTGATCATCATATCGCACTGCTCGAGGCTCATGAGGGCATTCATGACGACCGCGCCTTGCTTCGGTCCAGCTCCGTTGTCCGGGTTGCCGACAATGGAGGGACTCTTGCCCCCAGAGGCTACCTCTCGCTTGGCGAGCTCACGCTTTTTGAGTTGTCGCTTCTTGAGCTCCTCGACGTGCTGCTCGGTGAGCTCTTCCTTGACGTTCTGGCGCTGCCTTCCGATCTTCTGGTCGAAGTGTACTGATGGAGTGACCATGTCGATATGATCAACCAGGTGTTCTGGAAGGTGGTACTTGTCACAAGCAATGTGGGTGTGACCCTGCTCATGCTTGTAGACGTGGTATTCCGTCTTCAGGAGTCGCTCGACTTCGCCGGCTGTGCCGTTGAACTGAACCCAGTTGCGACCCTTGGAGAGCGCAACGCGACTTCGATGGATGCCTTCGCCTTCAAGCCATTGCATGACCAAAGCTATGGACTCTTGCCTCGGCGCAAACATCTCAACGATCTCGTCATGTGTCCAGTGTTTGCCGTAATTGGGGGAGTCGGGATGCGCCACATCGTTCATGAACTCGTTTGCGCGGTGAAGGTTTGACTGCGCGAGACCGATTCGAACTGGCAGCCTGGCCATGGTGTGCAAGCGGTGGTTCTTAACCCATTCCCGTCGGGCAGGGTGCCTCTCCTCGTGCACAACATGCCTGTGCGACCGCGCGACTGGGTTCGCAGTGGTCACTGCCGCAAGGGCGGTGAGTAGGGTCGCAAGCGCACTAAGCTTCATCGTGTCTTTCCGGTCTTTGTTGTCGAACTCTCTCTACCTCGCTCTACACACAGGGTCTGAAAAGGCAAACGAGTCGAGCGATAAGGCTGGCTATTTGTTGATATTTAGCAGCTGTCGTCCAGTCATGACGAACCCCCACTGACGCAAGGTACCAGCTCCAGACACGACGAATGCGAAACCGGTTTCAATAGGATCCTGTGGACTGTTTGTCTGGTGGTGACCATCCAAAACGAGCATTTGGGTGAACGGCAGCCTGTGCGCTGGGATCCTGTTGCAGGGAGGGAACACCTCTTACATGAGCAGTTTCTCCAGCCCCGAGCTCTTGGATGAAGAACCACTGCACGATTCTTCGGACTGGCCTACTATCGGGGATCCGTATGAGGCAGAGTGATCAGCCAAAAGCCGATAGCCGAAGGTTAAGCTTTGGGGCGAGGTACTTCAAACAATCGTCTCATGTTGGGGCGGACCACATTCAAAATCTAGGCGTTTGCCAGCGGCAACGGCAAGGAGCAACGATGGCGGCCGATTCGTGATGGTCATGCGAGACAACAATCAGGCCTTCAGGGTTGCCTGCTCAAGATGGGTTTGATTCCGATGTAAATCCCAGAATGACTCGCTGGGCGACAGGAGAGTTTGCAAAGTTTGGATAAGGTCAATTGAAGGCTCGAGCCGCCGTCTGGAATCCGGACCAAAGAAGAGTGAAACCCTCTCAATGGGACGATTTGACTTGGACATATCGCTGCATGGTCAGCCTTTGCAAAGCCCTTTGCTCGTTGATAATCTCCCATAACTCATCCGTTTCTTTCTGAGTATCCGCATCGTCAACTTCAGCGGAAGTATGCGCAGGAGTTTCCTGAAACGAGAGAATGGCGGTTTCGAGAACGTCATTGGGCAGCCCGTGGCCATTGAGCATGTTGGTGAATCTCGTCTCTTGCTGAAGCTCTGCACTTAGTTGAGACGTGAAAGTGTATTGCCGCTCGGCCAAGCTCGGCTTGACCACTGCAGCAGGTTTTGTGGATCGCGGAGTCCGCAGCAGCGGGGGAAACGCGAGGTTTGTTACAGAGGCATTCAGGTCCGTAAGCTCTGTAGGGTGACCGTTCTCGGTCAATTGCCATTGCAAGATCTTGCCTTTGGTGTGGCCGGACAGGACTGTCGTGCAATCATGGTTGGTTGCCAAGCACGAAGCTGGGCCAGCATCCTCATCAGCGACCCCAATCGGCGAATTGACTTGCACGACTGTGGAGGACGACTCAGCACTGCGCGGACCAATCAGCGGTTTGTCTCCGAGCAGCTCGACGAGGTAGAGGGATCTGTCCTCGGATGAAACGAAGACGGCACGAGCGCAAGGATCCATGGAAACGCAGAGCGGAGCTGTGGGGAACAGCAGCGTGCGAAGAACGTCGCCCGTTTGATAGTTCCAAATGATGCATGTCTTGTCCTTGCTGGCTGACACGCAGATGCTGGTTTCCGAGTTGACACTGCGACTGACAGCCAACGACGTAACTGCGGCGCGGTGGTTGGAGAGAGTGCGGTCCGGTTCGTTCTCGACTGAAGCATTTAGCTCCAGGAGACGGGACAACGTCCAGACATGGATGTTTGAGTCTTCGGAACCAGTAATGAGATGATGCGGCGTAACTGCAAGGCAAGACACAGCCTGGACGTGGCACGGCGGGGTGGTCATTTGACGACCAGTGCATGTCTGTTGTTTCCGTTAGGCACACGACACAATGGCGTTTGGTTTTCCACCCTTCGGAACAAAGACTGGAAACGTTTACTTACTTCCCACAATATCAGTCTGCCTTCGGAAGTCCCTAACGCCAAGACATCATCGATCAACGCCAAGCTGCGGATTCGCTCAGGGAAGGTCACGGTGGTCTCTTGGATTCCCCGCGTCCTCGAGTAGACATGGACCTGGGACTTTTCGTTCTGGGCGGCAAAGACGTGCGAGTCACTGACAGCCAGACAGTTTGCCGGGGTATTGCTCTTCTTGAGAGTTGACTTGACGGAATAGCTGGGGCTGAGCGTGTGGGCGTAGATGCCAACATCCTTGGAGACGGCGGTGTTTGCCGCAATAGGCGGACCGCAGATGCAGGAGTAGAATTCTTCGGACAACATGGTGGTGGTGTTTGTGGCGATGAGGCGCGGCTGTGAGGGTGGTGAAGGCCGGCTAGGCGCGTTTCCCTCGGATCTTTGTGGTGCGACGATTGTCCGAGAGCGGCTCTAACTCCGGGTTGTGAGGAAGTAAGGGGTGACAAGAGTGCTGCGACGGCTTTCTCTCAGCCGCGTTCGAGAACAGGCTCTGACCGCAACGCCCACGAGGATGTGACAAAAACGTGGAGGGCGGGAACGATTCAGCGCCACACAGAGCGGTAAGGGCGGGAAACGAGAACGATAATGCGAGATGTGCCGTGGCGATAATGGGCCAATGTGAGTGTTCCGAGTCGAGTCTTCTTCGCGGCCACGTTCTCAATGGCTTGGATGAGTTTGGATCCAGAAGTACTCGGGAGATGATCGACCCGAGAATATTGGGCGGGTATCTCGTAACGGGATGAAGAAAGCTTTTCTTATTTCCAATAAGTGACACGCCGGTGCAGTATGTAGCTTTGAGACAGCAGCTCAGAAAACTTGGAAGAAGAGGTTGCGATATGCGGTCGAGACGAAGAGGCTGTCGACGTTCCAAGAGCAAGAGATCGTGAAAAAATTCGGTTCCATTAAAAAAAGTGTTATCGATAAGTCCCAGCTGAACGGCGGATCGGGAAGGGGCGCCCCACCAGCCGCTCTTTCCCATGTGAGATATGGATGGCTTGAGGCGCTAACAGACGAGGACCGCTAAAATGAGCTGGATCGATGCGCCACAGGGGTAAATAGCCTGTAGCGTGCCTGAGAAGCAGCGACTAGAGCATCCCTACAGCAATCCAAGGCTCCAAAGACGACGCCATTCCGCCCTAGAAGCGCTAACAGACGATTCCCACGAGGGCGGAAGCCTTCACCGGTAAGGAAGGTGCTGCTGGCTTCACTTTCGGTCTGTCACTTCCACTCTCAAAGGTCTCACTTTCTCCTTTGCCTTGCATCGCCAACTTCATTGCCATCTTACCAACAAAACCCGTCAACCATGGTTGAGGGCGAGACATGTCTCTTCCTGCCCAGCACTAGCTCACGCCACAAGATTTATTGTCTTCCGCCATCCAACATCTCGAGTCAGTCACCCATCTACTCCATCACATCGTCAACCGTCTTAGATCTGGTCAAGTCAAGTCTCCGGCCTCGCAAACGTCTTCAAACCAAGGCTTGCCCGTGTCTTACACGTTCTGAGCTCCGGTCAGACGTTTCTTCTTCCCTTAGCGATCGTCCACTATCTTATCTGGACGGCACGGAATACAACGAACTGTGGATATTTGGGCCTCGCGTGCCCGTCTGACGTGACGGCACTGCATGCAACAGTCACATCTCGCCTGCAGCTCGCCGACATCACCCACGTCTGCAGTCTCTCTGGAGTCTTGCCAGAACAGAACAGGGCTTCAGCTTCAGCCGCTGCTGCTGTCGCTGGCTTCGAGGCTCGTCTTCTCAGTGCTCGGTCCTGCTTCACTGATTCAGCATGCCTGCCGCCTCTGCCTCACTCCATACTCCGTACAGAGACAGCGCCTCCTTCTGCAGCTTCCGAGACAGGGTGATATCTCAGCACGCCAAATGTGTCACTCCGCGCCGTTGACAGCCAGAAGACGAGGAGCCAAACGAGGCACTCGACCCGTCAGCCCCGATGGCTTCTTCTCCAAAACGCGACTTCGCCATTTCGCGGCTCGCGGCCGGTCGTTGATTCTTGGTTCATCAAATCTTGCTGCCCGGTTTGCAAGGAACAGCTCTCACGGCTTACACCCCCTGCCCACGATTGTCAAGGCAGGCCATCCTTGACCAGAGCCCCGGGGACCAGTGGAGGCCACGAATCGACGTCGCATTTTAATCCCATGATTCTCTGATGGGGCCCTTGTCTCCCTGGAAGCTGGAGGAGCAGCAAGCATGCGAGGCGCGTTTACAGCATAGTGCAGACCGCGTACTGCTGCAACCTGCAATTGCGGCAGATGGATGGGATCCCACGCGATGCGACCTCTCATCTGCAGCTGTCAATGCCAGTGCTAATGCGGCCACGGCTGACTACCATCCGACATCAGCAAAGCCTTTGCGAAGCGGGAGACTCAAAAATAGTCGAGACGAGTCGCGGCATCGAGCAAACATCCAGTGGCATTGCAAGCAAGAGGCGTGGGATCCGGATCGTCAGTTGGCTCAGGTGGCTCGAGGACATGACCCTCTCATCACCCTATCACGGCCTGTCTTCTGCTGCGCCGCCCCTCAATCTCCTGTTGATCCCGGTTGGGGACTCGACCCGGAAAGGGACAACAAGACAGAGAGAGCCGGGAGACAATGTCAATCGAGACGATCCAACCCCAAATCCATTCGCCGCACGACCAGTGCCGAGACGGTCACCTGCCATCGCCCGCAAGCTCGCCATTTGGAACTTGTGGTCGCCGGCAATCTTGTTCGGGGCTCACTGAGGCGGAAGCCGTGGCCAGATGAGTACATGAATGAGTGAACAAACTCTCATTCACTCGTTGTTGGACATCAGCATCGCTTGTGCAACTGGGCAGTTTGCTCTCCGCATACCATGCAGTTCCACCTGGAACATGCTCCGTACACAGACGGCTGTGGGCGCTAGCCTGGCCTGCGCATGCAAATGCAGATGCAGATGCAGATGATGCAGCAACACAGACTCGTTGCACTGATATGGCATAGGCGAATAAATGCCTGCTCGCTCAGCCTGCACCAAGGACCAAGGGCCAATGAGCCACGCCGTCTTCCCCCGGGACCTGGTCTGTTGAGATGGATGTTGCTTGGTATGACCAGGTCCCTTGGATTTCTTCCTTCGGCGAGGTTTATTTCGAAAACGTGCACGATGGTGAACGGAGTTAACAGATCTCACGACTCGAATACTAATCACAACTCGGATCACGGAACCTTCAGACTCTCATCGTGCCGCCATTTAAACCTCCATCGTACAGGTGGCCCGGTGGGTGGTGGGAAGCGGGCTTGGACATGTGTCATGAACGCGAAGCCCATCCAGAAAATTCGAAAGGACTTTTTTATGAGCGCCGAGCTTGTTTTGATGATAATGGCACAGTTGATCCTCCACCAGGCTTATTACCATCTAATACAGTTATTGCTTTTGGCAAGTGAATGGCACTGAACTGCCGTATGCAGAGCAGATATGCACACTGAGCCCACTACCAGCGTAGTATTATTGAAGGCTTACCCACGCCCCTCATTTTTGCTTTTTCCTTCCTCATCGTCTTCTCTTTTCGGTGTGGACCGAACAACGGGGTCAAATGGCCTCCAGTTGGGACTTGGAGTTGGGATTTGCTGACTGCGCCTGCTGCCCCTGACCCGGCCGCCCTACCCATTCAACGATTCCCCGTCCGCAAGATCCGGAGTCCCGCAAAGCTGGCTCTCCCTCGCTGACTAGCTCTGACTTTGTGAGCTCATGGCCGAGGTATTGGCGTATGAAGGGTCTCTGGTGGCTGTTCTCGCCCACAGACGGCCAAGGCTATGACAGCAGAAGAAAAGACACGACGAACGAAGCCAATGGAAGAGTCGAGTCGAGTGACCGTGGCTAATACACTTCTCACCGCAACGAAGAGGACGGACGACGCAAGGGCAGAGTCCCCCGCGGTCGACAATGTCTTACAATTGCCTACTAAACACAGAGATGGCCCCTCTCCGCAAAGTGTTGCGTGTCTGAGAGAGAGTGTTGTTGTTTTGTTTATTGTGCTTCTCTTGTCGTCGAGTGGCACGGCATACGCAGCTTTCCCCTCGGGCAATCTTGGAGCAATCTTTTTCAATCTCACCATCCTCGTCGGACGAACCGACGAAGCGGCATTCTCCCAGCCGCCCTCTCATCTCCCGGGTCTGCACGAGGAAGGGTCTTTCTCTTCTCTTGACCGTCTTCAGACCCTCGTGAGGATCCCGGATCCGAACTTATCGTCTTATTTCGGACCCTCGCACCCAGTGTTATCGATCCTCGATCCCTACTAGCGAGGCCTTCTTCTGCCCTACTCCGTCTTCTTCTTACCCACGGACATGAGCTCTTGTGTCCCATCCACACTGGAGCAGCTGGAGCTTCACTGATCACTGGTCACACACTCTCTCGCGTTCCCTCTCCCCCGTCCAGGACCCTGTCGTCAGCCCTGGCAGCTTAAAGGCATCGCAGCTCCCAAGTTGAGTGGCCACCACCACCTCATCATCACCACCCCGGCAAGCAGTTCTCCCCTTTTCTCGCCCACGACCCAATGGCATGAGCATCAACCCATGTGGCATGCGCACCCCCATGTTCGTGTTAGACGTTCCAGCTCCCTTCCCTGCCCCACACGCGACCGAGGCCCTCCCTGCAAGGAACATCTCTCCAACAACCTTTAAAACATCCCGTCCGCCGGTCCTGGAGCGAAGACGCTCCGTCCGGAGCATGAAAAATCTCCTGCCACTGACACTACCCTCCAACCCGCAGCCGACATCGATCTATAGTCAAGGCATCCCGCTGTCAACGCCGCTGTCACCGCCGCCGCCGTTGTCGTCCCAAATCCGACCTCACCACCATCTCCGTCACCAACACCAGCCGATCGCCCACCCGCATCGACCCGACGAGCACCAGCCCGAGCATTTATGCATCCATCCCGGCACCATGGCCGAAGCCGCGGAACCGACAATGGACTGCAATCTGCCGGAGCTCCTCGCTCAGGACCTTGAGTTCTCTGCTCTCATCTTCGCTTCCAAGAACATGACGGCCGGCGCCCCTTCGCCGGCCCTCGCCTCTGACGAAGACGAATGGCCCTCCGCCGAACCCCCGACGGTCCTCGGCGGACCATGCCACCCGAACGGCGTACCGCAGTTTCAACCACTGGGCGCCATCGACGAGAAGAGCTCTCACAGCGGGGCCAGCGATCATTCCGACGCCGCGTCGAGCTCCAGCGGCGCGTCCTTCAGCGAGGCCGAGGACGGCGACGACGATGCCGCTGCATCGCCACAGATCCGCCAGCACTCCGTCTTGACCGCCGACACCACCATCTCCGCCTCCAGTCAACCGCCTGCACAGACTACTCACAAGCGTCTCGTGTCGTTTTGTGACGGGTCCGAAGAAGATGAAGAAGCCGCCCCCGGCAGCTGGATGGACTTGGAGCCGGAAGGCCCCGGCGACCACCCCGAACTTGGCAAGAGTCTAGACCAGTCGCCGGTGACCACGCCCATCAAGCCGGTGCGGCCGCTATCCCGGCTGGGGGACAAGTCCATCAACGAGTCGCCGCCAAGGGCGAAGAGCGCCCACGCCGCAACTAACAGCCACCGGCTGTCCAACCCGTTCGACGAGTACACGCGACCCACCAGCCGGGCGCGGAGCTTACACGTTCCAACGGCCGCGGCCGACAACGGGAAGGGCAAAGAGCAGAACCGGATGTCGGTCCATTCGCTTCACTCCATCGAGATCGCCGTCCCTACGCGTACCTCGTCCTTGAAACACCGTGTTTCCTTCACAGACGATGCTCGCAAGAACATTGCATCGCGCTCACGCACTCGCTCACACACCTCCTCTTCCCGCGCACCCTCCGACCACGTCGTTGCGCCGGGCACAAACAGGAGCTCCATCATCGCTGACCTGAAGGAGGAACTAGAGCCATGGTTTCGCTATCTGGACGAGCAAGAAGGTCTTGCTCCTCCTCTCCTCATCACTCCCCGTCCAACATCACGCTCAGCAGAAACCTCGAGGTCCCTCGTGACACCTCGGCCCAGGTCCTCAGCCCAACCGAGATCACGTCCGACGTCTTCCGTGAGCGCTACATACACCTGGCTCGAGGACCCGATCGACATCCCCTCAGGGGACGACGCCCGCCGGATACCCCTCCCCCCAAACGTCGTCGAGTCCCTCCGCATCTCGGTCACCTGCTTCCCAGAGACCATGCTCCTCTGCTCCAGCCTCTCCATCGAAACCATCCGCAGCTACTCCCGCAAAGTGCGACACCCCGTACAAGAACCTGTCCGCCCGGAAACGCCACCGGCCTCCCCGAAACGGTGGAGATGGCTCGCGCCTCGCCGCACCGCGAACTCCATCCGCCGCTGTTCCCGCGGCGCCTCCTCCTCCAACCTCGACCTCTCCTCAATGGGCCCGTCGACATTGACACTCGCGCCCCCGCAGTGGTCCCGCATCCGCAACCTCTTCCCCACCGGCTCCGACTACCTCTGCGACGCCCTCTACGCCCACATCGTCGCCTACAACTACCTCGCCCCGATGGTCCAGAACCCCCCGCGCCCGCTCACCCCGGGAACCCCCGAGACCCTCTCCGCCGGCGGCGGCGCCGACGACTCCATCCCCAAGAAGGCCGCCAGCCTGCTCGGCCTGCAGGGTATGCAGGAAACCTCCCCGCCTCCCCGCCCGCTCCGCAAGCGCTCGAGCATGTTCCTCGGCGGCCGCCGCGCTTGCTCATCGCGACAGTCCGCCGCCCCGCCGCCGGTACCCGCCACCCCCGTTCCGACCTCCGAGGTGTCCCTCCGCGACCTCCAGATCGGTATCAGGCGGTGCATCGCGCGCCTCGTGGCCACGTTGCGGGCTGAGGGCTCGGACGGGCCGCTCGCGGGGGAGTCGGTCAACGAGATCGACCCCCTGATCATGCGGTCGCTTTGCGAGATCGTCAAGTGCTGCGAGGAGTCGACGACCAGCGACCGCGCTCTGTAACAGTCCATTCTCATGTTCATCGAATTGCATTTGGGCGTTCTCTTCGTAAACCCAATTAGACCAAAACTTTTCTTGAGACGGAGGGGGGAAACGGACACATGGGGCATTTGTTTCGGGTTTTTTTGTTTTTGGTATATATACCCTGTTCGAACTGGGCAAAGGAGTTTTCGTTTTGTTTCGAGCGTGGGAGTAGGAGGTGGTTTGGGTATAAAACATGGCGACTGGATACATGGATGGGAACGGAATGGGAGGGTGTTGCCCTGGCTAATGTCTACAACAAGACAGCAAAGAAGTAAAACGCAAATGGCTCCGTGCCATATCCTCTTACCCGACGCCTCCGTGTATGCCGCCCATCTTTGTGTGCCCTCTCGTCCACCTCCTCCGTGCCTCTACGTATAATCAACGCTCCCCTCAAAGGGATACGAATCCCTCACAACCGTCCCAGCCTGACTCCCCCACTCCCCTCCATTCCCATCCTCCGTCTCCCGCCGGCTCTGCACCGCCGGCCTCTGCTGCCCCTGCACGAACGCATCAAACTCCCTCCTCCGCCTCAGCTGCTGCCCTCCTCCTCCTTCTCCTCCTCTCCCACTCCCCGCCGCCATCTTCGTCTCGTCCCACACCCGCGCGACCCGCCCGCTCCCCTTGACACCCTTCATGAACCCGTTGCTCAGCCCCAGCAACCCCGCGCTGCCCAGCAACAGGACCAGCAGGACCATGTTGCCCGCCTGCGAGACGTTCCCGCTGAAGACGGCCACCATGTACACGGCCAGCTTCGCGACGGCCTCGAGGTAGCCCTGCGCGGCCGTCTTGGAGAGCAGCCAGGTCTCGGTGGTCAGGGCGGCGAGGTCGGCGGCGGGGCCGCGCATGCGGACTGTGAGGGCGCCGGAGAGCGGGATCGTGTATTCTGACATTTTCGAGGAGGAGGTCGACGGGGGCGATGGGGGAGGGGGGGTGGGCGTGCGTTGTTTGATGATGTAGATGTTTAGGAGGCGGGAGGTTATGAGGGCCGTTATGGCCGCTAGACCCCACCCTGCGTGTGGAAGATTGTCAGTCAGTAGCTTTACCAAAAGAGGCGATGAGGGGAGGGAGGTGTGTGAGCTCACAATCTCCCAGCAGAACCATCACCGTCAGCGCGGCGAGAGTAAGCAGCGGGCTGGCGAGATACAACAAGTGACTCCCGCGCTCAAACTCCCACTCCCCGTCATGCTCGAATGCCCTCCCCCTCCTCGTCCTCCTCTTCCTCGCCGCCACGGCCCCGACATCGAGCACGATAACCCTGCTCCCCTTTCCCTGCGCCTCGATCCCCCCCGCGCCCTTACTCTTCCTCATCTCCCTCTCCCTCGCCCTCCGATCCTCGACCCCCAGCCTCGAGAGGAACAACAACATCCCCGGGTTCGTGATCCTCACATTCTTCACCCCGCCGCCCGGCAGCGCCTCCGTGCCGAACAACCCCCCACCACCGCCGGCATTACCCCCGTCGAAAGCCTTGGAGGTCTCGGCGCTCGCGGCAGCTTCGCCCGCCACGACCCCGTCCGCGGCTTGTTGGTAGTGCAGCCCGGGCGCGAGGACGAGGCCGTCGAACCAGGAGGACGTCCCCGTGAGGGCGGTGCGGTGCGCGATGGTCTGCAGGTCCGCGAGGGCGACGAGGCCTGCTGCGGAGAGGGAGAGGGAGGGGATTGGTGTTTTGGGGAGGACGGGGAAGACCATCGCGACGACGGACGGATGGATCTGCGCGATCTGGCACCCCTCGAATAGCTTAAGCTTGAGAGAGAGGATGGGGTGAGAAGCTTATCTATAAAGTGTGTCGACTCGCTAGCTTCGATTACTTTAATTTAGAGTAGATGGGAGAAGCGAAGGAGCCCGCCCCGGCCGTTGGATGACGTGGTGTGTGGTCTAGCCATCCCGAGATGGTTGTCACGAGGTTCGATGTCTGAACGCCGCCGCCCCGGGTAAGAAATGTCTAACACAAAGTAGTATTCAAAAGAAAAAAAAGTTCCCGAACTCCAGATCGGATTCAGATCAGTCCAGCACACACACACACCCCTAGAAATCAATCTTCTTTATCAAAAGAGTCCGGATGACCTGCGGGCAGCAGGGTTGCATGCCTGCTCCCTGCGAAGCTGACTCACGCGATTACGTGCATGTGGTGGAGGGAAGTAAAATGTACGGGCAAGGTTGGGGCGCCAAAGGTAGGTTGGTCTCCGATGCTACCCCCACACGAGCTCATTCCGCGCTAAAGATGTGTTGGAGACCACCACCACCACCATAGCTCTCCAAATCCGAGATGGCCGGTGCCGATGCCGGCCGGCGCCGGGTGGGTCCGCTCCGGAGGCGAGACATGTCTTTCGCCGAGGCAGACCTCGAGGGGGTCCCGTGGGTATGAGTCTAGCTCCCAAAGCTATGAAGATTCAACGCTCGGAGCAAAACGCTTTTCGTTCTAAGTGATAAAAGTACTAGGATAAGTACCTGAGGGTGAGGTTTGCTTTTGTTTCTTTGCATCGCAGCCGTGCTTGGTTTTCCGAGTTGCTTTTCCGGGTAGATGTTGAGGTCTCATCGCATCCAATGGCGTCATTTATGCTCGAGACACCTATAAACCAGACTAGAGTTCCCTTTCACGTTGGCTATTCAGTTTGCTTCTGGGTTTCAGTGGCTCAGTCAAGAGAGTACGTATGACCCGGGTCGCCGTCGAGGGGATGCCGCCTTGGTAGTCCGCGGAATCAGGTTCTGCATGTGGGAATCTCACAGTTGTGTGATGTTATTGAATCTGCACCACCGGGCTCGAGGACAGAAGCCATCAACGATTTAGGGGTCAAATTCCTTGCCAGTTGACCGCATCTCAGGCAAAACAGAACATCAACAGGAAAATCAACGTGGCTTGCTGGTGATCATTCGAGAGGCCGAATCGGGAATTTCTTGACAAAATGGCACCGTTATCGCACAAGTGAAGCATTCTAAGGTAGGTATAATGGAGGGGAAATGGCGAGACTTCTTTGCGTCTGGAACTACATCCACCCATCTACCCAAATACCCAAATACCCAAACCCATATCCATATTCATAGTTTGGATATTTCCAAGCCCAGTTCGACTTAATTCCACGACGGAATCACATGAATGTCGGATATCTATTGCCAGCTGGCGAGCCGAGGATGTCTTTGGATTCTTCCATCATCTCATCGTCGTCGAGTTCCTACACAAAGACGAGATCTAGCACGCTACACGCATCGCACCGGGCACTTCTCCGTAGGCTCAATGCTGACTTGTTTCACTCCTCAGATCGAGGATTTTCCAGAGTGAATTTCACGAACGCTCACACTGTTCTGGAAATGAATTTGCGTCCACTCTGGCTAGAGAAGAAAATCCGAGCCGGCGTTCGGGGATACATGAGGCAATGCGGCAAAAGCTGGTCACCTAGCGATATTGTGTTACACAAAACTTCAAAAAAGAGAGCGATGATTTGGCAATATGTTCCATTCAAATATGTGTCGTCGAAATTAAATATCTACAAGATACAGTGCCTCACCTGGCATGCCGCTCTCACCACTCCAGAACAATGCTGTCCCAGATGAAGCCCCTCCACGTCGTGTTCCTCGTCAGCTGGAACGTCACCTCGTTATCACCCTTCTTCAGCAACGCGCCCGGAACCGGGAACTCAAAGTACCGCCACTCGCCGCCCATCGTCGCGCTGCGGTAGACCGACGGGTCGTTCAGCAGGCCCGAGGTCGAGTCCACGCCGACGGCGCCGCTGGTCAGGTTCCCGACCTGCTGGCCGTTGGCCAACACCACGCTGCTCGCGCCGGTCGAGTACCCGCCCAGCGAGACGATCAGATTCGCCGTCTCGGGCGCCGGGTCGGGCACGGCGTCGACGGCGAAGCGGATGGTGTAGTTGCCCTGGTGCGTCTGGCCGTAGCACCACTCGCTCTCGTCGGACTCGCCGACGACGAAGTCGATGTTGGCGGGGCACGAGGCGATGATGGCGTGGCCGAAGAAGGGGTCGCCGCCGTGAGTGAAGCCCAGCGACGTGCGGTCGAAGTCGCCGACCTGGAAGAGGCGCTTGCGCTTCGAGACGGCCCAGTTCAGGGTCCCCAGGTCCGTCGTCTTCTTGTCGGTGACGTTGACGTCGTTGAAGATGATGTGCGTCGTCACGTCCTTGAGCTCGCCGCCGGCGGACCACGCCTGCAGGGCGTAGCCCGCCTCGGCGACGCGGACGTGCGGGATCTCGAAGGCGCCCGAGGCGTCGGCGTAGGCCGTGTAGTAGTAGTCGGAGCCCATGTCGATGGCCGTCTTGTTGGGGTGGTTGTCGCCGAGGAAGACGGCGGCGCCGGCGGCGGGGCGGCCGTCGGAGAGGAGGAGCTTGCCCTTGATGGTGCCGCGGGCGTGGTAGGCGGCGTCGTCGAGCCAGGGGTAGGGCCAGGCGGCGAACTCGGAGGCGGCGCGGACCTCGGCATCGGACCGGGAGCCGTCGTTGAGGTACCACAGCCAGGGACCCCACATCTTGCCGACGGGGAAGACGTCGACGGCGGAGACCTGGAAGTGGGTGCCGTGGATCATGTTGAGCTGGACGGCGTCGCCGGTGGCGCTCTCGCGGTGGACCATGAGCTCCTGCTTGAGGTGGTTGCCGTTGTAGTAGTCCTTGCCGGCGTTGATGTACCAGCTGCCGACCTCGTCGCCGTAGACGCCGTAGTACTTCTGGGTGCGGATGAAGTCGGAGAAGTCGTACTTTGTGATGTACGACTTGCCGTCGGGCGCGAGCCAGGTCTCGTCCTGGACCTTGTTCTCGGGGAGGTAGTCGCTGAGAGTCGGGAGCTCCTTGTCGTGGAGGTCCGTCTTGCCTTTGGGGAAGGTGGTGTTGTCGAGGCGCCAGAGGGTGCGGAACTCGCCGAGTGTGGGCAGGTCGCGGTTGACGAAGTACTGGTAGGCGCCGGCGAGGCCCTGGAAGATGACCCAGTGGAAGTCGCCGTCGTTTGCGGTGAACTTGACGTCGATGAAGGGAGTGCCGTCGTGCGTGCCCTTGTGGGCTATGCTGGCGGACGACCAGGCGATGTCGTTTGCTGCGCCGTCTGGGATTTTTGTTAGTTTTGGCTCCTGGGAGTGGATAAGAGGGCGATGGACGTACTGTAGCTCACGTAGTGACCGACGGCGTTTCCGACCAGATCGCGGTCCTTGTAGTACAGCTTCACGCCGTACTTGAGGCCCTGCGTCATGTTCCAGACGTCATTGCCGATGATCCACGTCTGGTTGTTGACCTGCTTGAGGAAGGGCTCCGCCTTGGCCGGCGCGGCGAGCGCGTTGGAGGCGAGAGCCGTGAGGGCCGTGGCGAAGAATGCGGACCTCATCTTGTTGGCGAGGGAGTCGTCGACACTCAAGAACTGGGCACATCAACCATGACGGGCAGGCCTGGACGGTAGATAAATATTTCAGTCATTGATCTCGCGACTCAAGACCCCGAGGCTCCTACCCCGACCTCGACCCCAGATTACCCCAAATCAAGCATTGAGCCGCGTACCCGGCATTTTGGTGCCGTTCGCCTTGCTTCTCCTCACTTGACCCCTCGTGATTGACTCGAAGACGGGGGAAAAGGCAAGTGAGTAGGTAATTGGCGAGTAGCTGTTAGCTGAATTGGGCGCTGGAGGACGTCAGCGGTCAACGGCGACGCAGAAAGCAGGGTATTGCCCCGTTCTCCGCACTGGAGATGGAGCGAACGGCGGGCGGTGATGGGTGGAAAATACGACGGGTGCCTTCGTTTGCTTTCAGGCCTCGGGGGATTGGGAGATTGGAGAGGGCATCTAGCTTTTCGAGATCGCCAAGCCAACAGGTCTACCCCGACATGGATTACCCCGACTTCGGGGTACCAAGTGCCGAGGGATGGGTGAAAGAGTGATGCCTGAGCCGCCGTTCGACCTGCCGATTTGGGTTGAGTGGTGCTTGAGAAGCTTCCGGTCTGCCGGAGCATATAAAATACATGGAATCCGGAAACAATGGTCCTGAGCCACGGATTTGAAGCACTTGTAATCTTAGAGATCAGAGACAAGAAATGGAAGGGGTGATTGTCATGCGGATGAACGCTGTCACGTCAGTGTACATACATAGTAGGTGTTGGCAAGTCATTGGGAGATGGATTCTCTGCTATTTAGACTTGTTTGGGACGTTTCTTCCAGACTTGCTATTTTTTGTTTCGCTTGGCAGTATGAGCAACCAACTGTCGAGAATGAACGAGTCCTGCGTTTTACTCAAAGCCAAGAGACTTTCTCTCCTTGTCGGAAAATACTTATCACATCGGGTTTCTCGAGGCATCCAAGGGCAGAATGAATAACGAGTACTTCACAGAATGGAGAACATCATTGCAAACCCCAAAACAAAAAGATAGGCGCGATGATAAGGAAGGAAACGCATCTGCCAGATAGGAAAATACCAACCTCATTATGCAGTGTGTTGAACCTAGGTAGGTGGATTGGGTAATTCCAGCCCGGATGGACGGGATTCCATCCATGCAGCCTGCGGGAAGAAATCACCAGCCACAGTGTCATACTACACCAGCCACAAAGACTTCGTCGGGTGCGCCCCGACCAGTTTTGTGGGCCCGTTCCTTCCATCGTCCTCATTTTCATCATTGCAGAAGAATTATTCCTTGAAGGAAAAAAATGCATGAAAGACCAACGCTTCGGGATGTCGACTTCCGACAGAACGTCTTCCGAGACCTTTGTGGCCGACCGTTTTCGACCTCCCACGACGTCAAATTCAGCGCAACGCTCGCTGATGGCCTCTCCGGAATCGACGTTGTCTCAAGCCCAGAAATATGGCGCCGCCGCACTAACACCAACACCAGTGGCAACCGAGCTGATCATCTCAGACCCTTCAACAACGCACAGAGGACCCTTCAGCCTGGCTCCTTCCCCATCCGTGTCTCACGGAGCCATAGCTTGATCAGACGGACGGCAAAAACATGAGGCTCGAAGGCGCCAGAACGATGACATTTGGTCATCCGCCAGTGACCAGCCCGTCTGATGGATCCCACCGACGAGGCCCGGCGCCCGGGCTGTCAAAGGAACCAAAGACACGGCCGACTGCCCACCCGATGCGGCTCCCGTTCTTCGCCATGAACTGGCTCTGGGCCCTTCCCGAGATGCGATTTGCAAATACTGAGCCGCGGAGAAGCTATTCAGACTACGGCTTGCCCAGTGCCACACGCGGAGTCATCCGATGAATAAAGACAAAAAGAGAGTTGCGTTTTAGCGCAAGTTAGGATGGTCCCTGCAGGGGGATAACAACACCGGCGCCCTCCGCTGCCCGACTGGACTGAGGGGGCCATCGCAACCGATCGGACGCGAGGACGCGAACAGGTCTGAGCGACCGATCCAATCGCATGGAATATATTCGAATTTTACATCTCGACCTGCATAACAAATGCCTCAATTGATGAGCAGCGGACGGGGACCAGGGCGGCGCCAACGATGCCGCAATAAAGACATTGAGAGAAGGAAATTGCAGACATCGTTAGCCTCAACGTCAAAAGGACGATCCGTTGTCTCTTCCTCCTATTTTGGCCCCCATCCGATGGTACCCGTCCGGCGGATATGACCCTAAAATCAGCATTTACGCAGGTATATTCCGTATGACGTTAATCCTCCATCATCGACTGACTCGCGGCCAGGTAACCTCCAACGTCCAGCGCAAGCCCTATCCCAGTTGGAATGCACCAGATTGGCCAACACCATCGCCGGCTCAACTCCCGTTCAACATCAGATGCGTCCCCAGAAACTCCACTGGCGTTCGAGACGCGGCCGTTTTGCAGGTCTTGTGTGGAACGGCGCCTCGTTGCCGGTGCTGATGATCCCCCCTGGTTCTTGACCCCCAAATCTGAGGTCTGTGCCAAAGCTCGTTTGGCTCGTTTGGCTCGTCTGGCGGCGTCGCCCAACGAGGGAGCCCGCATTGTCCACCCACGTTGAGCTTGGCATTCCTCTTCTTGTTGCACGTGTGGGCGGCGCGCCCCTTTCAGACCCTACCCGTCCGAATCCCCCGTGCTCGTCGAGTCGTGGACGTGTGCCGAATCGATTTATCCTATCCTGTCAGCCTGAAGAATCCCTGGGCATTGACCCGTGCAAGTGGTTCTCGCTTCCGGCTCGCTTCACCCAATTGTTCAATCAGGAGAAGTTCATTCTTCCAGACGTAACGTTTCCTTATCGAGAGGCCCGCTTGACGCCATCAATTCCACGGCGACAACCACCCGACTGCACGCTGCATATTGCACGCACTACGCACTACACTGCAGTGCCGATCACTAGTTGACGCGCCTTGGAGCGAGCAGCCGGTATTAAACTCTAAACCCACGCTTGAGCTTTTCAGGGGGGAGACGCTGGACAAGGGCGACAGGGCTAGAGCCTAACAGTCTTGGGCTCGTTTTCCTTCTTTGCTTCAAGCCTGAGTGAGCAAGATCGACATCCATTTGATGGAGATACCCGCCCTCGCGCGTCCATCTTCAACATTGGGGGCATGTCATCGACCATCGCTTCTGAATCTGCCGCCTTCTTCCTTCGCCTATAATCCATCTGTCTGCCCAACCCAACCCCAACCCCCACGCCCCGTCAAACGTCACGCTCGTCCCGGTGCCTGGATTCTGGAAACCTCGTCTAGCTAGCTGCTGGCATCTTGCGCGACCAACGCTTTCCCTTCTCCGCGAATCACTTGTGCCAATCGCTATCCGTACAGCCTACGAGATACCCGTTCCCGCCGATCGAAAAACAGTTCCACATCCCCGCCCGCAGCTCGCCGTCTGTCTCTGTCTCTGCCCGCGTTCAGAGACAGGCTCTCGCTGGCAGACGTCGACCCAATGCGCCATGGACCTCGATGAAGACGCCAAGCCCAACCTGATGACATTGGACATGAGTGCAAACGCGAGCGTCAGGAGCGAATCTGTCAACCCGTACGACCCCATCGTACCACAGGGCCAGGCTGGGCCGAAGCCACCCATCAAGCGCAGAGCCCCAATCGCCTGCCGAAGGTTTGTCGCCATCACGACTCCGCCGCGTCTGCGAGGACACGAGAGCTGAAATGCTGCACAGATGTCGGCGAATGAGAAGCAAATGCATTCATGACAAGGCACAACCGCCGTGCAAGTCCTGCGCCGAAGCAGGCTTGGGGGCGGGTGACTGGTACCTAGATTGCCGATCGACGATCCTAGTTCAGCCTTGCAGCTAACCGGACGTAGTGTTTTTCCTCAGCGTGGCCAGCCGGACAACGACCGTGAATATCGGCACCCGCGCATGAGGGCCGAAAAGGCCGCCAAACGAGAATCCGACAAGGCACGACGCAATGCCTCCGACTCCGTACCCCGAGGCCCAGGTGCCGCTGCACTCCGGAAACCTGCCGACGAGTGGGACCTTCTCCCGCCACTTCCGGAAATCATCGATGCCGTCCACGTCTTCACGCGCAAGTACTTCCAGCTTGGCTTCATACCGAAGGAGCTGCTGCCTCAACAGCTGCACCGCGATCATCGTTCCGTCAGCGTCTTCCTTGTTCTTGGCATTCTCAGCGTCTCGGCTCGATTCTCGCCTGCCTTGACCGAGAGGTACGGTGGAGAGATCAAGGCTGTGGATTACTTTATGGAACGGGCCAGTAACCTAGCACTGAGCGAACTTTACCAGGAACCTACGCTGGAACGATGCCAGGCGTTCTATCTACTTAGTTTGGCTCAGCAGGGCAGCGGTTGGAGCCACCGTAGCTACGTGCGTTTTCTGGCAAGAGATGTAGTTGCACAGCTGACCTTTAGCAGATCAACATTGGCATCGCCACAAGAATGGCTGTACTGATGCACCTACACCGAGAGGAGTTCTACAAGATGAAGAATCCCACGAGGGAGATGATTATCAGAGCTGAATCTGCTAGGAGAACTTTGGTAAGCAAGTCGTGAACACCGGATGAGTGAAAACGCTAACGCCTTACAGTGGATGTTGCACAGTTCGTATTTATCGACTATCGCATGTTGGCCCTATTACTGACACCGTGACAGGCCAAGACAATCTTCATTGCGGTGCTCTGTCTCCCGTCTCGCTTGCCGCTAACGACATTACCGCCCTCCTCCCCAGTAACGAGGATGATTTCGCCAACGGTCGCGAGCCCTTTTCACGCGCGGCACTCGAAGACACGCCACCAGCGCGTGACAACCCGGCCTTGATCCATCAGCCGTCGCGATCTCTCTTCGCGAGCTTGATCCAAGCGCACTACTACTGGGGCAAGGTGGCGCGACGGGCGATGGCTACCATGAAAAGTGCCAACCCCTGGGACCCGACGAGCGAGTACGCAATTATGGCCAATCAGCTCAAGAATTGGGAACAGAAGCTGCCGTCGGATCATCGCTGGAGTATGGTTCTGCTCAAAGGGCACAAGACGGTTGGCGAGGATTTGGTGGGTTTTGCATCGGGAAATGCATGGTTCCTCGCTAACGGCTTAGGCCTACTTGGGAGTTACGATGATCACGAAACTCTGCAACATCGTCTTGAGGAGAGCATACTTGGACAAGTAGGTGACAGAATCTCGTGACACGTATCGCACACGTACTGACCAAATAGTATCATCAAAACCGGCGAGAAGGACCCTCAACGCCGAGCCTTCTTCTCCTCCATGTCAGACGACTTGTTCCGCAACGTACGAGAACTTTACGAGCAAGTCGATGCGCAGTTCAGCGTTAGGTCTTCCGAAGAAGGCGTGGGCGCTCAGATGGCGTCATTTTGCGTCTACAGTTGCGGTCTATTCTCGACTTACTTGGTCAAGTACAAGAATAGTAAGTTGCCGGGCCGGCTGCGTGTTACAGCACACATTCTGACGATACTAGTTTGCTCCGACAAGTCCATTGTAGCACAAGCACCCAACATGCTTCAGCGTTGCATGTCCATCCTTATCGAATCCAAACAAACATGGCCGCTAGCATCCAGATGGCTCGAATCTCTCGAGCGCTTTTCGCGTGACCCTAAGGCTGCTGCATACAGCCTTGAGGGCAGCATGGCTGATGGCGTATGTCTCTGTGTTATCTCGAACCTGAGCAATAACTGACTCGTGTTTAGAACGATCGTACCCTCCGGCCCTTGCATCCGTCGCCATCGACCTTCACCAAACCTCGTGCGGAAACTCCAAAGTACCAGCTTCCTGGCCCTCCACCAACGCCTCTAAACGAGAAGAAGCCGCCTCCTCTCCGCCACGCAAGTACCAGCAGCAGCACGTCCATTATTCTTCCTCCCCCGAGTCCATCTCCCAGCATCCAGCAGCAGCAGCATCAACAGCAACAGCATAATGCTTCTTTCCCGTTGCCGCCTCTGAACACGTCGCAGCAACCTCAGATGCATCAACAACACCACCTACAACCCCAACAGCACATGTCCCCCCAGCAAACCCCACAGCCGATGCACCAATTCCAACATCAGCACCAACCACCCCCGCTACAACAACGGAATCAGCCACAGCACCAATCTCTGCCACAGATGCAACCGATGCCTCCGGAGTTGCAGCAACACTTCTCCCCGACAATGTACACCACCCAGGCACCGCCGCCGTACAGCCCCAACAATGGCATGGGAATGCTCGTTCAGGCGGCCGCCTTCGACACCAACCCCATCGGCTCGCCCACGAACCCGTACGACCCGGCCGCTGTGGCAGCCGCCGCGGCGTTCTACTCCTCCCCGGGGTCCACCTCTATTACCCTGGGCCCCGGAACCGACGGTTTCGAGTGCGAGCTGCAAAGCTGGTTCGACGGCACGGCCCCGGTGCAGGCGAACAGCTGGATCGTCAACGGCGCCGCGGGGCTGGGCTGGTTCGGATCAAACTAAGTCCCATTTCGGGGGCCGTCTATATACCCTAACGTTTACAATACTAAATTAATATAAGAAAGATAAAGAGGAGGTCCTTCAGCAAGGAAAATAAGATTATTAGATCTACGAACGGATGGCGTCTTCAGACTGGGTTCCGCAACGACATGGCTATAGAGACAGGGTTATCTAGAGTTCGGAGCGGCGCGGGTTTCGGAAGCGAAAGCGAGATAGCGTCCTGGGCTTTTCACCCGGCCGTTTCCGAGGGCGTTTCGACCTTTTTTTGTTTTCTTTTATAGACGCAGGCGACAGGATACGTCGTGTAAGCCTGGGTCTTAGAGACGAGATACCAAAGTGAAATTCAGAGCCTTTCTTTCCATTTGTTTTTATGTCTGTCTCAGAGCCTCCCTCAAGTCTCGTATTGCACTGCAGGAGGCTGCGTCTTGAACATCGGCCTTTTGCATGCCTGAAATCAGGGCTTCTCGACGCTTGGGTTGCGTTCACTCCAGGGCGAATGTCGGGTTGCGCCTCCGCGTAGTACAACTTTTCATTCCTTTCAGGTAAGCGAGAGTAGTATTCCGAAGCCCCATCCACACATGTATTCGTCCCAGCAGGTATGGAGGGTCTATTTAAGCACCACTGAATCGGCTACGATGATCTCATGACACAGGTACGTGTTACGGTGGCGTTCCTCTTTCGCGAGAGATCTAGCGCTAGAGAAGATGCTGCGCAGTAGGGGCTAAGGTCAAGATGTGAGCAAGTGTGTTGTTATTTCTAAGCTAACTATGTTAGGCATTTTGTAGATAGGAAAATGAAAATGAATAAAATGAAAATGCAGGCATCCCAGGATAGGTACGTATATCCAGATCCCCAGATCTTCCGACCTCCGAAGTCACCTGATCACCCAGCGCTGCCTGGTTGTGTTCGCTTGACCGGTTGACTTTGGTGAGAAGGTTGTACAGTGAGTCTAACGGCTTGACGACGCCTCCCTCGGGGTTCTGTCGTAACCAGTTGTGAATACTCGGTTGGAGATGCCGAACGGCGACGGTGGATCGTGAGGTATTTGAGCTCGCAGGGAATGGGAGAAAGTGTAGACTTTGCTGCTGCGCAGGTGGTGAAGAATATCGAGGTTCCCACCTCTCCACCGACGGTTATGGCGCTCGTGCTCTTCCGTAGCCCTCATAATAAAGGCCATGAGAGATCTGAGGATCATTCCAGGGACTGGGAGTGGCCGGCTTTTATAAGAAAGTGGCGGATACAGGTCCCGGGCCCCGGCAGGGCTTTTGGCGTTGGTGTTGGACGGTACGCGTTGAGAAAAGGTGTGCGGTATAAGAGGCCAGATGGGATTCGGGATCCCGTTTTCCGGTAAAGAAGACGAGTCCGGCGTCAAAGAGGATCTCAAATTAAAGGCGCAGATGAAATGTTTGAAGTTTGAGGTGTTGACCAAGCCGGTTGATGCCCAGAAGTCCAACGTGTTCTCATGGACTCTGCAGGATCGCGAATCGTTTCGTCTCTCGTCATTCGCTCTCTCTGTGTACTTGTTGTTGTTTCCTGCTCTTATTCGCTGTCACGTCGGTGTTGGGGACGTAAACGTGTGGTGTGCCATCTTGGATTCAGAATCGGTATTTCGGAGGGCGATAGCATCGATCATTATTTGAGACAGACCTAATGTGGAAATTGACAGGTTGAGGACCATGGCGCAGTCTAGGTGAAAGAAAGCCACTATATATGCAGAATCACCGTCAATTATGCAGCTTTTCTCGACAATGAGACGGCGAAACTCGGATCCACGTCGTTTGTTAAATTCGGTTGGTAGGTGTGGCTGCGGAACGTATATAAGCAGCTGAGTGCTACTGACTTGAAACGACACCAATTTGATCCTCGCGATGAGTGATTACGGAAAGATGAGTGGGCTCGAGAGGGCTCGAAATAGCTTCGTCGTCTGACTCTGTGGGATGAGGCTCTCTGATCCAGCGCACAGGAGTCAAGCGACGTTCACTGTCTGCCATTACAAACACAACTTATACAGGGTCTTTGGAAGCATAGTGCATGAATATACGACTGAGAATGGAGAACCGGGACGAAACGACAACAACATCGCATCTCTGCTGATTCATGAGTTCCCAGTGTTGTCGGGACTAGACACAGTTATCAAACACGGCACATTCAAAGAAATGCAACACCACCAGCCAAGACTCCCGTAGGTGTAAAGCTTGGATCGAGCGGTATCACAACACACGCCGCGCCCTAATTTATATCACGGCCCCGTTCGTTGGAAGTACAGGATAAGATGTAGTGTAGCGATGTAGGGGCTATGCGCTACAAGCTCTTGCAGAACACAATTGAGGTACCCATATAAATGGAAGTGAGCACTATCATTGAACAGGACGGCGAACCACGCTAGATCCTCTTAGGTTTGTTTGTGCTTTTGATCTGTCTTCATGTGATAGTCTGCTACGCACTCCCACGGACGGTCTAGAAAGTGTTTGAAGCGGGGGAAGCTACCAAGCATACAACTTGCTTCCGTCTTCATCCTCCTCTGTCATCCGCGGTTGATTCTCCTTCGCGTGGAGCTTATTCACATCGGAGCAGAATGCGACCGTATGGCGGCAGGGCCATGTGGTGACAGTAGACTATCGTGTTCACAATCCACATAGACATTGGGAGAATCAATGGCTTGGAGTTCTTGGGGCTTACAACGAATGGTTGTCCTTGGTGTTTTCAAGCGATCTCTGTGCTCTACTTAAATACCACAATCTTTGAAGAGCAGTAACAGAGTCGATGCAATACCTGAGGGGCCTGACTTTGTGCCATAGGACTTGGGAAACTGAACTTCCTTGAATGCTTGGACCTACGCACGCTTCTGGTAGTTTCTCTATGGCCGCAGCCTTTTTGCGTTCGCGTCTTCTCTCTCGATGCTATGTCTTCTCCACAATTACGTGAGTCGAGACAGAATCAGCCAAAGTTCTTAAAGGCAACGGTCGTATCATGCATGATTTCCCTGGGGTCTCATCTCTAGCCATCCTCGTTTGATGTTTATTCACTTTCTCCATTGAACATTGCTATCTAAGACCTCGTTGCCGTTGATCTTGCTGATATGCGATCTCATGTGCCCTCATGGTTTAGGGTTCCCACAGAGGAAACATCTCTGAGAGGGCCCAAAGTCTCGCAGAGCAGACTGCCAGACGACATTGGTTGATACGAAGCAAGGCATAGTGTTGTTGGCGCCAGATCTTTATAGGACCCGACGTTCTAGATGTCACAATGCTCAACTGTCAGAATTTGCTGGACCAAGATCCTGATCTTTTCCACGCCATCAAAGGTGACTGAGCTATCCATCTCAAAAACAAGCAAACGACTGATTCCGCTCATCTCAGCTCAACACAACAGTTTATAACTTACAGCTATGTCTTGATCGAGTCAATGGTGACTTTGACATGTTTCAAGATCAGAGCCGCAGAACTATCCTTCCACTGCGTCGTGGTTTCGTCTGTTTGATAGAGACTCATGTCGAAGCGGTTGAAGAAGTTCGCGATGCAAAGATACATCTCGAGGTAACTGATGCTGTCAAGGGGTTAGCATGTAGCTTCGTACGCACTTGATTCAGACTGAAGACTTACTTCAACCCCAGGCATGCGCGAGGTCCTTTGCTGAAGGGGACGAACCACTTCTCTAGCTCCCATCCATCCGATCCCAGCCAACGCTCTGGGATGAACTTCTCTGGCTCATAGAACAAATCTGGATTGTGATGGATGATTCTGATGGCTTGAGACACAGTCGACTTTCCGAAATATTAGCGAGGAGATTACACAGCAATGTGTACTTTGAAATGAACTCACGCCTTCGGGGATGAAATGGCCGGCGACATGAGCGCCTCCAGAAGGGACTCTTCGGGGGAAGATGCCGGGGACCGGCGAAGACAGACGGAGAATCTCCTTGCAGACAGCAGCCTACGAACATGTTAGTATAGTGAGCCACCGAAACCTGAAGGAAGCACCTACCAAATAGGGCAAGCTGTGGATATCACGGTATTCAGAAAGACCGTCCTCATTGGTCTCCACCGTTCTCAGCTCATCGAGCATCTTCCCCAACTTGTCGGGATTCCTCAACAAATAATACGTCCCGAGACTAAGACCATAGCTTGTGGAATCAGTGCCCGCAAAGCAGAGCGCAAAAGCCTCGTCAACGAAGACATCTCGGCCCAGGCCGTGCAGCGTTGACGACTCCGCGCCGAGGAGGAGGTCGAAGTACGTCAGGCGGCCGTCCGAAGCGGTTTTGTTCCCTTTGGATTGCTTGTCTTCGATTTCTTGAATCCACACGGCGCATTGCTGTTGTAGATGTCACGTCAGACAAGAAGCTTTTCTGTGAGTGCTGGAGCTAGACTCACCTTGCGGAATGACGCGTATCCTGGCACCAACTTGGCCGCTAAGCTCATCGGCATATTCACGGCGAGCCAGTTCAGGATGGGGAGGTGCTTGGTGATGAGGAAGTTGTTTGCGAATTTGTCCATGACGTCTAGGAAGGGGGGCTCCTCTTCGTCGGAATCTACCAGGTTCATCTGTCTGTCGAATAGAACCGGCATGATGGTATCAACCTGAATGCTATTTAGCGCAGCCCTCCTTGTTTGACCGAGTACTTAATGAGGAGACTTACAGTGATAGCCTGATACAAGGCTTGAATATTCAGCGGAACACCTCTCTCGTAAGACCTTTGTGCTCTATCCATAGCCCTCTTGACAACGTCGAGAACCACCGGAGCTAATTGATGCATCTGTCCGGATGAAAAGAGAGACTTCACAGTATCTCGTCGTTGCTTGTGCTGCTGAGGGTCGATCAACATGATAATGGAGTACTTGATACCCCCTGCAGTCGTGAAGAAGTCTGGGTCCTTAAGATATTTGGTGCCTTTCCCATAAACCCTATGGACATGATTAGTTCATACATTCGAGAGTTCTGTTTGCACTGTCTATGCCTACTCACTCTCTGAAGTAGTTGGGATCGCTGACATGCACCCGACTGGGAGAGACTCGCACCACGGGTCCTGACACACAATGTCAGCACGACTTAACTGCTAGCAAGATGTCAGAATTTCTTACCATATTTAGAGTGAAGGCCGGGGTATTCTTTCACGAAGTGACCGTCCAGAATCACATCTTGGTAGAATTCATACCAGCCGGTGGCTGCAGCGTACCACGGCCCAGGAATATTTCTCAAGGGATGGAAAAACAGTCTGTAAGTCACAAGTCCAACAACGTACAGAAAACACCCAAGGAGTAGCATCTGCGTGCCGCTGATCGGTATGACGTTCAAGACGGAGTGTATTTTGGCCATGTTTGAGAGCTTGAAACGTGTAAGTGTAGTTCATTCGCAAAATACTCTGCGACGGACAGGAATATGTTGTCCAAGATATAAGTAAAATAATCACGAAACTTCCATAAGCTTCCCCTCTCGCACTGTTCGCCTCATTATTTGCGTCGATGGGACGCGGCCGTCTTTCCACGGTTAGCCTGCCGCAGGCCTGCGGCAAACGCGCATCATTCCGCAATACCAGCTCCACTCCAAACTGCAGGAGGATCTGTTGATAATGCGCCCGTTCTCCGCTTTCTGCCCTATTGTTCTTGGAAATAGGCTGAGTGATTGCCATTTGCGTCCGCCCTCGCATTGTGCTTGCACTCATTCAGCACCAACAAGTACGACAAAGCGCTTACTCGGTTCGCGTTCATTGGCTGGCTGCAGTTTCCGGATGACGATTGCGCCCCCCGCTCGCGGCCGGCGTAATTGCTTTTCTCGAAAGTTATAACTGACGGAGCTCGTCTATCGAGCCAACGAGGTGTGCGGCTTTCTGAGGCTCATGCGGGAGCACTGCCATGGAGGGGTTGCTTGCAGGCTGCCAAGTCGGCGGATGTCAAGTTTGCGGGCTGCTGAAAGACTAGCTGCAGTTGCTGAGATGTTCGTGAGGGTCGACATTCGTATCGTCCCGTAAATGGCATCATCAATTGTGACTCTGACTGAAACTTACAAGGATACCAAGCTATAATGAGCATAGCGTTTGGTATGACTATGCTTCTTAACGGGCTAGAGCATGTGATCATCCTGGCCCATCTGTGATCTGTCAGCCGACATCGAAATCGAGTTCGTGGACTCTTCATGCGAAAACCCCGAGATCTCTGCCTGTCTAAGGTTTTCCTTCAGGTTTCCGCTTTGATGTCTTCCGGGCGCGCGCCTCTGTGAGTAGACTGGGAAAGAACAGAACGGACATTGCTGTCTTCAGCTGCGATGTTCTCCCACGATAACTTAACATTTATACAAATGGATGTTGGTATCGAGGGGCTTCGTGATACTCTGAAAACCTAGATCCTCACGGCCAGTGACAAGAAGTCGAGATGGCGAATGTCGAATGGGTGACAAAGTCCCAATCGCGTCGGGAATTGAGTACCGTGTGGCTTTCTCTCTTCGATTCCGGTTGAATGGTGATCCCTATAAAACAAAACCCTAATTTGAGCTTCACCATGAAGGATATGCCAAGCTCAACCCTCGCGTCTCAACTGTTTGGTCGGCCCTTTCTCTTTGTCTTCGAGAAACTTTCGACACTCTACTACGTTGGTTCTTGTGCAGTGAAAATTGAGAAAATTGTCAGCCCAATATCAAATCAAACCAGATCTGCTGCTCGTCCGCGTACGTCATCTCATACGCATACAATGCGTATTCTTTGGGCATTGGATTGTTGACGAATAGGAGCTGTGCGATTGGTGTCATACTGCGAAATAGCAAAGGACTCAGACAGTGGTCATCGCGCCTTGAAGTGTTGTCCTAGACCAGAGCATACTGATGTGTTTCTGCCGGTCCTAAGTCCTCGTAGGAATCGTCTTCTTCACATAAAATTAGCAACCGGCAAGGCCAGGCGCTGCTGCCACCTTTCATCACACGTAAACGCGTCGCATACCAGTGACGATGATGATGATGCGCTGCTGAAGATCAAACCAAATCCAAGCTTGCCAGATCACTCAACTCTGCACAGGAAGGGGGATGAGGCCAGAGAGATTCACTTCAGTGTCAATCTTCTCACCAGAGAGGTCTGCGAATATGTGTCCGCCGGCAATCGCGGTGGTGACAGCGCAGCGTCATTACGCGGGCGGCTGCGGCGATATACTTCCATCTAATGACGGCTCGTATTTAAGAACGTGTCTTCAGACTTCCCTGATGGGGTTCTCAGGCAAGCATTGCACCGGCAGCCCGCTCTGAGCTGCCGTGGGAGCTCCGCTTCCGACAAAACGCAGTTATCTGAACCTTCGATCTTCTGCCGTTCGTGAATTTTGATGAGCTTATGAGACGCCGTTAGGTTGCAGCTGTTTTTATTCGTCGTCATCGTCGCCGTCTCTAATCTATTACGCGCATGATACAAGATACATCTTGCCAACTCAAAAAGCTGCAACACGGTATCTGCGTGACTTCATCGGCTCGCTCAGTTTTCTAATCAGTCTCAATTTTCAGAATAAGAGAACGGACAAGAAACCGCTTTCCTTCCATTCTGCTTCGTCGACGACTTTCGGCACCACTCGCCCGATGTAGTATAAGAGTTAAGAAGAGCACGAAGTGAAGTGCTGTTACCATTATCTAAAAGTTCTAAGAACAGGATAGGATGAACTGCTTGAAACTTTCCAGACCAACGACGACGATTCACATATATAAGAGTTGGAAAGTACCATGCAAGAGTTCTGCGCCGACCCCAAACCAGATAAGCTGTCCTAGTTGGTGTTCTCACCCAAACATGAAATTCAAAGGGGGCATCCCGTCGCGACATCATGTAAATCCGTGGCCTCCACGCGATATACCGAGTCAGATTGCGTTGCAAATTCATCTCTTACTCGCTCCCCCAGTTCAATATCATCTACGTCCCTCACCTCTCAAGTATTCACTCCGTATCAACCGCCAGACACCTGAAACAAGATCTCCACGACGCCCTCAACTGCCCATCGCTCTCGATCCCGCCAAAGTCTTAACACCTCAACTTTGCCTATGAAACTCTAGGAAATTAGACAAGAACAATAACACCAAAATCATGCAGGCGAAATCTCAAAACAAGGCCAACCCCTCAACACCCAGGCTTTAAATAACAGAAAGCCAGCCAGCATCTCGCTCGCGCAAATTCCATCCATGACCACTTCTTACGCCCTTGGCCTCTTATAAAACACGTCTCCTTCTGGTGATTCCGGAAGCCAGCAGCACGGCTAGCCGTTGTACTTGTCTTTCATTGATGGATGATCCGCTTGGTTTGTTACTCATGAACAGCCGGAAACTTCTTCAGAAGTTGGATCCAGCCGTGTAGCCACTTGAGCAACGATCAGATACTCACAGCCTCTCACCATCATCCTTGTCCTTCACCCCCTAATTATTCTCGCGTGTCATTGAATGAGCCAGGCTAAGTCTCACACTCGAGCAAGCGAGGCAAACCCCGGCACTGGCATGGGCTTCACCCAACCATAGCAGCCTTCTGAGCACACCATGTGCTGCACCCGGCGCCGCGACTCATCCTTGGCTTCTTCAAGGCGTCCGATCAAAACACATTTATATCGCCGAAGAGACCAACGGCTTGTCTTGGTAAGAAGCTATCACAGACATCAAAACAGCTGTTGGTTTCATAAGACAACCACCCTCCTGTCCTCCGGGGCCGTGATTCACAATGAATATAAATACGACATACCTCCGGCAATTGTTGTGAGAGAAACAAGCAAATGCAAGTCAGGTGTAGTCGGGCTTAATTCCCAGATTCTCAGCCTGGCCCAAAACCCCCATGGTTAACCGACTAAACCACTAACATCTCACGCTGAAGCACCCATCCAAGTACCCTCTCAAACGCACACAACTTATCATCCTCGGTATCCTTCACCCCGCAACTATCCCTACTATTCCCTCGTATACACGCATCCTCCGAGAAACCAACTTCATCCCCGCGGGGTTCAAGCGAGACATGGATGAAGATAGTCCATATCGTCAGCGGGCAATCTTGCCTCCATCAAGACCAAGATGTGGAAATCATACATTGGTGTGTTGGTCACAGGCCAGGTCATCTGCATTGTACGTATATTTATATACCCATTTCCAACTGGTTCTGAATGCTACGGGAGTATAAATGCAACAAACATCAAGCCAACATTGCCAGGAAAACCAGCAACTATGAAGCGTGCCCTCCGTCAGGCGGGCATTTCCGGGTCACCGGGGCTCTTAGCTGAGTTGATGCTAACCTTGACCACCGTCAACTACCGCACAAGCAAGCCATCGACACCTCACGATTGAATCAAGCCCTTTGCCAAACCCCCACATCTCCTCATCCAGGTCCTTCACTCCCCAACTATTCATTCGTATCCTTGAGTAGGCAACCCGACTCGAACCTTCCACCCGCATAGACTTATGTTATATCGACTTCATCTGGCTGGGGTGGGACCTTATTCAAACAAATGGATATTAAACGGTCAACTGGGACTGCTGCCAGCCAAGGCTTTCTTCCTAAGGCTGGTTGGTGGTTTACTGAGCTCGTACCGCGCCAGAATCCTTTTATTAGTCGCTTATGGTGACGTAGGACGATGAGAGGGCACGTTCATAGAGATGATTCGTAGTTCCCCGCTCAACGGGCAAACAGATTGCGTGCTGTGAGACCTTCGTCAGCCTTCTGAATAACCTCATGTACACGATACTCACCGCCTCTCGCAGACTCGCCTTCCCAAGAACTCCATTCCGGCAAGGGTATAAATAGACGGCTCCTCCAGCCATCATCGTGAGGGAAGCTAGCAATGTATACTCCGTCAAACTCTTTTCAATCCATCCGCGAGGTTCTCCTGTTCTGGGTTCAGAGAACAGATGCATCTTCATCACCCAAAGCCACCTTAACTCATACACACCACCACAGCCGCTCACCAAATCACAACCGTCCCCCTGCACCGTCCTCACCCATCACCCGTCGATAATCCCCCGTGTATACCCTCCCATCACCTCCCCGCCATCCCTGTCCCGTACTCCAGGACCACCCATGCATCCAGACACAAGACCGAATCCAACTCGCTCGTCCGAGAGAACAGACATCCCAAGCACTTCTGCAAACTGAAGTGCACTGGATTCGGCGCTGTCGCTGAAAGTTTCAATAACACACGCTCTCTTTTAAAGACTCCCCAAACGCCAGTTTCTTTCTCGTCGCTGTGTAACTGATATGCGTTTCGCCTGCCGGGATCAATTTACTTTGGCCTTAACCCAGAGTATAAATACAGCAAGCTGGTCCCTCACATAACACGGACAGCAGAAACATGAAACCTTTCATCAAGTGAAGTGTCAGGAAAGCAGATACCACATACCCTTAAAGTGCAAAGTTGTCTCTAGACAAACATCCAATCGCCGCCTATCACCAAATCACACGCCTCCCTCCCCATCATCACTACCATCCGTCATCCCTTGATAATCTCCGCGTATCCCCTCCCATCTCTTCCCATTTCACATCATCTCCATCTCAGAACCCCCTTAGATTGAGGTCAACTCCGGAACTAAACAACGCCCACAGTTATCAAGCTCATTGACTCGAAAGATGTCAAGCACCGATAACACTGTCCCGGAGCCGTCACTGAATCCATGATCTCACGATCCCTTATAAAGAACCCCCAGCGTAGTTCCATCAACTGAACTGCATGACACACAACGAACACCCCGAACACCCATCTGCCCAAGAAATCAAGCTCCTCCCGGCCGCGACACACCCCTTCGAGTATAAAAACCAACACGCCAATCCCTCAAATAGCACAACAACAGCAACACATCAAGCGTGCTGTTGCAGAACGACGATGGCACCCATGAAGCCAAGCACCCAATGTCGTCCCTCACAGAGTCATCAAAAGCGACACACCAAACATGCCTCAACCCCCATCCCCCTCCCTCCGCCACTTCCTCGAAACCCAAAATTTGTCCATAGTCCGTCACCGCCGTCGTCCCCCATCTCGTGTACATACATCCACGAATACGAACCGATGCACCTACGGAAGCTCTGCGATGGCGTTGGCTCTCAAGGAGGCGGTCCAGCTGCATAGCTCCCAATCCCCACGTGCAATATTGCTATTCAGGTTGAGCTGGAACATTTGTTTCCTATCATTTTGAGAACGGCGGATCTGACGCCCTTGGTTCCCCTTTTTATAGCTGGCGCATAGGGATTCTGAGTAGTATCACCGGAGATGTCTAGGCCCATGGAATCGTAGTTTGCGGACGAGCATGAAATCGATAACCTTCTGCTGACAAATATCGAGAGTCAGTGGTCTAGAATCTCTAATTCTAACACCACAACTGGCAACGACTTCACGAACATCACGTCAAAGCAATCACGGCCTCATGTGAAGGGGGCAAAACTCATTGAACTCTCTCCTACTGACTACCAAAGCATTGCGACACAAGGCCACTTGGCCCAGGCACACACTTGGAACTGTTTGCGCACTGTCCGCTTCCTCCGCTGTGGGACTCCCGTCTTTCCTCGCTTGCCCCTACACTCTCCTTTCTAGCCCACTGCGTCGGGCGTTTCTCGGAATCCCATCCACCGCGCGGTTGTCTTTCCCATGAGGGACATCCCGCCGAAATCGCAAACAGGTCTGGCCTAGAGCGTGTCCCTGACGAGGCGTTGCTCCTCCCTCTCGGTAACCCAAATCACTTGAAAGGGCTCTTCTTCCGAGAAAGGACGCGGCCGACTCCGATGTGTATTGACGTCGTTCGTTTCCCCGTCTCTCATTGCTCTCGTTTCCCAGTCGGAAGATGAAAATAAGCAAACTCCTGATTCCGTCTGAGGGAAACTCCTTCTACATGACTTTTAGGTCGCCAACGCGGTTCTATGCGAGGCGTACATGACAATGAGGACTCCCACCTTCTCTCTAATCCAGCCAACCGTTGCGAAAATCAAAGTCCAGAAGATACAGCCAAGGGGTAGGGGGTAAGTTGTGTAGTGTCATGATGTGAAGTGTGCCGGCAGGGGTATTGTTTGGTGATATTAGTCTTTGGGGATGTGTAAGGTGTCTATATACACGAGAGGGATCTCCGTGTTCGATGCAGTGTAGTGTCAAGATGTGGGCTGTGCTGTCTCCTAGTTTGACGCAGATCCGGGCTTCGATGAGGGGAAACCGGCTGCCCCAGGTTACGCGCCGGGCTCGGGGGATTGGTGTGGATAATCAAACATGTAGAAAGTAACAATCGGTTACTGCTGAGCAGCTCAGGTCTGGGCCATGACGCTGGCAGAGCCGCCAAGCTGGCGCTTGACCTGCTCCCGGGCCCAGCGGGCGGTTTCGGTAGTCCTCGGCTGGAAATCGCGGTTGCTCTTGGTCTCCTTGATGAGAGCCGCAAGCCAGTCCTGGCGGAAGATGTCGACGAGCTCGCCGTTGGGGTAGGCCTCGGCAAGGTCACCAATGACACCCATGGATGCCCTCATGAGAGCCTCGCTGCGGTTCATGTCGCTGGCAATGAGGTTCAACAGCTGGAAGATCGAAGGGACGTACTCCTGGAGAGCGGGGGCTGTCATGTGTTAGTGATGAACGTGGAAGTGGGGATTCATGCGACTTACTCTTGTTACCGGCCCTCATGGCACCAATAATGCCACCCCAGGCGTCCATGATACCCTCGCGCAGAGAGATGACGTAGTCGTACATCTCGTACGGGCCCTCGGGACCGGCGTTAACGGTCGCGGCCTGTTGCAGGACCTGGGCGATGACGGACAGGTAGGTCTCGAAGTGGCCGCCAATGGCGCCAGCAATGTCGCCGAAGCACTGCAGGATGGCGGGCTTGAACTGGTTGCTGAGATTGGGGCTCTTCAGGTTGTGCAGCAAGTGGTTCATGAAGTTGTCGCAGTACGGCTGGCTGCGCTCGCCCAAGCTGCGGGTCAGGTCACTGACAAGACCGATAGCCATGGCGCAGAGACTGGGCTCCTCCTGGTTGCCGAGGGCGTTGTAGAGGAAGGGAGTGAAAGCCTCCATGTACTTGGAGAAGTCCTCCTCCATGGCGTTGGCGAGAGCGCTGATGGTGGCGAAGACGGCGTCGGGAACGCTGGACTTGCCGCCGACGGTGCTGAGGATCTGGAGCAGGGTCTGCATGATGCGGTCGCCCTGAGGGATGATCTCCTTGTCCAACCTCTGGATGATGGCCTGGAGAACCGTGCACAAGCTCGACTGCATCTCCTCGAGCATGATCCTATCCTCGACACTGACGACTTGGCTCTGCATGGGGACAGTGTTTTCAAGACGCTCGATGATGACTGAAGACAGGGTGGCAATGGACTGCATGCTCTCCGAGGCGGCGTTCTGAACGAAGACGTTGAGGACCTCGTACGCGGCGGTGCGGACGTAGGCGTCGCAATCGGGACGGGTGGTCAGGGCGAGGAGGTTCGTGACGCTCTGGTTGAAGTGAGGGGTGAGCGGGTTCTGGGCGGCGCCGAGGTCGCCGGAGAAGCGCTCCGCCAGGTTCATCAGAGCCCAGCAGCAAGAAGAGGCTATCTTGACATTGCTCATGAGGCCGTTGAACAGGGAGCGGATGAGAGGGTCGAGGTGCTGGTTGGGGTCGATGCTACCAAAGACGTGCTCGGTGATGCGACCAAGGGCGTAGGCGGTAGAGTCCTTGACATGGAGGGAGCTGTCGTCCATCATGCCGATGAGAATAGGAAGAGCCTGCTTGACGATGGGGTCGAGGACCTTCTCGTCGGGTCCCTCCATGATGGCGCCGAAAGCAGAAACGGCGGCATCACGGTGGTGCCAGTCTTCGGCGCGGAGGTTGCCCTCGACGAACTGGAGAACGGGGGCAATGATGGCGGCATTGATGGCGCCGGCGTAGAGGACGAGACATTGGTAGGCGGCACGGGCCAGGTTGTACTCGTCATCGGCGGCATCCTCGTCCTGCTTGGTCAGAAGCATAAGGAGGACGGGGACAACTTCGTTGGCAGCTACGCGAGCGAAGTTGTAGAAGGGGCGCATCTGGTCGGAGCTCTCAACCTAAAGAGAACGTCGTCAGTGTGGGGCATTTCAAGCGAGAAAAATCGGTTCAGCCTTACCATGGAGTTGTCGTCCTCGATAGCAATCTCCTCCTCGCAGACTGTGCTCCAGAACTCGACGGCCAACTTGGCGACATCCTCGTCCGAAGACTTCATGCCCAGAATGGTCAGACCGAACAGGGCCTTCTCCATGTAGAAGCGCATGTTGTCGTAGTAGAGGTTCATGATGCGGTTCAGGCAGCCGAAAGCGCCCTGCTGTATCCGGGAGTCGTCGGCCTGGGTGGCCTCGCAGACGACCTGCATGATGTAGTTGCGCTCGCCCTCATGCTTGAAGTTGTTGCCGACGAACTCGAGCGAGTCACCCAAAGCGGTAATAGCGGCCAGGCGAACCTCGAGACTCGTCTCCTCCTTGCGGGCACCCTGGACGACGGCGGTCAAGATGGCGTTGGAGTGGGCAATGAGAGCGGTGCGCAGATCGGGATCTTGGCTTTCGCAGATGTAACCGATCGTGGTAAGGGATGCCTGCTTCTGGTGCTCGGCGCCGTCGCTGACGTTCTTGACGAGGGTGCTCATCAAGTCTCCCCACTGGCCCCTGGGCAGTTCGAGTCCGGCGATGGAGGAGATGACTTGGGCGGCGGCCTGGCCGGCCTGGGAGTTGGTCGAGGCGAGCGTTTGCAGGGTCAAGTTCTTGACCTGGGTCTTTGTCTCGTCATCGGTCTGCTGAAGCCATTTTGCCTGGAGCTCCTGGTGGCGGTTGAAGTCACGGGCGGTGAAGGCGTTCTTGAGGGCGAGACCGGCAGCGGCACGGATGGAACCATCGGCGCTGTCGTTTGCGAGTTCTTGAACGAGGGTTGCGAGGTATAGCGGCTGTTGTGCGGGCGGACTTGGTTAGCAAAAACTTGCGAGGCAACGGTGGGGGGAGGGAGGGGGGCGAGGGACTCGGTCTCCCGAAGCGGGCGGGCACGTACGAAGTTGTTCTCGGCGGCTTGTGTGAGTTGCTGCTCGGCAGCATTGCGCAAGTTCGCGTCTGTTCAAGAAGTGTCAGCCTCGTCATCGTCATCATCGGTACGCCGTGAGGTTGGCGATGCGCGTTGGGGGAAGCGGTCGTGGGAGAGCAAGGTCTGTCTCATCGCTGTGGCGACCAGGGGAGTGGGTTTCTCTGGCGGTGCCGGCGAGGGGGGAAAACAGCAGAGCGCAGAGAGAGTGAGAGGCGGAGGGAAAGGAGGGCGACGATGCAACTTACCAGGCGACAGCGAATTGGCCAAAACCTGGTTGATCTCTGAGCCCGACATGGTTGCCGCTCAATGTGATGTGTAGTTGGAGGTGTATGGCCGAGCCAGTGCCAGTGTTGAGATGTAGTAGGTCAAGTTCGGAGGGGGGGGCTCGTTGACAGGTTGCACGTGTCAGGAGGTGGGAGAAAAAGGGTTCAACAAGGCACCGCACCGGGGGTCAGCACGGTAGACGCGGGGGGTTGTGTGTGTGTGTTTTTTTCTACTGCGGCGGCGGTCTGAGAGAAGGTTCAGAGGTCGCGCGGTGAAGGGCGGGCGTCGGCTGCCAAGGATGGTTGCGTATGTTTTGTTTGGTGGTAGAAAGAAGCGAGTGGGAGGGTGAGAGAGAGATGGAAGAGAAGAGGAAGACCGAACGGCGGAGAGAGAGAGAATGTGTGTGATGAGAGAGGGAGAGAGAGTCGTCGCTCTGTGGTATCCGTATTAAAAACAATGAGTCTTGTCGAAGCGACTACGACACGACGGGGTCTTTTTTTTTTTTGGTGGGAGGGGCAAGTTAGGTAGGTATTAGAGTTGCGTACCGGTTAAGGAAAAGAAATTGAATCGCAACAACAACAGAGGAGAAAAGTTGCGAGTAATGTTGGTTTTTCTTGGTCTTCAGTTTTCCTCAAGGGTGGGAGAGGAGAGAGAGAGAAAAAAATAAAATAAAAACACAAGAGCGGGACGTTGGCAGGCGAGAGGTTCTTGACGATCAAAACCTGCTCTCAGTGGTCCGTTTCTACGACTTCTAGCAGGTGCTCTTCTGTGTCTGCGGGAGAAACAGCAGCGGCGGGCAACAATGTGGGTGAGGTGCAGGCAGCTCAGCGATAGCGGCACTGGACCTCAGCCTGATGCTGCTGCTGCCGCTGCTGCTGCTGGCTGGAGGTACGCTGCACTTGGCGATGGATGTACCGCAGTACTTTTCTCGCTTAGGTTCCCGGTTCTCCAGGCGGCAGCAGGAAGGTGCCGTGCTTGCGTGCCTCCCCGTCCGTCACTCTTCCACCGTCCGGGTCTCTTCCCTTTGGCAGGCACCGCAGGCAAGACGCTGCTGAGACCAATACAGTGCGTCGTTTGAAATGCCTGGGAACATCCGAGCCGCCTCTCCAATCCCTTCCCCTTCCAGTGTCCCGGGGGGCGTAAAAGTCTGTCCAGTGTCTCGCAGCCTGGGCTGGGTTAGGTACCTAAAGAGTGGAGACCGTAAAAGGGCGTTAAAATGAGTGTGGGGAAGGAAGAGAGAGATTCTGATGCAAAAAACCGAGGAGGGGTCATTCATGTTTCTATCTGCTTCTATGAAGACGGCCTGCACCTCTCACTTCTTTTGATGCCATGTCCCTGACAGAGAAACAATAGTCACTGAGACCGGTTCACTGAGAAAGTCTCTCTCTCTTCGTATTGATATCATTTCATATGCTTCGCGTCAAGACACAGACAGACTCAGGCGACGACCCAACGTCAACAACCTGCAGAAAATGCTGGATGCGGGCCACCATTGTCATTGTTTTTTCCTTTCCTAATGCGGCATCTCCATTTGGCACCCATCTCAGCGCACAGTGTAAAGCCCGGACCACAATCTCAGATACGTACCGCCCCGTCCTCCCTGAACGACTCGCCCGCTACATCTTCATCTCGAAGAACCCCGTTCGCCACCCAATCACTGCCTGAATCACAAGTACCTTCCGATCAGGTTTTATTTTATGCAAAGTGCCTTACCTCCCCCCACCGCCTTCATCTCACCCAACCGGTACAAGACAACCACCAACCCCACACAAAGGCGAAAAAGACGCCCGTCAAGTTGCCAGTTTGCCAGTGTCAGCCATCGCTCGGGCTGCCCGTTGCTGCTGTCTCGGCGCAGCAGGCGCGCAGGATGCGTAAATTGAAAATGCGATGTCTCTGAACATGATAAAAACCCAGCTTTTCTGGCCATCTCGAACGAGACAAATGAAAACTGCTCCTCGTTTGGCAAAGAAGACGGGAAAACACCTGAGCCAGGCGCTCGTCTCAACCCGTCTCCTAGAAGCGGGTGTCTTGGTCCGTGGACAAGGCATGAGCTAACCTGGAAGCTTGAGACGAGCCGCCGCCCTCCCGCCCGCGGTGCCTGCTCTCGCCTGCCTTTCTCACCCTACCCAGAGAGCAATGCGTAAGGCTGGCTGCCCTTTGCCTGCCTGAGGGGAGGGGGTTTGGGGTGACAGCAGTCAGCATCCGAGCCCCCTCACCCCCGAGTCAGACGTCATCTTTGTGACGTTCCCAGGCAGCCGGAGCCGAGCGTCTCGATCTGGATCGCAATTATGGAATACGATGCTCATACGACGCAAAACACCGCTATCCTTCAATATTTGACAGCCAGACAAACCAACTCCAGTTTTGACAGTGTTGTTCATTCGTTCATTGTAGACAAGCCCGTCCAACATACATACAACTATCGGGCCATGCAAAACACCCGGCCCCAACTGACACGACATTCATGCTGGATAATCGCCCTCCTCGTTTCCCTTTTTGATGTCACTGAAAATGCATATCAACCACAAAACTTTTATTTTCGTGTCCAAATCGTCACCACACCCACAGGCCTCTTACATGCCGTTCGCCTTCTCCTCCAGGGCCGCGACGATGCTGGGGGTCTCGTGAGACGCGCCGTTGGTTCCGTTGGTTTCCTGGAGGTCCAGCTCCTGGCTCAGAGATCTTTCCGGGATGGGCTTGGCGAGGATCGGGCTTCCGGGGCGGCTGCCGACGAACTGAAGAACACACTCTGTTAGCTTCGTACATACTGCGATGACTTCGGGTCGCTTACGTTGCTGGCCGCGCTCAGAAGAGCGATCAGAGAACTCTGGACGACGTCCTCATGGATACCGATACCCCAGAACTTCTGGTTGGTGCCGGTCGCCGTGCACTCGATGTACGTAGCAGCCTTGACATGGCGACCGGCACCGATGGCGTGCTCCTTGTAGTCCTCGACATCGAGGGTGACGCCGACGCTCTTGAGGGCGTTGGCCAAGCTGGAGATGGGACCGTTTCCGCGGCCGCGCAGCTTGTACTCCCTGCCGTCGATCGCGACGACACCCTCGAACACTCTCTTGAGGTTCTTGGTGTCCTGCGTCTTGCCGGGCGCGGGCGGCGCCGGGCTCTGCGAGCGGTCCGGCGCGATACTGTAGTCCACGATGGTGAACCGCGGGTTCTCGCGCAGGTAGTATGTCTGCTCGAACAGCTCCGCGATCTCCTCTGACAGAAGCTCCCGGCCGAGCTGGTCCGCCTTCTCCTGCACGACCTTTGAGAAGGCGACTTGCAGACCACGCGGCAGGTCGAGCTGTAGCTTGCGCAGGATGATCCAGGCGGCACCGCCCTTGCCGGACTGCGAGTTGACGCGGATGATGGCCTCGTAGGTGCGGCCGATGTCGGTGGGGTCGAGGGGGAGGTAGGGGACCTGCCAGCGATCCTCGTTCTTCTTGCCCTCCTTCTCGCGGACCTGGAAGCCCTTCTTGATGGCGTCCTGGTGCGAGCCCGAAAAGGCGCATACGACGAGGGAGCCGCCGTAGGGCGCGCGGGGGTGGACCGGGATCTTGTTGCACTCCTCGACCACGTCGATGACGCGGCTGAGCTCGGAGAAGTCCACGTTGGGGTGGATTCCCTGTGTGTAGAGGTTCAGGGCGAGAGTCACGAGATCGACGTTACCCGTCCTCTCGCCGTTGCCGAACAGGCAACCCTCTACTCTGTCGGCGCCGGCCATCTGCGAGAGTTCTGACGCGGCGACCGCGCAGCCGCGGTCGTTGTGGCAGTGTACCGAGACGGCGATCTTCTCGCGCTCGGTGACGTGGGTGCAGAAGTACTCGACCTGGTCGGCGAAGACGTTGGGCGTGGCCATCTCGACGGTCGCGGGGAGGTTGAAGATGATGGGAACCTCGGCTGAGGGCTCCCAGGCGGCCTTGACGGCCTCGCAGATACGGACGACGAACTCTGGGGAGGTATCGGAGAAGGTCTCGGGGGAGAACTCGAACTGCCAGTTGGTGCCGGACTGGGAGGGGTCGTCCTTGGTCAGGGAGCGGACGTACTTGGCGCAGCGGACGGCGAGCTCGACGCTCTCGTCTTCGGAGAATCCGAAAATCACTTTCCTAAAGCACTCTGATGTGGCGAGGTAGATGTGAACAATGGCGTTCTTCGCGCCCTTGAGGGACTCTACCGTCCTCTTGATGAGGTCCTCGCGGCAGGGGGCGAGGACCTGGAGGTATACATCGTCGGGGACGGCGCCGGGGGTCTCGATGAGGCGGCGCGTGAAGTCGAAGTCTGTCTGGGAGGCAGAGGGGAAGGAGACCTCAATCTCCTTGTAGCCCAGGTCGCACAGCATCTTGAAGTAGCGCCACTTCTCCTCGCCGTTCTGTTATTCGAGACACAACGTTAGCGCCCCTGTCGTGACGATTCGGAGAGAAGGAGGAAGACGTGCCATGGGGTCGATCAACGATTGATTGCCATCGCGCAGATCCGTAGAGAGCCACCTGCGAGTCGTCAGCTTTGATCCCGTCGTAGGTCTCTAGAAGCCGTGGTCTGTGGTTCCCATCGCCAGTCCATAGAGAGACGAGGTACTGAACCCCTCCGGGGCCAAGCAACAAAAGATAGAGAGCGACCTACCTAGGCGGCTTGTCCAAGGTCTTGTCCGGCCATTGGCGGTTGGCAAGCTTGAGGGGAGGGAAAGGTTTGTATTTCGTCGACGGGTCCTTGAGCCTGCGTGCAAGAAGCAAATCGTCAGCACCAAGTTCAGAGGAAATAGTGTCGCACACACGATCGCGACGACCAAAACGACCAAGAAGAACCCCCTTGACGTCCACACGGTCTCCAGAATAGCCGTCGGGGGTCTCATCGAGGTCTGGTCGTCCATTGAGTCGAGTCGAGTCACCTACATCGGCATCTTGGGCTTGGTCGTCGCGGTGCGGGGCAGATTCGTGGAGGTGTAAGTAGGAGCGGATCTCTTTTTTTCCCTCGTCGGGCAATGGCGTCACTCGTTGTAAATAGAAGATTGACCTGCTGGAGGAAGAAGCAATTGAGATCCAGGCAGGATATGGGGTATTTGTATATGGTCGTCGAGAATCAAGAGAAGGGATCGAGAAGGGGATCAAGATCAGGAAAGGAAAAAAAAATTGAGTCACACAGAGTTCAGTCGCAAAGCGTCGGGCTACGAAGTCGGGACCCCTCCTCCTCCTCCATCCACCAAAGCAGAGAAGAAAAAAAAAACGGCTGCCACGGGCGGCAGAGGTACGTACACTACGTAACCTTTTCCCATCAAATCAACTCGAACCTCTCTCCTTCCCCGGTTTCACGCCATTCGCTGGGAGCTTGCATTTCAGGAGTCAATAAGCCCGGGATCTCGCAGGCAAGGTTCCCGGTCGATTCCAGCACTTCCCATTTGTTCCGCGCCGGCCTGTATGTGCGGGTTGACGCTTCACTGGCTGCCATTGGAACAGGACGACTATCAATTCAGATACCGCCACTTCTTGTGCCTTACTGCCTTCCCGCGATCGCTGCCGTTACGCAGGGCGCAAAAGACGGACAGAGTTGATTCATTCTTCTTCCAAAAACCCCCCTCCCTCTTCTCCAAATTCAATGCCATCGAGTGGAGTCACCCCACGCCCTACAGGATTGACATACGGCGATACTGATTGGCTCCAGGCCGCGCAATGGCCGGCTGCGGATGGCGGGGTTGCACCCAGCGTGCGATCGTCACCTTTTCGCCTTGCTTTTTTGCACACAGAATGGCGCGAGGGGCATGCGTGCAGTACTTCGTAGACCCCGACGGAGTTCTCGTCTTGAGTCTTCGAATGATACATGTTTGTGAGAAACCAATGACGAGAGCGAACGGTTATTATTCGGCCTGAGCTCAGCTTTCGTTCGCAACCTCTCAGAACAAACCTCCTCCGTCTGATCTGACCAGGACCAAAGCTGAAGAGTCAAACTGACTCGAAGCTCATCAACAGCTTAGTCACAGAATTCCTCCCCAAGCCCACTCTTCACAAATTGAAAAAAACGATGCTATCCCGTCACTGGGAGAGATGTCATGGACCAGTCACCCAAATATGCCGACCTTAGCCGCACCTCCCCCTTCCGAACATCGGCCCCTCGAAACTCGTCCAAGTTTTCCGCCCGTATCGAACGGGCCCCGGAGAGTGGGTCCAACTCCGCCGATGACCGGCCGGACACTGGATGAGGTAAGGTGCCTAACCTCGCAATCGCAACGTCGTGGGTCCGCGCAAACCGTTCAGTCATCGATTCTCTGTGACTTGCTGGCTGCGTTGCGCTTCACCGCGGGATTCACACGTCTTCCCCACGATCGATTGAAGGAGGCTGGATCCGGGTCCCCATCGTTCAACCTATCTTCCAATGGCGAAGCGTGTATTTGACGACTGGCCTTTGCACGTCCAACCCCGGCACCAGGGCTGTGACGCCGACGATTGCCGTCGGTGGGAGCTCGCGCGGCGTCCTTCTTGCTCAGGTCTTGGTTTATACACCTCTCCCGCAAAAATTGGATATCCAGAGCCTCTTGGGCAATGTTCCTCCGATGAAAGATCTGAGCCAAAACATCGTCACTTAGGGCTCAGAGGAGACAGTTGCAACTTTTTTACATTTAAGCCACTCATGCAGAATCTCCGAACATCACACCGGGCGGCGCTAAAGAAAGCAATTTCTGTGCTATCATATTTAGAAATAGCAGGGCCCTACCGCTCTCTCTATTCCGCTCCCCTGCTCGGCTCATAGACGATGAGGCTGAAGACCCGATCATGAGTCACCTTCAACACAGGACGGGCCGCTAGCACGATGTCATACTCAATCCGACCTCTGCCCATACCCCCAACATGATATCACAATAGACCAAGTTTCAGTTTCTACACATCCTTATAAAGCAACAGGTCCCAACCTCAACCTACCACCGCAGAACAAATATGATCAAGTCGCTCAGGTGGGTGATCCCATCACCTGTGTGGGATCACTCGGCTGTGGAAACCTTCGCGGGTTCCCGTGACTCACAGTATACTATCATTGCCGTTTTCAACTGTACAAAATGCACCGCCAAATGCGAGGGAAAGCTTCATTGCACATCCTCATCTAGCCCTGGTGAGCCTCCCCCCCCCTCTGACGTTAGCCGGGGATGACTGAGTCACTTCACTGTCGCGTGTCTCACTCGTCGGCCCGTCCCTCAAGTCCACCGCTCAACGACGGACGGTTGCAGACTGACTCACAAACAACATCACAATCACGCAGACATCAACATCCCCTCCCAGACATCCATCTCCCTCAAGCACCCCACTCAGCACATCACAATCATACCAACTCCAACCTCACCTCCTCCCAACGTCTTCCTCCACATTACAATCACAATCACAGAGAGCAGTTAAGGGACCAATGCAAGTGTTCTGAAATCCGATTTAGACGGTCTTCGTCTCGTCTATCCTTCTATCTTCGTGACGGGTATGTGATATGTACAGGTCAACATACATCAAAACCCCTCTGCTTTGTCTCGCAGCGGGAAAACGATGTAGGTGATTGGCTTTCCTCCCCCGAGGGAGAGCAGCCGGGATATATACGTTCCAACAATTAGACAGAAACCCCTTGGAAAATAAGGGAAAACAACAAGAGATGCGGAGGCGGACAGAGCGGTCAGGAAGAGAGACAAGAAGCCCGGAGACCTCCCACCACCATCATCATGCCGATGCCCCAAAAAGAGGTGTTGGTATGAGGGAGAAATATGTACAACATGAAAAGAAAAGGTTTCTGAAGCGAGCCCAATTATGACGGAAAAGGCAAATCGGCCGTTAGAAAGCGTCGTCACCTCACAAAAAAGACGAAGAAAACACCGCCGCTTTTTATCCCCCCCTTTCTTAATGAAAAAAAGAAGTCGCTTGGTACCGTTGACGCCCAAAGATGATCCCATGTTTTGTCTCGCGCGAATAAAGACGGAGCGAGAGGGGGGTATTACCACGTGAAACTCTCCTCGACAAAGTCCACCACTGTGCCTTCGCCCTGCACCTCTCTCACCGCAGACCGCACGTCGTCAGCCAGGGCGCCCGGTCCGCAGATGGTCACGCACATGGCGCCCACCTGCTCTGAGACCTCGCGCTTCATAAGCAGCGGGATGTTGGGGCGGCCGGGGAACATCTGGACTGTTGTGGAGGCGGAGACGATCTGCTGGGAGTTCTGGGGACGGGTGATGTAGAGCTGGATGCGGAGGATGTCCTTGCGGTTGGGGAGGCGGAGGACGGTGTCCATCCAGGGGCGAACCCACTCGAGGGCCTCGTAGTCGCGGACGATCCAGACGAGGGTGATGCGGCGGGTGGCAACGCTGCCATTGTTGTAGCCGTCGATGAGGGGCTTGAGGTAGGAGATCTGGTGGGTGATGCCGGTAGCGCCGGCGAAGAGGACGGCGTGGCCGTACGAGTCCAGGGAGTGGTGGCCGGCGTAGGGGCCCTCGAGGCAGGCTCTCATGCGGATGGCGCGGTCGCCGCTCTGGCGCGCGACGTTGTACAGGTCGCGGGTGAAGCCCTTGTGGGCGCCGATGATGAAGGAGATGGAGGTGGTGGAGTTCTTCTTGTCGACGGCGGTGAGGGTGTTCTTCTCCTCGTCGAGGGGCATGGAGCGGTGGTCGGGGATGTGCTCGACCCAGGCGACAGAGAAGGGGTGGCAGTCCCAGGGGCGAATGTCCTTGAAGCGGAGGTAGCAGTGGGTGCCGGGCTTGACGTCGACGTAGCGAGGGAGGTTGATGGTGACGCGGGTGGTCTCGCCGGGGCACGCTTCGACGATGGCATCAGAGACGCCACGGTCCGACCAGTTCATGTAGGCGACGCGGACAATGCGGGCCATGCGCTCGAGGAACCAGAGGATGAAGATGGCGATCATCCAGGGGAGCTGGGGCAGGCCACCGGGGAGACCGGCGACGGCGCAGTGGATGTAGGTCATGAGGAAGATGAAGAAGGCGAGGATGATGTGGACGTTGAGGAAGATCTCGTAGAAGGCGTGGCGGACCGGCGAGACGGACAGGACCATGATGACCACGAGGGCGATGGTGCCGGCCATACCGGAGCCGATGAAGAGCTCGTTCGACATGCGGTGCCAGACGCCGTCCCATCCGCTGTCGGCGACCTGGACGATCATCCAGGCGATGGTGTGGAGAACGGCCTCGATGACGGACATGCGGCCGACCCATCGGTGGAGAAGGTTGTAGGTGTCGAAGCTGACGTGGAGCCAGCCGATGAGCGGGTTGTTGCGGCCGGCGAGGATGATCAGCGGGACCATGTTGACGACGGAGAGGGTTCCGGAACGGCCACGGAGCTCGGCGCAGAAGGAGTAGATGTTCTTGTTCTCCCAGTTCAGGAAGAACATGTAGACCATGTTGCTGGCGATGTAGATGAAGAGGATCAAGCTGTGCATGCGAGAAGGGAGCGTGCCGACGCCGATGTTGGACACTTTGATTTCCTTGTTGTGACGCTTGTTCCAGAGGGGCGCGTACATGAGGTTCTTCTTGAGACTGGGCATCCAGCTCCACTGCGTCACCTTCCAGTAGTGTTGCCTGTCGCCATCAACGCTCATAGCTGATACATGGCGAAGCTGGGCCCAGAGGATGCGGCTGATGGTGATGAAGAGGACGATGACGGCGGCGCCTCCGAATGTGAGCCAAAGGGTATCCTTGAACAGCATGTTCACGGGCTGGTTCACGCCAGCCAGGTCGGAGTGGTAGGGAGAGATGGTCGAGGAGGGCGTAGCCTCCGATGCCTCGTCGGCAGCATGAGCGCGCTCGACGAGGACATTGGTGGGGATGAGATCCGCCACCAGGCCGGCGAGCCTGCGCCGCTGGAACTCCATTTGATCTGTTGTTTTTCTGTCTGTTGTTTGCTGACGACTGTCAAAGTCGAGTTTTGAGTGATGAAAGAGGGTAGATGTTGATCCCCGAGTAAAAGGAGCGAACTGGATCGGTCAGGGATGAGGGTCCAAGTCCGGGTCCAGGCTTATTTTTGGTTGCAAGGTTGTCGTGAGGCGAGATGAGAGATTTGCGGTTTTGCTGGAAGGGTCCGGCAAAGTCGAAGAGAGGAGAAGACGGCGTACTGTTATTGGGAGCAACGGTCGAGGTACAATGTCATTGTGTGGTGGCCCTTACAACAAGTGACAAAGAATCGACCGGGTGACAGCGAGCCTGTTCCGAAGCAGTGAGGTCCTTTGTGTAAGAAGGTACCAGCACAGTGTCGAGGATGACGTGGGGTGAGTCGGGGTTGCGGTTTGGGTGACAAGAAAGGAATGCGACCAGCCTCGAGGTGGGAAGACGGGTTGACTTGAGTGACGAGATGTCGGGTCGGGGCGATGTCGAGCTGCAGGTCGTCGGCGTTGAAGATCCTCGCGCAGATCTATTTTTTTTTCCTCCCTTCACGCGTGCGAAGTCGAGAGCGGTGGGAGCAATGGCGATCCCAACCAAGCTAGGACGATCTGTATCTGACCGAGCAAGGAGCCGGTTCGACGGGAAGTCCAAGGAGTTCAAGGCCTGAGCGGGAAGCGGGAGCTGTTGGGCTCAAGTGGCTGCAAGATTGACGTATTGGGAAGGGGACGAAGCGACGTCAATATATCGTGCCGTCTCTTAGCTTTCGTAGGGTCTCGTGCCGCGTCCTTTTCGGAATCAGGGAGCCGTAAATCCTCGTGCGTGTTGATGCTGTTGTGGGGAACAGCCAAAAGTCGATAAGGTGAATGGGGAAAAAGACGACCCTTTTTTTGGCGGTCGGGGATTTTTCAGCTGCTGGGAATGATGAATGGAAGTGGATCAAGATGAGACGAGACGGTCGACTGTTGAGTTCTGGATTGTTTGTCTCGTGGACTTTTTTGTTTCGTCTTGTGGCGTTTGGTGATGTCCTTTTTGGAAGGGAGTGGGAAGATAACGAGTGTGCAACCGCCGCTGACGGAGTTTTAGCGAATGGAAAGAACGAAGCGTGGATTTGTTCGACGACGGGTCTCGAAGAAAAAAAATCCAGAACTTGGTTCAGAATTGCGCGTGGTTGATTCAGCTAGCGAATCTCACGAGATATTCTTTTTCGGGGGTGAAAAAAGAGTGTGAAGTGAAAAAGAAGGCGTGTGTTGAAGAAAAAAGAGGTGACGAGGAAGGTGCGATTGCCGGTGTGTAAGTTCCTTCCAATTCCTGGATGAGGCCGGGGGTACGGTCCAGGTGTACGGTGTACGGTACGGGTGCCCTGGGTGGTCACCGTAGGTGGTCAGGTTCTGTTGTTCGGCGGTCGGGGCCCACGGCCGTTGTTTCCGTCTGTTCTTTTTGGGGCTGTGCTTGCGCCTGGCTCCTGCCCGAGGTCCAGCGTTGTAACTTGTTTGGTACTGCCCAGAAGCACCAAATCCTTCTTCTTCTCTTTCTTTCGTATTTTGGCGTGTCTCCAAAACAAGGGTCCAGTCCAGCCTCTTGACTTTCTTTCAAAGGAAGTGTGTGTGTGTAATGTGAGTGTGTGTGTGTGTGTGTTAAGAAAAGAAACAATAATCGAATTCCACAAAAAATACCCAGCAAACTGGTCTCACACAAAAGGGTCAGCAGTCGACGATTCCTCGAGGGAAGGGAAAGAAAAGAGAAACAGAGAGTGGTTGGGATGGGCCAGGCCGCGGCCGTGGAGAGGCTACCGAGTACTTTTATGAAGACCGGCCGGCCTGTCTCTCTTTCTCAATCCCAGCTGTTCAACCTCGAGTCCTCGACTGCGCGCCGTGAAGAGGCCGGGGTGCCCACGGTAGCGCCGCCCGAGAGGCTCCTCTGTCTCCTCCGTATGGTCTGCGGCCCTTCTCTGAAGCTCCTCTTTGGGGGCCTGGACAAGCACAAGCACAAGACGACAAGGACAGGACGGCCAAGGGTTGGCAAGGTGCATTCCCCCTGATGCGTGGCGTGCAAGGGCACCAACGGGAATGACTGGATCGACTGGCACCTGGGCCGCCATCTATTCGCAGCCTACGAATCGTCCTTGACAGGCCCCGTCGTGCTACGTCCTGCTACATACGAACGGTACCTCCGAGCCCACCTGAACAAGCTGGCTCGGCATGTATCCGTCAGACTCGCGAGAACCTGCTTGACAAGAGATAAGGCTAGCTGGGCCGTGGCATCACCGGAAAGGTACCTGCGTTACCGTACATACGCGGTGCGCTAGCCATGTACCCCTTTTCCCTCCTGCGCGGCTATTCGCCCTCTCAGATACCTCCAGACGCAGCTACGAAGATACGCCCGAAGGAAGCTGTTCACCTGTAACATACATATTCGACAGTTCAGAACCAACGGCCCAAAAGAGTCGCCTTCCCCAGGGATGTCATGAGCACATCTGCCCATCTCGCCGTCAGTCTAACCCTATCCCGCTCCTCTGGTCGCTGGAATGGAATCACTGCGCCTTGCTCATCGGCCCACGCCTCGGCTCTTGCTCGCGCCAGTGCCAACAGACGACCCTGGCGGAGATTCGACAGATGGAGCAGGCAAGCAAGCAACTTCTCAAAGCAATATGTCGCAAAGTGGGAGGGCAGCACTCTGCTCAAGACTCGAGTGGGAAGAGGGAAAAAAAGGAGGGGTCGTCGAGAACAGGGAACATTCCGAACAGGGATGGCACCGACGAGGTGATACGTACATCCTGTACCTTTTCATTATTGCTTGTATGGGGTTTACTATGAAAATCCATGGACAGGTACAGAGGGAGCCGATCCCTGCGGCTGCCAATCGCTGAGATCCGATGTCACCGTTCGCTGCGCCCGGGAGGGTTGATCCCCTGGGAGGTTCTGCTGAATTTACCGTGATTTTCATTCGCTTCCCTCGCCTCGCGACACACCTTAATTCTGGGCGGTGTCGTCGTCGCATCTGTGCAAACTGTAAACGGACTGACGACAGACGACAGGTCTTATTCTCGGGATGACGACGACTGGAATGAGAGGGACTGTGCCGCCGTGCCGTGGTCTCGTCCGGACCGGCTCAATCGGATGATCAGAGACATCCATCCTCCTTTCTTCCACAACTGAAGGTGAATGATCTCGGGTTTCTCGGCGGACAAGGTGATCCTGCAGGACAAACCCGCCAAACCCCTTGGCGAAAACCACCTTTCGTCAGGAACACGAGGTGGTCTACTGGCTGGTTGAACAGCCTGGCGGACTGCAGGTGGCTTGCTGTGCTGTGCTGTTCTGCGTCGATTTCACCTGGCCGTGTTCCGTGGCCAAACGCGCATCCTGAATGGCTCAGTGTTTTCCCGCAACCTGTTCGCCCCCCTGATTGACGTGGTTTGACTGGACAGAGGATCTCTGCGCCGTTCCTGACTCCTTGCCCTACCCCCGTCAGCTCCTGCGTCCTGTCCTGCGAGCTGACTGGATCTGACAGCGCAGCTCTTGGGGATCATCCAGGGGTTTTCCGCTGCGCCTGGGCATGGATTGGCAGAAAAAGACCGGACGAACAGGGTCCTGGGGATGAGTCGCCGTCGGCCGTGGACCAATTGTTCCAGCGCCAACGGGCGACACCAAGAAGGCCAAGCCCTTTAAGCTGATTTGCTGTGCTTGTCCAGTGGGGACCTGAACCTGAACCCGACGTGGCCCTTTTGCACGAGCATGGCATGAATTAATGAGGGAGAGAAGTTGAATGGAGATGCACAACTTCCAAGGAGTCACCGAAGAGAAAAGCTCCTTGTTTTTTTGGCGGGCTTCTCTGGGCCTCTCTGGGCCTCTCATCCACCGCCCAGCCGCCATGGAGCACGTTCAGATGAGCCAAAATGGCATACCAACCATTGGCTGGGAGTCCAGACTCCAGAAGAGGACGAACCCCCTCCCTTGCTGATATTCTCTCGCATTGGAAACTCATTGACGGCCATTGGGAAATCGAACAGTCCAGCCAGGCCGTTTGTTCCGGAAGCGAGAGACATCAGTGATCACAGACCAACTCTGCCTTCGTTGGGAAGCTTCCATCAGTCGTTCGAAACTGTTTCCATCGTTTGGCACCAAGCTGAATCCGTGCGAGAAGAAGCCAGAGACAGACAGACGCCGTTGAGCCGGGCGCCCACCCACGAGGTCGACAACCGTACCCCGAGATCCCAATCCCAAGATATCCGTACCCAGTCGACTCCGGTCGCGACGCCGCACTTCGAGACGACGCTACGCTCGATCCTGCGTAGTCCGTCCTGCATCCATCTAGAAGCAGAAAAAAAAGCCATCCGAATTCCGATTGTTAGCGCGTGGAACGTGTGAGTGACACAGACGTTATGTCCACCGCACACACACATTCTTTTAATGGGGGACCCATAAGATGTGCCAGATATCGTCCTTCGGTCGTATCCATCGCGGAAAGGGCTGGAAAGAACGGCAACAGACGTTCTCGGGTCCAAAGTGTCGTCAGGATTGGATTCAACCTGCCGACCGAACGTGCAACCCTGAAGAGGGGTTGAAAAAGAGATTTGATAGAGACCAGTCGTCGGCCAAGCTCTGGAAGCATGTGAAATCAGCCCCTCCTTCGACTTTCAATGCGATCCGCTCCCGTCTCAGCCAGAATGGCTTTTTTGTCCTTGCCGTGCCCATCCCATCTCGGCCGATTGATTCCGTGGGCATTCAATTTGACGAACGTCCATCTGACGACACACCTTTCGGTTTCTGCCGCCCGCTCACCTCATTTCGTCTTTCATATACCGCTTTGGGGGGTCATCCCATCTCATCTTGATTCCTAACAACACGTTCACCCGCCCGACGGATCAGAATCGAACAATCTCCAGATCATGGTGTTGGCGTCTGTGCCCCTGGGCGAATTTTAAACTTCTTGTCATTCGAGCCCGTTATCTGCAGTTCACCGAGTCTGTGTGGCCTTGTCTGTCCGTCTGATCTGTCAAAAAGTCAAAGCTCTGTCTGGCTTAGAACAGTCAACGGCCCCCTCTCATCAACATCAGATGCATCATGCCCCCTGTCCTCGTCAGATTCCGAACAGTAGAAGTGAAAAACACTGAAGATAACACACAATCGAGGAAACCCGGGATAGTGGGAGGGAAGATGGTGTAGATTCGCAACAGAGATCTCTGGCCCACCACCACCAGAGGCGGAGCGGCCAGCCGACAAGGGCTTCCTTACCTCGACCGCGGCTGATGGCCGTCCTTCAATCAACCACAGCGAGCCGCCATTTTTTCTTCAATCGCGCACAGCGCAACGCACTCTTTGGGGCCCGGTTGCTTGCTGGCCTCGGCCGCAAACAAATTGCGGGATGTGACGGTGCAGCCGTGCCCCCCTCGTCCTGGTCAAGCGCCGTCGCGAACAAATGAGCCCAACCCGGCCATCCCAGCCCTTCATCCTCGGCGACGAGTTCCGAAAAGAGCCTTTCTGCCCTTTGAGGATCCTCCACAACGGAGGGGCGGGCGGGCCACCACCACCACCATCGTGGGCGTCAAGAAAAAAACCGCCTGGCCGGGTCGTCCACAGTTGGCCGCAGCAACGACGACGGGTTCGCGAGAGAGGCGAGCCGCTTCCAATCCACTGTGCCCAGTCCACCAAGTCCAGCAGCCTGGGCTTGGCCCGGGAACCAGCCTGGAAAGGACGGGGGCACAAAAGGGCGGCGGGCGAGAACCCATGAAGTCATTTGCTTGTTCGGTGAGCTGTCGTTTCAATCATATTGCAGGTGGCCCCGTCCGCTTCAGGTGAGCGTACGGATGGGCGAAGTGCTGCATGGCATGCATTAGCACCCATCACCGCTTCGGCGGGCAGGCGGGCGCCAGGACACAGGTGCAGATGAAGCCGAGGGGGAGCGAACGGTTCGTGAGATTGTTGTGATTGCGCGATCTTGAACTCGGTTCATCTTTGCGCCGCCTCGGTTGCAGGTCCAACTTCCAAGAGGCCGCGATCTTGGTTGTTCAATCTCGTTGCTCTCTTGGCACCGAACCATGCTGATGCTTGGCTTCTTGGGGGCCCCTCGAGATCTGCCCTGAATCTCGTCCGATTCTCTTGTGATTGTCGTTGAAGCCGCAGGCCTGGCATCTCGACGACTGAAGCTGGAGAGTATCATGTTGATCGCTGGGCTCCGTGTATCTCACCGCCATAGCCGTCGCGTCGAATCCGACTCGGTCGCGAAGCCATCCATGCCCACGTGCGATACTGGAAAGACCCCATATCCGCCCATATCTCAGTCGACCGCGCTCCTTGAAACAATATGAGGGTGATGAACTGCCTTGAATAAGAGGCGGGATGGTGGGAAGCGCGGGGGTCACTGACGTGGACTGCGGGCGGGACAACCGTCTCAGCGGTCTGAGAATTAGTGTTCGCTATCAAAAGCTTCTAGAATGTGTTCAGAAGCTGTGGATGGGGCAGAAGCTGGCGGATGGTCGATGCAGCTGGCAACTGGCAGCCTCAAATTGATGACTAAGCTGCAGCTCATGACATAAGAAGATGATGACATAAGACAGCCATCACATCCGGCTGCCCGTCACGTGCGCCTCCGGCCCATCGGAGCTCGCGCAGCTTGGGACGACGGCGGGCTCTCACGGGCTCCGGAAAATTCCATATCATCAACGGCCCCAAACATCCCAGAAAAACCACCCTCCCACCCCAAGCCATTGAGGCCGCAATCATGGGTGCCAGCGAGTCCAAGCCGTCCTCCCAGCCGCCACACCTGTGGCAGGCGTGAGTCCCGTCCCCCAATTCCGTCCCGCCCTTCCTTAGTTGCGTGGGCCGAACCCGATGAAGCAGAGCAGAGAGCCGTGCTAACCTCTCGCGCGCGCAACAGCAAGTCCCCCGCCGGCCTCTCCCACGACCTCGTCGAGCACCTGCAGAGCAGCCCCGAGGTAAACCTCTTCCCTACGGCTCACACGTTTTTCTCGAGACCCCCGAACGCAATGCCACCAAACCGGCTCACCCTTGCGCGATTTCGAACCACCACAAAAGTCCATATATACACACACGATGCTAACCACTCCCTCGCAAAACAGACCGATGCGTCCCGTGCCCAGCTCTCCGAGCTCCAGATCCAGGCCCGCGTCGCCGAGGAGCTGAAGCGGCTGCAGGCCAAGGAGTCCGAGGCCCTGCGCCTCGCCCACGAGAAGATCGCCGCCGAGGACAAGAAGGCCGCGCCCGAGGGCCAGCGCAGCCACGAGAGCGTGTCGAAGGAGGTCGAGGCCCTGCGCGCGAAGCTGGCCGACCGCAAGAAGATCCGCGAGCTCCCCGAGGGCGTCGAGGCCGCCCGCGGCGCGGTCGTCCGCTGCCTGCGCGACAACGACCGCCGGCCGCTCGACTGCTGGAGGGAGGTCGAGGCGTTCAAGGAGGAGGTCAAGAGGTTGGAAAAGGGCTGGGTCGAGAAGGTCATCTCGTAAAGAGGGGCGTTTTCGTCGTCGTAAATCGCGGGGTTACAGTGGTCTTTTCCCCCATAATCCAATTGTTTCTACGTTTACTTTGTTATGCCGATGGGACGAGGGAGGATGACGTCGGTAGATGGGCGTCAGGGCGGTTCCAAGGGCGGGGACGAGAGATGTATAACATGCCACGGAACGGGCAAAGATAAAAAAGGTGTATAGATGGCGAATGAATTTTGGTCACATCAATACCCGTGGAGTTCATATTCAGGCAGTTCTGCCTCCTCATCTACTTTGGTCTCTGCAGTCTGCGTCCCCTGCTTAGCAGCCAACATCTCCTCCTTCCTCCTCAACCCCTCAGCCCTCTTGCGTTCCCTCCTGGCGGCGGCGTCCTCCCATTCGGCGCCGCCCTCGCCCAGCTTCGCCGGCGGTCCCGCGACGGCGCTCTGCAACGCGGCGCGGAACCTGGCGATCCTCGCCGCGTTCTCGACGAAGCGCTCGTTTGCGATGTCGACCAGGTCGCGCAGGTAGTCCGCCGAGACGGTGCAGCGGCGCGCCCCGCCGCTGTGGTCGTCGACGTAGCCGACCAGGGACTCGAGGCCGAGGCCCATCGTCCTGACGCCCACAATGGGGTGGACGGATGACTCGTCGCCCGGCGACGCGGAGGCGGGGAGCAGGTTCAGGGCGCCGCTTTCGCGGAAGCCGGCTGCGAGGGCGCACTTGAGGAGGAGCTGGGCGTGTGACGGGGACGCTGTGAGGACGTGGAGGATCTGTTGCGTGGGTTAGTCATGTGAGCGGGAAGTATGCAGGACCGGGTGGCAGTCAGAGTGACAACACGGGTTCGTGCTTGCATGGGCGGACGTGATCTGTTGCCAGGTGTACATACCATCGGCTCGAACTTGAAGTGTATAAGCCGTCGTCTCCGGCGCCCAGACTGAGCGGTACCCGACTCTCCGGAGGCAGCTCTGCTCGCCCCTGTATCATCCGCGAGACCAAGCTGACGCAGAAGCTCGGCGTCCGTACCACGCGACTCACCAAGCGGATCGTGCGATACGAACAACCACGTGCCGCCGCCTCCCTTCCCTCCGGGACCTGCTATCGTCGTGAGAGCGTTGCCCGCATCTTCATTCTGAGGTAGGGCCTCAGGTTGCGCCCCTTCACCTAGGGGCGAAGCAGACGAAGCAGGAGCGGCAGATGCCTTGATCCCCTCGAGAAAGACACTCACTCTCCCGGCGCAGCTGCTCGTCGTCACGAACCCGTCGACGGCGTTGAGCTCGTCGATGAGCTCGCGGATACCCACGTCCACGGACCCCTTGGGCGAGGCGTCGGTGTACTCGGCGTCGGGGACGCTGAGCTGCTCCAGGATCTTGTGCTTGCGGGTGGTGAAAGCGGCCGGCGGGGCGGGCAGTTGGGGCTTCTGCCGTTGTTGTTGCGGCGCCATGGTTTCCGCGATCCTGACTGAGTTGTGTGAGGTGGGGGGTTTTTTGGAGGGGTAATTGGATCACGGGGAAACGGGATCGAAAGGGCTGCTGCTTCTGGCCCGTTTCGGTCGTCGCAGGACAAGTCCCGTCTGGGGTGCGTCTGGTGTCTTGGAGTTCGCCTTGTTCCTTGTTGGCTGGAGGTTTGGTCGTGTAAGTGAGGTCTCGAGGCGGCCTGCAGAAAATTGTGTGGTGTGGTTGTTGGAGGTACTCGCACCGTGCCATTTCGATCAGAAGACACGGTGCCCTCTCGGCTTGCGAGCCGGTACCAAGCTCATCTACACCACGCTGTCCTACCCTCCGATGCAACCTCACCATAGATTGCAGAGCAGACCATTTCCCGGTATAATCAGGCTATCTGATGGTGCAGGTGTTGCGGCTTTAATATGTTGTCTTGGCTCTGCCGAGTTGCTGGTCGCTCGAACCTGGTTGTGACCCCTCGACCCTGATTTGCTTCACGGCTCCAGACAGCTGGGAGCCGACGGCTAAGAGGATTGTAAGATTTACATATTGATCTGCGGCTGGGGTCTTCTACTAGCTCTACGTTGCAGCGGTCATGGATGCGGAACTCGAGTGTCATAGTCATCAACAGGCTTGGATAGGTCTTGAGCTCATTGCTACGCAGCAGTCCCTCGACTGAATGATGATGAATTCTGCATTGTGTGAGGCATTCTTTATGTCTCGTAGAACTAGAATGAGTTAGGTGTTCGCCTGCATGCAAAACTTTTGGATGTGGTTGAAATTTATGAATTATTTATGAACAATCTCAGTTAGAGTGCAACTCTTCCAAATTGTACAACATGAAATTCATTAAATATAACACGGGATGATACTCACCAGTCCTCCTCACCAAGTTGACATGCCAAAGTATTGTTAAAGACCAACTACGTAATCCAGCTCGAATCGCAGTTCCTAAACTGGTGTTGACTGTCCGCCTGTAAGGTGCGAAGTTCAGGTGCTGTTTCTTATCTCAAGAAGACATACTCAAGCTCACCAGCTGCTCAATGCAGATTCAATCCTCATTGATTCTGTGGGGATCTTCTTCACGTTGACTGTTGACTTGCACGTAGCCCCATGTTTACCATGGCAATCTCATAGCAGGCTTCGGTAGCTCCCGCTTCGCACCATTTCTATGGATTTAATGAGCTATACGATCTGGTTCAAAGTCATGCGAAAGAGGTTGATTCGTTCTTGGGACCTAGCCAGGTCGTGTCTCCCGAGTTGCCTGACGGCAAGCGGGCGACAAGCACTACCTCCTGATCAGAGATAGCACTGGGATCATTACACGAGGCTAAGACGCTCGTATCAAGCTATGAATTGATATGAAAGACTCAGACGACTAGCCTGAAATTCGAAGCATTCCGTTGTATGTCATCCCAATGATATCGCGGGATTGGGAAGGAGGTCACGAGCAGGTTTTCTGGATGCTGAAATAAGCTTTTGATACGGCATGTCATAGGCTTAACATCTCGCACACAAAATACACTGCTGTTCTGTTAGAGGATTATGAGCCGTGGTCAACCGTCCCACTTTTGGCCCGGATGCGGGGTCTCAGCGGGACACAGGATTCAGAGCCGCACCTCACACCCGTCCCACCTCACTCTCACTTTCACCCTCAATTCTCAGGGAGGACCTTCATCTATGATTGATCTTTTCTTTCATTATCCTATCTACGTAGTAGGATCTAGTGTGTCCGCGATGAGCGAGACACGTCATGGTCTATGACCGAAAGCGAAATCCGGAACGCCAGCATGCTGTCCCGTCCCGTGCTGTATTTTCCCCTCCCGATAAACGCCGTAATGCAAAAGCCGTCATGCATCGTATGTACAAAGTCATTATAAGAGTCGCTCAAGCAGAAAAGCAGAGAACAGCCAATAACATGTCACAGGGATGAGACGGCCTGCTCCTCCTTCTCCGCCTTGACGACGGGCGCGACGGCGGCCTGGCCCGCCTTCTCGGCCTCGGCCGACGACGAGGGCGCGTCCTTCTTGGCCTCGACGGCCTTGCGCTCCATCTCCTCGAGGTACTGCGCGTAGCGCGACTTCTTGTTGTGGATGCCGCACTCGGTCTTCTGCTGGCCCTTCCAGCGGCCGGCGCGCTCGTCCTCGCCCTCCTTGACGGGGACGGTCGAGTGCCAGTCGCCGATGGACTTGTAGCCGCGGTCGAGCAGGTCGTTGTAGGGGACGTTGTGGGTCTTGATGTAGTCCTGGACCTGCTTGAAGGACCACTTGACGAGGGGGTTGATCTTGACGACGCCGCGCTCGTCGTCGACCTCGATGATGGGGATCTTGTCGCGGGCGCCGCCCTGGGAGCGGCGGCGGCCGGTGAGGACGGCGGCGACGCCGAGCTCCTGGTAGGCGCGCTGCAGGGGCTCGACCTTTGCGATCCAGTCGTACATCTCGGACTCGGTCTCGTACAGGCGGGCGCCGTACATGGCCTCGAACTGCTCGGTGGTGTCGACGCCGTAGGGCTTGAAGACGTGGAGCTTGACGTTGGGGTAGCGCTCCTGGATGCGGTTGACGAGGGAGTGCGTCTCCTGGAAGTGGTAGAGGGTGTCGAGGAAGATGAGGTCGACGTTGGCGGCGGCGGGGTTCTCCTTCTGGATCTTGGAGAGCATGTCGAGGGTCACGAGGCCGGTGAGGCCGAAGGCGGTCGACTGGAAGAGGTTGGGGAACATGATCTTGGCGAAGCGCAGGATGTCGATAGGGTGCATGTTCTCGAGCTGCTCGTTGAGGTGCTTGAGGTGGGGCTGGGTGAGGGAGATGAGAGGGAGCGCGGGGATGGACGACGCCGTCGACGAGGCATCGGTGGCGGAACCGTACCCGGACTCGACCTCTTGTTGGTCCAGCTTGGCGGCCTCGACGGCGTTGAGTCTGGGAGACGACGCCACGGAGGACGTCGCGGTGGCGGCACCAACTGCGGAAGACATCTTGGAGGTGTCGTGTGAGAGGTCACAAAGAGGTTGTGAGAAGATGAGGTGCGGCGGTGGTGGTGGTTGAGAGAAGCCCGGGGTATATGACGAGTGTTGGTGTAAGAGGGTGTGTTGAAAACCCGGGGTATATTCGCTGAGCACGGCTCTTGTCAAAAGAGATGAACCAAAAAGCAAATGACGCAAGAGATGAGTCTGGGAAGGAATCAGTTTTTGGGAGTCAGAGGAAAGAAGGCGAAAGACTGTTTTATGAGGAAGGGCTTCGGAGGACTAGGAGCGACTTACACAGCGGGAAGGGGGCGGGAGGAGTATCATTCTGGGCACAGGGCATCACCAAGCAACATTACTAATTTGATTTTTCCACCTTTCTAGACACGAACCCGATCGAACCAAAGGCCGAGAGAGGAGTTTGGAAGGCGACGGACGACTGGATCCCGCCCAGGTATTGCGCAATCGCAACTCGTCCAGCACGCATTCTGCATTGAACAAGCGCTGAGGATTTTGCATCTTCCACGACGAGGCGTGGTCTGGGAGCAATCACGACATCGACGCTAAACCTTTCGTGATGAGGGAGACCAAACATGATTGGTCGCAGGTGTCAGGGGACCCTCCGTACCGTGGACATCCCGCAATTGCGCCATCGCCCCGGATGCCGGAGTAGATTTACTTTGCAAAAATTCCATGTTGACGGCCGGTTCCCGGCAGCCGGAAGCCGTGTTTGGTGAGGGTATACATTGGGGCCGTGTCCCCCGTGTTCGCAGAGGTGAAAAAGGGCCCCGAAATTCACGATGATCTGGGGATTTGACGCCAGGACGATGACGGGGTCTTTTGGTCAACGAGACACCGGCGCGGATTCGCCATGATGATGCAAGAAGACGTGATTCCAGCCCGGGCCACTAGGCGGCTTGGCCTAGTGGGTGCGACGGAACGGCACTCGGTGGTTTCGATGGTGTCGGACGGCTCGGCAGTCGGTGGACACCGGCCCTCGGTGGATGACGACCAGCTCCGGCGTTTGTGAGCTGGCTGAAGGACGGGGCCAAAAACATGCCGCGCCGGACTTTGGGCGAACTCGTCTCCATCGCACAACCATCCCACCCGCCAACCAGCGACTCCAACAAGGCAACATCCATGGCAGCCGCGGTGAAAATTCCTGACGTTATCCACAATTGGGTTTCGACGTGAGATTCGTTTCGAGTTTTCGATCTTTATCACCGCTCCGAAGCTTCGCGCTGCCGACTTCGTCCGAGGTTGCTCACCGCTCCCGGGTGTTTGAAAGGATGACGGGAATGGTCGTGTTTCCTGAAGGCTTCTTCAGCGCGGACCTGAGTCAACTCGGAAGATTTAAGCTCTCCGTAGCCCAAGCCAGGGCTCTGTGACCTGAATCATCGAGAATCTCGGTCTTGGACTCATCCAATATTTCTTAGATGAGCCATGATGATGAGGGCTTCTCGGCCAAGTGTCTGGCCGTCACTCAGCAACCGCTTGGTTGGCAATGACAGCTCATCATCCCCATCGGACTCCTATCTCCAAGACTCATCAGGCCGATTGCGGCTGTCAGGAAGAGGAGAACATGACCCGAACAGGACACATCATAATCGTGATTCGTGCTGCTCGGGCGTGCGTCTGGCTTATTTCCGTTCTCTATCAGCGGGGACAGAGTGCTGCGGCCTGCTCAGCAATGATCAGTCATCGGCTACCGCGGTGACAGGATGACAAACGGGAGGAGTCGACTTACCTTAGTAAACAGATGACGGACTTATCTTAGTAAACAGATGACAGGCAACGTTGCCAGGAGTCTCGCAGCCCCTTAGCCCCCAAGCCAGGCAGTGAGCGTGTCGTGTGTGCTGTGCTGTGCATTAGGGGGGGCGAAAGAAGCGGTAGGGCTGCACCGGCAAGCTCCCTGACAAACTGGCGCCGGCACATTCGGACGACGGACCTGGACGAGGGCACCGCAGATCCCGGAGCCTCTTCCGCGCCGTGATACCTGGCAGTCCGTCACCACCTCATCCACTTGGGGGCCGGGATCCAGGAGCTGAACGGCCGGCGCAGGATCCAAAAAGTGATGTAATGAAGACTCAACGTGCCATTCGTACCTGGCCTAAAATGTTAGTACGCCGTGTCAAATTTTTAGCAGAGTACGTACACCTCCAACACGTGATTTATCGCATCCACCAGCGCCAACGCATGCCATACCAGCAGCCAATGACATACCGCCCAGCGGCTCGGCCACGGGATTTAAGGGTCCGTTTTCGGCTCCGGACCAGTGACGGACACCACCGCTGGAGGACACTGGAGGACGCTGAAGGAGGGGCCCAACACAGTCAGAAGCCACAGTGCAGTGTGTGTGCCCAGCGCGGAGCCGCCAGCCTCTCCTCTCCTCTTGCTCTTTTTGCGCAGCTGTCGTCCAACCACGCAGACATGTTTTACCTTCGAAACATGAGTCGGCCGGTTCTCTCTGAGTGAGTCTCTAAGCTTTCCCTCACGAGCGATCTGAGCTCCGAGCTACTTCTTTCTCTTACCCCCTCACGCCGTGCCTTCTCCTCCTCCTCAACCTCTCTTCCTTGAGCTTTGCTTCGTCCCGTTCCGTCGCCGACAGCTCTTATCGCTGTAGCTTGGTTGGTTCGTCGTTGCATCGTCTCTTCAGCCTCCGACCACCCCGCCTCGCAAAAAAAATAAAAATAAAAAAAGAAGTCTCCGCAATGGCCGACTCAAGCCCCTCCAAGTCGACGACGTCTCCCCGACCGCAGCTCACCTCGTCCATGAGGAGCAGCTCCTTTTTGCGTGAGCACCAGCAGTACAGGCCGCCTCAGCACCCGGAGAGCCGCTTCGGCATCGACACCGTTGTCGAGGACCTCAGCAAGACATCGGTCTCTCCTCCCAAGCACAACAAGAACTTCATCGCCTTCAATGGCGTCCCCTCGGAGGAGAACCCCCCGACCATTGTCGACAGCGGCCTGAACCACACCTACTCCCACCCCAACTGTGCTCCCCCGGCCGGCAAGAAGTCCACCCGTCTCATCGCGACGCTGTTCTATAAACCGAACGGCAAGCAGACAGCAGGTGGCAGCGGCGCCGCGACGACTGCGCCAAAGGCCATCCCGGCCGCCGCCGCCGCGTCTTCCGATGCGAGCTCCGGCAAGGAGTCCATCCCGGCCAACTTCGCGCCCACCCAGAACCCGGAGTCCTTCCCGCTAGAGCCCCCGACCCTCGAGCCCGAGAACCTCGACCACCTGTACGGCTCCTACATCTCCCCCATGTGCGTCACCTCCTTCCTGCACCTCATGTCGACCTTCCCCCTCCCGCCCGGCGAGTCCGACTACGCCTCCTCCCACCGCTGCCTCGACAGCCAGGAGAGCCCCCGCGTCGTCGAGCTCACCCTCGACCCGGCCCCCTGCCAGAGCTACCTCAGCCTGACGGACCTGCGCAAACACGAGCTCATCTACCGCTTCGAGCGCGAGTGGAACGTCGACGTCGCCCTCCAGCCCGACACCCTCTGGCGCCGCCACCCGCGCCTCGTCGTCTTCGACATGGACAGCACCCTCATCACCCAGGAGGTCATCGACCTGCTCGCCGGCATGATCAAGGACCGCCCCGACCTCGCCGAGCGCGTCGCCGACATCACCCACCGCGCCATGCTCGGCGAGCTCGAGTTCGACGCCGCCTTCCGCGAGCGCGTCCAGCTGCTCAAGGGCCTGCCGGCGTCCTTCTTCGAGGAGCTGCGCCCCGTGCTGGACGTGACCAAGGGCGTGCCGCGCCTGATCAAGGCCCTCAGGCGCCTCGGCGTCAAGACGGCCGTGCTCTCGGGTGGCTTCCTGCCGCTGACGAGCTGGCTGGCCGGGGAGCTGGGCATCGACTACGCCCACGCCAACGAGGTCGTCATCGACGAGTCCGGGAAGCTCACCGGCGAGGTCAAGGGTCTCATCGTCGGCAAGGAGAGGAAGCGGGACTTGCTCGTTGAGATCGCGGGCAAGGAGGGCATTGATCTGTCGCAGGTCGCCGCCGTCGGCGACGGGGCGAACGATCTGCTCATGATGGGCGCGGCGGGTCTGGGTGTGGCATGGAACGCGAAGCCCCGGGTGCAGATGGAGGCCGATACCCGGCTGAACAGCGAGAGCCTGTTGGACTTGCTGTATCTCTTTGGCTTCACTGGGGATGAGATTGAGCAATTGGCGTCGTAGGTTGGGGCGGTTTGTGAATGAACGCGGGAGGCGGGGGGAGCTTTGGCGCAGGGTGTGAGGTGAGGTGCTTTGAGGGGAGTTGGAGACGCCTGATTTTGGGGTTTTACGTGGGAGTATGAATTCATGACCTCATTGCTTAGATGCATGCCCTTGGGCCCGATCGGTCTCACATTAAGGCGATATCATGACGTTTCTTAACTTCAATTCTGGGTATGAAAGCCGGGTGGTGAACTTCCTTCAGTCGTGGGTGGTAGAGGGTAAAAGAAATGTGGTAAAATCTGAATTCTCCCTATTTACACATGAAAACCACCTTCCGCCCGTTGCACACAGCTCGCGCGAATGCTCGTCTTCTCTATGCCGGTATCATTAGTTCTTTAGTAGCCGTCCTTGCCCCACTTGTTGTACTTCTCGTGCAGCTCCTGCGGGAAGAAAAAAAAAGGTCAGCCTGAGTCCGGTTCAAATCCCGAGAGCGACCTCGTGCGCCAGCCGTATAACTGCACGCACAAGGCTCCCTCTCCCTCTCTCTCCCTCTCTCTCTCCTCGAGATCTACGCCAAACATCTTCTTCACGGGGTATAACGCACCTTGGGCAGAGTGACGTCGGGGATGATGACGGTGTTGACGGCGCTGGGGGCGTCCTTGGGCTCGTTCTTGGGGTTGCCGCCGGGGTGGTACTTGTACTTGCCCTCGGAGTCGGTCTCCCAGGGCATACCGGCCTTCAGGACGGCGGTCTCGGAGGTGGCGGTGGTGGGGGTGCGGCCTACGCGGGAAAGTCAGCGGTTTGCGGCGGAAGATTCGAGACGTTTTTTGGGCGGCGGAAACGCACCGAAGTAGAGACCGGCGCCGCCGAGCGCGGCGGCCATGACACCGCCGAGGATCTGTATACCGCAAAAAATTCGATTAGCTTCTATTCCTTTCGTTCATTGCTCCTCCCCGCACGCCGATTCCCTCCCCCGCCAAATCAGACGTATCTCGTTGAAGCGCAGTCGGGTCAGAAGGTCTTGCATGGCGGGAGAGGGATCGTGCGGTCGCGGCGGGGTGTGTGTTGTGTGTGTGTGTTCGTGGGATCGTGGGATTTCTCGGGGTTTGAATTTCAAGGTCTGGATATCACGCACGTAGAGCTCGGGGTTGCGCTTGGACTCCTGGGCGAGCTGCTGCTTGGCCTGCTCGTCGGCGAAGCGGCGGACGGAGGTAGAGAAGGTGCGGCGGGCGACGAAGGAGGCCATTGTTGCGGTCGTGGGTGGGTTTGGTGGTGGACGGGAGGTTTTGGGCTTTGGTGAGGGTGAGGTTCGGCTGTCGTATGATTTCGGAGCTTGTCAGGCTTGCGTTGCGGTTCCAGACGTTGAAATTCGGGAGAAACGATTGGCCGGGCTTACGGATGCGGGCTGATTGGTCAATTGTGGGTATGGTGGGCATTACCTCATCCTGTGGTGTTTTGGTGCATAACTTTCTAGCTAAGAGCTGTGCGTACACTAAGAGGTGTATGCTACTAAGGTATCTAAAGACAACTGCTGCATATCACCACTCAAACCCCAGGAGACTCTTCCAGCAGGCGTAGTAAGAAGATGAAATCGCCTATCAGAATTGAAACATATTGAAAGACCACCGCTTCGCACACGGCACTCACAGTGTGCCGACTTGCCATCTAGTTGCGGAATCATCGGCTCGACTGGCAGTTCCGTATGTGCTGTAGGAAGCGCCAAGTCTTGACCGGCGTGTTGCAGTGTCTCCCGGAAAGCCGAAATTTGTCGTTAAAATACCCACTATCCACAGGTAAACTTCGCGAGCTCACTGTGTCATCGTTTTAGATGACGGGAGGCAACTCCGTGAGGCGTTGAGAAGGGCCGGAGGTCTGTTTGACGAAGATGCAGACTTCATGCAACTTTCTCGATTTCATACTGTCGAGTGCCCATGCACTCTAGCTAGAACGATCGTCGGCTGATTTACAGATATTTCATGACATTTCCTTCTAAACTAATGATTTCCCTGCCTAAATCCCGAGAAGTTCTCTCAGTTATTGCCCCCAAAGTCGTCAATGTCTCGAATATCCCGCCACCTTTCGTCAAGAAAGCCGACGCTGAGGCGGACTGAAAGTGCAGAAGTGAGCTGACCAATGTGCCGGTTCAGCAAGCTGCGGACTGTTGAGCTGAACGCCTTGAGGAGGTTGTTCTCGCTCCGACAATGTTCTAGCACCTCATATCATCTTTAATCTACATTCATAGCTGGTATCATGCGTCCACGAGAAAGTCCTTTCACTGTCACTACAGTAACGATACAAGTTATCAGAGATTGGCTTCGGAATGTTCACTAAAGTCAGCTTTCATCAGTAGCTCTTTATAAATGACGACGCAACTCGAACTATAGAAAAAGTCTATCCATATCAAATATTCAGCAACAACCTGTTCCAAAATAACAAATCTAATCCAATCTTCGCTGCCAACCTTTGACTGGATAGGTACTTTCGCCGTACTCCAAAATGACCACTTATTCAATTCAGATCATCAACCGATCTTGGGTCTCTCAACGATTCCTGCTGTTCTAGGCCGTCCCAGTGCCCACTGCCGTCCCGTTAGCGGAATGCTACGAAATCGTCTTCCAGGGGTCTTCAGCCATTGAGGGCGGCAGCGACGACCGCGTCATGTTCGAGTTCGCGGACGAGTACTACGCCCTGCACAGCACCAAAGTGTGAGCTAGCGAGGAGGTTCGCATCAGCACCATCTCGAGCGGAGGTTCTGTGGCACTGGGGCCCAAGGGAAAAGGTTCTCTACGACCGATGGCCAGGACGGTGTTAACCCCGGAATGGGATAAAGAGACTGTTAAGGGAAGGAAGACGGTCGGGGCTGGGTAGTTCACCGTTGATATCGATAGTTCTTTTGAAAATTTGAACCAGAGTGAGTTTCCAACCTAGACGGGTGCTCTGTTCTGTTATACCTGATCATGTGTTACTAACACAGCAAAACTAGACACCATCTACATCGGAGTGGGTAAGGACCCTTCAAACGACAAGGTCATCCCCATTCAGACTTATCCTGCGCACCCCAACACGGTTGTCACAGTACATCCTGTGGTCAAGTACTACATTTGCTTCGGCAACCACCTGCAGGGCTTTCTTCTCAAAGCTATGGAGCTTGGAAAGGCGAGAACCCATCACCCATTACAGCCTAACTCGTGCCGATGAATCATGTGACAGGTCCCTATGATCGACTTTTCCAACACTACGAGAGCGAATGAGTTTATCCACCCGTCAGACGAATAATTCGTACACTGCCGATGACGCGGAGGGCATGGAAAGACGTCACATCCATTGAAAGTTCGACACAGCTGTCTGGAAGCCGTCTATCAGTAGACCCCGCCGTTCCTCCTATTCAAAATCATCACATTTCTTGTCTATTGATATTGTTCGGACCGCATCATATTCTGGCACGATAGTATTCCTACTCCAGTGACCTGATTCATCCGCTATCAAAGTCCCCCAAAAAGTGTCACGGGCGGGCCGTATGTCGATGTTATTGGCCGGAAACAACGACCTTGTTCTTGCTTTACTTCCAAGCTGTTGTGCCCTGGTTGCACTTGTGATTTGTGGAAGAGTTGGGCACGTCCGCACCGCATGTATAGCCGAATGAGAGTCTTCGAATGTGTTCTCGTCGCTTAAATACTAGCCGTTGGATTGATTCCGTATGCGGAAAGTGACTTCTTCAGGAGTTGGCGCAACATCTGGGCCAACAACTTGGACGGGATAATGATGCGTCACGATCTATGTAAAGAGATATGACCAGAACAACTCTTGTAACATGAACTGCCGCAATAAATTGAATTCAAGTAGAAAAGTGATGGGACAAGTCCATGAGTGAGATAAGTCGCCAATAAAGCAAGGGCTGGAGCTGGTTCCGCAAGTCGTCACAACTTGATCAACTCTTTTAATCTTAACACAGCTGGAGCATAGCGCTAGAAAGTCCGACTAGGGCTTTAGATAAATGTAGTCTCCATGTTTGATTCGATGAGTGTGTCGTCTTTCCCATGAAGGCACGTTTTAACGCGGCGACACAGCGGCTTATCATACTGCAGTGTTTTGATGCATCGTGTGTAGCTAAGAGGGATGCGCAGGTTCAGTCGTATAGGTTATCACAGGTGCTTGGATACAGGAAGACATCATAGGGAACACTACATGAGTAGACTGCCTGACACAGACGTTGGATCAGTTGGGTGGATGGAAAAGACGCATTCATCATGGGGGTGGTCAGCTTCATCGTGAATCATTGGCCACCTCGGTCCGCGTCGGAAAGATCCAAGAAGGCTTGATATCAATGGCTGACTACAGATATAAAAGCCACCTCCATGCTTGATTCAAAGTCAACGTCGAACTCTGCCATAAAAGCCTAGATGTGGCGACAACATGGCTTATCAGCCATATCTACTACAGCCCAGTTCGCGACGAGCCGTCGAGTTCTGCCTCGGTCTGGTGAACACCCTCTGCGCCGTCGCAACATTCAACCACATGGAGACAGTGTCGGTCAGCGACGTGCTCGCCGTAGTCATCACGCCGATCCTGGCGCTCGTGGCGGCATCTTTGGAAGGCATCTTCCAAGCAGATGAACCGGCGTATCCGCAAGCTGAGTATGGTTGATTTGGAGGGGAATGGGTTGAACGACATTGAGTGCAGACTCCTCAAAGACGGGGCTTCTTTGTAAGTTTCGAAATCCTCAAGCGTCGTCCGGCAAAAAGCTTGTCGTGCTCGGTGGCTGACGGAGGCAACCAATGACCAGGCGCCCTACCAGGGTTACGTGCAGGAATGTTCCGTTCCTCCAACCTTGGATCTATGCTTCGAAGCCTGGCGCAGGTCTCGAGACGTGCGGTTCGTGTCGAACCAGGAGACGGCCATATGCAAGAGCGCGGTTGACGGGATGACCCATGTCGGGCGGGAAGGATGCGAGATATGCGGGAACCGGACGAAATCTTCCCTTTTCGCGGCTGGGCAATTTCGGCATGAATGGGCTTTTCATGGATGTCGCAGAGACGAGCAATGCAAAGCCAACCTAACATGGAAGTCGACTTCTGCGCGTCGAGTCGAGTCGAGTGTCTTTGTCTGGGGTGACTTGGTGGCTTTTCGGCGGCTTCGTCCAGCATGTCCCTGTGAGACGGGTTATTAGGAACGGGTTTCCGAGCGAGGTCTAACCCAGAAGTCCGGGTAGATCGCCGCGAACCCTCAGCGTTGCAACAGCCTCCAACGGCCGTCAAAGGAGGGGCGGCGGTGGGCAGAAAGACGCGTCTTTGTGACACATGTCTCGGGCAAAACAAGCAGCGCAACGTTCCGGAATGTCAACGTGGAAAAGGAAACATGTCAGATTATATCCAAACCTCCGTATACTATGTATGGTAGGTAATGTAAGGTAACTTCAGGCTAGAACAAGACGGGCCTGTGCGCTTCAGGTCACGCTCAGGGCGCGCGTGCAAGGTCGCAGTCGTGCCTGAACGGTTCCATTGGTTCTGTTGGATCGTCCCAAGGAAATCTTCATCACCCCAGCAAAAGGCACCGCGTCGTTGGTTGCTGTACTACTATGTATGGTAGCAATTTCCAGCCAGACGCCCCCCGAATCCGGCAATTGTAATCAAAATTGGCTGGCACATCTGCGCGCCGTCTTGCATAACCAGGCGGCCAGAGCCGTTTCAGAGGAGGCTCGAGCGCAGTCGCTATCACGATGGCCTCAAAAGTGAATGGGAAATTGTTAGTGATGACAGTTTCCTTGGTCGGTACGCTAGTCCCGTCTTGGTGGTTATACATGCACAAAGCACGGATACCCAAGGATCAGTGACCCGGGCCCCCCTTAGCAGCCCAGCCCTGCCTTTCTTTCTCACGGTTGGGCAATCCATGCCTTTGGCCTTTCCATTTCCTACTGCGTTACCTCTCAGGTAGTCAGGTTGCTTTTTCCTGTCCTGTTGGCCTCGCAAAAGCAACTCCAGGCAAGACAAGAAAGCCAACTCTGGCCGAGCTTCGTTTCCGCTCATTGTCACTGTCACGGCCTGCCCGCCATCCGACTTTTTTCTTCTTTTCCTTTTTTCTCCATCTTCCGTCACTCTCTCGACCCTCATTTCTCCTCTCCGACTCGACGTCTCAACGAATACGACGACGACACGCACGATATCTACAGACCAGCACACTCCCTACCTACGGATACCCTACCTTAATTCACGGGCCTTTTTCCCATCTTCTACAATCTTCGCACGACCGCTTTTTAATACCGACTTTATCGACCGACCGCACACCTCTTGCGCTTCAACCTTTTCCAAACTCTCCGACCTGCAATCCCGCCGAGTCTACCGGCCCTATCCGCTCGCCCTGCGCGCCAAACGCACGAAATCATCACGCCCGTCAAAGCGCTGATTTCAACCCACGACGTCCCGTCCCCCGACCTTTCTTTCCTCGACACATCTTCATCGGAGCATCGACCGACATCACGATATCGATCCCCGCGTGGACTGCGACATGTTACAGCGGAGAACCGTTAACGAATAACCAAAACCGCTGCGCCGACAAATCGCTACCGATCGCAGCGCCGATCATGGCCTCCAAAGACCAGGGCACCGGGCCCAATAAACCCCCGATCGACGACGATGCCTTTCCGAAGCCTCAGTTCCCAGGCCGCTCCGACCGGCCAGGCCCGCCGAGCATCATCTCCTCGAGAATGACAGACATCGCGTCCGATGACGGCGGCGAAGGCACAGCCCAGGCAACCTCCGAAAACCCACGTCGCAAAAGCGGCATGGCCTCCGACACGTTGTCACGGCCGGGCACAGCAAAGACGGGCATGTCTGGATCCAGAGAAGGCTGGCGACGAGGCCCGCCTCCACGACTGAACTACATCACGAGTCTCCACGAGAAGAGAGGAAGCACTGGTGCAGGTAGTAACGCCGGCTCCGTCAGCACTCGTCCTCCAAGTTCCGCAAGCCGCAGCCATGTGCCGTCGCTCACATCATCGGCCTTTTTCCGTCCCATGAGCTCTCAGAAGCTGCAGGCGCAGCGTGGTGGCTCTCGCCCCGCTACTCAGAACCGACAGCAACCGACGTTGGAGGATGTTGAGCGTGCGGAACAGAGCCCTGCTGCGGCAGCTGCTGTCGCCAGCGGTGGACCGAACGCCAGGCATAGCATCATTTCAAACCCGGTTTCGAACCCCGTTGCTCGACTCCAGCGACAACTCAGTGGAGACGGCGATGGACGCCCGCCTCCGTCTCGCGGAACCGACTACACCGATCAGGGGACGTACGACAGGATAACGGCCAATACCAGCCCCACGCATGGACACCATCCGGCCGGCAGCTTGTCCGAGAGTGTGACTCCGATCTACCGGCAGCAGCGCAACAGCCGGAACCTCAGCGTCACCGTGGATAGAGGTTTCAGGGACCGAGGCAACCAGCCGAGCCCTGTCAAGTCTCCGCGGTCGTTCCGCTCGAGTTTTCTGCTACCGGGGAGAAGCGATGGCGAACAGAACAAGTCCCACAGGAGCCTGCCTGGCGCCGAGAAGCTTTCATCTACCGCTTCCACTCCACGCCTCAACCCTGTGGACTCCTCAAGACCTGCCGACAAGAACAACTTGAAGAAGTCAAAAACCAACCTGGGCTACGTCTTCCAATACTTTGAGGGAAACACCGTCTTCTGCCTTGGCGGTCGCTTCCAGAACACCAAGCATAGGCCAGTGAACGTGGCGACAGGCTTGTTCATCATCATCCCGGCCGTCCTCTTCTTCGTCTTCTCCGCACCCTGGATCTGGCACAACATCAGCCCTGCCATCCCAATCACATTCGCATACCTTTTCTACATCTGCATTTCCTCCTTCTTCCATGCCTCGGTTTCCGATCCTGGCGTAAGTTTACTCCTCTGAGTTGTCCTATTACAGTTGACTAACATGCTGTAGATCCTGCCTAGGAACCTCCACGTTTTCCCTCCTGCAGAACCTACCGAAGACCCCCTCCGACTTGGCCCTCCTACCAACGATTGGACGCTCATCAAGTCCGCCGAATCATCAACCGCAGCCATGGAGGTCCCTGTCAAGCACTGCAGAACCTGCAACATCTGGAGACCTCCTCGTGCTCACCACTGCCGTCTCTGCGATAACTGCATCGAGACGCACGACCACCACTGCGTCTGGCTCAACAACTGCGTTGGCCGACGTAACTACCGATATTTCTTTGCCTTCGTGTCATCCGCCACATTCCTCTCTTTATACCTTCTTGGCGCCTCTTTGGCCCAGATCCTCATCCACATGAACCTTTCCAACATTTCCTTCGGCCAATCCATCGACGACTTCCGTATCCCGTTTGCGATGGTCATCTACGGCTTCGTTTCATTCCTCTACCCGGCCGCCCTCATGGGGTACCATATCTTCCTGATGGCGCGAGGCGAGACCACTAGAGAGTATATCAACTCTCACAAGTTCATCAAGAAGGAGCGCTTCCGGGCGTTCACTCAGGGCAGCATGCTCAAGAACTGGATCGTTGTTCTCTGCCGGCCTAGGCCTCCTACCTATTACCAATTCAAGAAGAGGTACAACGCCGGCGACCAACGCCTCGGTGCTTCCAGAGAACAACCCATAACCGACACCCAGGGCATGGAGATGCAGAACGTCAAGCCGTCTGCCGGGTTTCAAGGCCCCGTTTCTCTACGCAACGAAGTCAACACTTCAATGACATAATTTCTTTCTTTTTGCGCGATTGTTTGGTGCTCGGCGTTGTTAGCGGGAGCGATCATACGTCTGCCGGATCCTGGATACCTGTAATGTATGTTTTCTATTATACCCGGTTTTACCTCCCTCTAGGTAAACAGACACATACCTTCGGCTTTCTCCTCTTCATTTCGAAGAGCAAGCTGGAGTATGACGCCGGGGCAAATTCCTCCGCGTCTGGAGCTTGTACATAGACACTTGGCGCAATTCACAGCGCTTGAAAAGAAAACGCTAGTGAATACCCTCCAATCTCGACGTCATTTCGTTTGCCGAGTGAAAGCCAGGAGGTGAGTGATTCATTCGCACCAGCTTGCTAATCGCAGTGTCACTTGCCACCGTCCAAACACGTTTCCGACCTCATCACCGACCCGGATCTCCGGGTTTGTGAGTTAGTCACTGTGCAACCTAGCCCGCCAACGTCCATAAATATCCTCAATTGTCCACACTGGAAGGGAAGGGTGTACAGGTCCAAGTGCAAGTTGCCGATCAACGGACTCACAACTTCTCACGTCACATTCAAAAAGATTTCACAATGCAGTACGAATTCGACGGCTACTCGGAGGCCAGCAGCAACAGCAGCCCCGGCCGCGCCGCCGCCGCCAACACCCGCAACCAGGGCACCGGCACCGGACAGAACCGGAATCACGGGGAGAGGCGAACAGAGGACGCGGACGGGTTTTACCACGGGACCGGCCGCTTCGCGCGCGAGAATAGGGGGTATGAGGCGCGCGATCGAAGACAGCAACAGCAGCAGCAGCAGCAGCAGCAGCAGAGACCTCGTTACACTTCACCTTACCAGGCCGCCTTCTTCGAGTACGTCGGCTCTGCGGGCCCGAGGAGGAGCGAGGAGGAGTGGAGTCGGATTTTCATGGAGGCGTTCCGGAGGACTGCGGAGGAGAGACGCGGCGGTGGCGGTGGTGGTGGTGGTGGTGCGACTACCAACGGTGCGGGTGCGGGGCTGGGATATGCCGCGTACGGAGGAGGCACGTACGAAGACGAGGAGTACGCACGGGACGGGTTCGAAGACGGGAGGGGGATGGGATACGAGGAGTTTCTGGGTGGTTTGTTCGCCGGCGCTGGGTCTTGGTACCAAGGAACCGGGTTTGAAGGAGGAAGGGGCGGTCTTGGTGATGGACGGCGACGGACGCGAGGCTCGTTTGGACATGGCCCGGGCTCGGGGGTTAGGTTTGAGGAGTTGTTTGGGTCGCCTGGACACCACCACCTCCACTATGGCGATGGCGAGTACGGCGACGCGGGACCGAGGCGCGGGGGCGCGGGGATGACGAGGGAGGAGTTCGATGACCTCTTCCGGGCGCGGTTCGAGGGGCCGAGTCCGACTGGGTACGGGGGCGGTGGGCCGCCTGCGGATTTGTTTGAGCGGTGGCGTTCGGATTGGTGAGGATTGGTTTTTTTTGGTTTGGCGGGGCGGAGATGAGGATTTGAGATAGCGGGTTTGCGTGGTAATTGAGTCAGTAATATTGCGAGGTGTGTGAATTGTTCCTGGGCTGTGATGAAGTGAGTTGGGGATGGGGTTGAGGATAACATGCCGGGGTGATCTTTTGTCGAAGGCGTTCGTAGCTTGGGATGCTGCCTGGGCTTACGAGAGGATAGGCGCCGGCGGGAGGTGGGATGTTTTCAGGGATGTGCTTCTTTTCTGCCTGGTGTTACCGTGGAATCTGTGTCCAAAAACATATTCGACGAGAAGACGGGCTTCTGAGGATGCTCCTCAGCTATGAATACGACCTCAGCAGACTGGTGACCGACCGAGTTGTGAGATTACACCTAGTGTTCTACGACGTGATGAGCACGCCGGACATATGCACCAGATAGACGCTACTTCCCATCCCCTCGGGTCCAAACCATGTTCTTCACCCTCGAAACTATTTCCATCGTAGGGCTGCATATTTGACATCAGCCCTCCGAGAAAAGCTTAGCATGCGCCGCCAGCCCGGTTCCGCTTCAGCATCGTCGAAATCGCCGGGGAAGGGGAGGTCGCCTCGCTAAACATGCGAAGTCCTTTTGTCACGGACCAATCACGGGCGTCCGACGGCAGGCGGGTCCCCGTCATCGCCGGTCCGGCACCCGGGGCTCCCACTGGCCGAGGGGGAGGGGAGGGGAGGGAGGGTCTCAGCCTGATTGAAGACGCAAGATCATGGGTTTCTTTATCTCTCTGTGAATGATTTATATTGGGGCACTCCCGCGGACACTTTGAATCCATTTCTTTTTCCTCTGAGACACTTATGGTAAGAAGATATCCGTATCGAAGATGGACCTCCCGCAGGAGCAGGACGTACCGGCCGAACCGGCCCCGCGGCTGGCCAAGGGCAAGTTATACGCCACGGAGAACCACTGGACCATCCACCGCGAAATCATCACGCGGCTCTATCGGGACGAGAACAAGTCCCTGAAGGAGGTGAAGAAGATCATGGAGGGCGAGTACTTCTTCTACGCGACGTGAGTCCAGATCCCCCTGCCCCCCCCCTCTCATGGCTGATAAAGCGTCGGGTCGGCTGAAGGCTGTATGTCCAGTGACAGGATGTACAAGACGCGCATCAAGCGCTGGGGCCTCGACAAGAAATTCAAGGAGGCCGAGGTCCTCGCCATCCTCCAGCTCAAGAGGGAGCGCGACAGGCTCGGCAAGAAGTCCCGCTTCGCCATCCGCGACCAGGACGTCGCCTGGGACCGCGTGCTGTACTACATCAAGCGCCGGCCCGACCTGCAGAGACACCTGGGCTTCGCCGCGCACGAGCGGGACGTCGTCGACTGGGACCGCGTGGCGGCGTACCTCGCGCGAAGACCGGAGCTGCGGGGCGACCTCGCCGCCGCCGACGCCGAAATCACGACCCGCACCCCGCCTCCCTCGCCGCCGCCGCCGCCGCCGCGTCTGTTCCAGCCCGCGACGGGCCTGCGCTTCGCGGACGAGATCGTGCGGATGCTCCGCGACTTCCTGCACGGGGTCTTCGAGGCGCGGCACTGGACCGTGGTCGACGACGGCGGCGCGCTGCTCTGCTCGCGCGGCAAGGTCGCGTGCCGCGGGGAGCTGGCGGCGTGGTGCGGGATCATGGGCGGCGTGTACGACCTCTTCCGCGGGGGCCGGGTCGGGGCGGCGGTCGGGGTGTTGCACGGCCGGTTCGACGAGCTCGCGTGGATCATCCGGGACCTCGACCCCGAGCTGTCGTTTTTCCACTGCTACATCGTCCTGGGCCAGCCCGCGCCCATCTCGGATCTCTTGTTGCGGTACGTGTGCCGGATGTACGCCGCGGTGCTGGGGGCGCGGCATCCCCTGACGCTGATCTGGAAGAGGGTGTGGGGGGTGGGCGCGGAGGACCGGGTGCATATCCTGAGTGCCGTGGTTGGGTATAGTGCGCGGTTTCTGGAGGAGAGGGTCGGGTTGTTGAATGTGACGCTGAATTGGATTCACGGGTTGCAGGGACAGCTTTTGCAGAGTACGGGGGAGGCGCGTGGGAATGATTTTGAGAGGTTGTTGAAGGGGTATGAGGGGGCCGCGGGGGATTATCTGGATAGGGGACTGAGGAAGGAGGGGTGTAAGTGCTTGTTTGAGCTTGCTGGGCTTTATATCACTGCGGAACGGTTTGAGGAGGCAAAGGCTGTGCTTGATAGGGCTGACGAGGTAATTTTTGAAACGGAGATGAGCGGATGCCTTGGGGGAGAGGAGGTGCGGATGTGGTCGTATGGGAACATGGGCCAGATGAATTACGAGATGGTGACGTTGGGCAGTTTGAGGAGCGAAGTTACCGCGAGATACGAGGCTGCCGTGAAGAGCGAGGAGACGCAGAGGATAGATTCCTGGTCGTTGACAATACCCAGTTGAAAAACAAAAAGCCGCGAGTTGCTGCTCGCGGCCCGTTACTACGCAACCAGAGACTACCTATCCCGCTCCGTGGTGATTGAAATACAGCGCGTCCGGGGGCAACAGACTATCCCAGTTTCCCGGTATCGCCTGACCACCCGTCGTGAAGACCCAGTCGAGGTCGAGCCTCATGTCCATATCGATCCCCCCGTGGTCCTCCCTCTGCTCGTCGACCGGCTGCTCACCGGGCTGGACGGGCGATATACTTTGAAAACTACTCATGCTCTTGGACGTCCCCGTGCCGGCCGGACTATCCGTCCTCGCCCTCTTCCTCGAGCCCTGGTCGCCAGGCCTCACGAACCCGAGTCCCGGCACCATCCCAGCCGCAGCCTTCCTCGCCCTTCCTCCTCCTCCTCCTCCTCCTCCTCCTCCGCCTCCGGCCCCCTGACTCAGCCTCCTCGACCTGAGCTCCCACTTGCGCTGCAGTATCATCAAGAAGTCGCGGGCCCTCTTGGCGCACTCCCACGACGACGAGAGCTCCTCGAGGGCGCGGAAGCAGACGCTGAGGTGTGTGGCGGTCTCGGCGGTCCTCCTGCGGCGGCGGCGGGACATGGAGGCGAAGATGAGGATGACGGCGGCGGAGAAGACGACGGCGACGCCCTGGATGCTGACGCGGCGGAGGGAGTAGAGGCGCTCGTAGGTCTGGATGAGCTTGGCGATGGCGGCGGCGGACTCGATGCACATGCGCTGGGCGTGCATGTAGCCCGGGCCCTGGGGCGGTTGGGGCTGGAGGTAGGAGGAGGACATCCACGGCCTGTGGGAGTGGATTACGTTTTGGTAGTATTGCATGCTGTTCGGGCGAGAGGGTGTTAGTTAGATGTTGTCTACGAAGGATCGTGGTCGAGTTTGTGGGCGAGAGAGATTGACTGACTGGAGTAGGAGGACGTGTGGCAAATAGGTGCCTTCGGCGTCGTCCGGGTCGACTTGTAAAATTGCTGGGAGTTTCTCCTTCCATACGAAGAGCCTCGACACAATCTTTTCGTTGTTTTCTTGTAAAATGTTTTTGGGTATTTTGGAGTTGCCGTATCTGGAGTGGAGGCTATTGTCAGTAATCTGACGTCTACTGCAGCATTGTCGTCTGAGTGAACGCAACTTACAATGTGTGGCCGAGAGGCGCCATGATTTCGCACAATCCTATTCTCTGGAGATTGACGTCCTCGACGAAGCTCTCCGATGCGGAGCCGTTGCTGCTCGGCGAAGTGTACGGAAACCATTTTGCACCGTCCGTTGTGCTGCCCGTGGGCTTGTGAACTGTGATATCATCCAAACTGACGCGGAACGGTCGACCCCTGTAATATCCTAGACTCCTGTGAAACGGAATAGTCAGCAGAAGAACATTTTTTTGTGATTCCCGCTCAAACGTACTGATCCACCACATATGTAGCCCAAAAGACCGTTCGACGCAACTCGGCCTCGGCGTGCGTTAGAATCCCCTTTGCAACGTACGGAGTCATGTCTTTATGAAGCGCCAGGTCAAAAGCAAGTCGTATAGCCATTCCTTTAGAAAACGCAAAGTTAGCAACGGACCGGACGAGTTCCCCAAGAAACTCTCATGAGTGAAAAACAGTACCGCTGTACAACCAGCCCCTTGAGTCCCTATTGGCTCCGATCTCGTGGCTGCTGAGGACAACCATGGCCTGAACTGTTGAAACCGAGGGGGAGTCTAGTTCGATCTCCAGGAGGGTTTTGGCTCGTGCGGCGAAAAAGTCTGGAAGAGACTTTGGAAAGGTCACAAACCTCGGATGATATCGCGTTTCGAAGGCGGCACCTAAAGAGCACCTACAGACAGTTAGAAGTGTTTTATGAGAGGAATTGTGTACAAACGAAAACTGGGAGACGAACATTGCGTTTCTGAGAGCCTCGGAGTAATACGGCGTATCCTCTTCTCGTTCAAGCCACTTAAACTTGGCCTCTTCGTACAGAGTCCGGTCAATAATTGGAGATGACGGATTTTGCCACGCAAAGTAAAGATTGATGAGGTGCTCCTCGAGATCCGGCGGAATCGTCTTTCCGTACCCCAAATTGTCCAAGTGTTCCTGGCCGTCGTTCCGTACAGTTCGGTCCACAGCCAAAGTTTCGCTCCCGGCCGGCATTTCAACCAGGCTAAAATTCGAAGTCGGTCCAAAGTAAGAGATCTGGCCGTTGGGTCCGATGTGCAGCGATCCCAGCCGGTCCGAGAGCTGGTTGACGAGATCTTCTTCCGTCGTCCCGGACGCGCTGTCGTCGTTGTCGACGTCGCTCAGAGCGGCCTCCGAGTACGAGCTCAACAACGGATGACTCGGAGCCCGCACGCTGGCGATGTCCACGCCCGTGGATTCGATGATTTCGTTGTTTTCCGGCGGGCTCCAGTCCCAATCCGCAATTCCTCTCGGCACGACGTCCCGGGCCCGGTTCCAGACTTGGGCGTTTTCGTCATGTCTGTTGTCACCCAGACCGAAGGAAGTCACGTCCAAGGGCAGGGAGAACTCGGGAGGAAGCTGCCCGGGTGGTGCAATGGGGTGCGGAACCGGAATGGATGGTGCGAACGGCTGTGTCCCCAGAGACAGTGCCGGGTCAATGGGCGGCGTCGGATTCTTCTCCAGCGTCGTTTGGACTTTGGAGAGTCCTAGGGTGTCCAGGATTCTGGTGAGGCTCTTGTTCTCGTCTGGAGGCATGGGGGGGGTTTGGAGGCCATGTTGGTTGATGAAATGGCAGAGCTGGTCAACTCTGCTGGATAACAACTCGACAGCAACGCGAAGGGAGAGTCTGCTTGTTGTCAGCTCCGACAAGGCCTCCCGTCTCTTTTTTTCAACGATAGAGACTCGAAAGGAAATCTGACTTGCGCTTGTCCTCTCCGGCCTGATATCGACACTCTCTACCTTTGTTTTTGCAGTTGGAGCAAAGTGGCGTAACCCCGTCACACTACAAAATGGCCGTTAGTGGCAATAATCGTGTTGGGCCGAGTTCAGAAGGCTCTGAAGTCGATATCACGCATGGGTGGTTTGTTATTAGCTGGGCTTAGGGAAACGGTTTCCGTACCTTGATCTTGCTCTCCCTGCATGAGATGCACGCCGTGGTGACGTGTCTCCTCTTGCTCTCGGATTTCGATGGTTGGGGCATGACCGCCTGCTGCTCTACGGAATGACGCCTGTCTCTCTCTCTCTCTCTTTGTGTTGAAGGAGTGGAGGATTGGGAACTGGGCCTAGGGTCTGATGTATGATGGGGGCAATGGACTGGTTCTTGACCGATCCAGAGGTCCACTCGGCTTGCAGTACTCAGCATGCCGTGCCGTTGGTATGTATGTGTACGAAGTAAAGGTACCTTAGTTTTGGTGTCATGTCATGTACGTGGGCGTAGGAATAGGCGTTAGTCGCGGTGTGCGTGGACACCGAGCCGAGGCCTACAGGGAACTTGCTGGACGCTAGAGCAACTATGCCGCTCTCTGATAGGGCGCTAAGGTTTGGCGAGCCAGCTGTACTCTGTATGCTCGGCTGAGATGCGGCGATAGTCTTCCCTAAACCAGTAGTTGTGTATCCGCGCCCTTGGTTTTGGTTTCTCTGTCAAACTGTGCTTCATGTCGTCGGTTTCTGCCATTTTACTTTTGATTTAATATCTATGGCAAAGCGTCTTGATTTGTTTTTCCAAGAGACGCCCGCTTCGTGACTCGCACGCAACATCATGTAGCCAGCCAGCTACCAACAGGCCATCATTTACGAGTCTTGATTTTTCTGCTCAAGCAACATTCACTTGTGAACTTTACATGACTTCAGTTTTCTGTACTGTAAAAGATGTGGCTTGGCTGTGCCAACAAATAAGCTTATCTTCTATCAATCGAGTAGCGTATGCCGAGGCATCGCGGAGGCAACCGAGCAACCAGTAAGCATAAAACAAGCCGTGCTGAACTCTGGGCAGAATCTGGAGTTCGAGCGCGCGAACGCTTTACCTATTTGATGAATCATACCATAAATACAATCTGATGTTGAACCAACGGTAAGTTCCACTACTCGCTCTCGTGGGCAGGGTATCTGAGACAGCTGCCGGGGCTGGTAGATGCCGACATGCCGTGTCTACGATGCCAGGTTTTTCGCACGCGATATGCCACGAGGGAAAAACGGCCTCACCCCAAGGACATCGTTATCCTTGTTGAACGGAGTGGGTTCGCACTTTAGGTTATTACCGAACTTCGTTTGATCCTCGTAAAGACTCCGTAGCGATTCGTCCGGTCCATAGCCACAACGGTGTTCGGACGTGTCAAAACCTTCGAGGCGTTGCCAAACCCGCGAGAACGGCATGTCAATAAAGAATAGGCGACCCCTGAAACCTCAGCTAGACTAAAAGAAGAAGTCGTATCCTGACCAGTCATAGCCGTACTTAAACAATTAGATGGCAATCATCGCATGTAGAATGGCAAATCGGGGAGCGGGGAGTTCCCCAGTCTCGCAACGTCTTGCCAAGTTGAATAATTTCACTGTATTCGTGCTGAGGATGAGGGCCCCTTTTGCGTGATCACGAAGTAAATAAATAGCCTCTGAATCCGCACAAAGCCAAGTAATACCAAGTAACAAATTGTATGAGTCTGACATGCATTGGACAATCGAAGGGCGTGGTTCTTAAACGACATCTTTCTTTTCTGGTGGATCTAGACCGGAGCCATCGCGGGGACACTACCGGAATTATGCCCCGAGAGGATCTGATATGTGAACTATTCTTGCACTCTCATAGGGTGATCGGAACCCTAATCCCGAGATCCCCACCCCCATCAAAGCTTGGATTCAACTACGAACCTGAATTGTCTCAAAGGCTGTGACTGAAAGACACCAGAATCGCCGTGTTTGAACTCAAAGATCAGTGCCTCTATGTCGGGAGGGAACCGGCGCCGGCGGAGAGACCTACGGAGGCTGTTCCCCGGGTGGACCCACCGATTACCGGCCCCATCCGGGACCGAACAAGGCAATTCTGGCCGGGAAAGGAGGGGTCATTACCAAGTGGTTTTCGTCAATAATTCCCATTCTAGTTGCACCCATTGCAGATGACGTCTCTCAAACCGCCAAGCCATCAGTGACATACTCCTATGAGCTCTTTCGACGAACGATTCTTCATACCAGGTCGGAAATCTGTCGTCGCAAAGGTGCAGAATGTGGAGAGACAAAACCCACCGTGATACTCTATAAAATACCCCGCGTCTGCACCCCCACGACAAAGACGTTGGACTTCATCGGACCTACCGTTTCACATCTCCGAAAGTTTCGTTTTCGTCATCGTGATAGACCAGGAGAAAAGGCAAAAATGACAATCAGGAACGGCCAGACGAACGGGACTCGCTTCCCCAGCGCCTCACCTGCGCGCCTTTTCTCAACGTCCGAAGCCTCGGCCCTCGACACCTTTTCAGCCATCTGCGCCCAACGAGCAACATCGGATGAATACCCCCTGGCCGCATCGATCGAGAAGAACATCCCCATCTACGACCTCCCGCCTTACGCCAGCCTCAGCAAAGACCAGCGTGCCGCCCTCCAGGACGAGTGGTACCGCGTCCTCATCTCCGGCCCGGGCGTCTTCGTGACCAAGGGCCTCTACCGCGACAGGGCCCTGATCGAGGCCGCCAACGCCGCGTTCGCGTCCATCATCGAGGAGGAGAAGAAGTCGGGCGTGGCGAAGGGAGACCACTTCGCCAGCGCCGGCAAGAACGACCGGATCTGGAACTCCTTCAGCAAGCACGGGCTCCAGGACCCGGCGTCCTTCGTCGAGTACTACTCGAACCCGTACCTCGGCCTGATCTCGAGCGCGTGGCTGGGGCCCGGATACCGCATCACCGCGCAGGTGAACAACACCAAGCCCGGCTCCGCGCCGCAGGTCTGCCACCGGGACTACCACGTCGGCTTCCAGACCGCCGAGGCCTCCGCGCAGTTCCCCCGCGCCATGCAGGTCGCGAGCCAGCTGCTGACCCTCCAAGGCGCCGTCGCGCACTCCGACGTCCCCGTCGAGAGCGGGCCGACGCGGCTGCTGCCGTTCAGCCAGACCTTCGAGCCCGGGTTCGTGTCGTACCGCCGCCCGGAGTTTAACGAGTATTTCTTGAAGAACTACGTGGCGCTGCCTTTGGAGGTGGGCGACGGCCTCTTCTTCAACCCCGCGCTGTTCCACGCTGCTGGGAAGAACGAGTCGGCGGATGTGTACAGAATGGCCAACCTGCTCCAGATCAGCAGTGCGTTTGGCAAGCCGATGGAGTCGGTCAACGCCGTGCCGCTGGTGGAGAAGACCTGGGACCACTTGGCGAAGCTGTATGAGCAACAGGGTATGAGTGACGAGGTTAAGTCTTTCGTGGCGGCTGTGGCAAACGGTTATCCGTTCCCGACGAACCTCGATAACAACCCGCCGAGAAATGAGGGTATGGCGCCGGAGTCGGAACAGGACAACATCACCACGAGTCTCGTTGAGAAGAAGAGTAAGAAAGAGGCAGTAGACGCTCTTAAGAGCTTTGTATCCAGGTGCCAGGCATAATGATCAAACAGAAATGAAGACAAATACATGTAATCCAACGCTTTACACAGTATCTTCAGGGCTCGGTGCTTTTTGATCTTCTATTAAGAGCTTCCATTCGAGTTATGTCCAACTTTTGTAATGTTAAGCCCAGCGCGGCCGGCCAATGTTCCATCAAAACGAGAGACTGCTTGCTAACGGCTTCCAGACTGTCAAAGAGCATGGCAAAATTCCCGAGATGCCAAGAAATTCTCTTCAACAATCCAGGAACCACGTTTTCTCAGCGACTGGAATGTTGCCATTGCCAAGCAATCATGCGGCAAGGGCGTTGTGAAGGCTTCTTGGCGATTTACCGAGGAAGCCATCACGGCCACTTATGTCGTTGGTGGAACCAACAACACTGATGTTCCCGATTTCATCTTCATCGAGTATGGACTTTCGAAAAGGAGAGGTCCGGATGGAGGAAGTAAACTTGATCTTGTTAGTTGGGTAAATGTGAAGGGTCGAGAACAGAACGTGGACGTTTGCAGTCTGTTCATCACGAGCCCGCCAAAACTCTCACGTCGCAGGCTTCAAGGATACGCGCCAATTTACAGACTGTCGCGGCTAATGCGAAGAAAACCCTCCATTTAGCGCTCTAGTTCTAGACCACTGGGAAGCAACATCTAGATTTCCTCGAGAGGGTCTGCTTTCAGTAAGCGCCACGGCGTCTGCTTTGATCTGTACTCGAAAGAGGCGCATGGCCAGAGTACGGCGCCGGTCGAAAGGTTCCAAAAGCCACAAGTGCGTTCGGAGAGAACCGAAAGGCCACGGGGGCTCACCACGGCCCGTGGCATCCAAAATAGACGCGCTGGGTTCTCGCAAGTCCAACACCGGCTCGGTTCCAAAATGCGGACAAGCCGGTGCTACCAAGACAAGCCTTTCAGCCCCAGACCAGCCGTCAAAGACTCTGGGCTGGTTCTCCTCAGAAGCTTGCCGTGACGTTGCAATGCTGGCTAATCCCAATGCTGTGCTCTGGCGTCGACGGGGGCCTTTGTGATGTGAGACCATCCCCTAGGATCCCTACCAAACGCGGTGCGCCCGGCAACCGAGTCCGGAGACTTGTTTGTATTGACGGAATCGAGAGACTGACACCGTTTACATCACTAGCCGGTGATCGAGGTCGTTCTAGCGCGCATGGAGGGGAAGCCACGGGCTACACAGCCTGGGTCTCTCTGGGGAATCGGCGTGGCAAGTTGGCGATCTTTCGTCTCTCGTGGCGCCTTCCACGGTGCTACGATGCCTCCAACTTGCTAGGGATGGCATTCTGTATATAATGGTTCCAGACATCCGTGTCTTTACCCCATATTCTTCTCATCATCACACAGCATCCATTCCAACAATCGACAGTACAACTTGAAGCAGCTCAAACAATCACCGCTCCCGTATCACAACGTCCGCAAGCACCTCTTGTCTTACTTGAACGATTCCACTCCTCACGCAATAAAAAGCGCGTCACAGCCACATCGACAAACAAAACCGAGCGTTTTCCATTCAGCTTCAATCACCCATCAGCTCCTCGTCCCGACCTTACCCAGTCATCTCATCTTCCAAGATGGTTGCCAGCAGCCGCATCCTCGCCGTGGCTTCCGCCTTCGCCGTCGGCGCCTCCGCCGCCGCCGTCCCCGTCCTCCGTCGCCAGGAGGACGGCAACAGGTGGACGGCCACCAACTACACCTGGGGATGCTCCCCCGGCGGCTGCATCGCCAACTTCTTCCTCCTGGGACAGGAGGGTTTCCCCTCCGGCGCGCCGGCCTTCGACGTCCAGTGCAGCCCCGTCTACGTCCAGCAGGACTGGACGGCGTGCAAGAACGCCGACGGGTCCGACATGGCTCCCGAGTCGGTCGTCTACGCCGTCTGGCAGAAGAACGAACCCACCGATCCCAATCAGTACGTCAACATCGCGCACGTCTACTACCGCCAGGAGGACGGGCTCTACTACATCGCCCAGACCAACTCCACCGGTTTCGTCCCTGAGCAGGGCGCTTCTGAGTTCTTCGACATCGCCAGCGTCCTGCCCGCCCCTGAGAGCCATCTCCCCCCTCCTACTCTGACGAGCACCCCGTCTGCTCCGGTCACGATCCAGTCCGACGCTCCAGCTTCCGACCCTATCCAGTCTGATATTGCCGCTCCCGATCCTGTCCAGTCTGATATCGCGGCTCCCAACCCTATTCAGTCTGACGCTCCGGCTTCCGACCCTCTCCAGTCTGATATTGCCGCTCCCGTCCCTATCCAGTCCGACGCTCCGGCTTCCGACCCCATCCAGTCTGATGTTCCCACCCCCGACCCCGTCCAGTCCGACGCTCCCATCCCGTCCACTGATCTTACGGTAACTGATCCCGTCCCCCCTGCCGGAGAGAACATCCCCAATTCTGACGATGGCACCCAGGACACCGGATCCGACAACGTCATCACTCCCGGCGGTGGTCCCACCGACGACCCGGTTCCTACCCAGAGCGAGGCCCCTTCGCCGGCCCCTACCGAGACTGAGCCCACTTCAGATGACCCTGCGTCTACCCCTGAGGTCATGTCCCAGCCTATCCTGGCCCCCGGCGAGGCCAGCATCGGCACCATCCCCCCCGGTGGTGACGGCGCTTAAGTGGAGGCTCATGTCGTAGGAAGAGATGAAGAGGTCAAGATTACATGAAATAGATCGCGGGACACTGGTGCATTGGGTTGGAGTTATCATTTATGGTCTTTTGCCTTAGCTTCATTTATAATTCATAAGTGACTTTTTGCTACATGATTCCCACATGTCCTAAGTGACGCTCCGATCAACGCTACATGAGACTCTTTTCACCAAGGCTTGGTATCGATAGGGGCAAGAGGCGTCTGGCACTTCGCCGCGAGCGCGGCCTTCGCCTCGTCGCTGTCGATGCTGACGCACGGGGTATCGATGCCCCCGTCGACTCCGTCGCAGATGATGACAGGGTCACCACCGCAGGGGCTGGTAACATTGAAGTTCTTGACCTTGATGTTGTGGCAGACCGCGTCTGGGTTCGTCGAGCAAGTGAGCTTGGCGACGGCGTTACCGTAGACGCCGCTCGTGTAGCCCGAGAAGTTTTCGAACAGGACGTTTGAGACGTTCATTCCCGAGGGGTACTGCTCGCAGGTCGTCTCGTTGATCTGGAAAAGGGTTAGCCATGCTGCATGCTGACAGTACTGCTTCAAAGACTCGGTGTGGTTGTCTTACGTTGAAGTAGCATGAATCGAGGATGATGCCGTAGTCCATTCTCGCCAGCCAGAAGTTCCTTTGTTCCGTCGTCAGAGACATCCGTGAGATTCGAAAGAGTCGGCAAATTAAACTTACTTGTATGTGATGTTCTCGACGTATCCATACCCCACGTTAGGGCCGGCCCAAGTCTTGATTCGAGCACCAGAGTACTAGAGACATTGTCAATCATAACCCAGTTGAAGACGTTGCGGGTGATCCTACGTCTCCGTTCAACATCCACACATTCTCAATGTGGACGTCCTTGACGAACGACATTTCACCGGCATATTGACCAAGCGAGCCGATGGACTGGGACCGTAGCGTTAGTTATCATCCTGCCACATTCATCTCATCTTCATACCTGACCGTGAGTACCTGCAAGAACAATTAGCTTAAACGGCCTGATGAGTTCGAGGGACACTGTGCCTTACCATTGCAGTACATGGTGTTGACGTAAAGATTGGTGTTGTTGGATTTGGGAGAGAAGCAGTCGTCGTCGATGTTGACCCAGACGCGCTCGATGCTAACATCCTGCACGTCCAACGAGTCGAAGAAGTCGGTGTTCTTGGGGATGATGCTGCCGTTGTTCGTGATGGCGGTGGCGATGACGTCCTTGTACTGGATGTTGCTGGCTACGTATTCGGTCAGTGCCGGAAGACTGGAGCATTGATACACGACGCCTGGGGAGCCGTGAGGTGTCGAGTGACTTACATCCGACGATGAAGTTCGTCCAGCAGGGAGAATCCTTCATGTGAATGCCCTGGACCTCCAAGTTCGTGGTGTTCTCCACGTAGAAGAGAATGGGACGGAGGTACTTGTTGTCAGGGTTCTGGAGCAGCAACGGTTAACTAAGCCGCCATGAGGTCGGACGTAGTACGAGGTAACGCATGGCAAGCTCACCAAGATTCTGCAGGAAACGTCCGGTTAGCATAGGTGGAAACCACTGATTTTGATGGCACTTACGATCCGATACCAGCATTGAACTCGTTCCACCATCGTTGGCTATAATTCATCCAAGTTAGAGAAGCTATGCGATGAAATCTGTCGACAATCAATATACCCTTGACCGTTGATAACACCATCACCGTAGATCTTGATGTCTTTTCCGCCCCATTTCCCTGGACACAACACATTAGAAAGCAAGTAAGTCGTCGGGAATTAATTATCATACAAAACATGATGGATTTCTAGTATGTCTGTTAGTTGGAACTTTTAGAGAAAGAGGGGCATCCAGTCTTACTTGAAAAGGGTGCTCGAACGCGTTCTCTTGCCAGTAGGCAACATCGTTGGTGAACTAGATTCAGAATATTAGCGTCTAGACTTTCAAACTAACTGAACCCCCGCAGCATACCTTGATCTCTCCTTCAAGTCTGACATGGACGTCATTGAGGAAGGTCAAGTCGAGAGCCTTAGCAATGACAAAAGTCTTGTTCTTGGGCAAGTACAACGTGCCACCGTTGTTAGCGTCCTGAAGACCCTTGCGGAACTCCTCAGACACATCGTCGGTGTCGTTCCTCGACGCCCGGATCTCGATCGTCTTGCGTCCACACCCACTCGAAGGGGGCGTGTAGGGGTGCTTGTCCCTGAATTCCGAGAGAGATCTCGGAACGCCGGCAGGCAGCTCCACCGCGTACGACAGCACGCCGGTGACGGCGGCCAGCAGGGCGAATGATCGTGAAAGACGCATGGTTTCCGAGCACTCGTCAAAGATGCGATGCAACGACACTACCGAGATCCCGTCAAGTAGAGGTTTCCCAAAAGACGCAGGCGAACTCGGGAGGCGGCCACCGTCCCCGTCTTAAAGGCTTCGGCCGATCACCTCCTTGATGATGCTTTCCAAGTGGAGACCGAAGACATTCCCACTTTCTTCCTCCTCGGGTGAACACCTCATCAGACGGAAAAGTATGTTTAATAGAGTCGGGGCCAACGCATTGTAAGTGATTTCGGAAAATCGGTCTTCGCCCGCTCGGTCGCGGTGATAGCCAACCACCCCCCCGTGGCCCCCGCCGGTTCGGAAAAGACCCCCGGGCCCCTGAGAAGCTCGTGGGAGGCGGTCTGGCGCACCAAACCGATGGAAGATCGTCGTGGGGAAGCTGGCTGGGGAATCTCGGGGTCGTGCGGGGGAGATCCTTGAAGAGGTTGCAGTGCAGCGCTGGGCCTGGGCCCATTGGTGGGAAATCCTGGCTTGCTTGATGATGTTCGGATAAAGACACCGCGCCGCTGGTTAGACTACAAACTTGGACCGGCTGATGATGGGAAAGAGCCGACAGGACATCCGCCTTCGTGGATCTGGAGCTGTTTCGATTCGATATGACATCAACGTCTCTTTTCGCGTTTGATCAAACATTCGATCAACCAATCAAGAAATGCCGCCTAATTTGATTGAATCTATTGCTGAAATTGCAGATGAAGGTCGTTGTTGGGGCGCTTTTCTGCGTGCATGTACATATATTCATTCATCCGTGCTGTGCGAAGAATTCTCGACCGTCATTTTCTTGCAACTCCCCCTCGCAACCTCTAGGATTTCTCTCTCTGATCTCCAGTCGACTGAACCGGTAAAGAATGGTTAGGCTGACACTTCACAACAAGCCCGTTTTCGTATATGCTCCAGATGCTGCCAGTCCCTCTCTCGGTTTTGTTGATCGATGAATTCTCCACGCGTGAAACCGAACTTCGTCTTCCATGCCACTGCCAAGGTCTCCTCAGCTTGTTACAACGACAGACCCGAAGGAATCACTGGCCAGCAACATTGTGCTGACAGAAAAGTCCGAATGACACTACTCGCATCTGTGTATGCTCCCAAGACCCAAGTGCAGGGACGCACTGCTAGACGCATGGTTGCCGTTGTTTCGAATGCCCAATCCCCTGTTGTCCACCTTTGAGGCTGGTGCAGCAGGTGCTGTTAAGATACCAGTATTCATCTCCACCCAGGTATTGTCCTCTGGGGCGTTGTGCGGTTGTAATATCACTCAGTCGGCGATTGATGCTTTGAACCCTCACTAAACATCATTTGTCGATCACTTTGAAGTTGGTGTGCGAGGTTATGCAATATTCGTCGGTCACAAATTTCTCGGCCGAAGTATACACTCCTAACATCAGGCCTCCTGTTTCCGGCGTGCAGCGGGAGCGGTTTTATTTGATCATAGCTCTCACGACATTGGGGCGCGCCTGCCATGGGAGATAATCTGAATATTCCTTGTTATTTGCGCAGAGACAAACTGGTCGCATCGGCTCAATGGAAATCATTTGAACGTCTTCCCGGAATAGACTGATGTATTATGTGAAAGTTCTCGCACCGTCGACACAGCAGCATGAGATCCGGATATAAATCAGTCTTATCAAGCTCCTTAAGAAAGTTGTCACGTTCGATCTTCAAGAGCCTTGCGGGGAAATATTCGACATTGTGAGAAAATAATCTGCCTGTCGGGTGGGAGATGTTGGTTGATATGAACTAATAACTCTGCAGGAAACACATATAGCCCAATCGCCACTCTCTTGCGTTTGTTAGATCAAGCTATTGATTAGATAGAATCATCTGTTGAATCCATTTTGGCACGTAGAATATTCAACTGAATGCAGGTTTGCTAAGACGTTTTCACCGCGCAAAGACAGTTGTTGTAGCATCGTGGTAATAAGCGAGGGACATAGGAAGTGACAGAGAGAGAGGGAGATATATATATATACATATATATCAATGCAGATAGAGACAGGACATCAAGAAGGTGATGTTGAACCTCCACGGATAAGCCACAGTCACGCAAAGCTCAACTTCCAGTGTCAAGTCAAACCGGGTTACCACGTAGCTCATGTTAAACATATCTCTATGTGCGGAGCAACCATAATCCCAATAACCTGAATTCCAATTCAAATTTCAACACAACTAGGCTGATCTATGCTTTTGAGATGTACACATGCGTCTCAGTGGTCTGGACAATGGCTCTCTCGCTGTTGCTATCCGGTTCGTTCCAATCACCCCCCGAATCCTTTCGCCGCCCACTTTCAACATCTCCTTCGCGAGGGCCTCCCTTGATTTGGACTTGAAATGTGTCCATATCGTAGTCTGGCTCGTCGCGGCTGTTATCGAACCGGTTGTATCGAGATCGTTGGGCGGCAGACACACCTCCGCCTGTACCGCCGATGGTGCGGAGACCATTGCCTGAAGCTGCCCCTGATTTCCCGGTAGTACCCCCTCCAGACGAGAATAGTTTCGGAGATACCGTGTGGAAGAAGAGTCGCAGAGTAGATAGGCATGCGCACATGACTAGAAGATTTGCTTCTATGCTCCTGTGGATAAATGTTAGCTACGTTTCAAAACATACCTCAAGCAAGAAATAACACTTACACCCAAATGTTAATAAATATACCGCCCCAAGTCTGATCCGCATCAGCGAGGATGGTGATGAGCAGAAACAAGCGGACAACAGAAGTGATAACGGTCCTGTGCGGAATTCTTCAGCATCAAGACACGCGCATAAGACGTCCGGTCAGACTTACACCGAGCCGATGCCAAATAATGCAAGTAACCCAATCTTCTTCTTCGTCGAGATATGCAGAGACAACACCATTGGTATAGGAAGGCAGATGATCATTATATCGGTGATCACGCCGAACGCGGCTGTCGCCTTGAAAGTGGCAACTCGGTCGATGCATTCCCCAGGAGTGACCAGGTCGTATGCTGCGGGAATCGGGTTGCATGGGAAAATGGAACTGAAGAGTATGCCCAGACTCGACCCAATGACAACAAACATGGTGAAGTATATGGACCAAGTAAACCACTTGGACAGGTTGTTCAGCTCGAGGAAGAACAACAGAATGACCGTTTTGCAGGCACCCGGTGGGATCGCGTAGACGATGGGGTTGATGTAACTGTTCCACTACAACTCGGCGTTTCCAGTCAGCGTAGATCCGGACAAAACGTAGAATTGGAGAAGGACATACGAAGGTGAAGTCTTTGAACTTCTCAATTGGAATCTCCCACCCATGAACGCCGACGTATCCCTCCATCGAGGCCTCTGGTGATAGACGTCAGAAATGCGTGCAAATAACTGGTTGAAAGACATTACGGACTTATCATGAGAGCCTGAATAGCAACCGTGAATGCCTTTTCGGGTTTATAATCAGCAAACTTTCCCGGCTTTTGGTGTAATTGGCTGATAAACCATCATGATACTGTGCATATGATGGTAACATGGTTCCTTCTTAATCGAAAGAGAGCAGCCTTCGAACTTACCCAACCAAAAATGAGCAAGACTGCGAGTAACAGATGTTAGGGCGGGGGTCCAATCTTTGGTCCAGATTCTTTGACACGTACCATCGTCAAGTCCGAATTTCTTGCGGATGATAAGTTTGACATAAAGTCGCTGAAGTAGAAAGAGCAAGGCAAGAAACATGCCAATGCTCACAACGATGTATGTCTCGACAACATCTCGTCTTTGAGGATTCTCAAAGTCCACAACGTAGCCGTCGGGCGCTGGAAGAGCGGTGATCACTTCCGATTTGTTCGACATTGCGAACAAATCCGTTGAAGAGAGACGCAGGAATGAAAAGAAAGATACCGTTGAACCAGCATTGCTGACTCGAGTAGAAGAGAATGCCCAGTAATGTGAAAAAGAAGGACTGCCAGGACTTCTTCTTCCGAGTTCATCCTTCGATCTCCCAGTTAGTTGGCTCTCTCGTTTCCCGTGAATCGACTCCACTCCCACCCGCTGCCTTCCTAATCTGTATTTCTGAACCATGGTTGGTATCGTAGATTGCAGGCAAAGGGCATTGCGACAGTTTGAACGGCACGCAGGGTTTCTTACTGGAGAGCATGGTGGTCTAGTCCACAGAAATCCTTCAGGATGATACCCGGTGCCCCGGACCCAGGTGAGATCACAGGAAGGCCCCGCCTCGGTGCGCCGCAACCTTGAACGTCGTATCAATGGACATCAGCCTTGCTCGGCTGGCGGGGGAGATCCGGGCGGTGATTTGTCTGGTTTTGGTCTAAGCGAGCGTTGTTGACATGTTCATGCTCTCGACATTCTATTCTTGCAAGGACTGCTGAGTCGTGTCCCAGAACGCCTGAGGTAATGAGCGTTGTTAGTTGTGTTTATTCCGTTGTTCTTCGAAATCACGTATCATAAAATCTGTGCAGATAAGAACGAGATCGCAAAAAGATAGATATGTGTGAAACCTTCGGTCTCATTTGATTGATGTTTTCCCTCTGATGAGACAAGCTCAACGAGGAAAGAGGTTCGCCGTAAGCAAGATTCAGACCCATCGGTAAGCTGCCGGGGCCCCTAGTTAGACCCAGAATATAAATGAAGCGGATGCAACGAAGCACCAACAACATTATTTCAACAACCAACAATATTTGCCAGACAACGCCAACTGACATGGGAGACCGGCCCGCTCTTTGCCTTGGCGTAGGGGAACAGATGTGTTCTCCAAGCATCTTGTCTGTTGACGACAAGGACTTGCGCGTCCAGACGAGCAAACTCGTTCGACTCGCCACTTGCCCATGCTTCGATTCGCAGATTGGGTCAAGGTTTCTTGGACGGACTCGCCCCTCTCGCCTATTCCCGACCAGCTTAGCCGTAAGCTTCAGCCCTCGAGATTGAGATTCGGGTCAAAATGGGGAAGCGAGAAAAGACCTCACGAGGAGGAAGGATGGAGTTCTCCCCTGCGACCCCGTCGACTTGCATCGATCATTTCGGCGCCTCGGCCATTGCAGACTCCCAGAGGCTCCCAGGTTCCGTGTCATGTATAAGAAATCTATTTACCGCCACGTGGAAAACGAGAATTTCTTCGTTCCTCATCCCTCGAACCTCAAGCCCTTTTTCGTTCCGCGCCAGATCTGACTCGTCGTGCCTCCGGAGGTCAAGGCCCTCGGACTCGTTTAATCAATCGTGGATCAACTAGCATTCGCCAACACGACAATGTTCAACGGAGGCTTCGGTACCGGCCTCTTGGCCGCCTCGGCTCTGTTCCTCCCTGGCATCTGCTCTGCAGCCGCGTTTGAGGCTCCGGAACCGTTGGCGATTCGTGTGCCGGCTACGCCGCGTACCGGCATTGCTCCTGTATGCCAAGATTCCCCCCTTTCTCACACCCTGTGCGAACCTGCACTCTATGCAACCACCGTAAACAGAAAAATGTTTGGAGCCATTAACTGACATTTCTTGGCAACCAACAGTGTGATGCCCTTATTGCCGCTGGCCTCGGAGACCGTCTGGTTCTCGCGACGGATGAGGGCTACGAGAGTCGTATCGCGACCTACTGGTCTGTGAGCGCTCGCCTGAGATCGTGGTGTCTCGTTCAACCGAGGAACACGCAAGAGGTGTCGGACGCCCTGACTGCCTTGGTCAAGGCTGGCTCTGGTGCCGGTGACTGGCACATTGCTGTCCGTGGAGGTGGACACAACCACTGGGCCGGAACAAACAACATTGCCAACGGCGTGACCATCGATTTGGCATACTTCAATCAGTCCTCATACAACGCCAGGACGAACTTGGCGTCGATCGGACCAGGTGACCACTGGAAGGACGTCTACGCAAGCCTCCTCAAGTACAACGTCACTGTTACTGGTGGTCGCGATGGCGGCGTCGGCGTCGGCGGTTTCCTCCTGGGCGGCGGTAACTCGTACTTCACTGGCCGTATGGGTCTCGGATGCGACTCAGTCGTCAATTACGAGGTCGTGCTTGCTGATGGTCGCATTGTTAATGCCAACAGCACTTCCAACTCTGACCTCTTCAAGGCTCTCAAGGGTGGAAGCAGCAACTTTGGTATCGTCACTCGCTTTGACATGGAGGCGATCCCGGCCAAGGACCTCTACACCGGAATCCACCTCATGAGCAAAGACAACTCGGATGCTGTTGTCGACGCCATCGTCGACTTCACCAACAAGGACCAGTCTTTCGCTGATGATGCAATGGTCGTCGTTTACACTCACAACACCGCTATGGGCGACGACGTTCTCATTGCTGCATCTCGCGTCAACACCCAGGGCAACAGCAACACCACCGCCTTTGCCAAGGTCAACCAGATCCCCGCCATCAGCAGCGCCATGACGCATCGTAGCATGTCTGACCTGGCGGTGAACTCGCAGATTCCTGCCGGTACCCGGTGCGTATATACCTTATTCTTGAGCCCATATACAGTGACAGTAACTAACTGATGATACCAGGAGTGTTTGGTTTACTTTGACATTCAAGAACGACGCCTCTATTCTCAAGAGTGCTGTCGATGCCCATCAAGAATTTGTCGATACCATGAAGGTGGCCGTCGGTGCTGATGAGTTCACTACTCAGATGGTTTTCCAGCCGTTGCCTACCTACTTCGCCAAGATCGGCAGTGAGCGCGGTGGAAATATGTTTGGTCTCGATGCTGAGACGGATAACTCCATTCTTTGGCTCGGCCTGGTGACCATCAACACCGAGTCTCAGGAGGCTGTGGCTCGCGCCCACATGGCTGCTGCGGCTGCGAAGATCGAGGACTTCGCCGTCTCCGTTGACGGAAACGTCAACTGGAGATACCTCAACTATGCCGACCCCAGCCAGGACCCCATTAAGACATACGGCGGTGTCAACGTTGACTACATTCGTAGGGTTGCATCCAAGTATGATCCAGAGGGCGTTTTCCAGAAGCGCATCCCTGGTGGCTTTAAGATTTCCAGGGTCGTTTGAGCTTTTCGTCAGACGACAAGATGAGCGTTACGACGAACATAGGCAATATGGGAACGAGCATAGAAAACGTATCGGAAGAGGTTAATCAAATAACGAATAATTAATAATACCGTCGGTCGTCATGCCAATTACAAAGTCGTCTTTGACCTTAGCTCTTTTGAATGAGATGATTCAAGTAGATGTGAAATACGAAGATGAATATTTAGTTCACCACAAGGGCCAAATTTCAAACGGCGTTCCGTACCTACCGAAGCGGAAATCTTACCGCCGGGCCGCTTATGGAGACTGGACCCACCACCGGGCCGGTCGTTGTCGGCGGAAAGCGGCGGCTTTGGTTCCGCGGTGTCTGGTGCCCCCAAATTTCGGTGTCTGCTGGCAAGGTGTTCAGAGTACTTAAAATCGTCGATAAGGCGTGAGCAAATATGTACTGATAAGAGTCATCGAATGAAAGCCATGGACGGACCATCGCACCAAGAGCTTTCTTGCCAACTTCCGCGGAAATGCTCGTTTCGAGGCTTGCAATGACTCTGCCTCTAGGGAGACAACCGTGACCTGGATTAATAATGAAACAGCTGCCGCTGCAGCAATTCTAGGCTCGACTATCATCAAAACGTGAAAACCAGTCAATGTCAGTCTTGGTCATCTGAGATGATCCGACCAATGCCATTGCGCACATACGTAAAACAGAGTATTCGAGTCGTTTTCAGGTTAGACACAGGCGCAGATTTCCATATTTAGGTGGTTTGGGATTCGCAGAACCCAAAATTAGTGGATCGCGCGCCCTTCCACAAACATGCGCACCGGTGTTAGTGACGGCCGGTACCCGGGCGCTATAAGAACACGGCCCGACACTCTTTGCCGTGGTCTTGGCCCGATATCAACTTCATTCAAGCCCAAGATAACTCTGCATCTTCTTCGCCCAATCCTCACTCGTTCCCAACATTATCAGATTGTTCCAAGCTCGCGGTCAAAATGTATCTTCGCGGCGTCCACGCTGAGCAGAGCATCCCCGCTCTCCGCAAGCTCATCCGCGACTTCCCCCTCGGCATTCTCACCACTGCCATCGCCTCTGCCACGCACCCTCTCATTCAATCCAGCCATATCCCGTGGGTTCTCGACGTCGAAGATGAGTCGAGCGAAACCGAGCTCGGCGTCCTGCGTGGCCACCTGGCACGCGCGAACCCGCAGAGCAAGGCCATGATCGAGTCATTATCAGCCGAGGGCCGCTCCGGAACTGGGAACGTCCTTGACCAGGAGGTCATGGTCCTCTTCACCGCGCCAACGCATCACTATGTCACACCGAAGTTCTACACCGAGACGAAGCCCACCACGGCCAAGGTCGTGCCGACTTGGAACTACGCTGCCGTCCAGGCCTATGGCCGCGCCAAGATCTTCTATGAGTCCAAGACTGAAGAGACGCAGAAGTTTTTGGGAAAGCAGATTGATGATCTTTCTCGTCATGGGGAGATGTCATTGATGGGATACACTGGCAAGGGCGACCGCCCTGGACCGTGGAAAGTTACGGATGCGCCTGAGAGGTACATTGAGTTGTCAAAGATGGCCATTATTGGTATTGAAATTACTATCGAGAGGCTTGGTGGCAAGTTCAAGATGAGTCAGGAAATGGGCGAAGGTGACCGTGCCGGTGTTATCAAGGGTTTCCAGTCATTGGGTACTGACGTTGGCAATGAGATCGCTGAGCTTGTCAAGGAGCGTGCTGAACTGAAGGAAAAGGCCAAGAAATGATGCAATTAAGATATGTACGAATAGAAAGCCTGATTTTGTTTCTAATTTGTTTTTTAATTTTTCAAAAGCTGTGTTGCGTTGCCTGAGCGGTGATGTCTTGTGTATATCGAGTTTTCTAAGCCGATTATTTCGAGAGGCCCGTCCCCTCGCTAACAGTGGTTCAACCTCGCATGTGATCATAAGCCGAGAGACAAGAGGAAGCTATTCAATCTTCATTTCATGAAAGTGAACAAATTATCTCATGGCAGATTAATGAGTCACTTAGTGAAGATGACTCAGAATACACTCAGGTTTCCGAGACTTCGCCAATCTAACGATGGGCGCGTTCGACATGCCCGGGCGCATTTGGCGTAAATCGGAAGGGATCTAGCGGCCCATCAGTGGGGCTCGGGCCCGGGCCGGCGTGGGGTGTAGGGCCTCAATACCGTGCGGCCAATACCGATAGTTGAATTAATAAACCATGTCAGATGAACTACGATGCGCTCGCTCGAAGCAGAAAAGACCGGGCCGGTGTAAAACAAACGTTTAACTTGAGAGCCTACGAGGAAATGCGATACGCGACGAGTCACCAGTCACGAGTCCGGGGTTCGGCTAGGACACAACTTGCTCGGAAGAAGATCCGAAGCCGAATACATCGGGTTACTGATTGCCGACTGCCTACGGCCGCCAAGATATCCGAATCGCTTCGCTTCGTTCCGGCCAATTTCCCCGCTCAAGCACGTGGCAGCCAACTGAGGAATGATCGACATCGTGCGCACCAGAGCAACGCTCGTGGAAACCAGTTTGCGGCTTATCCTACGAATCAAGCTCATCGAATTTCATGTACGCCAAGTTTGCGGCATCGGCCTGCTGCAGGACATATCGTGCGGGGGAACCAGACGGGTAATGACCCCGGAAGCCATGAGGTCAAACCATTGAACCCGACGGAAAAGCGATGAGTACAGATTAGACACGATTCACCCTTCATACAATACTCAATATCGTGACGAAGCCTCACATGATTCTGAAATAAAGTCGAACAACGAGTTCGTCTACTTTTTTGCAATTGAGTTCTGAGAGAACTTGCCGAACATACGAAACCGATTTCCAAATGTCTGACGCGGCAGCTACGCCCGTGGCCACGGGCCATGGCAAAACCACACCGGCGGATGAGGAAGGAGGCGTTCATGTAAAACAACTGAAGGCGGTGCCGACCGATGACGATGATATCGTGACAAGGATGAACAACCTTGACCCCCCAGTGACGCCCGAGGAAGTAAAAGCGGTCCGAAGGAAGATTGATATGAGATTACCCCCATTTCTCCTTGTGGGTTGCCAAGCACCAGACCCAACTTCTACGACTCCGCTGACTAGGCAGTACAGCTGCTTTACATGTTCACCTGGCTCGATCGTGGAGCTCTGGGAAACGCGGCGTTGATGGGGATCCGCGAGGATCTTGGATTCTCTCCTCGGCAATTCTCACTCGCTGTTAGCATGTTCTTCGTTGGAACATGTATTGCCGACTTGTTCACGAACATTGGCATGCGCTACGTCCGCCCGTCACTTTATTTGGCTGCGGCGATGGTAAGACATGAACAGAACAACTCGAGTTTGCATGAGCTGACTATGGCTTAGATTATATGGGGTGTCTTCGCAACCCTACAGGCAGTTGCTGGTAGTCCTGAGGGAATGTACGCCATCAGATTCTTCCTCGGCATATTTGAGGCCGCCTTCATCAGCGGAGCTCCCTATCTTACGACAGTTCTTTACCCCAGAGCAGTAAGCTTTGCTCTTCTTATACACAATGGCTATAAACTGAAACTCCGGGCAGGAATGGGGCCGTCGTATCAGTATCTATCTCTCCGCAACACCACTTGCTGGTGCCTTTGGCGGTTGGGTTGCCTACGGGGTCGCCAACATCCCCAACCCGCGGGTGAAGCATTGGCAGGCCCTCTTTCTCATCGAAGGTCTCCTGACAATAATCATCGGTGTTCTCTGCATCTGGGTTTTACCTGATCGTCCGCACAACACCAAGTGGCTCACGCCTCGTGAGCGAGACGTCGCGACGTGGCGTATGATGAACGACGGCAACCGCACACATGGAAAGGTCAACTGGAAGACGACCCTCAACCAGCTCCGCGACTGGCGGCTTTGGATGAACATCTTCATCTACATGGGCCAAGTGCTGCAGACTTACACCATTGCAACTTTCACGCCCATCATCGTCGCAACCTTTGGATACGACAACGTCAAGGCTCAACTGATGACCGCGCCGCCGTACTGTGTCGCCTTCGTGATGGTTTTCGTGGTTGGATATGCAAGCGACAGATTGAAGTCTTGCTCCGGACTTCTGGTGGTTTGCTCTATCGTCGCTGCGACTGGCGACCTCTTGCTGGCTGTCCTCCCCCATACGGCGGCGAACGCGAGATACGGCGCCACGTTTCTGATTCTATCTGGCATCCTATCGGGTGTTACCCTAAGTGTTGGGAACATCACGAGCAACTGCTGCGGCGACATTAAGAAGGGTATCGCATCAGGGCTGTTCCAATCTTTTGGCAGCACCATGGGAATTGCCACTGGATATCTCTTCCAGTCCACAGACGGGCCGTCGTATAAGAAAGGTTTCTGGACGCTTTTCGCAGCTACTTGCTGGACAGGCATTGGCAGCGCTTTCATGACGGTTATGACGATAAGAGAAAACAGACGGAGAGACCAGCAATTTGGAAAGCCACCCGAGGGTGTGGTAATTGATTTTGATGAAGATGGTCAGATGGAGAAGCACCCTTATTGGAGGTACTACAGGTAGATTTGACTTACTATGTTGATATCTTCATGTCTATAGTTACCAGATAGCTCAGCAGGTTCCCCATCATGGGAAAGGACCATGATCAGTACCTTAGCCTTAAAATGAAAATGAAGATGAGGTCATGTCGGCCGCAGTTATTCTAAGAAAGGTTATCCTTCACCAGCGCCAGCATATAACATCCGATACATCTCATGACAGTTGGGGTAGGAAACCTACCCTGGAAGGAATCCTGGAAGTGGGACATTGAATGCTCGGCGTTGCACTGTTTTTAGCACTGTGACCTCCATTGATAAGGGCCAGGGACCCCCTTTCGTTGGGACGACCAGATAACCTGAGCCAGCCGTCTGCAGCTTCCATCCTCGCCTTTCCAACGTCGTCTACAGCAACCATCAAAAGCGTCATCATGGAACCAAAACCATCTCCACGTTCTCGCAAAGCTGAAAAGTCTCGAAGTTAGTCCAATCGAAGTGGCGGCTAATCGGAGCTGATACCCAATCTCGCTCCTGCTGACCGCGCCCTAGATGGTTGCCGTCGTTGCAAGCAACGGGTAAGATCAGTGTTGAATGCCTCATTATATCTTCAAAGTCGTGCTAAACAGTTCACTCAGAAGCTGAAGTGTGACGAAAGCGTTCCCAGCTGCTTGAGATGTTCTCGATCAGGGCTTGACTGCCCCGGGTACGGCCAGATTCTGAAATGGTCTAACAAGTATGAGAGAAACCGACAACCGCCGCCTTCTTCCGGTGTGAATACAGGTCCGCAATCAAGCTGGTTTGAGCATGAGGCTCATGTCCTATCAGTCGCACTACTTCAAGATTCAATGGTAAGTCACGAACAGCGCACGCAACGTGCACGGGTTTACTCGAATCAGAGAACGCCCTGTTGCATTGCGATCGAGGTCTCCACGTCTTTCTGAGACTATTAACTGATCTATGCATAGCCAATTGTAGATACTACCAAGGGCTGCCTGGAATCATTTCCCGAGTCATCATTCACCGTCGAAGAGACGATACCTGTGATCAATAGCCCGCAACATGGTCTGTTACTACGTTCGCCAGTTGAAGAGACCACACGCCTCACGAATTATTACATTACTCGCGTTTGCCGAGTCACCTCGTCCTTCGACTCTAGCAAGAACCCCTTTCGGTTTGATGTGTTGGAAATGATGAAGAGCTCACGATTGCTTTTGCTCTCCATCATGAGCATATCTTCGGCACATCTATATCGTGCTGATGCCCAATCAACTATTCCTCTGTCATTTCAGACGGAAGCAGTCTGCGAAATATCAAAAGAGCTTTTGGCACTCAAGCACGCAGTCCCGGTCGAGGCTATCAAGGAGGACAACCAGCTTTGTCCAAAAACAGTGACAAGCGAGACGTTGATAGGTATAATCCTTCTTGGCATGACTTCGGTGGGTTTCCCTCGGGACTAAGTGCGTTTCAACATCACTGACAAACAGCCGCAGAGTTGGCATGATCCCTCTGAGCTCGGCCTATGCCACATCCACGGGTGCCGACAGCTTTTCCAGCAGTGGATGCTCTCCAATGGGGTCGAGTCACTTGGAAATTTTCAAACTATGAGAGAAAACCACCATTTTCTCGTATCTTCCATGGTATATTGGGAAGCCATGGTCGCTTTTCTCATTGACCAGGACACACAAACTCTGTCATACCTAGATCCCTTTTGCACTTCCGTGCTCATACCAGCCACACATGTTTGCCCCTGGACAGGCGTGGCGACTTCCATTTTCGTCCTCCTGGCCAAAGCCGGTACAATCACCAGGAAGAAGAGAGCACTACGAAAGTCACATCCTCAAAACAATAAAGCAATGCTCGAGACGCCAGAGTATGCGCGGCTTTTCACAGAAGCCTGCGATTTGGAAAACTCCGCAACGAGGATTCAAGTTCCGCTGTCGTCCTCCATCTCAGACACCGGCGACTTTCAAACTCCATCATGGCATTTCAGTCAGCTGGCCAGATGCTACCAGATGGGCATTCAACTGGAACTATATCGTGCGTTCCCAGAGCTCGCGGAATCTCGAATGCGGTCAGAACCAGCGTTGATGATGCAATGCACCGGAGTCGACGAAGTTTCGCAGCTGATATTGGGACTTGCTTTCGAAATTCTGGACGTTCTTGGAACAATCCCACACGATTCCGGTACCATTGCCACGCAGACGCTGATATTCCTCATCGCTGGTGCGGCGCTGAAGCAGAGCAAGCCAGGCGAGGACGGCCGGCTGACGTCTGAACAAAACACATTGAATCATGCTGTACTTCGTCGGAGGAAGTTCGTTCTACAGAGGTTATCTCAGACACATCACATTGTCGGTTTACGCACCATAAACCGTGTGCGCACTCTCCTTATGCATGTGTGGTCAGTCATGGAGAGTGGTACGGAATCCCAACAACATACCAGCATGTATAACGAGAAGTTGGTATCAGACGGCCACTGGACAGATACAATGGAGGAATTACGACTGCACACCATACCTGGTTGAAAGGGGCCATTTACTTAGTAGAGGATATTTCTAGAATGGGAAGACTTCTCCGCCGTCCAGAAACGTAACACAAAACCAGAAAGAGTCTGCTTTGCTCTGCTGAGTAACTTCACTATCATAAAGCTGTTTCTTCTACGCGTCCTGAAATTTGAATTCCTCTCAGTAATCATTGAAAGTAGAACTAGATTGTCGTTGCATCGGTAGTAATCGAACAGACACTGAGATTCTTTCTACACCATTCTCGGCATCGCTTAATGTTGCGCAAGCTTCAAGTTTGCATTCCGCCCAGCAGAAGCCGTCAGGCTGGAGCTCGACCTTGCAACGCATCCGTCTCGGTCAGCGGTCCTACATACAACCTTCTGGCTCGAAACACCCAGTATACTGCCCCAAATGCTAAGGCACCGCCCAGAACTACAGGAGCATAGTTCATATTCAATGCGGTAACGGGCTGAAAGGGAGGTAGCAGTAGAAAAATGCAGGTGAAGAACAGATAACATATAGCAACGAGGTTGACGGCGATTCCCACCCTTGGCATACGCCATGGACCCCAGACCATGTTTTCTGGATAGAATACTCGATGCCAAAGTACCGGCAAAATAGGGAATAAGTAAGAGACCTGCAAGCTTACAACGGCAAGCGATAGAATGGCGTTGAACCCTGTCGTTGAAGCAATATTGATGAGCCCTAAGAAAACAAGTAGACCGGTTGTAACAATAATCGACATCGTTGGGATGCCGCGCTTTTTCTCGATCTCGGAGATGGCGTTGGCGAAAGGAAGTCCTGGAAACCTCGTTGTCAGCTCTTCTCTGGTACGGTGGCCACTCTCGACTTACCCTGGTCACTTGCAAACGCCCACATCATTCGAGCCGCCGAAGTGAGCAGCGGCACCGTGGATATGGCTGCCATGATGGTTATGGCGGCCGTCATTGCATTTGTGGCGGCCAGATTCCCGGTGATGTTGTAGAAGATCTGGATGATGGGGAAACCCGTCGAGGTGGCAAGTGCAGAGTCGACATCGCCCATGCAAAACAGCAACGCAATTAAGAACGCGAACCCGAGCACCCCATTGATCAGGACGGAGCCAACCATGGCATGAGGAACCCCAACTGCCGCATCGTCCATCTCTTCGCTGAGATGAGTCGCACCGTCATATCCAGCCAGGACGTAGCAGCAACTCAAAAGGCCAATGCACCAAGCGACCGCGTCATTCGACCAGCCAGAGTTGTTTTCGAATGTAGTAAAGACGAACGCTGCCGAATGCTTCTCTGGGGCAACGACGACCATGGCGATCAAGATGATGACGAAGAACCCAATATGAAGGCCCATCGTGATTTTCTCAAGCAACGGCAAGATGCGGCTGCAGAACACGCAGACACACGCGGAGCACACGAGAACAGCCCAGTACAACAGGGTGCCGTGCCATCGTTCGAAGGTGTAGGAATCGGGATAGTTGAGCACCAGGAGACCCTGTATTTGGGTTCCAGCAATGAAAGGCGCGCTTCCGGCGAAGGATATCCAGCCTAATGTACTAATGAGACTCAGCTTTAATGTTACAGGCAGCTTCAACTATATGTTGTGTACTCAGCTCTTACGTGATGTAACCAGCAAACCAACTGAAGGCTAGTGATCTCTTCTGCAGGTAGGCGACAAAATGATATTGTCCTCCGGCCGTGGGGTGGCTACGCATAGTCAGAATTGGCGACATCGGAAATTTACGTTGTCTTACATCGACGCCAATTCAGCAAGAGACATCGCTGAGCATGTCGACCCCACGAAGGCAATGATCGCCCCATAAACCAACGAGGATGGCCCACCATTGATCAGACCAGTAGACATCGTACTTGATAAACGTCAGAAGCGGAAAGTGAAGGATGCCTGCAAGAAAAGTGTATACCTGCAAAGAGCTTCCCATGTCGCCATCAACGAAACAGAGGTCGCCAGGATCGCGGTTGACGAAAAGTTGCGCTGTAAAAGGTCAGTTCAAGCTTTGGCGTAACTGACGACTAGCCTACCTTCAGCTTTTGAACGGAAGTATTGCGAGAAGCATCTGGTTCTACGGTATCACCGTCACCGAGTATAACCTCCTTCTGCTTCGAAACCGACTCAAGAGCCATCGCTGATTTCGAGAAGTAATAATAACAGACAATGCCTAGGCCGGAGGGCGGAGTTCCAGTGTGGGAAGGTACCCAACATAAATGAAGCGTCTTTCATTTCAACACCACATCAGGCAATTTTTGAGATGGATACTTATCAATATATTCTGACATCCCGAATGAATAGAGTGTGATATCTCTGGTATCTCTGTAGTCTTGTCCAACCAACATAAGGTTGATGGTGACCCTTGTCGATACTTCACACTTTCCCCTTTCTGGAAAAAAAGTGCGAGGCACAGTGTCATTATGCATGGGATCGTAGACAGGATCTGGAAGATCCCGCTCGGCGTATGGACTACTACGTGGGCTTAGACTACATTATGAATAGGCGGCAAGTGCAGTTCTCCTAGCCCACCACGCGTATGATGCCGAAATTGAGCTGAACATCCCTCGGAAAGAGGGCAGGCAATCTGATTCCGATGTATCAGTGGTTTCTAACTAACACACCCTTGTATGAGTTATCTGTCTAATCTGATCCTAAATGATCAACGGTCTTCCTAACCCTGGGGGACATGATTCGGAACTCTCGGAACCGGCTCAGGCTGGCTTGCGTACTCCCATGACTTTTACCGGTAGCGTCAGAGGCGTTCGGGGTCGAGGTGGCGTCGTTTTGCAACATGTGCAGCTACAACGGCGGTCAGACCTTGAAGCTTTTGGAGCTTCCCAGCTCTCAATGCCTTTAGTTGGCGTGCTCGTTTGGAAGAAGTCATCACGAGTCACAAAAATTGCTGAAGAACAGTATGAATCTTCGAAACGTATCTGCAATTCGATCTACACTATAGCCGGCCGCATGAATGAAAGTTATGTACTTTAAAACAGCTTGAATCAAAGGTTTCCCGCATTGATCGACCATGGAACGGCAATGAATAGCTCAAGTTTAAAGTGCGTCTTTTCCACTCCGACGTGCCGCGGTGATGTTCCACCATTTGCTGGTTTCTGATATCAGCTCAAGCCGTTCCGAGCATTCTGACTCTCGCCAGGACTTCGGAAGGGGTTGTCTCTGCAAGCTTGGTTGCGTATGAGCCGAATCGTACGTGGACAGCGCGCTGCGACTTTGGATCCCAGCAAAAGAACCGGCCCGTGGACCGCATTTTCTCCAGGTCGACCACAATAACAGACTCGACGGGCATGATTGTCTCCGTCCAAAACAGGAGATAAAGATTCTCTCCAAGCTTCAGCATCTTGCACTGCTCCGTGTCTGCAAGCCCGTTCTCGGTGCCGCTGAGACAATGCCAGGTCAGAGTACCCCTGTTCAGATAGATGTGCTCATAAGCATCGCGAGAAGTGTAGCGGTAGAGAATATGCTTTCCAATCAGCTCGTCGGTAGGTTGGTAGACTTTCACAGAGCCTCGTTGGTCCTCAACGGCGTGCAGGAACTTCGTCCATGTTCTTCGCTCGTCCCCTTTGTTGTTGAATCCAGAAACACAAGTGACAGCTTGACCCGTGACGGTGTCAAGGACTAAGCTGACCTGCTCTTGAAAGTCGGGTTTGTAGAAGTCGATGAAGAAGACGTTCTCTCTGACTTCAAAGGCTTTGTATTCCGCGCTTCCAGTGAGTCCGTGTTGATCTCCCTCCAGGATTTCCCAGTGAATGGTCTGGCCATCAACGAATCGATGCAAGATTCGAAGACCGGCGTCGAAAACATGATTAAAAGCTTCGCCCGCAAGCTTTGAAGACGCAGGCATCAGGTGTTCGCCGAATCCAGCCGCCATGTCTTCGAGTGTTGGCCAGTCTGACACGGGAACATAGTCAGGGGTTTCGGAAAGGACAGCCATAATGATGGAAGATAACAGAGTTTGTGGAGTAGCAGCAAGTTCGAACTATCTCAAGGGATTGGCTTGAACATTTCTGAACCGTCAATATTAGAATCGTACAAGACAAGACGAGTCTTTATGTGCGTTGCTCTGAGTTGGAACATGGCTTACGTTATGATGCATCTCGGGTTTTTTGTCCAAATGAGGTTTAGTTCATCATCGCATGTTCGTTTTGGAAATCGCTTGCAGCACGATGCCGTAAGTTAAAGACCCATGATAACAGGGCAATTACAAATGAATAGACTCGTGGTCCGAAAAGATCGCTAGGAGTGAACTGTCCATCCCAGCTTTTGATCGTTAAGTCCCCCAATAAGTATATATCCTAATTTCCGTTTTAATATTGTATTTAAGTTGAACTTTCCTCTCGGGAACCTCATAACGTTTGTACACGAAGTTATTTGATAATCACAGCATATACAGAAAAAGGTTCTAACATCCGTCAATATTGAAAACTGTGCACAATGTCAAAGGCATGTGCTGGTTTCTGAATCTTTCATGAAATCTACCGTACCGGGTTACGTCTACTCGCTCTTGGCTAGAAGTACTCTGACCCCTTTGAAGCCCGTCTTCCCTGTGCCCAGTTGTTGGCGCTCTATTGACTCCGATATTGTTTGTGCAAAGACGTAGACAGGATGGCACTGATCCCAAGCAAGCTGTTCGAAGTTGAAGACCTCGCGGTAGGTCTCTCCGATACCAGATATGATATCTGGTCTGCGCATCATATTGTCTTTCACTCTCTTCCAGTGTAATTTGAGGAACAGATCACCCCGTCGCTGGAGGTCAGACCTGCTACTACCCATTTTCAGGTCCTCTGAGTGATGGACTAAGTAAAGGACATCCAGCCCCTTGTGTATGCAAGAGGCAAAAAAGTCAATGTCGGCCAGTGATAATGGCGTCATCAACTCATTAGTTTCAATAGCGATGCGTTGAGCTTTCCACACGGTGAGTGCCATCTCTTTACTCCAGTATGTTCCGAGTGCCTCTGAGATGCCGCTGAGATCGAGCTTTTGTTGAAGTGGACTTTTCCGTCCCATACTTGGTGTCGTGAAGCGAAGTAGGAGTACATCGTTGTCGTTATCGTATCGAAAAACACTTCTGCGGCCTGGAAAGTAGACGATGTTGACATTATCGGCTTTGACGGACGCTAGCGAGGCCGCTTCTCTGCAAGCCATGCGTTGAACTCTGCGTTGCCTGTACATGCTGGGATCTTTTCTCAGCCGGGCTTCTTGTTCAAGCGTGTGCTCAATAAATTGGGCATCATGTTGGCCGTCGTCGATATAGTCAAGGAAGGCGACGTATTCGTGGTTGAGCCATCGCCGGTGGTGGTATTGATTGTCGGTGCTGTTCGCTCCTTTGAAGGCAAGCTGGCTGCGGCCATTTCCGTTCTGAGATGGAAAGCATACGTCAACGACATGCATCGAAGGACCAGCCGTTGCCTCTTCCCAGATAGCGAGGCGGAGCTCGGTGGGCAGGTTCGAGAACTGAGGAAAGCAAGAGGGAGGCGCCATTAGAACAGATGAAAGCCTAATCAGAGTAGTTCGGATGAGAGTTGCGGGAAGCAGCAGTTGCGATCGTTGGAAAGTTTGCTGAAAATTTGTGATCCGATCTGATCAGGTGTCAACCAGTTCCACTGTTTCGGATCTGACTCGCGTGTTCAGCATAAGCATTGCCTGCTGCCCAGCTACTGAATATATTGAACGGCAGAACCTTGCTCTGCCTACTGAGACTTACTCGCGTCCTTCGACTCCGCCAGGATCGTTGAATTAAATCATGACCCCGTATGTTGATCGCCTAGCCGAAGCCACCAAAGCACTGGTGCTGGTGGCTGACGACCTCCGGTGTCTCGGCGGCCTGCAGGACCCACTTTCGCCCGAAATACCGGTACCAAGCCCGGAAAGCCCGGACTATCGGCATGGAGCCCTAACTTTGGACTGCATGTAGGCGATGCGCTCTTTTTATTTCCATCTACACGCATTCTCATTGGTTCAGAAATTGAGGCTTTATGGACCAGCGTCTTCATGGAGGCGCAGTAAGAAACCTAGGTTTCCCGTTCTGACTGGAAGATCGGGATTCAGCCACGTGTAGTTCGATGTTTGTTGTTCGGTGCTTTATAAGCTTTTGGGAGAGACCTCACCAGAACCCGAATGTGTTTTGAGTGACCCTGGGATGTACAGTAGTCGAAGATGCAGCATGCTGAAAAGTATTCCCTCGTACTCGTCCGGTTGTCGCTGTGCTTGATTGAACGGGCTATAAATATGTATAGGGCCATGAGTGCGTTTGAAAGTCCAGTCTAGAGAGATTTATTTTTATCTAATTAATATGCTTTCATTTTGATCCAACTTGTTTACGTTTTATTAGGCACATCATACAGAAAGTGCACTTGTAGTACTTAGTTACGCTGCTCCTGGGTGCCGGGTTATCTCATCAAGGGGCACTTTCTGGGAGGAGGAAGACAGTGTTGACTCAAGATGTATGATAAAAAAGATGGTCTTGAAGTTAAAATATCTCAAATATTGACGTTGTTCATCACTTGCATGCGATGATTTTGAGATCTCAGAGCCGTCTGAGGCGTCGTAACCCACATGTATGATGCCCGACCCAGTCCCGACTTCTGCAAGACGAATATGACGCCTTGAGTCTTATGATTCTGCCAGTCTCAGAAATTGCAGCAGTGAAACTTTCCATCACCCTGTGTATGGCAGTCTTTGCTGAAGCATAAACCCTTGCAGTTGGAATATGTGTCGAAACCCTGGGATTGGCACTGCTTTGGTGACTGGGGCAAGGCGTTTACCACAGTCGCAGCGATAAGAAAGAGAAATGAGTTGAAGAACTTCATGGCTGAGTCTTGTTGAAATGAAACATGTCAGACAGTGTTCAGAGGTGAGTTCAGGTGCACTCACTGTGTTAAAGTCTGGGAATGAATCCAAGAGGTATGGCCGGAAAGTTGAAGCGTTTGGTTTTGAATGATGATGAGATTCCGAATGCTTCATGAATGGAAAGAAAGCCTTTTTATATCCTATCGTGTACGTCTGGCCTGCTAGAGCCCGTTGAACTTAGACGAAATACACGAGTAATCTCTTACTTTTTCCTTCACTCAAAATCCCACCGGTGAGCTGTTTTACAGTAAGTCTCGAACAAACAGAGTTTTTCGTGTGATTCTAGATTCTAGACAACATAACTGAGGCAGAGTACGAACACGCGGCGCATCATGCAGCCTGCCTTTTCCGTCATCAACTAGAGTTTCCATCACTCGGCGGTTCAGGGCGGGGCAGTGTATCCAAGTCGGGACAATTAAAGCCAAGCAACGCGGTCATTTTCTCTTTGAGTCGAAGTCGGAGTAGGTTTGGCGCAGGTCAGCTACTCTTATCTTACCCTTGTTGTTATACGGCTTCCACAACCGTCTCTGAGGCGCCAGCCAGCCAACCAGGACTCAAATCCGGCTGGCTGGTAAACCTAAAGCGTTGATCTCCATGCGACAAGTGATCGACTTATAGTTAGGAACGCGTAATCAGATGGTTCGAAGAGCGCGCTAGAGGCCTTCGGCTCTTAAGGTTTCTTCCAGACGTTGCGCAGAACTAGTCATGTCAGCTTGGATATCCATGTTCGTGAGTCGTCAAGTTGGAGAACCGTTATCCGCGGACGATTCCTCACGCCCTAGGTGAAGCTACTAATAATTACTAAAATATGCGCTTCGTACCATGCTGGCAAGGTAAGGCTAGTTGCGTGCTTTTTGTAGCTTCCACTGATTTGGAAAAATGGAAGTTGTTCCTAGCCAGTGGGAGCTTTTAGTGATTAAAGTTTACAAACGTCAACTTGGACAGTCCGATTCGTGGATTCTTCGCACTTCCGCAAGGGGAACTTCGTCAGTTTAAACCAGCCGAGGAATTACTGGTCAATCTGTAAAAGCAATTTGCTCTGCGAGTTGGAACGAGAAAAGAAACTGTCTTTTGAGAGAGAGAAAGACCAGCACCAGCTCCGCGGACTACACGACATGTGTGATTGGGGTTGGAGTAGATAGTAGGGGCATCATGCACTCTCAATAAGCACATGAATTCAGATCGATCGTCATCCTCTTCTACGGACCCTTCCTCAATTATTCATAACAAACATTGATATTCTCAGTATAGACGTTTACACGCATCCAGACCATGATTACTGCCTTCAACCTGAATCGTAATAGAGTGCTCAAGAGAAACATTATTTCCTGTAAGACTGTCCCTTGGCCTAACGAGACCATCGCTACCTTAGTATCGCTCGTCAACTGCAATCTAGGGCTGTCCTCCTTGGCATCACTACCCTACGTACTCGCATTGCAGCATCCATTCGCACCATCCGCGGATTCCATCGCCGACACGCCGTTCGTGACCAGCACGCTACGGTTGACTGCCTGAGTACTCTGCGGGACATCAAGTGCCGGGTTCGCCGTGAAGAAATCCGCAGGCTTTAACGAGATAGTCGAGACCTCGACCGGCATGACTGGGAAATCCTCCACCCTGGGATTATGTGTCATACCGAACGTATGCCAAACAACGACATCCGCACCTCTGACATCCTCGTCTCTGGCAGCGTAGTCTGCGAGCCCGTCCGTCTCCGCCAGCGACTGGTTTGTCCACTTGCCACCCGCCCACAAGTCGCCGTCTCGGTACCGCGTTACCCAGAGGTGGTGCTCCGCGAAGCGGGCGCGACGGCGCACGACGGAGTCCTTTCCTGCGAGCAGGAGCTGGCAGGGCTGCGGCACGAGCTTAAACCCGACGGGGTTGCCGGAGATGGGATTCCGGACATCTTCGTTTACGATTTTGAAGACGCGGTTGGTGAAGGGAGAGGCGTCGGCGTGGCCTGACTTCAGGAAAGGGGTTTTGACTACCTTCCAGGCGTTGGCGTGAGGGTTCTCTTCCTCGGACTGCGGTACGGCTATGGATTCTTCCTGGAAGACGGAGTTGGCCTGTCCATCTAGCATGGGGTCGATACGTAGGGAGAAGAGATGCTGGTGGTTGGCAGCCAGGACGCCCGGGGATACCACGTTGCCCCAGGGTGAGGTCTTACCCGGGTCGATGAGTGAGGTCGACAGGATGCCGGTTGCGCGGGTCTCAAGCTCGATATTTCCATTTTGCCAGAACAGCCACGCGAAGACGTACTCGTAGTTCCCCACGGTAAGGATAGACTGGACGACTAAGTTGCGTGCTCTGGTGATGGCGACGCCCTGCGTGCGGTGGTTTGTGTGCTTCCAACCAATACCGCCATCTTGTTCGTGCAGGCAGATGACATTTCCTGTTGCCACAGGCTCGCCCTTGTCATTATTGAGCCAACCGTTGAAATACTTAATCGTACCAAGACAGTCGCAGCCAAGAGCCAAGTTATTGGCGGTACTACCCGCCCCAGCGTCGCCGAGATCAAAAGCCTGCTTGCGGTGGAAGGGACTTCGGGGATCTGAGGTCGTTAGCTTCAGGTCTAGAAATCCATTGAAGAGGAATACACACCTCCGTATGGCACGGTCATCTCGCTCACGCTCAGTCTGTAGAACATCGGGCGCCCGTCATAGCGGATATCGTGGAGCGTCATGCCTTCCCGGTAGTTGAAGCCAACCCTGAACCGCCACTTTTGCCACGATACACAGTTCTCGTCCGACACCGTGAAGCTTGGGCCTTCGGGTTGATTAACGAGCAAGGGTTTGAGGTCTTCTCGTGGTTTGGAGCTTTGAAGCCCGGGATAATACTCGTTCTCGACGCAGTGAGCCATCGGCGAATCGGCGGGTGCAGTGTTGTATGCCAGACCGTCTTCTTCGCCGCCGGTCGCCAGAGGCTCCAGGCGGACGATTCTGTCCTCAAAGATATCCAGTACGGGAGAAAATGGAAGAGGGAAGGAATACTGGTTGCTGTCCTCGTGTCCATGAGGAGCTCTGGCGTACAGCAGCCCCTGGATGAACTTGTGGGTGTCAGGGTCCGAGTCACGATCCGAGCCGTACGGCCAAGAATCGCACTGCACAACGCAACCCTCGGGAAGATTCAGCTTTTTGATGGCTTCTAAAACCTGAGGATCGTTGAGAATCTCTCTTCCCGAATTGCGCATCTCATCGCTGTGGCAGGTTAGCATGCCGTGTTCGGGAGGGGGAACATAGATGAAGCCACGCCTACCGATCAAGGGACGAGTGTTGTCCATGTGTTGCAATGCTGCGCTTCAACTCGGTAGAGCTATCTAAACTTATGGTACTCTCGCATAGCGTCCTCTCGTTGGAGGCAGTCCATACAATGTCGACGCATCGAGGGACGAACGGCCGCTGCTCGGGAGGAACGCCTTGCGCCTCGGCCTCAAGATATGGGAATAGGAGTGCTTTTGGTGGCTCCCGGATGCTGACATTCTTGTATCGGAAAGAGAATTCTTCGCCATGTTTCTTGGTCAGAATTGATCTCAAAACTCCCGATGCTTGGGTGATTTCCGCTGCCGTAATGGGGCGCAGAGGGTGCGTTCTGACGCTCTTGAGGAGGGCCATGGTGTATGGAGGGTGAGTGGACAAAATTGAGATGATGATCTAGGCTTAGATTCAAAACCAGAAGTGAGGAGATTGAACTTGAAATCTGGGCTTTCTATACGAGACTGTTCTCTTCGTAACTAAGAGGGCGGCGTGTTCGGCGTGTACGACCCACCAGAGATAAGACCGGAGACTGTTTGGGCGTCTCGAAGATAGAGTCGGCTATTCGCCGAGCGGCCATTTCTGATTGTGAGATACCAAGTTTCTGTTACCCCGGATAGGCAGAGCCGAGATTTCAGATGGTTCTATTTCCTCAGCCTTCACTACTGATTCAATCAATTTTGGCCATGAAAAAGTTTGCCAAGTTCTCAGAGCCCAATTCCAGTCATATTCTACACTAATGATTGAACCATCTCTCCTTAATGCAGAGCCGACGTTCTAGCAAAATTATCAGAAACATAGTGGTATTGAATGGTTTATTGTACTACAGTTAAAACTGTTCTATCATGCGTACGGCTTCAAACTGGCGATGCAGTCTTCCACTGCAGATTCAAGAGAAGTCCACACCAGCCCTAGCACCTTCTCGGCCTTCCCAGCATCGATAGAGTAATACCCATTAGATGGCGCGAAAACCTCTTCCGTCATTCGAACCCCCCTATGAATGTCCCCGACAACGGCCCAGGTGAATTTGCCTCCACAGACCAAGAAGCGCTCGCTCACATCCGCCCGCACCTTGTCAAGATTCAATGCCAGTACATGAGCCTTCGCAGCATCTCGTACGTCCACAAACACAGGCATCCGGGTTGGCGGTACCTCGGGCGCAGACAATGCGTTCAAGAGCTGGGCTGAAGACTCGTTGGGGTTGGCGGAGGTGATTCCAGAGGCTGGATGAACAGGTCCCAGTATCATTGGGGGGCAGATGGCTATTAATGAGAGATCACGACCTTTCGCGTTCTGTATCTCGGTGAAGTCCAATGCGAGCCGCTCGGCGAACGTCTTGCTTGCCTGGTACCCGAAGAGTTGGTTCTCAAGGGCTTGCGTGGGCGTCACTGGGTTCCAGTCGGCTTCTGAGAATTGTATCTTCATGAGTGAACGGCCGGTGAAATAAACCAAATTGGAAAAGCTTACCGGTATATGTGTAGCCCGGGCGGGGGTTCTTGAACGGGTCGATGACCGCAGCGAAGGACGAGGTCAGCACGATCCGTTTAACTGACGGAGCGCGGTCGATGGCTTTCATAATCTCCGCTGTCCCTTTGATCGCGGGATCGAGGAGATCTCTCTGAATATCGGTCACGTTGAACGTGAAAGGGGACGCGCAATGGACGACGAAGTCCACATTCTGCAACGCATTGCCGTAGGCATCGGGTGCGGTGATGTCCGGCACGGTCACCGCCTCCAGAAGAGCGCCGGGAAACTTTTCAGTAAATAGCTGTCCCTTTCGAGAGGATCTGAACGATGCTCTGACGGAAAAGCCAGCATCGAGGAGTTGAGATGCGATGTGGGAGCCGAGAAACCCAGATGCTCCTGTGAGCTTTGTAGAAGATGCTTGTTAGCACAAGCCATGTCACTCAGGGGCTTCAGGCGGGAAGAAACATACAAAAACTCTACCCTGGGACATTATAAATGCAGAAATTTCCCACAAGTCTAAGTTACTGATGACAACAGCCTCATATCACCAAGGGCTATACAAGGAGACGCTTAAGGGTTTTATGCATCCCGAGCCGGCCAGGAAATTCCAGCGAGTACAGCGTCACCAGGGAATCGACTTACATGCTGTCCGCCAAGGCACCCTAGACGCCCTAACACTAGCAATTCGCCGGCCGCGGCGCGATACAACGCAGCGACCCTTTTTCTTCTCTTATTTCTCTCTTTTGTTCAAGATTTCGCCCGACCTAGTGACAAACCCTGCTTCATTTGATACTGTGAAGCCTATTCTTCATTGGCATTCTAGACGCCCTACACGCCGCGCCGCATCCCTAAAAGCCCGTGGATGAACTTGGGCGAGATAAGAGATTGTTGTGTGGCCTCTTATTGGTGGCTTTAGCTGGAGCCACGGATATTTGTGTATCTTGTTGGTTTAGGGAGACCGAAGTTCGGAGGGGAGATGGAGATCCCGAGGAGTCTGGATTGTTCCTCAACTGAACATCGTTAACTGAACATCGTTTGATGGTTCCAGAGTATGGTATGATATCTATGTCACGACAAGTTCGCAGTCAGTTATTTCAAACTCTCAATTGACCCAGAATGACGGAAGATTTGGGGACGCTGTCTGACGGCACCCCACGTCAAAGAAGATATGCTCCACGCTCAAAAGGCGGATGCATCACCTGCCGTCGAAGGAGAAAGCGCTGTTCCGGATCCCGTCCCGAGTGTGACGCTTGCCGGCGACTTCAACTCGACTGTAAATGGGATGGTCGACGCCGGCCAGTTGGCACCGACGATGGTTCCAGGTCTGGGACTGGTGGCAGCAGTGCGACATCCGTCTCCTCAAACCGACGACACCGCGATGGCGGAGAAAGCAACTCACTTACACGACAGCACCGAAGCATCGCTTCTCAGTCTGCTGCGACAATCCCCAGCCCTTTGCCAAGTCTGACGCCCGATGATGCCGACCAGCGCATTCTTATGTCCTATTACATACACTCCTTCGTGCCAAACATATCAGTCGCGAAGTCTTCCTCCAGTTTCTTCACATCTCTCTATGTACCCATGGCATTCCACTGCGATGCCGTACGGAACGCCATTCTGGCGTGCGCGTCTGCCCACCTTTCCAAGGCGACGGCTGACGTCTCCCGCTCATCCCGACTCCTGAATCTCTCCGTGTGCTACCAGAGGCAGTGCCATCAGTTCTTGCAGCACCGGATATCTCTTTTGGGAAATCTTCAGCAGGATCACCTGGAATCTTTGACTGTCATCCTGCTATTTATCGGCCTGGAAGTACAGAATGGCGCTCACACCAAGAAGTGGATGGACCAGCTGGAGTGTGTTCGGAATATCATCCGCCAGCAAGGCGGCAAGACGGCCTTTGCGCGGAGCTCTTGGGAGGCTGAGTGCATTTATAACCACTTCCTCTATCACGATGTAATGAGCCTCATCATGGATGGTGTTGCTGGGAGGCGATATCGGGACGAAGAGGCCGAGGATGGCACTTCAGCAGCGGGCACGCCACCGTCGGAAGGATCATCTTGTATGGCGGTTTCATCGCCACCACCTCCGAGACTCAGAGATTCCGAAATGCCTTGGGCAAAGTACATCTTAGGTCCAGAGGCTATGAATCAACCACAATCCACAAGGCCGCCGTCGAGATCAGGCAGGGCCTCTAGCTCGGTCCATCCGCTCCTTGGCCTATCGCGAGAACTCTTCTTCCTCATCCAGAAGATCCGTTTTGTCAAACCCATTGACGATCCGACTGAATCTTTCGACCCCTCCGCCAACATTTTCTTTTTGGACCTGGAGAGGAAGATCTCCACTCTGCAGTTCGATATTCCTCCCAACGCCAATGACGAAGGAGATAGACTCGACGCCGGTACCCGTCTCGATCTGCTCACCCTCGCCGAGGCATACCGCCTAGCCGCCCTCATTCTGCTATATCGCAGGTCGAAAGCCCACACGCACCGCCTTCCGGTACTGGCTCGTCAGGTCATCGTGCTAGTTGAACGGATACCGCCCGGCAACCCGGCTGAGGCGGGCCTGACGTATCCGCTGTTCCTGGCCGGTGCGGAAATTGTCTCGGACGATCTCATTCTACGTTGCGCCGCGAAGCTCATCACCATCAGGGAGCGTGTCAAGGTTCTCAACATTCAGGCGGTGGAGGAGGTGCTGGAGGCCGTGTGGAGGGAGCGTCTCAACGGAGGTGACAACTGGGACTGGGAACAGCTACTACGACGGTGGAAGTGGGTAATCAACTTGGGCTGAAGGCCTGATTGCGGATACGCGAAGAAGTTATGAATCAGAGGCATGAATTCTTGGGTCACATTGCGTACGGAAAAAGAACAGGACTACTCCCTCAAGGCCGCCTCGACAAGTCTTGCTGCTGCCAGAAGCTCTTCGTCCTGATGATGCTTGCCGACCAGCTGAACCGAAACAGGAACTCCGTCAAACAAGTCTCGGTCATCTACGTCCGCCAAGGCACGCGAGTTAGTCACTTTCCATTGTTTTCGGAGCTGGAGACTTACACGCATCCCACTCTCTAGCCTCAATCTCCGACCTCGGCTGGAAGTCTGCGTCGGGAATATCTTTCGTTCGATTCGCAACAACGCCACTTGGAAACGTCACGGCCGGCTGGTCCAGAACATTCCAAATGGACGTGTAGTTCCAGTACTTGGCCTGGCCCTGTAGAGCCCCGACCCCGGGGTAGGCAGGGCAGAGCAGCACGTCTACGCCCCGGGCCTTCATCAGCGCGTGGTACTCCCGCCTGTACTTCTCGCGCTCCAGGTTGAGATCCCAGTTGTCGGATATGGTCAGCGGCTTCGGCGCGGAGAATGAGAGTGCGTGCTCGGTTAGGGGGAGCAGTGGCTCTCCTGATGAGGCGAGCGCTTGGCGAATCCGTTCACCACCGTCGGGGAAGTATAGTTTTCTCTGCGCGTCGTTCAGCTCGGTGAATATTCACAGAATCAAAGATGAAGGTGGCGACTCACTACTATCTCCCATCCACGGGCATGATCCAGGGGAGAAAACGGGATCGCGTTGATACCGGCGGCCGCAAGCCGTTTCTCAGCCTCCAGTAGCGCTCTCCTGACGGGTGGATGAGGTCGGACAAGCCTGCGATGGTCTTCGTCAGCGGCATGCAAACTCGGAGAAGTGAGCAGTTAGCTGGAACGCACCCGTCGTCAGATAGGATTCCAACGGTCAACTCCCCTGGTGATAACTTCACCTCCTTCCAGCTCAACGGCAACAGGGACGTCTCCGTATCCCACGGCTCCTGGTCGAGGACTGCTTTCTCAAAGCGGATCAAGTCGCCCATATCCCGCGCCAAAGGACCGACACATCCGCGTATAGATTCCTGGCCACCCAATACCCCGACAAGACCCAACGACGGGTTCCGCAAGGCCGTGGGCTTGAAGCCATACGCGTTACAGAAGGACGCCGGAACACGGACTGACCCGCCGATGTCCGTTCCGACGCCGATGACCGAGCAGCCGGAGCCCACGGCCGCGCCCTCCCCGCCGGACGACCCACCCGGCGACAGTAGGGGGTTTAGGGGGTTCAGAGTCATTCCTGTGATGTTGTTGTCGCAGTCAAGATGCTAGAGTATGTCTCGTCATCAGCAGCTTGTTTCTTTCTGGTCAAGAGACGCGCACTTTCTCACCATGAGGGACTGAGGCTGATTGGTCCGAAGGTGAATGATAGCACCGGCATTCTTAAGAAGTTTGACGATGTGAGCGTCCTCAAGAGCGATGTTGGATATTTTTGAAACGAAGCTGGCGTGGCATATTCTCCCTCCAATTGCAACGTGTTCCTGTGACTGTGATTAGTGACCAGCACGGCATTCTTATGTTGTTTGAAGCATCTCTTGTACCTTGACGGATATTGGAATTCCATGTAGTGGCCCGATCAGGTTCCCCGTCTTTTGAAAGTGAAGGTCTAGAGCTCGGGCTTGCTCCAACGCCGACTCGGCGAGAAATTCTGTGGCGAAGTTGAGCTGCATGTTATCATAATCAGCTTAGAGTACATAGAGATAGCTTGCAACTCGAAGGCTGCAGGTAAGCGGCCGAAGCTTTACTTACCAATTGGTTACCAACAGTTGCTCGCTTCGAGAATGCCGTTGTCACCGCTTCAGCAGTCCAATCGCCGGACTTGTACTTTACCAGAAGCCTTTGGACATTTGATCGTGTCATGTCGAGTTCTTCGGCAGACAGGATACCACATTGGTCGAGGAACTGCACCACATTGCCGGCATCCTTGCCCTCCGGGAGCCTATGCAACACCCATTTCTTGGAAATGGAGTCGCGTAGTATCTGGCGGCTGACTTCGGCTACAGCCTCCCATGGTTTGGAGGATGGATGAGTGATTGAGCCCATTCTCGACTTGCGAATGGATGATTTTGCATAGAAATTATGGCGAAAGCGACGTACGCGGCAACAATTCATGCGATGCGAGGTTAACTGGAACTTATCTCACATGTCATGGAGGTGCGGCTTGCGTTGGAAGCCCGCTGTCTAAGTAGCAGACATTATGTGCACATGCTATCTTTGAAGACCCTTCACGCCGGCGTGTCGCGCGTCTAGACCTGATAGCGTTGACGCTTGTTCTATACGCCCAATTACTACATGTTTTGTATCTGATATCTCTTATCAATTAGCACAATCCTGTTCAAATCAGCATTAACACCAACCGAGATGGGTTGCCCGGGGCCCCAGCGAAGTGTATGTCTGACGCAAAACAGCCAAAGCCGTCCCGCCAAGCAAACTGGTATGCGATATCACCTCTAATACCAAGATAAGGGGCCATAAAAGCACACAGAGTTTCTTCGCTCTCCACCACTCCTTCAAGTAGCTCCGAATAGCCAGAACGGATTTCTTTGGCAGTCTTGACTGGGCATTATGGCCAACGACGCCGCACTTGAGGTCCCTATACCGGGGACCATCCAGCTCATCGACGCCGATGGTGCTGTTCGGTCAAAACATAGCAACACAGCGAACAGCAACGATATCATCCTTGTCCCGACGCCGTCTGACGACCCGGAAGACCCTCTCAACTGGAGCTATCGACGCAAGTTGCTGTCAACTTCATGCGTAGTCATGTACGTGATGGGTTCTTGTGGCACTCTACACCGAGCGATGTTGACATTTGCTGACTTTTGCCGCTTAATCAGCTACACTCTCATGATCGTCCTCCCCTCGACGACGGTGTACTCTGTCACAAAGCCCATCTCCGCCGCCACATCTCTATCGATCGACAACTTGATCACCGGGCTCGGCGTTATGGTGAGATTCTATGGTGTGGTACCCGACTTCAGCTGCTAACAATGGTATCGTAAAGTTCTTGTTTGCAGGCTGGGCCTGTATCCCCTGGTACGTGAGATTGCGGCTTCTCTGGGCTTTGGCTTACTTGATTATGCAGGCAAGCAGTTGCTCTGCAATACGGAAAGCGTCCCATCTACTTGGTTTCGATGGCGGGAATCATTGTGAGTCTACATGCCTCGTCCAATCCTCTCCCAAACTGAGAGTTGTTTCGGAATAGATAATTATGGCACTTGCCCCTCGCTGCACTACTCCGAGCCTCTATCTAGCGAACAAAATCCTCCATGGTATCTTCACGGCTCCTGTCGAGTCTCTCTGCGAGATCTCCATTACGGACGTGGTAAGTGTAGACTGGCATCGCCAAATCGCAAGAATTGATAGAGAGAAAGATACACTGACCCTAGCAGTGGTTCATCCACGAACGACCCAGATATCTCTCGCTTTACGGCTTCGCCTTGGCCTTTGCCGGTAAACTGGCTCCCACCCTAGCTGGGTTCATCAACTACGGGCAAGGGTGGGAATGGACTCTGGTACGTTGATCGCATAACCGAAATCCGGGTTAACTCAGCGCTTACAGTAGTTTACTAGTACTGGTCTTCCATATGGGCAGCCATCGCGTTCGTGTATTGCTTCTTCCTGATGGAAGAGACGAACTACGACAGAACCACCACGTCTACCGAGTCAGGCCTCACAGCAGGCGCACCCTCTTCCCACAGTGATGGTGAAGGGAAATGCCCAGAGAAATCCGACAAAGCATCGTGCCACCCTGACACCAAGACGCTCGCCTCGACGGACGTCGAAGCCGGCCAAGTCTGCATGGCGAAGAAGACGTACTTGCAAAAGCTGAGCATATGGCCCGAGTCCCGACCAAACCGCCTCCTCCCCGTCATGTGGGGTCCCATCCGATTCTTCAGCTACCCCGTCGTCGTCTACGCCGGCCTCATGTACGGCGCCAACGGTCTCGTGTGGTCGAGCATCATGAACTCTACGGCCGGGACGCTGTATCCGGAGAAGTACGGCTTCTCGACCGCGGAGATCGCCCTGGCTTATCTGGGCGGCACGGTCGGTGTCATTGTTGGGTAAGTTGTTTTTCTTACTCGTGGAAATGATGGAATTTTAACTCTGACCTTGTGTATAGTGCCATGTACTGCGGTAAACTCGGTGAGGTGCTCGTCGTGAGGCTCGCGCGCCGGAACAACGGCGTCTCGGAACCGGAGCATATTCTTTGGACCTTCATGGCGTCTCTCATCCTCGTGCCGTTCTCGCTTATTCTTTGGGGATTGGGAGGCACTTACAACATCCACTGGTTCGGTATGGTCTTTGCGCAGTTCACGCTGTCCATCTCGAACGCCATTGCGTGTCCCATGGCGCTCGCCTATGCGATCAGCGCTTATCCTGAGCTCAGTGGCGAGCTGGTGACTACTGCGGTCATTGTCCGCAACACTATGTCGTGTGCCATCAATTATGGGTGGGTTCTCAGCCAGAATGGTCGAGATAACGACATGTTGAAAATTGTTTGCTGACGTATTCCATAGAATTACCCCCTGGATCAAAGCACAGGGGTTCCGGGATACCTTCATCACGGCTGCGGCCATTGGCTTCGTTTGGAACTCGTCTATGTTCTTCATGATGTGGTATGGCAAGAGGTTCAGGCAATCCAGCGCCAGGAGATACTGGGCTGCAGTTCGGAGGGCGAAGGAACAGGGAATGAGCCATTAGAGAATTGATCACAGGCCATCGTGCAACTCCGAAGGCGCCTTGAGGATAGGAAAAGCCATTTGGCTGGGCTCGTGCTCTTGGTATTTACTAATATACTAGCCCGTCTATTATTCCAGCGCTCGCTTTAAACATTCCGTCCGATGTATCCCCCCTTCAGATGACATTCTTCAGCGGCTGGCCAGCCAGGAACCGTCTCAAGTTGTAAGCAGTAAGGGCCTCCGCACCCTGCGGGCGACCACCGGCCGCGTGCGGGGAAACAATAACGTTCGGTGCCTTCCACAGCCGGCTCGACTCGGGCAACGGCTCCGTAACAAACACATCCAGCGCCGCACCGCCGACCTCGCCCTTCTCGAGCGCGTCCACCAACGCATCCTCGTCGACCGAGGTGCCGCGGCCGACGTTGACGATCCACGCGTGCTTGGGCAGGAGCTTGAGGCGCTCGGCGTTGAGCGCGTTCTTGGTCGAGTCGGAGCCGGGGAGGATCATGACCAGCGCGTCCGTCTCGGGCAGCAGCTCGGCGAGCTTGTCCTCGCCGTACACCTCGACGCCGTCGCGCACGCCCGCGTGGCGCGCGATGCCCTTGACCTGGGAACCGAGGCCGCGGAGGTGGGGGGTCAGCGACTTGGCGATGTTGCCGAAGCCCCAGATGAGCACGCGGGCGTCGCGCAGGGTGGTGAAGGCGCCTGCCGGGCGGTCGGGCTGGGGGCCGCCGAGGTGTGCGGGCCACTTGTTCTGGAGCTGGTAGTCGCGCATCTCGTAGAAGCGTCGGGCGGCGTTGAGGAGGAGGCCGAGGGCGTGCTCGGCGACGGTGTGGTCGTGGAGGCCGGAGCCGGTGGTGACGGTGATCTTGGAGGCGTCGAAGCCGGCGTTGAGGACGTCATTGGGGCCGGCGGCGAGGGACTGGATCCACTTGAGGTTCTTGAGGCGGCCTGCTGCGTCCTTGAGGTTGTCGGCGGTGTTGGTCCAGGTGACGAGGATGTCGGCGTCGGTGTGCTCCTCGGCGATGGGCTTCTTGACGTCGTAGGGGACGAGCTCCACGGAGAAGCCCTCCAGGCTGCCGACGTCCAGCTTGAGGGATGTTGGGTATAGAAGCTTCATCTTGAAATCTGGTGACTGTCAGCGTCAGATACTGACCAATTTCAGCTGGGAAATCCGTGAGAAATCATACCTTGAGATTAGAAAACAGTGGTATCGTGAACGACGCAAACGAATGTGAAACCTCAAGAGAAAAACCCGTCTCGCGAGAAACTGGGCGAGGGGTGGTTTTCACCTCGGGCAAGGTGTCACCGATGACGGAGAGAATCCGCGATCCAATAAAAACAGCGTGCGGGACAGCTTTCAATAGGCGGGGAGTACCTTCGACTGTGGATGGACGGCGGGGGAACACTCCAACCTGGAGGTTCGACGAAGTGGGGGAGGGGGAGGGGGCGGGGAATATCGATGAGAGGAGGGGGAACTTCTCCGAATAGCCGTCGTCTTCTTGGTGTGTCGTCGGCGACTCCACGCGTTGCGTGCTTATTGCCTGTAATAACTAAGGTCTTTTGGTGCATAATGACTCGTCCAAACGAGGATATGGAGGCCAGCACTTCGGGGAATTTTGCTTTTTTCGAGCAGTAGCCGGCACAAACACCGAGAATGATCGGATTAGTTTCCGCCTCGGCTATCAAACCTACCAGACCTCTGGGTATTGAATCCCCAAGCGCCCGTCAATCGTTGTTTCCATGATGCATCGATTTCTCGGGGTTCGGCAACCTGGCAACTGGCTGAAGAACCTTTCGGGTATCGCCAATAGATGATTTGTTTTATCGCGATACGCTGCTGAAGTATGCTAGACCTCATGACCCTTCGTCTCAGGTCATCGGGTAAGCATTCATTGCCGTATTGCCCGAACTGTCCGCATCGGGAATGTGTATCCATAGACTTAGTGCCGACAGGTTTAGACTAAAGGAAGTTCGTGATGAACATAGTCTACAAGCAACGATTGGGGCCATGGTGATGCTGCACTGCACGAAAGAGCTTTGTTGCGAATCGTGTACAGTTGCAATGACTTAGAACCGCAAGGCTAATCGGCGATCAGAGAAGAGACCTCCAGAGAGTGAGCTTCCGTGTAATACTAGCTTTTCGGAGTTATCGTTAAATTATAGAATAAAACCGACAAGTAAAAGTGTGGTCTGGAATGGCATCGACGTTGCAACGTGCACGATATCCAACGAGTGGTTGCTTTTTTCCAAGGACAAGCATCGATGGCAGTGGCTAACAGACATTCGAGGCTAGATGCAACACTTCCATGATGTTCCCTTCCGCGTTATGTGCCCTGTTAAGTCGGACTTTTCTCAAGACCGAACATAACGGCCCTCATGGTGCCTACTTCATCTTCCCATTGCTATTGCGCCAGCGTACACTATGAGCGGACACACCGATGGCAATTGAGCATTTGTTTGAAGAAAGTCGATTGGCTGCATAACCGCTGGCTTGGCCGCAGGTCAGGTCAAATGGCTTGTATGACAGCCAACCAGGTGACTCGAAACGAAGTAGGACATACGACAACGGCGGGATTGAGTATGTTGGCGCCAACATGCATGTACTCGAGTGGAGATGTTTGATGTGCGCCGCCCAGCTGCAGGAGTGATGCGACAAGCTGATAATGGCCCCCCCTAGTTGAGGTGAGAGTCCCGTGCACTAGACTAAGCCTAATAAGGCAAAAGTCTAGCTAAAGGCGGTTAGGGTTAGTAGTTAGGGTGGGGTTAGGGTGGTTAGGGTGGGGTAGGGTTTGGGTTATTGGTTAGGATTAGGCGTTATGGGTACTGTTCGGGTTAATGGAGTATGTATTTTTCCGGATTTTGTATGAGGTGGCTGAGCGAACTTCTTTACGTGCTGGTCATTTTGGTTCTTCCACTTCTTGCCACCTCAATCATTGCCCTGAATGCTCCTCGCTACCTCGATTACTCCTTTCTACCTCTAATATTATACCCCTAGTTACTACACAAGCACTCGACCGAAAACACTGACCGTGAAGTGGTGTACAGCGGAAGTCCACGGCGAAAAGTCGAAACAAGCAGTCATTACCCATCGCTGATCATGGATCCCATCACAGCCGTCAGTTTGGCGTCGAATGTGATCTCCTTCATTGACTTCACGACGCAACTACTTCGAGGGGCCAAGAACATCCGGGCAGCTGGAGATTTCGAAGAAAATGCGTCGCTTGAAGCCGTCACGCGTCACATTGATATCTTCATTACAAAGCTCCTTGGGCCGGAATCGTCCAGTCTAGTCGGAAGCGACTTGCAGCTATCAGATCTAGCAGCCAAATGTAGGGCGTTGGCGATCGAGTTGTTGGCGTTGCTTTACAAGATCAAGGCGAAGGATCCGAACTCAAGAAGACAAGCTGTCTGGTCCGTCATGAAGAATATGAAGTATGAGGAGCAAAAGAAAAGTCTCGAGGCAAGACTTGCTTCGTGTCGCGATCAGTTCGAGATGCAGCTCAATTTCCTCGCCAGGTAAGACTTCTCTAACTGTCGCGACTGCGTCCCTCCAAGTTTCTAACTCATTCGACAGTCAGGAGAATAGGCTCAAGCTCCATGCCGTTCTGAGCTCCTCTCAGAGCTCTGCCCACCAAATACAGGAGATCTCGGCTTCACTCGATCGACTGCGCGACACCATGCAAGTCGCCGGTTTCAGCGACCAGGCGAAGATGCAGTTATCGCAGTTGCTGCGAGTCTCAGACGACATCGTTCACGCTGTGGCGCAAGAACGCATTTTGAGAGGCCTTGCATACGAAAGTGCCAGATCCCTCAACGAGCGTCACGACATGATACCCGAGGCTCATTTCAAAACCTTCGAATGGCTGGTTTCTAAGACAGCGGACAACAAGGACAAACAAGTGGACTTTTCCCCACCTCCCAGCGACTTCTCTGTGTCAGATGCCTCATCCTACGGCTCGGATTCACTCGTCTTCGAAGAAGAGGAGGACGAAGGAGATGATATTTTGGCGGAATTTTCGAAAGACTGGAAACAGTTCCACCATTCGAGCTTGAAAGCCGATGTCTTGAGATCGCCTTTCAAATGTTTCGATGACTCGGTGTCACAGATTGGTCAGGAGCTTCGTTCTGCTCGAAAGCTATTTATGAACTGGCTATCCTCTGGAGAGGGTATTTTTCACTTTTCGGCAAAGTTTGGCGCGGGCAAGTCGACTTTGATGAAATTTCTATGCGCTCACCCGGACGTTCAGTCTGAACTTGAAGCTTGGTCAAGGACATGTAAGTGCTCCTTCTCTCGCTCTTGAAGACACCTATGTGTTTTGAAATAGATCTCTAACTTCACTGCGGATAGGTAACCGCAGGCTTGTCATCGGAAGCTACTTTTTCTATAATCTTGGCACGACTTATCAGAAGTCCCTTGCGGGCATGTGTCGCACGCTAGTTTATGAGGTCCTGGAACTATGTCCGGACTTGACATCTTGGATACTTCCGGCTCAGTGGTCCCAAGCTTCATCCACACCTTGGCAGGTAGACCAAACAATCCGAATTTCGGATAGAGAGGCTCTTCAGGCTTTCGAACGCATCATTGAAGGCGCCGCCACGGACAAGACCCAAGCGCGGTTCTGTTTCTTCATTGATGGTTTAGACGAGCTTGAAAAGACCGCCGAGGTTTCTCACGGAGACCTGGTCAATCTACTCCACGACTGGCACCGGCGAAGTTCAGGACACGTCAAGTTTTGCGTCTCGAGCAGGGAACACAACGTGTTCATGAACGGGTTCTCCGCCTCACAACGAGTACGCCTGCACACCCTGACCAGACAGGACTTGGAACTCTTCGCCCGCGACAAGTTGAGAGGCATCCAGGATAACGCCACGATGAACCAAATAGTCGAGGCAATTCTTGATAAAGCCCAGGGGATCTTCTTCTGGGTGACCCTCGTCGTTAGGAACATGCAGACGCGTCTTGAAGACGGGTTCGGCCCCGACGAAATACTTGAACAGATTGACGTCCTCCCGTCTGAGGTCAATGACCTATTCGCCTATATACTCGACTCCCTAGACACCTGGGCGAAATCCAGAGCATACCGGACTCTTGCTATTCTGCTCGAAGCGACTCGCTGGGATATAGAGGTTCCTGCTTTAGGGTACATCTTCTTGGATGAATACGTGAAAAGTCCAACTCCCGACTTTGGCTTCACTCATCCAATTAAATTCAATTTCGAAGCAACTAAGAGTGCTGAGCGATGGACGAAAACCAGGTTGAATGGCATCTGCAAAGGACTCGTCGAGTGCCCCGCTGCCAGTTGGGAGGCTGGATCACAGTATGGGTCAATCTTACGGTTTGGACACCGCTCAGTGCAAGAGTTTCTTATGGACACAACACGAAGAAGCCAGATGCTTGCGTTCCTGGAAGGTTTCAACACTTCGGAAGCGTTATCCCACATCATCATTTTGTCCCGAAGAAACGCCGGTGACTTCGATGATTCTTCCTTCTGGCGTTCCGATGGCTTCCATGAGCTGTCAAACGTTCTCATCATGCGTCAAGAAAACAATCTGGATAAAGCCCCATGGGTGTTCCTCCACTGCCTTGAGGAATGGTTCCGCGAGGGTGAAGTCCATGTGTTTTCAAAGAGTTCTTCCTTGGCATCGTATTCACCAAACTATCTTCTTCGCAATGCTCAGGTCGTTGATCTTCCGAGAAAAAGAACCGCTGGGGTTGGCTCGCCCCTATTCGTCCTCACTCTACATGGATATGTGGAGTACCCTCTGTGGAAGCTGAGGAACGAGCCAGCAAAAAACCTCAGCAAAGGAAGAATTTCGCTCCTGATTGCTTGCATCTTCGAGTTTTACTACAACCACTCTCGAAACCTCGTGCTAGCAGGCTCCGTGTCCGCTGGGGAGCATGACGATGTGGGCGTATCCCTCATCAGAGCACTGCTAGAAAGGGACTTGATACGTCCTGATACAAAAGTCGATTGGGCTATTAGGTCGCTCATGTCTGAGAAGAACTCGTCACTAAATCTGAAAGCAACGTTGCCAAACTCTGATGGGACCATTAGGTCCCTCAGAGTCGAAGAGAACTGGTCTCTAAATCTGATACAACTCAGCTTCATCACTGCCAGTATTTTCGCCAACGGAGGTAGCGCGGAATGGATTGGTGCCATCATTGAAGAACTGCTTCAACGAGCGCCTAACCTTGGCTTCTCACTTTCGATTTGCAACTCAGATCCCTTGGATTTAGAGTTGAGGAGCGACGGAGAGGTGACGTTTCGAGCGCTCAGCGACAGCAAGATCTTGGACAATCCCATGGTCGACTGTGGGCCCAGACAAATAGCTCACAAGTGCAGCTTTAATAACAAGGTTCGCATCTTGGAATTGTTGGAAGCTCAAACCCTTGAGCAAAAGCCGGATATTCAGCTTGCTCCGGTATCCAAAACCACCAAGAAGAAATGGCTTCTGGCAACAAAAGAGATTCCATTATCAACTACAATCTGCAAGTCCTTTACCATAGACAAGTCATTCTGTTGCCAAGTCGTTCTTGTCACTGTTGTTCTTGTCGTCTTCTGCCATTTCCTTTCGTCAGAATCGTCATCGTTGTTGCGTGTGTTCTATAGGCTGGGTTGAAAGAACCATATAATGATGCTGTTACCTTGAGCAATATCATTATATAGGAGGGCTCTAAGAATTAAGATTATTTGTAGACGCAGAAGTCAAACCTGCGCAACTCCGGTTCTGCTTTTAGTTAAAGAACTATTTATATATAGTTATGTTTGTTGAAATATATATCAGTTGTATACTATAGTTCTCGTAATTCCTCGGAGTAAAGTCAAATCACGAGTGTGATCCAATGATATCTTTGGTGATTGGGAGGAGAGCTCTCATGATCTCGGATAATCTCGGGCAAAATGTCTGCTATACTTACGTATATGCTAATCAAGATGTAGGTAAGTGGCATTAGAATTAGGTAGTCATCTCGATGGGATGGGTAGACCCCTCAGCCTGGTCGCACATCAGCTTCGGTTACCGGGTACAATACCCTTCGTGCTTCGCAGCCTGCTTCATTGCATCCACTTCGAGATTGGAAATCTTACAGCTGTCAAACGAGATGTGTGTATATTCACCGCCTCTGACGCTTTAGAGCCTCACTTATGTGCATATTACCATGTGCAGAATTTGCCTGAAAGCAATCGGCCCTCTCCAGCTTGACCGACGACACCTTGGTTGATGATCGAAGAAGTATCTCGTTCTAAGCCGACAGATAAGCCGCATGGAGCGAAGATCGCGTTAACGACTGACTTGATATGGATAGTCCGGTGAAACTCCAGTCCGTGGAGTGGTCAGCACTCTGGCTCCAAGATCTACTTATCAGCAAATCACATTCCACCCAGTCATCTTGGCTTGTTCCACAACACCCTCCGAACAGTAACACAATCAGAAGTGTATTACACGCATGCGACATCATACACGGGCATCTCTGTCGAACTCTCATTGGCCACCAAGCTTCGGTGTGTTAACATGCAGGAATCTAGGCATTAGAATCACGACATCGATGTTCAAAGGAAGGACTTGCCATAAGAATTGTTCCGGCTTCGTTCCGCTTCGTTGAAAACCTGACTTCCAAGTCCACAATGCATCCCTTCCCCGCATCTTCTCTCACCGACGTGCATTATCACCAAGGTGAGGCTGCCCTCCTAAAATAATTGGTCTCTTTCTGCATTTTAGGCTGCCACATGCGTGGTAGCGATCTTCGGTCAAGAGGTGGGCGGGCCGCGGAGCGCACTGCATGCATCCCACATGAAATGCTGTGGAGAGCTGGGATCGTTGCCTACCAATGGCCATGCACCGTCATGTGCTTTTTTTCTAATGACTGGAGGCTCACGAGTAGTTGAGGATTGGGTGGACAGGTCCAGCGCGAGCGAGGTCATACGCCCGTGTCAACGGACTCGGTGCGCGGAAGCCTGAGACATTATATTATGGTGGATAGTTCTGGCATTTCTGGATCACCGATACAACTCGGAAAATTCCAGTCAAAGGAGCTTCTACGGGACTACAAGGCTGCAGCTAATTGAGGGGTAAGGTGCTGCGCCGCCATAATATCAGCTGAGACCAAGGAATTGACCCTTCATGCAAGTTGTGTCTGCAAGTGCAGTAGTAGTGGGCCACGAGGCCTGCATGGATGAACAGGCGTGATGTCCTGCAGGTGAGAGAGCCAAGTTCGGTAAGAAAAGTTGAGATGAACTCGATCGCAATTAACTACGGGTGCAACGCGGAACAAGACAGCTATGCTGGGCATAACATAGATCTACATGGTACCTCAACGTCAGCAACGGAATCAAGCCATAAAGAGTGAACGCACACAGAATGAGGGAGCAAGGCCGTCAATCAGCTTGCCGTTTGAGTGAGGCCCATATGCAGGGTGGCTGGTTCATGCCTGCGTAACCTGGGGTAAGGCTGGGAGGTAGATTCAACGGACCTGAAATGGAAGATAGTGCCGTGAAGTGGTCTCACTGCGAGCTTTCCCGTGCCTCGTGGACGCATGGGTCGGCCTCCGCAAGTATGAGAGGTAAATGAGATGTATCACCAACACGCTCGCTGATAAGGCGCCCGAGGCGTCCAGGCAGGAGGCTGCCTACAGCTTTATGATTGAGCATCGCACTGATGGGGGGTTTGCCAGTGGGACGAATCGGCTTTTCGATCTGCGACAGAAAATGGAGGGACTTTGTCCGCGCCAATTTCCCATCCGGGATGTCGTTCCTCGGGGGCGATTAGCCGAGTGCATGAACCACGATGACGGGTTTACTAGGTGGTTAGCGCTCCGTTAGTGCTGTATGGCGTACATCTCCCATGTTGATGCTTGTTACCTGGCCTCGCAGGCGGCCACCGCTGATTTCTGAGCTGAGTATGACAGGCCAATGTGTGCTCTGCCCCCGAACTCAGCTTGGACATAGCGCGCCCCAGATTCTTCTCAGTCGAGAGGATATATAGCATGGTATCTTGGTTTCTCCTACACTCGACCTTTGCGCCCTTGCTCCGGGTAGAAGGGCAAATGTTCTTCTAAGCAGCGATCGCTAGTATGAAGGACCAAGTGCAAAGCCCGCAAATATGTGGAACAAGGCAACCAAGCTAAAAGTAAGCTCCGATTCACGCATAGCAATAGAACTCCAGTACGCTAACTTCATGCAGTTGTTTTGAAGGGTTAATAGCTTCCGGTTCTCAGGTCGAAAACGGGCAAAAGAACAGCCGAAATTAACATACAATTGGTACGTTGTCTCGACATCACACCGAATATCACACGCCAAGCTGTCCATCCGTGGTTGCAGTGGAATTGGTCCGGTGTATTGACCGGTAGCAATTCACGGGCCGGTGAAGAACAGCAATTGAGTCTGAACAGGATTTAATCCTAGTCCCGGCGGAAATCACCGGGCATTGCGCTGCTTACCTGCTGGGTGGGTGTGGAAAGGTGACGCACGGAAGACACTGGAACGGGAATGTGAACGAACGTCTGCCTAGCATATCGGTGTTGGCATTCCCCCACATGGCGTGGTAGTCAGGTTACGATATTCGACTACATCGACCTCACCACGACCTCGTGTTTTCGCATGGCCCCTTTGAAAGGCGTCTGGTTGCCTCGTCGGGGCTCGTCGCCAAGTTACAGATCAAGGTCATGGAAAGCCCTTGTATTATTGGTTGGGCGGATTCAATCTTCGTCACGGCCGGGGCTGGGGCTGGGTTTGGAGCATAAGATTCCACTGGCAAGCAAAGCTTAGAGGATCAAATCGCCGACTTATTTGCTGCCTACGAATCTCCAAGCCACAAAAGGCAATCAGGCGCAGATTATTTCAACGGCTCCCCATCCGGGCAGCTGAGTTTCTTGGTCATACACGCCGGGGTTGTGGGTAAGCTGAACCGCAAAGCTAATAAAAGAACGATAATGAGCTCAGCCACCGATATGACGCATCCCATGCGCTGAAGAAGAATGGAGAAAGCATTTTTATAATCAATAAAAAACTGTTCCTTCGTATTAAATGCGCTAATGCGGAAGTTATCAGTTACATGGAAGCGTGGTGAAGTCCGTTATGACGCGAGGCCTGAGGTTTCTCAAAAAGGTGTATTTGAAGGTCACCTGATATCTCTGTAAGATTATGGAAGCTATGTATTCTTATGGCACGATTTTGAATATCAACTGAAGGTATCTTATGCCGCCTTGTTAACCAAGCTGTATGGCCTTTTCGTTTAGTTACAGCTTTTATACAATGTTACTTTGAAACCAAAGACGCGTGTCTAGTATCCTAATTTTGGACAGCCAGCTACGAGTTATCCTCCAAACTACACTAGTGAGAGACTGATTGATTTGAGTTTTCGCAGTATAAGTCTACAGCGAGAAATAGCCACAAATAAGCTAAAATATAAAGGTACTCTAGTTAGCACTAGATCTCAAATGAGTATATTAAATAGAACCACAACTGTGAGGCTCTATTAGGCTTTGCTGAATCATAATTACATGTAATGGCAATGGCTTCTATGGACGAGAGACAGCATTCTCGAGCGCCTAAAACAACAGACATCTCATGAGTTGCCTTGTAAAGGTCTTAAATATGTTAGGAACTTCTACCCTATCGTATCTTGTCCTTAAGTCACATGTATTCATGGTCTCATATGATATATCAAATGGGTGACTTTATTGACAGCGCGCTCAACGACCAAGTTTCATCTCAACTAGACCACGCGTTTGTTCAATCAATTTCTTATAATCTACCCATGTTATTATTACCAGCCTGGGTGTACCATTAGACATATTTTCAGGCGCCCAGGGCTCATGGCTGGCTAACATGTCCAGTTCCATCTGCGCATTGCACCGCAGCAGCCCCTTTTCTTTGCCTCTTGTTAGTATAAACCCGTCTTCTTCGGTGAATCAGTGCAGGACTTCATATACAGTATATTTGTGTATTCTTGATTATTTAGTCAACTAAAGTCCGGGAAACCAAGTATTGAGATGTGCCACTCATGACCAGCAGATCTTATATGTGCCCGCGAATCGTAACCCACGCTGACCCGAGTTGACAACACCTTCACGATTTGCAGCAGATAAGCCAATCACATGACCACAGTTAACTGACATCTTAAGCCTGAAAGCTGAAAATAAATTGGCATTCAACACAGTCTATGGGGTATCTGAAATTCGAATGCCGATTCGATGAAACACCTCGAGCGCCTGTACGACCACTTGAAGACAAAATTATTTGCGAAGAAAACTTCATGTCATGTATGTACTACTGGCGCATCGGGAATGCCCAAATCGCCGTCGCCATCGGGTCTGCTTTCATCCTTCCGGGGAGGTGCCTCGGGAAAGTTGTGGTCATACTTTGCCACCACCCAGAACTGCCTCGCCTCCTCGTCATACGTCAACCACTTGTTGGATGAAGCCAACCGGCGGCCGAGCCAAAGACACCTGACCCGGCGCTCCTCCTCCATTGAAGCTACCTCAAAATACTTATCCTCATCGTCAATTTTGGCAGCGGTGAACCAGTTGTCCGGATAATACTTATCCACCCATAGCAAGCCCCGCTGCGCAAAATCATCCGGTAGAGGACGTGGTGGATCTTCTGGCCGCGGAAAGGCGTCCGAATCGACCATCTCGGGGGAAGCACAGCGGTCGAGCAACGTATTTAGTAAAAGCGCCATGCGCTTCCATTCCATCTTCTCCTCAATATAAGACATGGCAGACGGGTATTTTGACATGTGATCGAGGAAGGAAAGGGTAACGTGAACGTAGGTGGCGACGTTCGGGTCGCCGACACGGCGGAGAATCACATCCTGCGTGCGAGCTGTGAAGTCCAGTGCATCAAGGAATTTCTTGCTTGGGCCAGCCTCTGTGCCCTCCATGACAACATCGGCATCACCCGCTTTGCCCGACTTGATGTGGCGCATGATGACGTTACTCTCACTGCCGTACTCGAGAAGAGCGCATCCCTGAGCAATGCCGATGTGATATCCGTTCTTCATCCATCGTTCTGTCGTCCTGCTAATGTGGTTGTCGAGTTTCCCGATGAACTCATCGACTGAAGAGGCCAATTGGTCTTGATTTCTGCCCGAGAATAAGATACCATGAGCTCGTATGAACGCGGCGTCGATCTCGGGAATTCTCGTCTCTGCTCCCGATAGATGGGGCTCGAAGAGAGTCATGATGGATTCCCTGGCAGACAAGAAGGGAATGGATACACAAAGCGACTTGGTGTAGTAAAACAACTGCTGCAGAGCGTTGGGGCGGGCAAGAATTGCGAGGTGGTGATACAAACGGCCGGTTGTGGGGGCCTTATCACTAGCCTTGCTGTACCAATGGCGGCTCACTGCAGTCCAGACCTCGCGATCCTTAATGTCGTCATCCTCTATCGCCATTCTGTGAGAACGCTCAAGTTAGCATAAGCGGAGGGGGTGGGAACCACTTGCTGGCTGTTGGCTGATGCCTACCTATATCGGCCTAAATCGCCTAGACATTCGATCCAAGTCTCTTCGAACGTGGGAACAGTCTCAAATAAAAGCGCCATCATCGAATAGGCCAAGTAAATGAACGTGAGCATATGTTCCAGCGAACCTGGAAGACGTTGGCGAAGCAACTCCAAAAATGAGTGAATTCCATGGCGCCACATTCGCGCAGGCATGGCGTACTTGGAAGCTAGACGACGTAAAGCAGGACTTGCAGAAGGGTGCTGGGAAGCAAGGAAAAAGTCGTGATGCTCATGAAGTAAAGTTCGGTGAAGTGCAATCAACGCCTGCCACTGTTCGTTGTTTAATTTTGGACCAGAGTCCTCGGAAGTCGAACTCTGCGCGTTGTCGACCTCGATACACTTGCTTTCTACCATGACGAGTCCAGCATAGATACCCTTCACTTCGGCGACCAGCTGTTCTTGGCTGATCGGGCGCGTCTCCGGTTGCTTGATCATAAGTTCAGTATTATCGGGCTCCGCGGGCCGAGGTTCAAAGGTACGGGCCGGACCTGGGGTGCCGGAGCCCTCGGCGCTCCCCCCGTCCCTCTGCTTCGAACCTCGCCGGGAAGGTGGATCATCGTCGGGGTTCCAGAGCTTGCCGGACTTCTGCGTGGGTTCTCTCCGAAACTCCTCGTCCGGATTCCGGTTGCCGATTGTCTGTGTAGGTACTCGAGCCCGTGATCGTTTAGGGGGGGCGGCTTTCTCGTCAGCGTCGCGCTTCAGGGATCGAGTAGAGCCGGGACTTTTGAGTGGTCGTTCCAGTCCGGAAGTTGTCGGTCGAGGCGGTTGATTGGAGTTATTGTCGGCCGGGGTCTGGGGCAGCTTCGGACCAGGCTGAGAGTCGCGAGTGGCCTGGGGCGGCGCTCCCCGGGACGGCGCTCCCCGGGAACTATTTTTGGATCTAGAAGACGGACGTGAGCCGAGTGCTCGTCGGCCGAAGCACGAGCGAGTGCGAGCTTGAACGTACAAATGGTTTTGTATCAAAAGTTTTCGTTTGGCTATGCTGTCTGGATCACCACCAGACTCGAGAGCATGCTTCTCGTTGTAGTGTGCTGTCCAATCGTCTGCGGAGCCCGCAGGTATTATGGCATCGCATTCTGTACACTGCTCTTGGATTTGCACCACGGCAGCTTCTGGAGCCTCTTGTCGTCGTCGTTGTTGCTCTTCGCGTCGCCGGTAGTTGGTGATATTATTGACGATACTGTCCACAGCTCCTGGTTTCGAACTCATTTCTAGGTGATCCTCAAGATTTCTCTATCGATCGGAAACCGACGGTTTGCAATGATTTGGAAGGTCTTATTCTCGAGAAGATAGACGATATCGAAGCCGCTGGAAATATAGCTTTTACGATTCGAAGACGGAGAGCGAACTTAATACCATTCTGGATGACGGGCCGCGAACTGTTCCTGACAACAGCGGGCTGCCAAAGGGCCTAACGAAAAAAAATGGCCGCCTTTTCGCCTCGTCTGCGTTAAGGTATGGGGGTGTATGGATGTGTATGGATGGGGTGTGTGTGGTTGCCTTAACTTCGGCGGAACCAATGGTTCGCAAATTTGGTTTTAGGGGTTCTAGGACCCTCCCACATTTCAGACTCACTTGTCCTTCAATTCTCACTACCATCAACTGCGCCACCAAAAGGACTATGCTTCTGTGAGGCGACGTAGTATATATAGACTGTCTGGACAACACAACCTGTCTCACTATTCCTTTCGCTATTCTACTGCAATGCGAGATTTGCCCCTGCTTCGAGTAGGCACTCGTGACTCGAATTGATGAGGCGGGCCTTCCTCTGTTGGCGACAATACAGCCGAACACTCCAGGAGGGCGGACGCCACTTTTTTGCATATAGCAAGTCGTAGTGAAGTTGTGGCATCGGTCCTGGCGAAATGACGGTGATTCATGAACACAGGATTGGGCAGTGATGGTTTCATCGAAAAATTGGTGTAGGGACGGATGCGCATGAGATTTATTACCATTGAGCGAAGGGGGCCTTGAGAGTTGCTGTACACGTCAGAGCCCAACATGCCACACTGACTGCCAAAAGTCCGGTTTCTGACAGCCGTAAGATTTGTCCCCGGATCCGACGGATATCATCGGCATCGGTTTAGGGGCCCAAGTGTGCAGAAAGGGCGCTAACGTTGAAATTTCCCCTGGATTTTGTCTACAACTATTACCCAACACTGAAGTGATGAGAATGGGTGAGATTTTGATTTATCCGGGGTGGGTGTTGCAATGTAATGTCACCGTGCTTCTTGGTAGGTACTTACCCGATTAGATACCATGTCAGAAATAACGGTACCCTCAGTGTCATGAATCTTGAGCTCTGAGCACCATTGAACAGTTCGTAACCGGCGTGCGACTGATTATCCCCGCCACACCGCCGGGAATCTTACCTTACCTTACCTGTAGTAACTGGTCAGCTTTGCGGCTGAGACCCACCCGGCTACCTGGTTATGACTTCCACCCATAAGAAGACAATGCTTTCCTCAATATCTCGTGGTGAACCATACGTACTGACTGCGTCAGCTCAGCATGGTTCTTGAAGATTCCAGTCTCCTTGGTATTTCTTTGTGGCAAGTCTCATACCGAACTGGCAACTACTAAGCCACACACGAAATGTCGCTAAGATGGCTAGCTTCGGCAACTCCGTGGCGCCACAGGCCATGTCCGGAAAGCTCCGTACAGGTGATCCAGATGCAGTCTTCAATTGAACCCTCATTTTGAAGTTCCATGGTTTTGTCTCGGGTCATATACCGCGTTCTCAGATCCCGATCTTCAACGTTCGTCTCCCAGTTCTCGTCAGAGTTCAGCCACAGAGGTACGATTTGGCTCCCTCTATTATTGAAGCTTTGGAGTGTTACATCCGCCACTGAAGATATTGCATACGCGTCAATGATTCAAGGAGGCGGAAGTTCATGCCCTGGTCGTTACCCAATAACGGCGGCAGCGTTAACTTTTCCACAACATCCATCCCCTGCATCTTTGTCTTGATGAGCCTCGTTCCTCAGCTGCATATGGCATGTGAGAAAGATTTTGCCAGAATGATTCGTAATAGGGCCTATGGATTGCATTTCAGTTGGTTGATCCAGCCATGAATCATTTCTGTCATCAAAAATGCAGCCTTGACCTCATTTCTAAATGTGAGAAGTAGCTCACCGTGGAGCGGCTACCTCGGTGAGGCTTCGTATATATAAACTGAATTCGTAATGAGTGGGTAAAATGTACCACAATCCAGGCAGCTAGCTTACTCACAAGTCCGGGCAATAGGTTTACTAGGCGTCATGAAAATCTCGGTAAGCGAATGTCTAGGCTTCCGAGATTACCGAAAGATAGCCAAAGGATTAGACTATCAGCATTGCCTGAGGATTTACTGTCCAGCCTCTGACCAATGCAAATCCGTCACCGCCATCACATTTACTTTCAAGAATACACCATGATTTGTCACCAGGTACAGCAAGGCATCCAGCTATTACAGCCAGCCTTGAGATCTCCTCGACGTCCTCGTCATCATTGGAGGTCCAAGTTGTGGGATGGCTGTGATATTGTCATCACGACTCGCTCGCAGGGGTTTGCGGCTCATCCGGTTGGCTGCCTCAAATCACGAGTGACTACCTGAATACACACCATGCCCGTGAGTTTGAGGCTCCGCCCAGATCTTGCTGTGGTCTTCTAACCTAGCTTGCATATACGGGCATCCTGTTACGCTTCTATGTGCCCTGAACATGCATTACCAGCATATTTATTTGCTTCGTTAACGAGCAGGACTCAGGTTTTGCACTGAGGATCTAGGATGTATTATCAAGAACTGTGACATCTACTGCTCCATATATTCATCAAACTTGACAATGTTGTGCTGATTTATGTGTACTCGAGTCATCATATATTTCGCAGCAAATTGGTTACTGACGAATAGTAAATTTTCATTGATACGTGTCATGCTTACCTGACAGAAGTAAAGTCAGAGGCAAAGCCAAAAGAGGGAAAAAAAAAAAAAAAAAAAAAAAAAAATTATAAAAAGGAACGCGTAATTGAAATGGTGAACCCAAATTAAAAA